CCAAATGTATGGGATTTTTTGCCACTGGTTTCAAAGTGGGATCTCTCTTGAGTAATTAGCTATGAATTCTTTTGTTCGTTTTTAGTGTAGTTAACTGTCAGAAAGAACTAATAAGTAATTTAAAATAATCGTATATGCTTTGGAAAAAATTAATAAATCAATGAAAATAATTCATAGATAATTCCACAAGATAGATCCCACTTTGAAACCAGCGGCATAAAATCCGTTAAATATGGGGCTTTCTGAGAAAAATATAATGGTATTTTTGCAGACTGGCCCTTTGGACGAAATCCTACTTTTAGACTTTAAAAACGCTATCGCTTGGTCATCTACGGTCTAATAAAATCTATTTTTTTTCTCGTAATCGGCCATGGAAAGACAGATTTTTCTGCTTTTGAACAATGCCAATTGTTTCTTCCGTTCGCAGGATAAAAATGATTTTGTGTTTTCTTTTCAACGCGATTATACGGCGAAAGAGTGGTAACATTGACAAAATAGGTATGAGGTAAACTATTGGAAGCAAGGGGCTTTGCAATCAATGTGGTACTGTCCAAATAGAAAAAAAATCAAAAAAGGGGGTGGCCGAGTTGATATGGAACGTCCCATATGTATGTCAACAAATCTGGAAAGCAAGTTAACTGTTATTTGTTCATGTCTGTGAAGTGCATAAAAACCAGTTAAATTGTTGACTAAAACTTGTACAAATCTCAATAGGCCTTTTAAAATAAAAATCTCAAAAAATGATTATTTACGGTCCCTGATAAAAAGTGCTACTATAAAATGTTTTTTAAATTTAATATAAAAATGCGTAAAAAACGGAATTTATTAAAATATATAAATAGAATGAAATTATTTTTGATTTTCTCGTTGTGTAATCCATCCATCAAACCCTCTTTAAATATTTTTTCTCAAAAATGTATTTAATAAAAGTTTCGTAAAAGCGATTTTATAAAAGTTTTTTAAATTGAATATAAAAATCTAAAACACGGAATTTATTAAAAAAAAATATAAATAAAATATTTTCTCGTTGTGTAATCCATTCCATTGTCATCTTGGCGCCAAAAAATTACCAGGCAAAAAATTTGCATGTCCTTTCTGTCCGTGTGTTTGTACACGTGGTTGTGGTTACAGTTGGGGTTGTGTGGACCTTGCATTCGGTGTGTTTGTATGGGTGTCTAACCACAAAAGTCATATCCTGGGGAAGGTGACAGAGTCATCACGTCGATTTTATTATGCAGGCGAAGGCCTGTTGGCCTTAAAGGGCAGTATAAAAAATTAAATTTAATGTTGTTAATGTTTTTCCCAAAATGTTTACTGCCATTTGTTTTCATAAAAAATATACGAGAATTGCGAACTTTGATATAATAATTATTATTTGTTCTTCGAAAAGATTTAAGTGTTAATTTCAAAGTAAGCGGGCAATTAAAACTAATATAAATGTTCAGATAAGTTCCCAAATAAAAAACTCATTAAGATGCCAAAAGCACTTTGTATTCTGACCGCTCTATTTTAACTCCGAAACCTGAGCTGCAATAAGAACAAGAGAAGCAGCAGCCTAATTTCCACACTTTCGTACTCATTAGGGCAGTCTCTCCAAGGCTATTCAATTTAATTTTCTCCATTTCGTCCTTTAAATCCTTGCAGCCTGCTGGACGTGCTCTGCAGTGGAAGTGGCGCCCGCTTGGCCCTGGGAACCTCGGTAATATCGTATCTGATTGTCTACAATGAAGCATCCGCTCAGAGCCTGCTCTTTGCCGTCCTTTTGGCCACCATCTATGGCACAATGTCGGGTGAGAATCAGGTGAATTATTCCATAAATATTATAAACTAATATACTTTATTCTAGCTCGTTGCAAAACAAGTCTTCGCAGCCTGCAAATGCCGTATGTGAGGGCCACGAATAAGTTTGACTTTGGCTGTTTGTTCTTGGCCACCTGGCTGGATGCTCTGGCCGCCATGTGTGCCTGTGCGGCCCTGGCCAGGACTCTCAGCGCCTGTTTGGATGCCATGACCGGAGGTCTGGCCAGGATCCTTATATTGGGTGAGTGGTAACTGGAAAAGAAAATAAATTAAATTAAATTCTAAAATGTAAAGTGCATATTACTTTGTTTACTTTATTTTAACATTACATAAATTTTAAGTAAATATCTACAAATCAAGCAAAGAAAAGTGTTTTATTTCTGTGATAGCCCAGGCCGATGTAGTTGCTAAAATTACTATTTATAAAGCTAAAATAAATGAAATCTAAAATAACTAAAACTAAAAATAGAACACTCGAAAATAAGTGATTAAAACCCGAAAGCTAAACAGAGTCAATTTTTTTTTAAATAAACATTTATACATTTCTAAGCCAACCCGAAGTTTTTATTTGTTTGTTTTTATTATTTCAGTAAATTAATAAAATACGTATACCTTATATTTCGTCACGGACTGTGCCGGCTGAATGTATAATATAATGTTGCCTAGAATACTAAACAAAAAAAGTATACTTTTAGGCTGATTTCGAAAAAAAAAATTCCCATAAATTCTCTACAAGTCTCTACAAATTAAATTTGAATTTCAGGCCGTAATGCACCCGCGAATGAGCCGTGGCCGGATGTTCTTGGCGTCTCTGTTGTCTTCCTTGTCACTGGGATGTTCATGCTGGGCCTGGAGGTGGGTACTCCTTGTCCAAGTCCAAATCCAAATGCACCCCCTTATCTAGGCACCCCCTTTCATTGCATTAACGTATTCACAGCACTCGAGGGCCTTCAGCCTCATCCTAACACTCGGAATGTTCGGTTTGAATGCCATTCTAAGCGCCGTCGGCTGGTGGCGAGGCGACATGTTGGCCTGGTCTACGGAGAACTACTTCCAGCCCGATGGCATTAGCAGTGTAAGTGGATGTAGATGTAGCCATTGAATCCCCATACCATCTGGAACTTTGTTACTGGGTCACTGCACTGTGCCAGTCTGTTTTTGTTTAGCGGGTTTCCCTTTTTTTGTTTGCCGACGACTCCCATCGATTTTCGCTGTCGTGACTGGGAACAATTGCGTGACCGCAGCTGAAGGCACAGGATACGGGCTTTTGATTATGACACGTACTGCCGCGTTTCGTTTTTCTTTTTTGCCCCCCTTTTTCTCCGGCATTCCTTGGGTGGAAAGCCACCAGTCAGACAGCAAAAACTCGGAAGAATCGTGGGTTCTCATTAGACCGCATTCGATAATACCCTTAAAACCCCTTTGAAATCAATCATAATCATAAATCTTAAAAGTCTTAAATATTCGATTCGAAGTTCGATATTTTCGAACTACTAAAATATATGGAATTTATTATCCCAGACTCGTTACAATTTTACGATAGTATTCCGTTGTCATAAAATAGTAATGTTTTCTTATTATTTTTAACCCTCAAGCCAAAAATATATTACCCTGTCTAAGAGAATAGAACAGTTTTGTTATGGGGTAAACAACAATTGTGGGCTAAGGGAACGTCTGTTATTAGCTTAGCAGCTATTTGAGGAATTATCCGGCTAATAACTGGTTCTAACCACCACCTGCAGGTCTTCCTGGCCACTGCCCTGCTCACATACTCCTTCCCCAGCGATTGGCCCCAACAACATCGAAGCGGACGATTCACGGCGACCTTAATCACGGGATTGGTCAGTATTTCGCTGCTGCTGACTGCCATTTGTCTCTCCACAGTGGTGCACTACAAGTAAGTTTGATAAGGAGATAATAATTGACACATAACTAATTTATTTACTATGATATGCATTTCAAATTGAGATTTTAAGCTTTAATTTTATTAAGTTTTAATCAAAAATTAACTTTTTTATTATATTAAAATATAAAATTTATAAAATATAAACATACCAATTCTTATTTTTATCCCATATAAATATAAATATTTACAGAACCCATGAAGAGTATGTAGCCGTGCCTTTGTTCAACATCCTAGATGAAAGTGGCTTCCATAAGTTGGTGCCTGCCTCGGCTTGTATGTTGCTTCTGACAAGTTCGGCGGCATTTCTGGAGCTTTTTCCGGAACTATATGGCATTGTGGTGCGCTTGGCCACCTCGGAGTGGAGGATACTGTCCAAGCAGATCAGTTACGAGAGCTCGGAGAGTGGAAATCCCGTGCTGGCCGTTTTCATTGGCGGCAGCATGTGCGCCATGTTGGCCTTCGCCTGTCCATTGCAACATCTTAGCTACACACTGGCCGCTGGCCACATGGGCGGGGTATTCCTACGGGCCTTCTATCTCCTGTATACCCCGTATAGACCCAAGTTCATGGCGCCCAGCAGCGAGTCTTCACTGTCGTACAGTCGTCTCTCCACAGCTCCGATTGCCAAGAGTAGCAGTTACAGCAGTGCAGCAACTTCCAGTTCGAGTCGCTTGAAGAGGAGCCTCTGGAAGATCGGTCTACCCAAGCACAGTGGTTTGAAAAAGCCAAAGACAAAGCCCCGAAATAAACAGGAGCTCGAAAAGGAGTGGCTGCTCCTGGGCGAACCCACTTCGCCTTGTCCCCAACGAGAGGGCCGAGATGTGGAATCCACCATTCTGTCCGATGGAGAGCCACCGGTGAGTGCAGAACGCGATATACTAGAAATTATTAAAGAATTGGTAATTTAGAGCAAGGGAAATAGCTAGAAAGCTGCTTAAAAATGCTTATAATGTTTTCTCAGCAATTTATTACCAGTTTGTCAAGATTTTCTCAACACTGGTGTCCAAACGTCGTATATTTCCTGATCTACAATATATGTATAGTATGTACTATAGAGTCCTTAGGATTTTTCTTTTGGCATATAGGGATGAGTTCAAATAAAACCCCTCGAGATCTTGTAAACCAATGACTTTCAATTGAGCATATATTTCCGTTTAGAAATTACCTTCCCTCTTCACTAACCGAACAAAAATAAATTAAATTCTTAGCTTTTGTGTGATTAAATCACCTTCTTTAAATATCTCTCTTTATATAGCTAGATTCTCTTATACAGTTTCATAAGCAATCAAAGCAATTATTTTTGATTAATATGCTTGTTAAATCAAACTTCATTTGTGGCTACCGTGTACAACCAATGACACTGGTCGTTGATCCTAAAGCCCAATTTTTGGAACAGATTTAACGATGCCTTGTTTTCTGAAAAAACAATTTCGGTGATTGTGTCACGACCTTGCTCAGCCTCTCGTCTAGAGTATTCTTTCACAATCGTAGCACCAAAACCTCGACGTTGGTAGGAGGGTTTGACTTGAAGGGCAGCCAATAATCCATCCTGAGCCCTGTAAAAAAGTAGTAGTTAAGAATAGATATCTTAATGTGTTCGGGTCTTAACTTTAAATATTTACTTTATACACCAAGCGACAAGTTCATTGTCTTCGTCCTTATACAAGCCCACACTGGTGTTATAACAAATTTGCCGTTGAATAAAGGAAAGGCCGTCATGTTCACTATATTTCCAATTCTCGTAAATCACTTGAGCATCCTCTAGACTTAAAGACTTTAAGGAGAAGCCAACTGTTGGTCTTAACAAGTTCTTAAATAAGTTCAAAGGCTTATAACTTTATAATTTACTTATACATACTTCACTTGAAGGCACAGGGCCTCTTCTTTCCTTAAAATCATGGAATAGGTTATAATATCGATATCCAATTTCAAATTTTTCGCCTTAATAATATCGGTTGCAACAGTAAAATATCTTTTAGGCATAGAAGCAAATTGATTCATTCCAAAAAAGTCCAGTTTCAATAGGGATTCCTTGAGAACACTTTCGGAGCTTTCAGCCTCCAAAAAACCCACAAAAATTTGATAACGATCCTTAACGATTCAAATAAAATAAATATAGAAAGATTTCGCTAAAATTGAAGACTTATCTATCACATTCATACCACAATCACAAATAATCCGAGTTCTAGATTGGGAAGAGCGTAAAGTTTGACATCCTTCAATTGAGAGTCCCATTTATGAAGATCCAGAAAAGTATCCAGGCAGTAATATTCCTTGCAATATTTTGGCCAATCTCGGGTGTAAAAACTTTTAAGACCCTCCAGCTGCTGGACGACTTGCGGTTGGTGATCCATCTTGGAAACTGGGGCCTGGTAACCAGACTGTGATTAAATTTATATACAAACAAAAGAAAACGAAATAGTCAAGTACTTCGACAATCAGATACCCCTTACTCAGCTAAAATAAGTGCGAGGAAGGTTGAGTTATGTAATCAGCAAAGTGGCTGATTCCGTGAATCTATCAACAATTTTATTACTTGCGTATAACTTTTATATTGAATGGTCCGATTTGAAAAAAAGACGGGCGCTAGGAACTGCCTCTAGAATCTGCATAAGAGAACACAACTTTCTAGCTGTTGTAATTCCCGAGATTTCAGCGTTCATGCAGACGGACAGACGGACATGGCTAGATCGACTCGGATAGTGGTCCTGATCAAAAATATATATTCATATACATACTTATTCTTCTCCCTGTTATTTACTTTTCGAAAATTACAATATACCCTTTTACTCTACGTGTAAAGGGTATAAAAATAATCTAAGATAGTCACACACTTTATAGTAGTTATTTAGCTGAGCCCTTGTACTCATGACTTAATCTCTAGGTTCTGTGTGGCTTTATCTTTTGTTGGGACCACGACCACCACCTTGATTGTGCTCCAGTATGAACTTGAAATTATGTTTCCGAAACATGCTTCGAAAAGCTTCCATACCATAATCACCATAAAATCTATATTAGATTGATATTGAAATTTCGATTTTAATTACTTTAAGCTTTAAAATAGTTCAACAGTTATGAATTTTATATACTAAATAAATCATTGGTTATAAAAAATTAAATAAAATGTGGCGATTTGGGCGGAATATTTCATTATTTTAGATGTTTCTGTATATTACAACTTAACTAAGCTAATTCGACTTTTAGGAAAGACAAACAACAGTAAAAAACAGATAGCCCTTTTTTAACTAACCAAATAAAAAAAGAAAAAATGTTGGTTTATAATTGTTTTTTACAATTTTTTTTAGCCATCTGACTTTGAGTACCCCGATAAGTTTGACAAGAGCGATTCGGACACCTCAACGGACATTGATGCCATTGTGGACGAGTATCGTGAGAAGATCAAGGTGAGATCCAAGCATAGCTCCTTTATGATCTATTCTAAATGATTTTTCAAAAATCCCAGGTAACCACAGCGGGTCCTTTGGAGCGCAGTGTGCGAGTGCCAACAGTGAGCTCCTGGCGCGTGACCATGTTCGCCATTGTGGTGATTGGATTGGGCATAGCCCTCTGCATTGCCGGTCTGATGATGCACTGGGCACCGGCTGCCTTGACCGGTGGAATCGGGGTACTGATCGTGACTATAATGATGGGATTTATACCCAAATATACGGGCAGTGTGATCAACGTGAGTCCCGTGATCTGTGGAATGTCGCTGCTGATGGGCGTGATCCTGTTCAGTGGATGTGCCGTACATTCCTGGCCGGGATTGCTCATCTGGTTGTTGGCCGGACTCATTCTGGTGGTCAGATGCGATAAATACTGCTGCAATTGCTTCGAGCACACGACCATGCTGAATGCCCAGTTGATACCCAGTGTCTCGGGGAAAACCAACGCGGGATCTGCATCGGGATCGGTTTCGAACCTGGCCGGTCCGTCCACCAGCATCCGGATACCCAGACCGCCCAAGGGAGTGGGCGTGGTCGGCCTGCCGCAGCGCATCAATGGCCACAGATGACAGTCGGAGTCCTCGGAGGAGGAGGGCGAGGACCTGTTCCACGAGGACTTCAATGTGCGCGACTTCGACGAGGAGGACGACGAGGATTGCTGGACTGATTAGCTTGCCGCCTTTGAACTCTATTTAGGAAACTATTTACTTGCTATGCAGATCTCCGGGATGATCTAGCTTCGAGCCACGTATGCCTGAAATTTTCTAGCTAGCTAAATTGATTGTCGAAATTTACCCATGTATTTATGTAACTATAGCTAGGCGATTCTCTCTACAACTAGGTTCCGAATAAAATGCAATTTTTCGAAAAGAAATTTCAAGGAATGTTTATATTAATAAAGTTCAACGAACGATTTGATAAAAGTTTATCAAAGAGCTGAAATCCACAATTATCTACAGATAACAGAAAAGCTTTCTAAGCATACAATTTCTCATTCTCCATGAGATAATCCACCAGTTCTCTGATGGGCGACAAGATAGTCTCCTCATAACCAGGTTGAATCTCCATTACCCTTAGTAACAGTTCACTCCGATCGACGTTGAGATAATAGTCAAACTTTTCAGGTTCTTCGGATCGCAATCTATTTGAAATGCTGGGGGACATTTTGGTCTGAGGCTCGGTGAGAGCCCAAATAAGTAGGGCTGCTAATCGAGTTCGTTGGCACTCTTTCAAAAAGATATCTCTGGTTATAAGGTTCTTGTCTAATCCCATTCGTTCGAGGTGAGATTCAAGGCATTTATAATAGTGCTCGAGGCATTCATCATATATCTCTCTTCTAACTTCAGCGGATGCTACAATGTAAAGTAGAAATAAAACGTCTAAGGTGGGAGAACAGTACTTGGCGATTTGAAAGTCTACAATGCAACAGGCATTGGGTAAAACTGAAGATTTGTCCTCAAAATGGTAAAGGATATTGCGATCCCAGGCATCACGATGACAGAGCACATTCCTTATGGTCTTTGAAGGTTCTACCAATTCTTCAGCTTTGGTTAGAAGGTTGTACAGTCTATCTTGAATAAACTTTTGAGCTTTGCTTGTTTGATATTGCGAATGACGGGATGCTAAGAAAACAATGGCCTACGGAATTAAAAAAAAGGATATTATCAAAATGAGATTTTGCTTATAGCCAAATCTAAACTTATAGTACTAACCTTGAGACCAGTAGTGTACCAAGAATTACTAGCATCTAAATGCAATTCAGTGAGTACATCCTTGTAGTTTTCGTAAATATTTAGATTTTCATTTTCCTCCCATGCAATACTTGCAGCATGTAATTCGGATAAATGTTCCAGAACCAGTTTATAATGATCCAAGGTATAGCTTTCATTGGCATTAAGGTGCCTGTAGTTCTGGGTAAGATCTTCTAAAACTAGAATGTCATTCCGACTGTAGTAACATTCGGGAAAGAGCTTCTTAGTGGCTGAAAAAATAGTATACTTAATTAAATTTTAGATAAATCTAAAAAGTTTCTTACCATATTTTTGAATTTTTGGTAATATGTGCCTGTAGACGGCAGATTCCTTATGAAAAACTCCCTTGCGTTCGCATTCTTCCCTCTGTGGCTCATTTTTGCGCGGCAAACTTTTGATAAAATATTTTAGGAAATATTTCTTCTTTTCCCCTATATCCTCTACCTCCAGTTGCAACTTATAGTACTCGCCCATGTATCCCATAAGATCATTGGAACCTGCATCCAGCTGGGAACTTAGTACTATGAGATTGGACTTTTCAAGCTGTGACAGAGTTCTTTGGGCGATGAGTATATATTCCTCTGAGCTAAGTAGGTCCATGGTTGAAGAATTAACAGATACTACCCGCTCCGCTGCTAGAATCTAATTAAAATTTCTCAAGAACCTAAACCTCAAAGATATCTTTTATAAGATTTTGTGAGACAAGATATGAAAATAATCTTAAAAGAGAATAAATTAGATAGAATAAATTACTTCTACAAATCTCTTCTTAAAGTGAAGATACCTCAAAATCTAACAAACTAATACCACCAAATTTATGCGATAAGATAACCTCGTGAGAGGAGAATAGAAATGGGTAAACAGAGAGCTCAGCCAAAACTGATAGGATCCCGAGTGTTACTAGGGGCACAGCAAAAGATAGTGAGTAATACAATGTCGTTTAATCAGTTTTGTTTATGATATGTCAGGGCCAGCAAATCCCCCACACATTCGTACATATAATGAGCAAACTCCGAATGTTCTTTCATCAAACGGAGAACATCTTCCGTGCGGTCCACATTACAAAATCGATGGAAGTCCTCCGGGCGTTCATCCTTTAGGTTTTTCAGGTAATTATCAGGTAATCGAAGTATAGTGGCTGCTATGCAATTGTACGTCACTCCAAATAAAGCAAAGTCCTTGAGAGATTGCTCAAATTCCTGTCGACTTAATTGTTCCTGATTAGGATCAATGCCCATATCTCGAAGTTCCTCAGTCAATGCGGTATAATACGTTTGGGTCAGACTCTCAATCATCTGTTTTCGATTTGAAGGCTCTAGATTTAGATAGCTGACCAGGTGAAAGTCCATGGCAGGTGGGGCATATCGACACAGTTGAAAGTCCACGAGAACAGATCTTTTCTCCTGCGGCTGCTCCCGATGATAGAAGACATTCGCACCCCAGGCGTCTCGGTGAACGAAGACGTTCCTATGAACTGGCGACGGATTAACCATATAGTACACCTTGTCCAGAAATCTTGGCAGCTGGGTGGCTATAAACTCTTGGGCGTTGGCATTATCCAAGACATCCGGATGGGTGGCAGCCACAGCTAGGACAGCCTAAAAACCATTAGATGTGCTGGATAAATCTCCAAAAAAATCTTACTTACTCGTAAACCCGTAGTATACCATTCAATATCCGGATCCACAGACACTTCTTTGAGCCACTCTCTCAACTCCACTCCAATGGTTTTCCCCTCTTGCTTTTCGTAGGCAATACTACTGGCATGCAAAGTGGCCAAGGATTTCAAAATGGGGCCCATCTGATTCTCACTTAGGAAGCGAGTTTCCGAAGGTAGAGCCACATAGCCCATATCCTCCACATTTTGCATTACAAACAGATCTTTTCGGGTGAAGTAGCACTTGGCACACCAAACATGAGGTGCTGTTATATAGTAAATATACTTATTTAAAGCCGAAAAATAAAAAATTAAACTTACAAAATTTCTTAAGTTTGTTCAGCAATTCATACAGCTTTATTTCCTTCTTGACTAAGCCAATTTTCTCCATATAGAATTTCATATCAGCATTTTGGAAGATCACTGACTTGACAAACAATCGAGAAGTTTGCACATCTTTCTGATCTTTTAACTGATACCGGAGTTGCAAGTGATAGTATTCACCCAGAAAACCAACATGTTCTGTGGCTGGCACTATATCAAAATTTACTAAAAACCCCTGCTCATTCTTATCGGCCAATAAATTTGATAAAATCTCTTTACACTCTTCTGTAGTAAACAATTCCGTGCGATTTTTTCGTGATAGAATTGGGTTGTATTGGTCTTTACTCATTTTGTATGATTGAACTCTTCGCCCGCTTACTTGCAACTGCTTTCATTTTCAGGTGGCTTTGAGACTTATACTTCGAGGACTTACTCTATAATATTGGGGTATGGGTGATTTTAAAAAAGTAACCATTAAGACGCTAATCAAAAAAATTTAATAAATATATATAAAATAAATTTTATATTACCCAACTCTTTACAACCTATTAAATATTTCTATAAGGCTATCCTTAATATTTTAACACAGTTATAGTTCTTAAATTTTAAATACCCTTTTATAAAAGTAGAGTATTTAGGTTTCGTTCTGAAGATTTTATTGTTTTGTTTTATTTTATTTACAATCACTTCTTATCGCTCTAACGACCCGCTAGGGGAACTCTTCCTTATCTTGCAAACCTAGATTTCCTCACATGTTTGCCCTGGCCAAGGCCATTTCCATGACATCCACACAACACTCCTCCATGTAGGACCCGAACTCTTGGTTCGCTTTCATATAAGATAGGATCACTTTGCTGCGATCCACATACTTGAAATCGTTCGTAACAAATTCCGTGGGAACCTTGACCACCGTGGCGGCCACAGCTCTGTAGACCACTCCAAATAAACGGAACTCTTCGTAGGATTCGGTCAGCTCTGATTTCGAAATCGCTAGATCCTCAAGGTCAAAGTCTGTGAGATTTTGCACCAAATATTTTTGGTACAAATCAATGCATTTATTTTCAATCAGCTTTCGTTTTCCTGAACTTAAATTCATGTAAAGACAAAAATTGAGGTCCGATGCTGGGGGAGTGTAGCGGCAGGTCTGAAAATCAATTAGCAAAGCTGGTCCAGTGCTTTCCGGAGGAAAGAAAATATTACCCGCCCAAAGATCACGATGGCAAAGGACGTTCCTGTACTTTTTTGAGGGAGCTGCCTGCTCATAGATTTTCTCCATTATGTTTAAAAGTTGGTTATCTATAAAAGATAATTCCCTATTACCCTGATATTGGGGAAGACTTCGAACAGCAGCCAGGACAGCCGAGAGTCCTGTGGTGAACCAGGCTATTTCCGAGGCTACAGTGATTTCCAGCAAATGATCACCATATGCCTGTCCTATATTGGTTTTAGTTTGATGTTCGTAGACCAAACTTGCTGCATGGAATGCTGCAACCGATTTAATCAGTTGCTGCATCAGAACCTCATTGAATCCTGCGGACCCGGCTGCTCTGAAGCCCTTCAGTTTAATGTCCTCCAGAACCATTAAATTATTTCGGGTGTAAATGCAATCAGCACTCCATTTTATGTTGGCTATAAAAAGGTTTTAATTATTTTAATCAATAAAATACAATAAAATACTCACAAAATGTTTGCATTTGTTTTAGGAGAGTATCGTAGAGCCAGGACTCTTTTTGGAAAATGTCCTCTTTAGCTAACTCGGCACTTTGCTGGGGCATAGCTTTTACAAAGAGTTGAATTTCCCTTACGAGTTGAATTTCATCCTCCTAAAAGTAGGGTACAAAATAATCATTTCCAGATGTAAGTATGTCATGTAAAATTATTTTTTACGTCAAGGGAGAAACATCCACCTTATCTATTTAAAAACGAACTTAACTTTTATTTAAAATTTGAGTTTATAGATAGTTAAATAGAAAACAAATTTTCCTATGAGTTTAAAGATCCGCCACTTTGTTTTTTTTGTCCAGAATTAAAAATCCGAGTTCCTGCAAATGATACCTTTTCAAATTTCGTTGTGAGCAGATATCAACATCAAAATGAATATGCAAACAAAATGTTCAAGTCCTTAAAACCTTTCATTTTCTAGCGAAAATCTGAACATCGTAAACTGACAACGGTTATCTGTTGATCTTACCAATTAATCAAGTCAAAAGTAATTGATTAATAGCTGTCAAATAAATATGTACTTTGTATGTGGTACTGTAACATTCATGCAACCAATAATAAATTGATAAGAAATCTAAAAGTTTTCAAATATAGGTAGTCGCTTTTTTGCTTATCTATTAATCAAGAACTTCACTTAAATCATGTAATATTGACACAACTATTTCTTAAGGCATTTCATATTTAATTTAAATTATAAATAAAATAAAAAATTATGTAATAAAGAATCTGTTAGGTTCGGAAAGAAATTCATTGTTAAAGACTTATTTTTAAATCCAACAATTTCTTTTATACCTTAGCCTTACATTAACAAGAAATAATAAAAATATCTTAAATGTACATATAGTCCACTAAATCCACTAGATAAACTAATCTTGCGCTATCGTTTATTCCATTTTTTATCATTTTATAGAAGCCAACATTGTAGCTTACATTAGATAGTACTAATTTTGTCTAGATCGTACTTACATAGCAATACCTCAGAGTCAGTGCATAGTAGTCCCCTAGATAGCCGATAGCACTCAGATCTCTAACCAAATGATAGTCTAATAATTTGGTTTTTCCTGCACTGTCCAGCGCATTTTCCAATATTTTCTCGCACTCCCTACGAGAAAGCATTTTGATGCTTATACGTAAGGTATTCGTATTACGTATACGCTCGATCTTACTCTCCCTCTCTATTTTCTAGAATGCAAATTGGGATGAGACAACTTTTCCGACACTTTCCACTCAGCCAACTATAGCAACAGTTGGCGGTGCACAACTGAGCAAAAATAGAATTTCGCTGAGTTTTTATTTTCTCCCGAGTACATATTTTGAATGAACAGCTGTAGCTGTTAGCCTATAACTGTAATAGTATAACTATTCTTATCGCTCAGATAAATTTAAAAAAGTTGTACTACTTTATTATTATATGGGATGAACAGATTTAGATTAGGGCGTGACATTTTATCACTGATAAAGTGTCTAGTAATGTTGAGATGTAATGTAAAAAATAGGAAATTTAAAAAACAAATAAAGTTAATATACTTCTGTGATGAACGATTTATTTAAAACGTATTAGATTAGTGCACAATAAATAAAGCAATGTTAATAACTTATTCAATGAAATCTCTTGGGCAAAATCAAGCGTTTCAGGCGACGTTTTTCATTTATATATGTGGTATAAGGACGAATGGTGATGTAGTAAAATATCTCCACAAAACTGAGGAGACTGGCGCCCACAAATAGACCAGTGGTGCCACCAATGGATACTATAAAAAAATAAATATATAATTCAAATTTCAATATTATTAGCAACTTAACTCACCAACCAAATCCAGTTTGCCACGAACCAAATTCCTTTTATAACGCTCTGTGGGTAACTCGATGAGGCCAACTTCGATTCTAGAGACGGGATTCTGACTTCCCGCCAGATTTTCCTTGCTATCGAAGACCGTGGTGATATCCACCTCCGTGCAAGAGGGCAGACAATCGCAGACCAAACCCTTTCGACCGCGTCGCTTTGACCATTTCGCAATGATCACCGAGAGGTCCTCGTAATTGCGATTCAGGCACTCGAGGCCATCCATGTTGCAGAGCTGCCAGTCTGGGGAGTTTGGGGACAGGTGACTGGAGCAGTTGCACAGCTCCATCTGTCGATCCTTGCGACACTGGACTGTGCAGGCACTATAGCTGTAGAACTTGTGCACATCCAGGATATTCTCATCTGCGAAGCGACAGTTTCTCTGATGGACACTGGTCTGTCGGATTTCCTCGTCGTTTTCAATGTCGCGTTTTGAGATGTATCGTCTAAGATATTACAATTAGCTTAAGTAAATTTAAAATCCACATAATTTATCATTTTCTTACACAAAGGATATATAGGGTCCCACTACAAGAAAATCCGTTTTGGGTGTGACTAATGTGGGAACCTCCTCAGTGCCAAGTATAAACACCTTTTAAAAATGGAAATGCTTATATTTATAAAACCCATTAGATTAAAAGAGCTTTTCAAAAAATAATGCACACTTTTAGGTCGCAAAATTAATTAAGTAATCTTCTTTCTCTGCTTTATAAAACTCACCGTAGCCTCTATATGCAATTCCATTTTCAGGGCGCCTGGTCCACTATCACGATTAGAGTACATATTTAGCCCGGGAATTTTGGTTTTCCTAAAAAATAAATACAGTTACAACGGCTCCCCACAAAAATAAATATAAGTATTTCAAGACCCACCCAGCTTGCAGAGAATTAATGGCGTAGCAAATTCCCAGCTCAGTTTCCATGCGATGAAAGTACTTGCAGCACTCAAATGGTTTATTATTCCACTCGCAATTACTTATTGAGTCCACACAACTGGTTCTAACTAGTTCAGCGTAATAGGAAAAATTTGAGTAGAAACATGAGGCAGTCACCTCCTCGCCGCTGCATTCATGGACCGTATGATAGGACTCGCCGCGAAAGAAGGCAATCTCGCTAAGGACCTCCTCCAAAGTGAAGTCATGATCAGCACCCCAAAGTCTAAAATAAATTTTAAGCTGCTAATAATGTCGACCAAATCAATATGACATCTTTTCCTACTGTTCCGCCACCTCCTGTATTCGATCCATATTTTTGGATTCACAGACTATAATGGCCGGGAAGTTGGTATTCCAATCGCGAAACGAACTCTCCACCACAAAACTAATGGCATTGTTCTCAAAGGCACCTGAAAGGTTCTCGGTTGGGTAAAATATCTTAACATTGCAATGCAATTATTATAAGTAACTCACTCAACGAGGCTTTAATTAGCAACCAGGATGCATACCAAGAGGCAACCAGGCAGATAACCCAAAAGATTCGCTCTATCCAATTGGCATCCTTGTCCACTATAAACCGGGCTCCGTGCAAAGTGGAGTTCTTCAGATACTCCTCTATAATTCGCCAAAATCTCATGCCGATTGTGGTCACTTTGAGGTCCAGTTGGTGACTAATTTATAGGTGCCACTGTAGCCGAAACTATAACCCTCATTAGTGACCATATTTGGTTATCCATCTCGCTTGATTCCGTCAGTTGTTGATTTTCCCAGACTTCTAACACGCAAGTGTCCCGGAATTAAATCAACATTTGCGTATGGATTACTTTTGGGTGAAATTAACTCCGTTTACCTCACACAAATAAAGGCTCAAGTCACAGATTGTTTGAATAGCTCAGCACATCAGCTTTATAAGTTATATCTCCCATAAATCCCGAGTTGCCGAGTGGGAAGTGCGAGAGGCTTGCGTAAAATGAATTATCTCATTAGTTTAAATAACTTTATTATACTAGATATACTAGGAGTTCTAGTTTAACGCTAATGATGAAGGAAATCAAGAGGGGAATATTTATTTATTTATTCATTTATTGTATCCTAGCGTTAGAAGTTTTAAAAACTTATTAATTTATACGAATATATTATTTATTAGAATAATTCTTTTTATTTCTAAACATCCCTTTAGGAAAATAGTTTTTGGTGTAGATCTAAACCAATTTACATATTATGTATGGAGATATAGATTATTCGGTAAGTAAGTATTATTATTTTAAGAAAAATGTTAAAAGTTTACTCCAAATTGCGTTTTTTCCACAATCTGATTAAACATTTCACGAATCTCAGTTCGCTTTCATCAGACAAGTACCTGATTTGACACACCCCCAAAAGCTGACCCCTAATTTCTTGATCCACAGTCTAGGCCAAAAGCAAATAATACCACCTGGATTTCAGCTAACGCTTTTTCCCCCGTTGAGTTGCACACTCTTCCATATCTTCTTACTTTATCTCGGGATAATTTACAGCAGTCTGGAGACAAAACCGCACATTGGGGATATAAAAGGTTAACGGCACCCGGAGAACACCAAACAGTTGATTTCGAGATGGCAACCGCACTAGAACTGAGTCCCACTGAGATTCGCGGCCTGTGCCAGCGTTACTTGCATCAGGATGTTAGTCCTAGATCGGAAACGGGATTTGATATAGTCAGTTATAAGCTGAGACCCACCTCGGACGCCCCAGCTGGATACTTGGGTAGTCACCTTTACCTGCAGGTCACTTTGGAACTGCACAATCCCAAGGAAATCAAGCAGCTGACATTCTTTTCAAAGTCGGCTCCCGAGGGTAATGCCTCGCGAATGGAATATCTGGAGGATTTCGGAGTGTTCCAGAAGGAAATCGCTGTCTACCAGAATGTACTACCCGATCTTCACAAGGCCTGTGCCGAAGTGGCGCCAAAGTGCTATTATGCGGATAAGAACTTGCTGGTCTTCGAGAACCTCGCAGACCAAGGTTATCGAATGGGTGCTGGGCGCGATGGCCTGCTGTCCTACGAACAGCTCCATTGTTGCCTGAAAACCTTGGCCGCCTTGCATGCTGGTTCCATTATTCATGAGCAAAAAACGGGCAAAAAACTAACCGAATCGCAACCCAAATCGGTGGTGGAGAATGCCTATCCCAGTGATGTGGCACCGGAACATCTGCGGGTCGTAAACTTCCTGAATGCCTGCCAGGTGCTCAAGGAGTTCATCAAACTGATACCCAAATATCAGACGAAGTTGGACTATATCTTGGAGAATTTCACCAAAAGGATGTCATTTATTTTCGAGGCTGTCAAGACCTCAGAAGTGTATGCAAATACCCTACTTCATGGCGACTTATGGGCCAATAATATCATGTTCCAGTACGGCAAGTATGGGGAGACTCCACTGCAATGTCGCCTTGTGGACTTCCAATTGGCCAGATATGCCCCGCCTGCACTCGATGTGTTAACCGTGCTCACCATACCCACCTCAAAGGCCTTCAGGGATGCCCATTTGAGTGAACTTCTATCGGAATATTACCGCTTTATGACCGAGTTCCTTAAGCGCGCTGACTTGGATATAGCTCGATTTATACCAGAACAGAGTTTTTATCAGTCCGTGGAGCAGTTCCGCAGCATTGGCCTAATTGAGAGCTGTTTGTTTTGCCATTTGGTCGTGCTTCCACCGTCCTGCACCCAGAAATTGACCAGTTCCGCCGATGGCTTTAGCGACTTCTTCAGTAACAAACGCATTGAGATTTGCCTGGAGGCCTTTAACACAGATGAGTTGTACAGGAATCGCTTGGTGGACATGATCGAAGACTTTGTGGATAATTTTGTGTTAGAAAAGTAGGAAGAACCTCTAAAATTTTAATTAATGTTTTCAACCGTTATAAAGGAAAAAACCTCCTTTATTGTACATAATAATTGTTTAAGAAAATAAATCTACTAAACTGAATTAATGTTATGAGCTTATCAATTAAATTAAAACTTAAACTTGTTTAGAACCACTAGCCCTTTCTACATAATTTTAATTTTGGAAAATTATTAATAGAAAGTGAAATATTTTTATGTGCATATTTGGTAGCAATTGAGTAAATCATTTCCAAAAATTTAATTATAGGCCTAAAAAATATAGAAGCGAATCCCTCAACCCCAGCTTTACTCAGCTTTTGTCGCATGCTTCGTTGAGTTTTCGTTTTCATTTTCGTTTAGCTTCTCTTTTTCAGTTTTGAAAACTTTCAAGTTGTGTCCAAAACCTGCCCACCAATCTCCGGCATCGGCCAGTCTCTGACTGTTGGTTAACTTAAAAGTAAATTCAGTTGCCAATTGGCCGCGTTCAAATCAACAACTGTTTGCGGCGTCTCGAAAATATAAACGATCCTTTCCATCCATAATAAATAAAAACCATTTCTGAAATTATTTTAATCGAGCTTCTTAGCATTCATAGAAAATGTGAGTTTAATTCATTGAGTGTTAAAGTGCAGATCGATCACAAAGCTAATTAAGCAAACAATTTTGTGGTGGCTAATTTTATAAAAACAGAGCGTAACAATTTACCGGAATTAAAATAAATTAGGAAGTGCCTTTATTGTATTTATATGATAATATTTTAAATTAATTTTTAATAACATATAAGATTTTCAAGTTAAATGTATAAAACTTTTCTAAAAGCTAAAGTTAAAAAAAAATAGATGGACTATTTTGCAATCTTTTTAGTTAGATCTCCAGACCGAAAATTGCATAATCTTTAAGCATGAACAAAGCAATGATCCCACATCATAATTTAAAAATTCGATGTGGTTGCCACCCAAAGCGCCAAGAAAAACTGTGACAAAAAGTATTCCTACCACAACAAACATTAAACAAAAAACCATAAACAACTTGACCTATCACAAGAGCAACCGCAACTACAACAACAGACCAAAGTCGGCAACATTGACTGACAAGCATAAAATCTTGAAAAAAATCCAACGACGGGGATACTCAACACATAATTTAGTTTAACGGTCACGTTTTTTTAACAAATGCACATAAATGTCCAAGAAAAAAGGCGTTCCTAAAAACCAAGCTAAATTCATGAAAAGCAGCCACAATAAACCTTAAAAAATAATAACAATAATGCAATAGCCCAAAAAAAACTGTTACGATTGTCATGCTGTGCATTATTTTCAATTAACCCGCGTGAAGACCCAAAACAAATGCCAAATGCTTTGCCCACTTACGCCATTTGGCTAATAAATATGAACCACAATGACCGCATATCAATATTGACCACAAATGTTGAAAAGAGGCGTGGCAGTTGGGGCGGTGGGTGTGTCGGGGGCGGACAGGGGAGTTTACCTTATAGTGGTACGTGATCCAAAAAGCTGACACACTTTTTCAGTAGCGATTATGAAATTTGTAATTGGGCATTATTGAATACTAATATATTTGTAACTCTCAGTGAACATTTACTTATAATTTTGAAGTTATACAAAATCAAAGAATTAATTGCTGTGAAGAAAATAAACTTTCAACATAATCATATTAACAGAAAATCTAAAATATTAGGAGAATGATTTTAATTATTTTAATTATTGAACGTCTTAAATGATTTTAAATAATTAAGACTACCTAAATTAAGTCGCCTCTGAAATAATAACAAAAACTATTTTAATTGCCTTATTGCAAAAGGCTCTTTAAAATACAACAAGGAAAAACATGTAATACAAGAGTTTTAATTAAAAACTTCATGGGGAAATGGAATGTGCATAAAACAAGGGAAACACCATCCTCGAAGACGGCAACCTTGAAACGGTTTAAAAAGTTCACACTTTCGAAAATTAACGATCACTTGCTTCACTTGCCGGCTCAACTTGTAATGAGCGTTAAGTGCGAGCAGGGCTTTTATCATCTCTGTTATTTTTCGGGCTCCGGTTTCGTATCAAGGTTCCTGTGACCTTTCACCCAATAACGGTAGCTAATCGACCTAATTCTCAGACCCAGTTTTTTGAACCCACTCAATCGAGGGAAATACGAAAAAATTGTAACAGATGCGCTGGGCATATTTCCTCATTGTATGCAAAATAGTATAAACAAATTTGTGGACGCTGTAGCATAACAATAATACACAATACGTCAATCTTTGTCAATTAACCACATGACCCAAATTGGGAATGCTGGAATGGAATGGAATGAAGCGTCGTACATGCTATATCTTTGTGCACATATATGGCTGTGAAAAGCGAAAACTGCAGCGACGCGACGTTGACGCCAATTGGATTCCATTGACCTAATCAGACCCAACAACAAGTCTCGTAGTTGCAGATCGTAAGTAAGTAGCCAGTATGTCGTCCCAGCAACAATTGCCTGGCCTGGTATACAAAATAAGCACGAAAACCTGAAAATGCCAACACATTTTTGACTGGGAAGGCTGCGGTCTTTTCGCATGCGCAAAACGCCAGAATTGCATAAGATGGCCGGTAAAACGGCTTGGATAGCAACCGAAGGCGAAATGCAGCCAACAAGCAGCCATGGGGCATCATTTGGGCGTGATCAGGGGGGGACTGAAGAGGGCTATCCCCAAGTGGGTGGGTCAGTGAACTGAAATCGGATTTCAAAGTCGGATTCGAAACATCAAATCGAAATGCAAAAATTCTTATAAAAATATTTGAAGTAATAATATTAAGTAAAGCCAAGATCCATCCAAATGCATTCCTATAATTTAAAATCAATGATAATTGTAATTTTTGAATTTTAAGACTAATGTGCAGGTATATTTGTGCATCTACAAATACAAAGCATTAAATTAATACCTATATTTATATAGTAGTCAATTCTTAAGATTAAGACATTCCATATTTATAACAAATAGGCCAGAAAACAATGCATCTTAAGTAGCACTATTAAGGGTAGCAGACGTATAAATGGGTGTATTTTAGTTAGTTAGTATCCAGACATTGAAGTTGCATCATAAAAATTTTCCCCCTCTTCGACTGAATAAAAATCTCATTATCAAGCCCGGCTTCAGCGATCTTTTCGCCTTATAAAATGCCATGAACCATCGGCTAGCCATGAGTTGGCAGGTTGACCGAAGGGCGGCAAGGCAGTTTTTTTGGCCAACCAGACACTGCGAAAGCGCAAGTGCCGCAAGTGGCAATATCAAGTCCAAAACTTACATCACCGGCCAGAAACAAGCGGCAAGCGGTCGTCACTGCCGGTTATCCAATTAAAAGCAAAGATCAGGGATCTTTTTGCAGCCAAAGTGGGCCGCTCAAGCCAACTAGCAGACGCATGACGCTGGAAAATGCATATATCTGCAGCAGAGTTTTTCTCCTCGCAGCACGCGACATCTAGGAAATGGCAGTCACATGACAACCGAGTTTTGCCACGGCAGACAAACAGAAACTCCCAGTGAAAACAGTCAGTGTTGTCTGAAAAATGTCTTAAAAATCTATGAAATCAAGGATTGGCAGTTAAAACTTAATAATAGCTTTAACAAAAACACTAAAATTATTTTTAAAGGATTTTTTTTAGTATAAACTAGGTTAGATTTCTAGGATCAGCTTAATTTTGGAATTCTAAACTCATTAAACGGAAATATTTGTTTGGAAAAGTTTAGGTATATTATCCATCACACTGACTTTGTTTTATGGAAGTTTTCCTGTGATACATATAAAGCCGAATGGCCAGCACTTGTGGTAGCCCAGTCAGCTGACTTGGCCAACAAGTTGTCCCGGGCTCCCGAGAGTGAAAAGCGGTCATTTAGGCGTGGACTGGATGCAGAGATGGGGGATGTGGAGCTGGGGATAGGTGATGCGTGTGTGTGCGTGACAGGCGGAAACTTGTAATATTATATGCACGCCACAATTATGTAATGATCATCATGATAAGGTATTATAAGCCGAGCAAGTGGAATCTGTCAGTCAGCCGAATTCAACGAGGCGTGATCTTCTTCTCCTCTGTCATTCAAGGTGCCTCCTGCCCGGTCGTTTCATCTGGTCGGCGTTCATTGTGGCGATGGTGGGTCTCTCCATAACGGTCGAGGCCAGGCCCCAGAGGAATCTGCAGCACATTGCGGTGGTCGAGAACGCCGCCTGGGAAAAGACCCTTCCTCAGCAGTTCCAGAATCCCTTTTACAACACACCGAGGGTGAGGGACGCCCTGGCCAGATCCAGTTGGTTCGGACCCGGCGAGGAGGTGGTGAGTACCGATTTAATAACTTAAAGCTATTTAGAAATATATTTGTTAACGTAAACTATTTGTCTGATTTCCCTTTAGGTATATGACCGCCAGGCTGAGAAAATTCCACGCATGGAAATCTACAATGTGCTGTCCCATGCTGGTTTAATACCACGTCGTCGTTTCCTTTAAATTAATAAATATTTCATTCTCATTTATCTACTGTAAAATTATGAAAATAAAAATCAAAGTCATTAGTTTAGGAACAAAAAGAGTACTCTGATTTTATAAACTGATTGTGCTGGTAAGTGATAAAAAGTAGGAAAAATATTTGTCTATGTTTAATAAAAATATAACATTTAAATGAGATTTAATTGTTATTTTTTCACAAAGAATCCATCGCCAGATATACATAAAAAACGACTTTATTGCATTATGACTTGTATTATCTTTTCGTCTTATACAAAAATAGAAGAATTTATAATTTTTTAGAACAACTAATAGATTTGTTTACATTCATAACCTTAGTTTGGTCCTCTGCGCGGTAATGGTCTTTAATCGATGATCCAATGCCTGCTGGTCAGTTTCTGCTCCGGTTGGCAGATCCTCCAGCTGTTTGTTCTGCTCCAGCAGCGTTTTCCGGGTGTCCAATGTGCTTCTCGTCACCTCATCCAACTCCTCATCCTCCTGCTCCTCATCACTGTGCCCGTGCAATCCATTTCCATTGACCGTTCCTCCGTTGGTCACCACGGCATCTCGTCCAGCGGTCGACGAGTGCCTCGAGGCTGTGTCCGCCGGAATCAGCAGCGATTTGACGAATTCGCCACAAATCAGGCTCATGGCAGGCATCGTGTGGGCGGAAAGATTGACAAACTGTAATACATAAACGAAACAATAATTGACATTGACCTTGCTGAAGTTCAAAAACTATGTTAGTAGTGCCTGTGCTGGCGAATTTTTGGGAGCAGAAATAGCTAAATATGTTAGTAAATATGTTTTAACTAAAAACAAAGAAATAAATCCTCTAAATCATTAAAAACCAAATTTTTCTAATACTTAAATTAGTACATTTTATAGTTAATATGGCTACTTTCATAGTTTTATTAAATGACTATATCCAAAAACACCTGTCCATATCTTAAAAAATAGCTAAAAACACAACACCAGAGGCGTCTGTACTGTAATACTATTTGTATTTTTTTGGGTGTCGAGATTGCGGTTCAAGTTCAGCACTGGACAATGATAATCACATGATTACTTTTCGGTTTTCTTTTTGTCATTGCTGAGCGTCTTTAAATGCGCAGAGTGCTCTGTGTCTCTATTAACCTTCGCGCATGCGCTTGCTGTCTGTGAATATTGTTGATCCATTTTATGCAAACCACACGGAATCGGCAAAAGCAATCCAAGTGCAAACATGTCTGTCAATTCGTTGAGTGGCAAGTTGCAAAATATTATTGTTTTTCCCAGGAAAGAAGACACTCACTGATGAGTCAAAGTGATTCAGTGACGATAAGCTTGAATTCCGAATTGAGTTAATTTGAGCAACCGACTAAAACTAGTATAAATCCCCGAACAATACGGTAATTGGCAAAAGTAATTAAGGCAAGAACAATATTGCAAGTAGCAACAGCGCCGGGAAAATTTACAACATCGAACAAAGCGATCTTAATTATTGGCCCAACATAATCGAGTATTATTGGGGAAAACTAAAGTGTCACAAGCACGCAATGGAAAGTGCTCGAAACACGCATAAACAATAAATGGAGGGGACAATGGGTTGGCGGAGAGGGAAGGAATGAGTTCAATTCATGGTACAGTGGTACAGAACGTGATAGAGGAAAAATTTTTAAGAGAATAAAAACCAACCATAAGAACTTTTTGTATTACTACGTTGTTAATATATTTTAAACAAGTCTTGTAAGTCTTCTAAATATTTTTAACTTTTTCGTAAAAGAATCAATAAGAGTTATTTGAACTGAAACCTTTTTTAATTCTCATTCAAAATTCTTATATTTTAATTGCAACTTTGTAAATATTTAAGTATGTAAAACTTTTTTTTTGAATTATTTTGAACTGGAACAACATAAAGAAGTAATTACAACTTTTAAACTCTCTACTGCCAGTAAATAAAGTTCGACGTCGACTTCAAGTATTTTCAGTCAGATAAGCTATTTTGTATTTTTGATGCAGTTTTTAGCCCCCAATCCCACTGTGCAGCGGTGGGCGGCGGTGCGCTTGCACTAGCTCCCCATTGCCTATTCACAATGGACGCTGGTAAGTGCACAAGTCACCAGAGCAAAGAGCACAAAAGAGCGAGCGCTACCCACAATAATAACAGAACTAAGAATTGCGGAGAGCGGACGAAGCCGAAGCTCGTGCCGAAGCCGAAGTGGAAATCCGGAGCCGAAGTTCGGAGCTGCGAGTATAAATTGGCGAGAGCCGCGGCGACAGCTCAACACTTTACCGTTGTGTTCCGCAGCAACAACCGTTAGCCGGAAAGAAGAGAGCCGGAAGCGCGTGCCGCTAAAGTTTACGGAAATAAAGGCGGACAAAAGTTCATCCTCGCCTGCAACTGACAAAGTGCCAAAATCCAGATTAAACGATTTACGAGCCAATAAAAAAACAAACAGAAATACGGACGGTGCAGTGTGCAGTTCAGAGGCGTGTTAGAACTCCTTCTTCACCCGCATCCAGTGAACGGAAAATCGGAAAATGTGGCCCAACTTTGTAGCCGTCATTCCACTGCTGTGCCTTGCATTCTTCGCTTGGGCAAAAGCTGGACCTGTGCCAATTGTGAATGAGGTGAGTGGATGACAGGGGGCATTGGGGCGTGCGAGAAGGAGTACAGCAGGGGGCACGAATTTGGGGCAATGACTTCACTCGCATTCCAAAATAAAATGGCTGCCAGATGCAATATGCAGAAAGGGAAGTGCAAACTCGCTAATTACAAGTGGGCGTTGAAATTCGCGAGATAAACAAAGTGCACTCTTAATTAAAAGATTGCTTTTGAATTAAAAACAGCGGGGGAACAAAACCATAATAAGAAAACATGATATAGGAACTTAAGCTTTGGATTACTCATGCATATTTTACATAACATCTACCACCCCTTTTTCATTCCATGATTTACTAAACTGACCGAATTTCAACAAAATAAAAACTAAAATTGATTAGAAATCATCAGCAATTAAATTAACCTCAAAGGCTTAAAATCTTCAGAATCTATTTTAAGTATCGCTTTTATAGCAAAATGGTAAAGACCGACCAACTCCATAAAAATGCTTCCTTCAACATGTAGTCAAAATAAAAGCTTAAGAATACAATATTTAAAAGCAATTATAACCCCAGGAAATCAACAAACTTTGTTTGTTGCTCACGCTTGCTGCGTGTGTTGTTAATCTGTACAACTAAATATAGATGGGATGCAAATGTTTCGTTCCGAAGATCAGCGAGACTTTCTATAGGCGGCAGTCGTTTATATAATATACCATATTGATCCTACCCCTTATCAATTCCCGTGAAGACTTGACCCTTGATAGAATAAACAAAGTAATTAATTAATTATAAAAATAACAACTGATTACCGGAATGATCTTTGGAAAGGAATACCCCCAAATTGTAGGAGTCAAGTTCAGCTGATAACTTGAATATTATACAATAATTTTGGCTTTTCGCCGTGTCACATGTTTAGCCTATCATGTGACAACTATTCTGCAGCTCGATAAATTTCATCAAGAACAGACCTATCCCAAAATCCGTAACCCCTAATAGCATATGGTTTGGTTGCTAGGCTGCTATACCTCACATGACTTACACAAATCCTAAGAGCAAATACAATTGAAAGGCGGGTCCAAAAATAAAACCCACTTTGAGAAAACAGCGTTATAAATCTCAATGGAAATTATTCAAATTGAGTTGAACGCCAGTTGGGCGCAGACAGAAAGCACAAAAGACCAGTACAACTAAAAAACAAAAGGGACAAAAGATTGTGGCAACTGACGTTAAAACGAAGCGACGTCAGAATGAGAAATCATGTAAAACCCCTAAAAATATCCTAATCTTTGAACTTCTTAGATAGGGAATATTTAAAGAAACATATTAAAGTAATTATTTATAGTCATAATCATGGTTGATACCAATATCCTTAATATAATCTCCTCTTTAGCACCAACAACTGATGCCCAAGGTCCCCCAATGGCACTGTCTGCGCTACTTTAAACATGATGTCCTGATGATGCGCCGCTGTCGCCACTTGCGAGTCCCTACGGCACCGCGACTGGGCGATGTCCTCAAGCGAAAGAAGAAATAGTATCCGGCCTACAGACAATCATCGTCAATACTCAAAACGACTGAGCAACAAGATCAATTAAAATTAAATTTTTTAAAGGATTTCTAAACCAGACCAAAGCTAAATCAAATATATACTACCAAATATTATAGAACTTCTGAAACTAATAATAAGCCTAACCAATTGTACTTCATAGATAAGTAAGAATTCAATAAAACGACTAAGAAAAATCTACAAAAAATTATAGAACATTTTTTAACTGATTAGATTAATAGATATAATTACGAAAATGAGCAAACCAAATCAAATTAAAATTAAGAAAAATGTTTTAGTAAGCCTGCTGCATTAAATAAATTTAAAAATTCCAACTCACCGCATTCACAGAACTGTGTTCTCCTCGTCCCACAATAAGTGGGCCACTCTTCTCCAGGAACTCAGAGGAAACCTGCTGCTGCTTGGTTACATGAATTCCGAATGTCGCGTGCCTGAACAGATTTTCCGTGGCGGCAGACTGGGCGAAACTGATCGGTGCGGGCGCATCGTCCGATGGACTCTGTCCCGGTAGCGCCAGGTACGCGATCTCCTGCGAGTGGGTGAGCATCAGCAGCGTGGACTGCGCCTGCCAGTCCACATTGATGGAGCTCTGCTTCGGTTGTCTCCTGGGCAACCAAGCCAAGCCGTAGGTTTTGGGCAGATTACTGCGTTGATACAGGGGCAGCGGAACATTTGGTTGAAACACGTGCACTAAAGGACAAAAGTAATGTAAATTAGTATGTTAAATTAGGCTAAAAATATACTTACACTCATCATTTTTCGTAATGACAGCCATTAGGTTGGTCAGCGGATCAAAGGCCAGCTGACGGACGGATAGTTTTAAGCCCGCCTGCAGTCGCAGCGTCAATAAATTCCAAATGAGAACCCTCGACTCAGTGCAAACTGCCACCAGATGAGCCTGATCGCCAGCTCCGAATTGCACTTGTGAAATCTGCGCCAATCCCTGCAGCGGAGCCGCCTTTGTGGGTATTTTCTTTACTTTCAGGTTAACTTTGTCGCTGTCATTGGGTTTAGGATTGGTTTCGTCATTCTTTTTCGGTTTGCCTTTAGCATTCTTTTTGGGTTTGCTGTTTACAACCTTTCTCGGCTGACTGCTCTCATCCAGGCTGAGGACACTGAACAGAGACATAAAATCCTGCGGCACCAGATCCTCGAATTTCTGCCGCCGTTTGGTCAAATGGCTTAATCGCTGTTTGGCTTTGTAACGATGCCGCGTGTGAAGGCGATGCAGTCGGGCGTCCAGCTTGCGAAGCCTCACCCTCGTTGCTTCTGGAACCACCGATCTTTGCTGGAGATGCTCCATCAAGCGATTTCGATGGGAATGAGGAACGGAGCACTCGACTCCAAAACGACGCAGCAGTTGCAATTTTTGATGCAAGCCGAGCTCGGACATTTTCATGATGTACTTAAATACCGTCTCCTTGGCGGCATTTTCTGGTTGATTCACGAGCTGAGCTTTGGCCGGAGGACCCACTATCAAATCCTTGGCCTGCTTAACCAATTTCTCGTCATTGCTGTTTAGAAGCGTCTTTAGCATAGCCCACAATTGCTGCCTTTGCTGGGTAAGTTCCTTCCTGGCGCCATTCAGAGGCGTCTGAGCCAATCTCAGTTGAGCCTTGGATATTACACCATCCAAGCCAGGAGGACAGCTTAGTGTTTGAAGGGGCAAACGCGGATTCCTCGCATCGTAGAGCGCCAAAATGTTCCCGTACCCGACGGCCAACAAAGAGCCATCCTGGGAGAAGCATAGTGAACCAATGGGCAGATTCCTGTAGCTTGTCTGTGCCAGGCAACTCCACATAGTACCACCCTTGTATATGTTCTCAGACTTCGTAAGGCCCCACACCTTAATTACGTTGTCCTCGCCAGCAGTGGCACATCGCAAGTTGTCCACCTGGAACTGATTGGAGAAGATGATGGCCTTAAAGCCACGCTCGTGAGGTAGGTCAATCTCCGTGTTCAGAATGTAACTGCAAGAAGAGATTTAATTGCATTACTAAATACTATTGCATTGTATTTTGTTCAGCCAACTACCTTTGCAACTTTTCATTGTACTGCCAGAATTTGAGACGAACTTCGGCAAAGTTCTCCAGATCATCGTACACCTCTCCAGTGGCCATCCAATTGATATTAAAAGCGGCTCGTGTAATTAGCGTGTTGTAGATAATGCGATTTGCTTCCTCAGTATGCACATTAGTGTCCACAACGCGCAGCTAAATATTTAAATATCAATTAAATACTCCAAATAAGGCATATAATTTAATATCCACTCACATTGTACAACATGCTCTTGGTGTAGGCCGAATAAAACTGCAAATGTCCGGATCTGCCGTTCAGCACCAACGTATTCGTCCTTGGATTCAAGCGCAATCCCAAGGGGAACTTAGACCTGCCCGTCTTATCGTTTGTCTCATATGTAAAATGCTGGACCGTGGATTCGACATTGTTGTTGCTGCCGTTCAGCAGCTGAATGGCATTGTCCTCCGTGCAAACCAAGACATTCTCATTGTCATTGCTGACCACAATATGCCGAATCACACTGGGCAACCGGGGCAGATACTGTCGATCGCCGGGTTTCAGCAAGGACCACTTCACCAGCACGCACTCATGTCCGCCGCTGTAGATGCTCACGCCCGAGGGTGAAAAGGCCAAGCTGGTCACCTCCGTGTGATGCCAGTGGAACAGAGTGTTGGACATTGATTCTTGCTTTTCAAAGTTCCGCCAAATGAAGATCTTGCCAACGGAATCGGCGGTTGCCGCCACCATTTCAGAGGGACTCATTCGCACACAGGTGATGGCCTGTTGATTGGCGTTCTTGTAGCGCCCGAATTTCCAGGTCACATAGTTCACGAAGTAGATGTAGTGGCCCTGAGCAAGGACAATGTACTTGAACTGGCCCTTTCCCACGTCCACAAGGGGAGCTCGAACTCTGGAGAGATAAATAAATCAATTAGATTATATTTTTAAATGGGATTTTGTTCAATAACAAATTTTGAAATACCCGTCTCTATATCTTACAAAGAGGCAATAGTTCTTGGGATCTTGAGATCTTGATAATATTTGGCAAGGATCACTGAAAAAGCTAACTCACTTCAGCTTTAGGCCGCAGTTGACATCGATCGTATCGCCTGTATTCGTGTTGACCACAAACCAGTTGACGTGGTCGCCACTCTTCCTTTTCGTGGTCACAAAGGCGCAGGCTGTGTCGCCACCTTTGTACAGATTCATCAGGTGGCAGGTCAAGATGGTCGTGCCACCGGGAGCCAGCTTCAAGGACACGGTTTTCTTCAGCACACCCGCTCGCCAGTTCCAGCGGATTATCTGCCCGGTTCTCGTGCATCCGATGAGAAGATCCGGTTGCTTCAGATCCAATTCCAGGCTAATCAATGGCGCCGTGGCATCGTCCAAAACTCGGGTAAGTTCGCCCGTACTGGTGGCATACACCTGCACCTTTGTCAGACATCGCACGAACATGAATCTGTGGAACAGAAATCGGGGCTTAGCATATGCATATGATCTATATAGCATCGGTTTTGTACCCACCTTCCGTCGGGCGAAAAGACTGGCGCATGTTCCACGATGTTGCCGCCTGCCAGGAACTGCAGTTCCAAACGGTCCTCGTCGTCGAAGTTCATGGTTGTCCTGTCGGGCAATCGATGCTCTGTTAATCCTCAGTGCTCCTGCACTGTTTGCGGCAGGGAGTTTCGCTCAATTTACGCGTTTTTAGCCACTTTTCGTGGGCTATTTCACAGTAAATTCAATCACAATGCACGTGTAGCTCAGTGTGCCCGGTTGCTGGGCGCCAAGAAAATATACCAAATTAAAAATACTAAAATATGCCGGCTGCTGTTTTGGGTCACCTTTGCGAATGTTTAGTTTTCAAATTAATTTAAAAATGTAACCGTAAAATTATAAAATAATAATAATAATATTTTACACTTTCTTTCAGGAACCGAAAATAATTGTTATTGAAAAATAAAAGTCACCAAGAAGGACTTGAGCTACATATATGTGCTATATACCAAAAATTTTGTTTTTTTCTCCATGTTCTAAAAATTAAATAAACTTTTCTTTCAGGATTTTTATGATTTCCATGAAACTCATAATCGTTACGGTCCCTGTTTTCTTTTAATAGTTTTGATCGTTTTTAATTATTAAATAAAGTGAACTATAAAAATTAAAAATATCTCCAATATTCACAAGAAATATTATTGATTTGTTTTTTTAATTAGCGTAATTATAAAAACCAAAATATAATTAAATAGGTAATAAAAATACCGCATCTCGCAAAATACCAACTCCAAAGAACAGTTCCCTGGTTCCGCGGTTCACTGGTTCCTCGAGTTGAGAACCCATCGCAAAAAAGGCTGCACTGTGTAGAAATAAATTTGTTAATGGATTTATTCCGGCCCCAAGAGCGCGGCAGTACCACTTCAGCGAGCTAGGCGACGGGACCCAACCAGGAACTCCAACCGGGGAGAACAACCGCCAAAAAGGAGGCCTTCGAAACGAGGAAAAATGCATTGCGAACTACGGACCACAACAACAACAACTGCTGCTGACATGTGCAACGTAGCACGGAAAAGGGGGATTTTCTGGGACTACTTGCGGGCAAGTGGTACAAGGACTTGGACGCCCCTGCTCCTGGTCCTCATCCTCATCGTCAGTTCGAGAGCTGCTGAACCTCTTAAGGTTATATACGCCGTGAACGCTGGCGGAGATGAGCACACCGATTTGAATGGCGTCCAATACGATGCGGATCCCCTGAAAGGCATTGGGATCGCCTCGGACTACGGCAAACACCTGCTGATGATCGGCCGGGTTCAGGAACATGACGAGGTGCTCTACAGGACCGAGCGCTATCACACCACCACTTTCGGATACGATTTACCCAGCGACGGCGATGGAGATTACGCCTTGATCATGAAGTTCTGCGAGGTTTACTTCGATGCGCCACAGAAGAAGGTCTTCGATGTGCTCCTCAACCGAAAGCACACGGTGGTCCGTCAGCTGGACATCTACAACCAGGTGGGCAGGGGTTCCGCCCACGACGAGATCGTGTACTTCAAGATCAACAATGGTCGACTGAACTACGAGGGCGAGGTGTCCGATGTGCGAAACGGCCGGCTGCGACTGGACTTCATCAAGGGCGCACTGGATAATCCCAAAATCAATGCCTTTGCCCTGCTCAAAGGAGATGTCTCCCAGTTGCCGCGACTGCATGGCACCGAGGCGAGTGAAAGGATCAAGGCCGAGGGCAAGCCGATTGCGGAACAGAAGACTGCTAGTCAGGCGGAGAGGGTAGTGCGCAACCAGCGCGAGGATATCGACGAGGATGACGAGGATCTGGACGACGAGGAGTTCGAGGAGGAGCTGCCCGAACAGAAAAACGACCAGCTGGGCCCTGATCAGCCATCCCAGCAATCCGCGGACTCCAAGCGATCTTATAGCGGCCCCCGTCAACCGAACCCGTACTCCATGGACGACTCCTCGATCCTACTGCCCGTTTTCATCGCCATCGGGGCCTTTATACCGCTGCTGTTCTGCCTCTGCAAGCTGTGATCCCCATCCGTTTGCGTTAATTTCCTGCTTTGTGATTTTGTGATTTTGATAAAAGACTTAATTGTATACTTATCGTTTAGTTCGTACGTTAGGCATACCCTAGAGATCGGCTCCCTCGATCCCAAGACGCACAGCTCTCTATCGCCCTGTACTTTCCATATTTGATAAGCAATGTTTTGTGTTCCTTTCGTTGACCACTGCCGTCGAAGGCTCGGGTACTTAATCGTTGATTCACTTGATTTATATTCCCGGATTGTTTGATCGCTCGGCTCGGGGGTGTGCGCACAAATTTTAGGCGGTTTTTGGGACAGTTTTGCTTGGAGACTGTTAATTTTGAATGAAATTGAATAAAATAAACCTTGTTTGTTATCGAACAAAACCGTTTCTGATTATTTTCGTGGTAGCTTTTCATTGGCACAGTAAAAATGTGAGACAAGTTCAGTTCCTGGGCTCAGAAATAGGTTAAAAGGTATGCTATTTCTGACCTACTGATAAGGTTTCACAGCTTGGATTCTCGACATTTATGTTTTATACATACTTGGATGAAGTCCTACTTATTTGGCAGTACAACTTTATTTTAATGAACACCTACTTAAGCCAAATACATTAATTTAAAGTTGTAAATGATTCGATGACTAGAAATAAATAAGCTAGAGTTCTTTGGTTCACAAGTTATTTAAAAGTCATTCTTATCACTTGAAAAATGTCCAAACTAAGTAAATGTTGCACGATTCTTTGCGAAATCGAAAAGTATTTTAATGTTTACAGCTGAATATTTATATTTATAATTTATATAAACAGATCTAAATTTATGAAAATAGTAATAGAGTTACAATTTTTTCCTTGTGTAGAACCAGTTCATTTTGCGAACCGATAGCCAGCTATCGCAGGACAATCGGAATGTGTACCATCCCTGGCGGATGTCCTGCTGGAGCTGGAAAAGCTGGCGTCGCGAGGAAAATTCAGTCATCAGCGCGTGTCCATCGAATCGGCAGTGAAAATGTGCCAGCGGCGGTTCTTCAGCAGCAAGTACACCAGTTTCCACAAGAACCACATCAAGTTGTTTGCCGTTTACATGAAAACGGCGAATCTAATGCAAAACTTTAATGTTCTGAAGCGTTCGCTGTAAGCGCTGCTGCGGTCGACGTCGCAGCCGCCGCCTCCTCCTCCACCTGCAGAAAAATTAAAATAAAGTTAATTCTGGGCTGTGTGTGCTAGTGTATTTAAAATAGTGCTGAATCGAGATGAAAATCCGTTAACGCTTTAACGGAAAATTAGAAATGTCTGAAAGAAAAACCGAAAATCTGGTGAAAGTCCTTGATAAGAAATATAACAATTACAATTCAATTTAGGCGTGTCTAGCCAAATAACGGTAAGTTCCGTTCTCTCTTACATAATAATAAAGCAATTGATTTAGGCGTTTTTGATTGATATGTCAATTGCATAATAACGGAGCCGCAAATTCGGTATAATGTTTACCGACTTTTCGTCTGTCCTTTCTTCAGAATTTGACTTTGCCAAAGCCATAAATCCTGCGGAAAAAAACATTCTGTCATCAGGTGCAGGAAAAAAAGTATAGCTCTCTCTCGCGTCTCTCCCTCTCCCAAAGTTACCGTTACTCTCTCCCACGCGCTTTCACAAAAATCGGCAAACAGATGTTTTTTCGACTCTCCTTTGCGCATGTAACGGTGCCTACGCTAAACAAAAACAAATTGTCTATGCCGACGCCATTTTTACGTCACAGCCGCTGCTGCAGGTCGTAACCCTGTAGTTCTCAAGGGGGCCGGTGGCACTTTCGGGGTAGAAAAGGGATCGACCACCCAGTGGTCCCTTAAGGGTCAATAGGTGGCGTGTGTATTTTTTACAAGAGCAAAAGAGTTATCGGAGAGTGAACACTTCTATGTGAACACTTCTATATGAGTTAAAAAAATTGTAAAATGAAATTTTTGACAAGTATATAATGATTTTAATAACGAATACAACTTTATTTTGTTTATATAAAAAACAAATTTAAAAAAAGTTAAAATAATAAAATAAAAACTTGATAATGAGATAAAATAAAATAATAAATGATAGAATTTTATTTCTTTTTATATTATTTATATTTAATAATGAGCAATTTAGCTGCAGCAATATTTTTAACAATAGCGGTGGTTCAGTAGCAAAACGTTTTCTTTTCTTCCATAACAAGCGGATTTTATTGGTGCTTAGATATATAAAATAAATATATAAGTACCTAATTTTATATACATAGAACTAAACAAAAATAATATTAGCGAATGTTTTTATTGCCATCGATTATACGATATCGGTAGTCGCAATATTAATCGTAACGGATTGCCATAACTACCCAACCCCGCTACCATCACTAGCCCAACGTTTGCGCCAAATTTTGTAAACATGTATTTAATTTGTCTTATTGTGCATTTAAAGTGTTATATTTTGTTGTGATCTGAAGTGTCGTCAACAGGTGAGTAACACCATGAGTTGTGCAAGTGAAATACCTAATAATGTGTGATATTTAGCCATGAACAGCAACAGGCACATTCGTCGATTTGTTAAAGAGGAGAAGGAGAAATAGTGGTGCAAAGGACTCCTACGTAAGTCTTTTTTCTTTGATATAAATATTTTAGTGAAATTTTCTTCCTTTTTAGATTAAAGCCATGAGATCGTTGTTGCTGCCAGAAGGGGGTTTAAAAAACTTGCGGAGGGTTCTCACGGATGAGTTTGTTGTGGGATTTAATGTTAAAGGCCTTTCTGGAAAAAAAAAGCCGTAAACTCCTTTACACATTTCTATGGTGCACTTCACGGTAGGTTATTTTTATAACTGTATTTTTTATAATACACTTAGTTTCTTGATTCAATTTCAATCTATTTACTTAGAATGCCATCTGTCTTTAATCCTATTTCTTTCTGTCTTTTTCTGCTTTTCACTTTTAAAACATGGTTTGATGTAAACAGGCTTGTATAACAAAATCTTAAAATATATATTTAAACCCATGCAGAGGGAATTATAATTTAGTCCAGAAGTTTTTTACGCAGTAAAGGAGACCTTTTCAAACCTATAAAGTAAATCCATTTAACCATGTCCGTCTGTCTGTCGGTTCAAGTTTCAAAAGCGTGAAATAAGTCTACATTTAACTGTTGGTTATTCTTATTTTATATTTATGCTTTTCTAGTCACAATTTTATTCCTGAAAGCTGCAAGGGTATTAAAACTTTGGCTTGCCGAAGTTAGTTTCTGTTCTCATTTTATTTTAAAACACTAAAATCTTATTTTTTTTTAGATATTGTTTCAGAATCTGGTAATGCAGAAATATTGATTCCCAAGGCAATTCAATTGCAAAAGAAACGATTTTTTAAAAATAAATCCAAATCAAATAATAACAACAATGAGGCACTCAACAAAAACGTGTCAGCAGAGGAATTTGTTCAATAAATATAAATTAAAAAAATAGAAAAATTGTCTACTTATAATACAATAAATTAATTTAACAAAAAGTATTTTTTCTAGGGAAGTTTCATAGCATTCAGCTTTTTTGGTATTGAAAACACCAACCCCATTTCATACCCCTTTTCGCCACAAAAGGGACCGATAGGTGGTCCCATTTAATACCCCTTTTCGCCACAAAAGGGACCGATAGGTGGTCCGATAGATGGTCCGATAGGTGGCCCCTTTTGTGGCGAAAAGGGGTATAATATGGGACCACCTATCGGTCCCTTTTGTGGCGAAAGGTAATGCAGAACTTCGCCATATGACCACCGCCTAGGACATGCCGTGGTAAAAGTGGATAGAAATTTACATTGCGGGTGGTATGAACGGGAGTTAGTCCCAAGCCCCCGGTGTATGGCGATTTCGCTAGTTCGGGACCAGTCCCGGCGAACTACAGGGAACAATAACAAAAACAATAACAACTGCATTCAGCTCTCAGAAGCAGGCTACATTTCTTGCATTGTCGGTGGGAGGCTGTGTGTGTGTGTGGGGGAGTTTTATATAATGCAAAAGGAACCGCAAGCGCATAGTGTATTATTGTTCTTATTGTTGTTGCTGATGTGTAATGATTTTGTTCCGTCATGTGGACAATGACAGCTATAGAAGCCTTTTTTTCAGTTTAATGGGTACTTCAAAGTTGACCTTCTTTGTCATGCAGTTTATGGTTGTAACAGAAAAATAATATAACTTCTTAAGAATTTTCAATATTGCTTAGAAGTTGCCGAAATGTAAAGTTATTTAAAAAACATGAAAGGAAGTTAGCTTCGGCCACCGGAAGTTTATGTACTTTTGCAGGTTTGCCTATTTTAAAGGTTGTTTTTAAATTTTCAAAAATCAATACGCCCTTTTCCTACAAAGTTACAATGCTCTTTCTATTTTTTTTTATTATTCTTATGGGAGTCATAAGATTTAGTATCCAGACGGACAGACGGACATGACTAGATGGACTCGGCCATTAGTTCTGATCAAGAATATATATACTTTATGTGGTCGGAAACGTCTCCTTCACTGCGTTGCAAACTTTTGACTGAAATTTTCAGAAAAATCCATTACCTTAAAATTACAAATAAAAAATGTACAACTTTTATAACTTTAAAGTCATCAATATTGGCGTTTATTCTTTCTATCAGTATCCAAAGTATTGCAAAGAAATGGAATCTTTGAACTTATGAGTAATAAAAGTACCAAATGTACGCAAGTGCTTTGTCCACTGACAAATAGATTTCACTGTAGTTCGTGTTATTCGGTTTTTGGCTCCGTTTTCGTTGCGGCAAAGCCATAACTATTGTCCACTTGTCACGCCCCAAAAAAGTGGAAACCCAGTTGGTTTTCCCTGATTTACTGTACTGTCCTGTGTAGCTGAGTCCTTTGTCCTTCGTCCATGGTCATTGCAAATGTGTTATATGTAATAAAATTGTTGTAATCCATTTCCCATGGTCTCTATCTGTCTGATGAGTGGTGGTCGAGGTGATGGAGGAGCTGTCTCATTTGCTATTTCGGTTCGTCCTGCGGCGTGTCCTTGGAAAAAGCCTGGGGCTTACATAATAGCCGGCGGCGGTGACGAGAAAGCTTCGGGGGGTTGCTGGGCTTTATTATTATTATTGCTTTGTTTTCCAGCTGAAAGTTTAAGCCGCACACACTTAATATTCGAGTCTAATGAACCTGGAGTGGGGGACTACTGACTATACTTATTTAGCTGCTGCTCTCCAGCGAACAACTTTTTGGGAAAACTTTGACGGTTTTCCGTTTACGGTCTTTTGTTTGTTTGCAAACGACTTTGTGGATTGCCTTTATGCTTTTTCAAAGCCTTAAATATCACCATTGTTTTTATACCCTTGCAGAGGGTATTATGATTTCAGTCAGAAGTTTGCAACGCAGTGAAGGAGACGTTTCCGACCCCATAAAGTATATATATTCTTGATCAGCATCACAAGACGAGTCGATCTAGCCATGTCCGTCTGTCCGTCCGTCTGTCCGTCTGTCCGTCTGTCCGTCTGTCCGTCTGTCTGTTTCTACGCAAACTAGTCTCTCAGTTTTTGAGCTATCGATACAAAACTTTCGCAAAAGTCTTCTTTCTATTGCAGGTAGTATATATGTCGGAGCCGACCGGATCGGACAACTATATCTTATAGCTCCCATAGGAACAATCGGAAAAAAAAAACTTTAAAAAATTCTAGCTTCGGTGTTTTTTGAAATATTACCTTCTACTTTTGGGGATGTTATTTTTTAAATATTTCTGAATTTCGAATAAATTATTTAAAAAATCGGACTACTATATCATATAGCTGCCATAGGAACGATCGGAAAATTAATGGAAAAGTAATAGGAAATAAATTCAAGCTTCTTTGGTTTTTATTGTATTATCTTCTACTCTAGGATATGACTCTTTTTAAATATTTCCGAATTTCAATTTTAATTTGATCAAAATCGGACGACTATATCATATAGCTGCCATAGGAACGATCGGAAAATTAATGAGAAATATTAAATAATTGAACATTTTTGCGATTTGTTAATTAATAGGAATGATCTGCAAGGGTATATAAGCTTCGGCTGGCCGAAGCTAGCTTCCATTCTTGTTTTAGTTTAAAATTTGTTCTTTTACTGGATTCTGGATATGTACTTAATTTATTTAAAAAATTCCATATTCCCTAATCATTTGTTATGCAAAAAAAAAACGAAATACCCCTAAAAATGATTTTAATAACGTATTCGCAAAGAAATTGAATTTCCGTCGTGAAATAAATTTCCCTTATTACGACTCAGCTTCCCATCCAATTATATACCGCACAGCCAATCTAATCGGAATTATTTAGCCATTGTCAGCTCCAGAAATCATTAGCAATGTTATAACATACACTGCGAGAAACGTGGAGTAAGAAGTTTTTAGTTTTATGCTTAATTTCTCAAACTGAAACTATGATCTGGACCCATTTGAGATAAACAATTGAGACAAAATTAAAATGAATTACTTTTATATTTCATTCCCCACTTTCAAACAATGGTTTTCCTAGTTTTTCGCCGTGCAATAGTGACCCTGCCTGTGGTTTTAGTGTGTAAAAATGTACTCTCTCGATTCATAAAATCGTCGTTAGGGACATCCAATCAAGGCAGCAGACGACGCAGTTTCGCAGAATGAACCCCCATCCTTAGGATTCAATTACGTGCACTTAGCTGCAGTCGTTCAAGTACAAGGATAATGTGTACTCCACAGTCTCAGTATCGTGTTTTCAGGCCAGAGATAAAAGAGCTGCACCCACGCCATCAGCTGCCAACTTTGGATCGATATAATGGAAATGCCACGATATTGAAATGTTTGCTCTGAAAGTGCTGCACACACTCACTTGCTCCGTGCCCTTTGCAATTATCAAGGAATTACAATCGTGTTGTTATCCTTGCACACAGGACCTCAACCCGCAGCCGTGTTATGCCACCAAAAAAAAAAAACAAAAAATCAATTTCCATTGCGGGAAACTCGGTTTTCCTGACCATTTGTGGTTGCCCTCCTTGCTCTGTTCCCTCAATTATTCATTTCAATTAACTGCACAAAAGTGGGCAAGAATGCAAGGAAATTGCCAACGATGTCCGATTGAATTTAAGCATGTCCCTTAATTGACGGGATTATCCAATCAATTCCTTTGGATATGCAATGTTTTTGGAAAGTACTTAGTAGAAGGGATTGTTTTGTTTTGGGTTAATAATCTTGGATAAGTAGTATAATTCTTTATTTATAAAAAAAAACATTGAGTGAACGGCATTACAAATGTATAATTAAAGGGGATTTACAGAGCTTTTTTTTATAAACAAGAAAGGATTAGAAAATAAATCGACTTGGTTATTTTAACCGTCTGTCGATCTCGGCTTTCTCAGTGTCAAAAGTGCCAGTGTACTACACCTGACTTCCCGGATAATAAATTCTTGAATAATAAATGGCTAATTTATTTTACGATAATTATTCTCCATTAAAACCACCTGTAATTTAAAAAAAAAAATATAAATATTTTTTCAAAAATGTAAATGGAAAAATCGAAAGTTAAATAAACAAAATATCTCATAAATATACTTACTTACTATTATTTAAAGAAATGAATTATAAACATTTTGGAATTTTAAAAAGCCAAATAACTCAGAAATATTTATTTACTTGAAAATCTATCAGAATTCTGGCAATCGAGCGTTGTTATAGATCCCGCTGCATACAGTTTTCTATTTACATGGTTGACCCATATTTAATAAACATTTTCCTTTACAATATTTTCTTGCCACTTAGTTTTATGTGCATATTTTCTTCCCCGCTCTCCCTCTTCCCATCCTCCGCTTTAACAGCCGTTTTGCCAGTGTGGGTGCCGGTTAACAGACCCACGCTCTGTTAGCGCTGGAACACCCCTGTTATCGGGCCGATTTCGGTTTCTCCGCTCTTTCAAATATATTTTCCTACGATTCTCGCATTCAGTTCTCGGCCGCAGAGTGCGCAGCAGTTTCTACTTTTCCGACCCGGTCGCTGAATTTTGTTTTCCATTTCCATTGCCCAGCCAAATGGATTTATTTATTTGAGAATTATTCGAAAACGATTTGGAAAACTGTTTAAATATGTAAATCGATACGAAAGCAAGCCGTGTTTTTCCCTTATTTCGTGATGTCGTGTGTTTTTATAGTGTGTGAACGAAATATGTGCGCCTTTTTTCATCAATAAATATTAATGCACATTGTGCCGTTTGTCGGGCATAAATTAGAAATCATTATTTATTGCACACGTCTGCAGTGCGAATCAAAACAAAATCGGAAGCGGAGAGAGAGTGATAGAAAGGAAGGAGAGCAGAGGAGAGAGTGGGCGCGAAAGAGTGCGAAAAATAGTGGAAGAGAAATAACAGCTGCCGGCTGATTTGTTACGGAAAAGGAAAACGAAGAAAGAACAAGAAAAACGTGCGTAAAGTTGGTATATCTACACAGAAAACAAATCATACTCATGTTCAAAATGTATATATTTTTAAGGGGAATTCTCATGGAATTCTAAAATAATTTTTAGGTGTTATTTTTCTTCATAAAATACTTTTTAAAGTTGTTAATTTTTGTAGGAGAGGTATATTTAAGATACATTTTGGCATTGAGAAACAATTTTCGACTCATGATTTTTAAAGAAAATGGTAAAATTTAAACATTTTATAAAAAGCATCTTTAAGATATTGTATCTTTTACAAAAATTTAAATCTTTAAGATACTTTTTCCAATGTAGATATTGGTTCAAAAAATGTAAAATAAATATTTGCGGCCATTCACGTGTATGTATACACACATATGTATTCTTCGTGTATTTATAGACCTTCTTCTATATTATTTCACGATTTCAACAACAGCGTCTTTCCTCTATTATTTATTTTTTACGTCTACGGAAAGTGTACTTGAGGTTATTTCGGTCTTTTGCCGGCTCAGTCATTTCCCCTGTTTTCACTTCTCCATTCGTTTTGCTCTACTTATTTGTTCCCATTTTGCATTCCGAAATGCCCACATCTACATGTGTACTTATGTAGTACATAGAAAACATTTGTAATTGTTGCTGTTTGGTCAACATATTTTGTTGTTGCCAACCTGATAACGTGGATCAGCATGGCAACATATTGTCATGTCTCTTGCTTTGCTCAAACCTAATGTTTTCTACTGACTCATCTTATTTTAGAATCTAGTATTGCAAGATCTAAAAATTGCATTCTTCTGATACTTTTTCATTCAAGTGTTTATTCCAGAAAATGGTTTACTCATCTAAACGAGAATTTCGCAACTTTAAAACCTATTTTTGAAGTGAATTAAAAGTTTTAAAAAAATAAAATTCGTTTACTCTTGGAAAAATTCTAAATATTTTTCTAAACGTTCTGAGTAAATATATATGTAAGCTTAATATATAACGTCCGCCTTCGCTTGATCAGTCAAAAAACAAGTTTTTTATATTCAAGCATGCATAAACAAATATTTATAGTCGCATGTATATAACGCCTATATAAATAAATCTACACTGGGCTTTTCCACACAGGCCTGTCAAAAAAATGTGCTAGTGGAATTAAATCGTCAATCAAGTTGATTTCATTATCAATTATCAGCCAATAAATTAAGATATGGGCAGACACAGATATCGCACCGATTTATCTATGAAAATATGTGTAAACATTATTCAATTGTTATCTAACGTGTTGTGTTAATTATAAGCCATTTACCTGTGTAGGAACTGGTCAGTAGCATTGTTGTAAACATGATATCATTAATGGGTAACTCTTTAAGGTATGACACAACAGAAGGTGACGTGAATTCCTATAAAAATTACTTTCTAGGAAAACATTTTTGTTAAAGAACAATCAATTTCAATTATAGTTGAGCTTCATTTTCTGTGCTTCATGATTCAAAGTTCCATGAAACGTATTTACCTGCTGGCCAATGCATATCATTAGCAATAAATACTATGAATACCAATGCTCATTTGTAATCTTTTTATCTGATAAAATTTGACATGTCCTTGTTTGACAATGAAATATTCGATTTATGATGAGTCTACATCCATTAGACCTTGACCAAAATAATGCCTTTTGTTGTAAACCATATACAGTGGCATTTGTAAAATCTATTTTGGCTTGTTATCAGTTGCTCTATCTCAAGTAGTTTTTGCTATTACCAAAAAATCAATTTAAAAATTAAACGAAAAACACAGAAAATCGATTTTTAAGCTTTAAATTACGTTCGAGCTGACCAAATGCCTGAAATATTTTATCAGTAGCGTGATCTAATTCTAGGAAACAAATTCTTTATAATAGATAAAAATAAAGTCTACTTAAGCTGTGGGCTTTAATTTATTGGTCAGCTATTTTAAGTCGCAATAAATTCTTACCTTAAGCAGAGCTTTTTAATTTACTCGTTTGTTTATTTAACTTTGGCACGTTTAAAGTACCAGTCTTAATGATAAAAATAATATCATGGTTTTTTTATTGGTATCTTTAAGATAAATATCAAAGTCGTCCGGCAGGATTAAAAAAAAATGTATCCTGTATTAATATATTAATTGACTTGAACTCATTTTTAGATTTGTAGTTAAAGTCTATCTTACAAGGATTAATTTAAATCTGTTTAATGATAAAAAATTTCTAAAATGATTAGTCATATAATGGTTTACCAATTCCTAGTTTGCATTGAAATACAAAAATATTCAATAATATGTACCGTTTTTACAAAAATACTGTGAATAAAAAAAATTATCTCCCATCTCGATGGTACCTGCCCTCCTATTATGTATTTCAAAATTATAAGTAGAACCATCAAATGACAATTTCAAAGCCATTTGCGATGGAAGTTTTTTTTGGGGTCCAATTGTTAGTTAGTCCAACATTCTGTGAACAATTTCCAGCAAACACAAAATGATTTTGTCTTAATGGCTTTCGTTTTATTCGCATGTATGTAAATTAAATTTTGCAACTCTTTTATGTAAATGATCATTTATTATTTTGGGTATGTAAATTAACTTTTGCAACTCTTTTATGTAAATGATCATTTATTATTTTGGCTGGGTGGTCAAAAAGGTCTGCACATGACGGAAAAGTCCCAAAATGCTCTCAACTATGATGATGAGATGGAAATTTGGCTTGAGATAAAGAATGTTTAATGCAAATTTTCGGGTAGTAAATTTAAAGGGTGCAAAAAAATGGCTTAGAACATTTTGGTTGAGTTAACAATTAATTTAATTTATTGTAGGAATTCGCAATTATTGTGAACTTTGAATTTAAAAATTGTTTTGCAATTATATAAATTATCAATTGTGATTCTTCCTGGGACTGAAGCAGTAATTGTGTACTTTGTTACACAAACTGAATTAACTTAAAAAATTATTTTCAGAGTCACAGGTGCAGAAAACAAAGTCGTGCCAGTAAATAATAAACTTGACTGCATAATGCCAATAGATATTAAAACCAATCGTTGAGTATAAACAATGCAAATATCTTCCCTATCTGTTCAAGCTGTTAAACAGATAAGATAGATAAAATATGTCAACAGTTTGTTTATTTAAACTAGAAAAACTGAATAAAATTAAGCCAAATCGAAACAGTTATAAAAAACTGTTTTTGCCGGAACATGTTCACGGCTATTAGAATATTTTACGGGTCCTCAGGAAGCAAATCGAATTTGGACAGATCAGACAATGGTTTTATTTTTGTGCTCGTAAGCAGTCAATATTTAAGTTAGCATCGTCGAAATTTCCATAAACTTGTGCGCATTGGTATAATAACAATTTAACGATATTTTCAGTCGCAAATTGTTTTGGCTGCCAGATGCACTGATTCCATTTTCGGCCAATTGAGCAGCTACGGTCCCCAAGTTTGCATTCTGGATAATCGCCTTTAACCGGTTCGTGGGGCTTTCGGCCAGTTTGAATTCTACCGCTGCACTCTCTGTTGCATTTTTCATACATCAATTGGCTTTGATTTGTTTATAAATAATTTTGCCCTGCAACTGCGACGGCATTTTCCATATTCCCTGTGGCGCATGTTATCGATTAGCTGCCGCCGAAAGCGTAGCCTCAAAACGGTTGGGCCAAAGTTCAGGAACCCGAACCAACAAAGAAAGTTGACATTAATGGGTGGTAAGTGACAGCTGGAAAAATACCTTTATTTAACGATTCCTAACTAAAAGTAAGTTAGCGAAGGGAAACCAATTTAAGATTGCTATTTTTTGGTTGTCATCTAAAATGCAACTCTACTTCCCATTTTTAGTACAGTCACCGCAAATGCAACTCTACTTCTCATTTATACAATCACCTCAAATGCAACATTTTTCTTTTTAACAACAGTATCTTATTTAATTCTGATGCAAATCTTTCTATTCCAGGTTTAGTCGACTGCATTATTTATTTAGTTGCCTTTTTCATACACAAATATGCCATATTTTGCTAAAAAGTCGTTCGGTTGGTGGGCACACACAAACTTTTTCTTGGTGGCTGGCCAAAATGTACATCATACATATAATATGTATTCCCAATTGGTTATTTTCACAAATATAGTATAGTTCTTTTCAAAATTCGTTTGACCTTTAAAAATACATTATTTCCGCTGACTAAACTTGAACTCTGGCCATGAAAGAGGGAAAACCTCGCCTCAAATATTTACATTTGTATCGGGAATTAGTCGCCCTCACTGGCCAAAATAAACATAAGTTTATGGAGCGGGTTGTTGGCGGAAAGAGGTTTTGCGGGGGCACGAATCCAATTCACGTCTATACCCCAAGGTGTAGGGGCTCTGCGGACCCAAAGCATAAAGTAAACTCAAATTAAATATTAACACATTTCGGGGGTGTTCGGTGGCTGGCGATGTGCGAAGAAATCAATTAAATTGTGGCGCAATTCGTTCAAGCTCAAGGACCTTTGGCTATAGATGTTGGGTCAACAATGCGAGAGTACATATATCTGGAAAAGATTCTGAACTGTGTGGCAAGAACAATGAAACTTTTCTAGTGACGTTGAAAAAGTTGTATTCCACTTGATATTTAAAAGAATGGTGCAGTCAAGCGTTTTCCGCAACAGAAAACTGAAGTTTCCTCTCAGTGTCATAAAGTTTTGAGTTACCTTTTGAAAATAGGGCACAAAAATAAACCATGTCGAGTACTTCGACTATCGGATACCCGTTACTCCGCTAAAAAATGTGCAATTGAGTTGGAAGTATGCATGCAGCAAACTGATTGCTTGAATTATAATTCTTGCTCATAACTTTAAACGAATGATCCGATTTGAAATATTTCTTCTACATTTCGTTTGGAAACGCGTTCATCTACCTGTTACATACTTTTGCACTAATACAATATACACTTTTAATCTACGAGTAATGGGAAAAAATATACCTAATGAAACTTTAAATTTGAGATATCTAATATTATCTATCGGCATATTATTTAAATTTAAAGACCACAATTTTGTACATGTAATTTTAAGCAGTTGATTAAAATTGTTTACCAAAATTTGTAATCAAATATTTCTTATGCGTTCCACTGTTCTTCTGATTAGCAATTAATTAAATCAAACGGTTTTGCACTAATGCCACTTGAAATTGATTCATACAGATTTGCGGAGAATCGGGTTAGACTTTCGATTAAAGCCGGTTAGTTGCTCAACTGTTAACGGGCTGTAATCAAAGTCAGTGAACTTGAAATTCTGTGGGCGTTAATCTAATCACCACTTTGCACCAAATTGGTTGTGTGGGTGGCCTAGAAATTTCACGACCATTGCCAAGAACAATTGATTATGATGGGGTAAGAGAAGACTCCTTGAGTGATAAACCTTAATTGGCCATCAATTTTATATAATGAGATAGTCGACACTTGCACAAACAGAAGACGAATTTGCAGTACAAACAGATTCAATTGCTCCAGTCGAAACAATTACAGAAATCGACTCGTACATTGCCCTCCAATTTATCAGCATCTCGAATGTGACACTGGTACCATCGCAATTGATTTAATTGAGGAGCTTTATCTCCCGCACTCGATAGATAAGCTTTCGCTACTGCTGCTAATAAAATTTCGCCAATAATACAAATCAGATCTTATCGCAGTCCAACTGGCAGTTCCACTTATATTTGTTTACTCTGCCTTATTGCCATATTTACCATTGGTATTAACTTGCTAATTTCGCATGGCGCTAAGAGCACTGGATCTATCCAGTTCGAAAAACAAATATTGCCTGATAATTTTTTATTCAATCTCAAAAAAGCATGTCTGCAAACCGCTGCAAAGTGGACAAATAAAAGCTCTTGAATTTAACTGGATTTATTGCAAATAGATTGCAAATTAACACTGGAAATAAACAGAGTGTTTTTAATAAACGACGCGTCGTTTTTAGAAAATCACGTGTCGCAGGCAATTGAATATGCGATTTGATTTTAGCACATTTTTATTTGCAATGGTCCCAAAGACCAATTCAAAGGGAATTATCCAGACACCGATGGTGGCATAAGAATAAATATAAATGTGTGATTTTATGGATTTTGGCCAGAAGGCTTCATGGTTGGTACAATCCGTTGGATTTAACCAGTTTCGATTGGTTATTGCGGCAGGTCGGTCGACTTGAAGAGTGATAATAAAAAAGAAGGCTCGATGAATTTACTAATACTTATTTACTTTTATTGCAGTTAACAAAAACCAACCACATCAACTTAAAAGGAAACTGGCTAAGTAGAAGGACACTATAGCATGCCAGGATCAAAGGAGTGAATACCAGATCACAATGAGCAACCTGACGGAGCAGGATTACGACAGTGCCACTCCGGCGCTGCAGCAGCAGATGAATCTGGCCCGCAGAGCCTGCTGGAGGAACCAGTCCTCCAGCTCGCATTTTCCTCCCAAAAATATAACCACAAAATCTGGTACATTCGCCAGTGACGCAGCCAGTCGCTTAGACTTAGTTAATCCCAAGATTGCGAATCAAATCGATGCAGAGGCACCACCACCACCGAGAGATGAAACCAAAGCACGAACAGCACCACAAACAGCAGCCGCAAATCGCAAGACCACCTGCACATTCTCCGACTGGCGGGGGACTCTCAGCAAAAGGATGCTGCTCATCTGTGGCTTCATCCTAATCCTTGGACTCGCCCACGGACGGCCGAACACGAGTGCTGTGGGCGTGGCCCCGGGGAAGGATGGCAAGGATATTGCGGATGCGGTCACCCAGCTAAATGTGAGTACGGCAAAATGCGAAATCCACAATCCAATTGAACGGCCATTAAAGCCAGGCATTACCTCACATCCGGTGTGCAGGCAAAGCTCTTTAGGTGATTGCAATTACCGAAACACCGGATTTTGGTTAGAACTACAGTAGACAACCGCTGAAAAATTACTATTGCGTCATAGTAATTTAATAAAAAGAAAAAATTTATTTCGATAAATTTATTTTACTAAATTTTTATTTTGATTAAAAAGTTAATTTTCTAATAATTCTTTTGTTTTACTTTGAAAAAAAAAACCAAAAATATTAACAAACCAATTTTGATAAAAATCTTTGATTTTTAAACATTTTTTTTAGTTTCCATTGTACATTCTACAGGAGTTCGACTGTAGCTCAATTGAAAGCAAATCGTAGTGTAATAAACATACTCTTAATTGCTGTATTTAGCGATGAAATATCGACTAGTTTATGTGGGAACTAAAAGGCGTAACTTAATAAGAGATATGAAAAACAATCACTGCATCTTAAAAAAAGTGTAAAGCTTCCCTGTTTTTTTTTAAATTTATGAGTTGTGAAAATGTTTATCAAAAGTGCCAACTGTCTGATGGATTGTCAGATTTCATACAGCCCAAGACCAAAGTTATCTACGAAGCAAACACATGATTTCTTATCATAATTATAACAAAAGATTGATTTACTAATTAAGTAACTTGGCGTCACGTATTAAGTTTTTTTCTGGAAAGCTACAAGAAGATCCCTAAAAATAGGTATCATTGAACTTGTATCGAAAACCAATTATGCATGTTGGGAAGCCCCAATTAATTAGCAATGGTTTGACGTCACATTTAAAGGTCTGTGCGCACATAAGTCTCCACTATTTCCCAGATTTCTTGACTTGTAAACAACCGATTAGCCCCAATACGCAATTTAATATTCATTGAATGGCTGACATATATCCGACATTCTACCTCACTTACCTCACTGACCTAGATCAACATTTCAACCAGACTTTAAGTGTAACAATTTGAAACGCTGACGAATCATTCAAAAAATTAAAACAAAAACCTGACACTTTCGTGTTCCAGTGCGTCATTGATAAAAATGATTGTAATTTTCAATGGCGTGTTTCCGAACGCTTAACTCAACCCCTGATATTCCCAACCCATCAGGTCTGGACTTTATTTTCCGCAGTTTATACACCCATGTAAATATTTGATGTTTGCCTTTGCGGGTATTGGAAATTTACTTGCACGGCGCATTTATCAATTTCCCGCCCAGTGTTTGCCAATTATAAACCGCTAATGCCTGAATTATTTCGCTCTTCCTTCCTGCCCAAAAACAGCTGGCCCAGACCTCGCCCCTGGATGCGGTGGATGTGGGCCTGGATCCAACGCCACCGGTGAGGTTGCCACGTGCCGAGCCACTGAAATCCAGCGACGAGGATGCGGAGGGCAGCGAAGGGCATAAGATGGAGAGGTATCCCCTATCCAGCGTGGACTTCGCTCGGGTAAAAACGCCGTTCATCATCGGGATCTGGATTCTGTCCGCCAGCATAGCCAAAATCGGTGAGTAATGTACACACCTTAATTAATCAAAACATTATATTTTTGCTCAAACAAATATGTACGTTGAATTAAAAAATAAAAAAAAATGTTATTCATCAAATACACCGAAAAAAAAGATCATAGAAACTATAGTATTCGTATATGAATTCTATACTATTGAGTTTCAAATATATTTTAATAAGATGAGTATTAAATTATTACTTTCGGTAGTGTTATATATATATAAAAAAGTCCGGAAAATATCGCCATTAATCCAAGAAAATATCGCCATTAATCCAAGAAAAAATTCAACGACTCTTCCACTTATTCATTTTTTAAAAAAACTAATAACAAATTTCCATAAACTTAAGATAATTTTTCTATATTCAAAGGCGTTTTAAAAACACGTGCGATTTTCTAAAATTAAGGGCGATTTTTTTTCTGAGTGTATTTAAACTTTCAGTATAGAAATTAAACAACAAAATTTGAACTTTAAATATTTAATAACATTACTTTTACCACACTTTTTTTCTGGACCTAGTGTATTTTTAATACAACGAGTATTAGGAGTTAAACTACGGTATTTTTGGGCGTAATGCAAAATAAGGAAAAGTTAGTTTTGAGCAGATTATTAAGTATTGTAAATGGCAAGAGAAGTTGCATTTAGGATATTCAACCTTATTTCTAAGTGAAGCTAAAATTTGCATTGTTCAACCTAACAAAACTGGCCAATTAGTAAAAATAATGTAGATTTAACTTGTGCATAATCAGCGGAAAATGTGGTTTCCCCAGAGCAGCCACGAATCCTTTTCCTGTGGAGGAAAAGCCACAATGTCTGTTCCTGGGCGTGGGTGTCTGTTTTATTTTTCTACTGCTGTTGCCAGGCAAAATCAATATGGTTTATGTAATTCCTACGACTACGGCTACGACGCCATCATGCAGATTTGCGTCAAGTCGGCGACGTAACCGTGTGGGCGCCTGGCTGCGAGTCCTGGCCGAAGGACATTGCATAAGCCCACGATGGATGTGTGCAACAAGCCGCCGGACATGGGGCCTTGACCCTGCGCCCCGAGCAACAATTGGGCCCGAAGGCGGTGCATTAATCATTTACTTTGATACTCAACCACTTTCAAGCCTCACGAGACTTCATTACCAAGGTTTTTAGCTTTGGTTTATTTATTTCTGGCCCCAATGTCGGCAATTTACCACTGCCAGACAGGTTTATCTGTAGCCCTGCCCATAACCTTGATTGCAGGCGAGAGAAAATCCATTTTCCGCCATCAAGGACGCTGGCAAGTTTTTTTTACGGGTCCCCGTTTCCATTTCAATTTCTATTTTTGAGTGGGACCCAAAAATATGTAGGCGAAAAATGATTGCGAATGCCATTTGGCCAGAAACCCAACTAGTGGGAAGGTCGATTATAAAGTGAGAGGATTGGCACTTAGCGAGGAAATGAAGCAGAGTTTTGGCTGCCAGATAAGAACTGGAACATGTCTAAACTTTCCTTGAGTCTGATATTTTTAAAAGCTTTAAAAGTAAGTTCTATAATAATTTTGTAGATTATATAACGCTTAACCTTTAAAATTGTAATGGACCATTCAACCAAAAGTGTGGTTTTTATATTGACTTTTTGACTTTCTTTATCTTTAAACAACATTATAATTGCTTTTTAATTTCCACATTATTTTCCTTATTTCCTCGTATCTTCGTAGCTTCGTATCAGTTCCTTAATTAAATTCCAAACACCGAAAATGCAAATTGAGCTCTTACATTTTCAACGAATATTTTCCCTACCCTATTTTGCTTTGTTTACGAAGCATAATAATCCTTCGTTTCGGCGCCCTTGAACCCAAAATATTTTGTCAAGAGAGTGAGGTATAAAGGGCAAAAGGGTATAAACTAGAAAGGGCTCGCCATCAAAGGCAAAAGGCACTAGAAATTGCATGCAAATTTGCCATCATTTCCATCAAATGGGAACATTTTCGTTTCTATGGCAGGCGGTAATTAATGGAAATATTTCGGTTCAACCAGTTCCCACGATTTCATAAGCAATTGCGTTGCAGAATTTTCCGTGTTTATCTATAAGGAAAGTCTAAATATTTTACAATTTATTTCAGGTTTCCACATGACGCCCAAACTGCATCTAATATTTCCGGAGTCGTGCCTGCTGATTGTCGTGGGCGTGGTCATCGGGGTGGTGCTCTATTTTTGCACCGATGTCGCCGTCTCCCCTCTGACCCCGAACACCTTCTTCTTCTATATGCTGCCCCCGATTATCCTGGACGCAGGCTACTTTATGCCCAATCGATTGTTCTTCGACAACCTGGGCACCATCCTGCTGATGGCGGTGGTCGGGACCATCTTCAACATAGCCACCATCGGTGAGTGCGGTAACCCGAGATGGATTCGATCCTGCTCCTTGGTCCTTGGGGGAATTGTCCTGTCGTTTAGCTGATGGCCAAGTAAACAAAGGTAGTCGACTGGTCTGGTAATCCCATCCATCTGTGTCCATCAACTGAAAAACGGTCAATGGAAGTTGTCGTTTAGATTCGTCGATTGTTGTGTTGTTGTTTTGTGTTGTTTGTTTTGTTGGGGTTAGCACAAGAGTAAACTCAGCAAAATTTATTATTGGCAAACAATGGTCTAATACAGTCGTTATTGGATTATAATCAATATTATATTTGCAAAAGGATTTTGAATTAGTATATCAAAACTTAAGAGTACATTTATTAACATTTAGTGACAATTTTCCACCTTCAATGATTGACTATTTCGCATGTGTTATTCGTACTTCCTGAAGTGAAAATTCCAATATTTAATCTCATTTGAAGTACTCCCAACCTGATCAAAACAAATATGTGAACAGTACTTGTCAAATGGTTGACAATTACAAAAGGTGTCAGCAACGCCAGCAATTAGACACCTGATACAGATGAGTAAACAGAAGCTGAATCATCCGAAACATCCGAAAAAAACCCCGCCTTTTTTAACCCCCAATGAAAAGAGACAATATGCCAGGGGACGTATATTTTGTTCACTCCCAATAAATTAGACGACACGCGAGGGGCGTGGCGCCGCCTTAACTAGATGACCGCTTAGACGTGATTTACACAGAGTGTAACAAAACATGCGATGGATGTGGATGCTGCCACCGCAGATGTTGAAGTGATCCAAATAACAAAGGAAAAAGGGGGCCTCTCAGTGTGTGGAAGGGGGTGGCAGACGCCAGTTAGATGAATGACCGAAACCGCAAACGGACGGCGGGATGTACGCTCGAGTTGCCACAGCTTCCCCTCCGAACATCCAGACTTGCCAATTACTTATGCTTAACAAATTGGATTACATATCAGAATGAGCGAACAACGCTGTTAGCTTATCTCTCGCGATTCATTTAGAAAATTAAAAATTCCGATGCCATTATTAATTTAACCATTTTTTTTAATCTAATGTATTTAAAAATTAATTTAATTATATAGAAACTCCGTATATAAATTGCCTTAGATACATTCGAATTTTTTAATAATTTATAAATAAATAATTGACTACAAATATTGTCATGCACAAGTGGAATCGTTAGGAAGCTTTTGCATCTCATGTACATTATTTACTGGTGGCACAATTTGTGCTTATTGAAGAGCCCCACAAGCAATATTATGGAAACATTCAATTTGCGTCGTTCCCAATTCAATTATTGTTGGAAGAACACGCTTATCAATTGACTTAAGTGACTTGGAGATGCATTTCGAAAACAACAACAAACTGCAGCAATGTCAATGCCACACGATTGCCCATCGATTGGCCAGTATCTAATTAGGTTTAAGAAGGACTGAGGGAAATTGATGGCTTGGAAATAGATTACATACCCGTTGCATCCCCTGATTTTATTTACCTTACCCCCTTTATTTAATTTTCTCCCTTGAAGGTGGCTCGTTGTACGCCTGCGGAAAGATGGGAATTTACGGGGAAAGCGAGACTCCGGGTCTGATGGACGTATTTCTGTTTGCCTCCCTGATATCCGCCGTAGATCCGGTGGCTGTTCTGGCCGTATTCGAGGAGATACACGTCAACGAGATCCTGTACATTGTTGTCTTTGGCGAGTCCCTGCTGAACGATGCCGTTACGGTAAGCTGGGTTTATTGATTGCGAGACGTGAGGGCGGGATGTGGGAGCAATTAAGTCAACAAGTGCCCGGCATGGTTAACAAATTCACTTTTCTGCCCCCCAGGTTGTGATGTACCACATGATGGAGTCCTACAATGAGATTGGCTTGGACAAAATCATCGCCCAGGACATCGCCAGCGGTGTGGGTTCCTTCTTCGTGGTTGCACTAGGTGGCACTGCCATAGGTGAGTGCTTGTTTCTAACTCGGTTTTGCAAAATTAATTAGATTTTGCTTAGCCATCCTTCACTGCAATTCACAGGTGCAAAGAAAGAAAAGTTCGATATGAGATATATATTCTACCTTATTTCATATCAAGAAAAAGACAATATGATGAATGTCAAATTTATGATTCAGAAATATCAATTATACTATTTTGAAATACAGAAAAATTTGTTTAACAACTAATGTAAAATAAGATAATTATTATATTTTCTTTATTCAAATCAAATTGACATGAATAATTTGATCTTTAAAAAACATTAAATTGACCTGCACATATCAATATGATCTTTTGTCAAGTTTTTTTCTGTGTGGCTTTTATTCAACATTTTACCTACACTTTTTGGCTTTATTCTACAATTTTTTTTTCTATTAGGCATCATCTGGGGCTTTCTTACAGGCTTAGTGACCCGCTTTACCGATCATGTGCGTGTCATAGAACCTATTTTCATATTTGTGATGGCTTACTTGGCCTATCTCAATGCGGAAATCTTCCACATGAGCGGCATTTTAGCGTGAGTTTTGCAAATTATACCCAATTTTAAATATCTTACTAGTAAAAATTATTCAACAGCATCACTTTCTGTGGTATAACGATGAAAAACTATGTGGAATCGAATATTTCACAAAAATCGCATACGACTGTTAAATATGCCTTGAAGATGTTGTCGAGCTCGGCGGAGACCATTATCTTTATGTTCCTAGGCGTGGCCACTGTGAACAATATGCACGTATGGAATACGTGGTTTGTGATCCTGACCATCGCCTTCTGTTCGGTGTTTCGTGTTATTGGTAAATGTTTTATTATGCTATTTTATTGAAAACCGGTTGCTGACTGCATTTTCTTTAACATTTCAGGTGTTATTTTGCTATCAGCCCTTGCCAATCGCTTCCGTCTGCACAAACTATCCCGGGTGGATCAGTTTGTGATGTCCTACGGCGGATTGCGTGGTGCTGTGGCCTTTGCCCTGGTACTTCTGGTCGATGAGAATGTGGTCAAGCAGAAGAACATGTTTGTTACCACCACGATAGCTGTGATTTACTTTACCGTCTTCCTGCAAGGCATCACCATCAAACCGCTGGTCAAGATCCTCAATGTGAAACGGGCCAACAAACGCAAGCCAACCATGAATGAGCGAATTCATGAAAGGGTCGGTTTTCTATATGGTTTCAAAAGATGTGCATTGGTTAACCAGAGTGTATTTTCTAATAGTTTATGGATCACTTGATGGCTGGCATCGAGGATATTGTGGGCAAGACAGGCAACTACAATGTGCGTGATAAATTCAAGCGCTTCGACAATCGCTTCATTCGTCCCCTGCTGATCAGGGATCTCAAGGTATTTAACAGAATTATGTGGGGAGATTGGGCTGGGAACATTTCTAGAAGCTGGACTCTTTTATATCTCAACCTAAACTGCCACTCAGGAAATTAATGAATTGCATTTATTGGACCATATTCCCATGCAAAGCTATGAGAGAGCATTAAACAAGAATAAAAGAGGCAGTGGATCAAATGCAGATGAAAAGGGCTGGAGATTCAAGTATATGGGCCAAAGAAAAGACACCGAAGAGCCTTAGTAACTTTTAGTAATAAGAACGCTAATAAACGTGAGGTCAAGCTTTATCGATTTATTATTTTTTGTCACCCCACTTTAGGGCGCTGAGCCAAAGATCATCGAGACGTACTCCAAACTTACAATGCGCGATGCCATGGAGGTGATGAGGCGAAATCCATCTACCATTGGTCAGATGACGGGCACCGAGTCGATGAGCGCCCTGTTCCGGAATTATACCAATAACTATATTGGGGGCAGGTGGGCACCGCCAACCATATACACCACCTGGTAAACGAATTTTGGATTGAACGATATCTTGCCTGTACTCACACTGAAATGATCGTATATTGCATGAGTACGAATAAATTCGAAATTTATTTAGTTAATTTACCCGAACAGTAGCATGAACTTGCACAAAACATTAGTTTAAACAAATTGGCCATTAACAAACTAAACACACAACGAACAAAGGTGTCACAGAAATCACTAAATCACTTTTGCTTTTAAGATCTCTAAAAAATATTTAAGTAAGCTTTTAAAAGAAATGGATCAAGAGTTATTTTAAGAAAAGATTTATGTGACACCAGTTCTTTCTTTCTATTTCTTCTTATATCTAAAATTCGTTTAACCACTTCTTTGGTTTTGACTTTAAGTAAAAATGTACTTAATCCATAATCTTATTTACAACAAACCCATACTGATGCCTGTTTGAATCATTCTTTAGTCCCAGTCTGACAAATCTAGACAATACCTGTTCGCGTAATCTGGATATGGCTGAGCTGGATTATAATCCATCCAAAAAGGATCTGACTGATGCCAGGATCCACCATCTGTTGGCCGAAGAACTGAAGCCTTATAGAAGGGTATGTATTGGACGCATATTTTCTGCCTCATTTCCAGTTCACGTTTTGTAATAATAAACTCTTGGTTGGATACTCTATAGCAAACAGTTTTATCTTTAAATACCCCCAAGATTATCACAGCCTAAAAGTCCTTTCTTATTATTGATATATTATATCTATCAATCTATGTCACACTCTTTTCGCTCAATAGTAGTCACTAAAGAGTCTCTATGCCAAGTTCAACTGTAACTTCACTTTCGACTTTTTTGGTTCGTTCTGCAATTGGGCATTTAGTTTTCTCACACCTTCGCTTCTGGCTCTGAGTATAAATATTTATGGCTGACTATATACATATATTAATAATATATATATATATTAATATATTTCCATATAAATATATTTGTTATTAATGGTTTACTTAATTTCTTTCCCGTTGTTTCGATACTCGACATCAACCTCTCAACAACGTGTTTTAATAAATCAAAACCGCTTCAAACTTTCGTGTGCTTAACAAATCAAACAAAATTTCAAATATTGCGATAAAGGCCTCAATACAAATGGTACGAATAAATTGGTTTATTGGTTTTCGTTTTGATTAATTTGATCTGTTTCCTGGTTAATTTTGATAAACTCCTTTCGAATTAACTAATGAAAACTACTTCGTTAAATGTTTCACGTTGTGTGTCTGTACTCTTTGACTTCAAATATTCTAAATGTGTCATCCAATTGGTGTTATAATATTCTAAATACTCTTTAAATTATGCTTAACTAATTTACGTAAAAGACCTTAAATGCCTTGCAGCTTAAAGTAACAAGAATGATTAAATACATCCCTTTAAATATTTATAGAAGTATAAGAGATATTTAGGACTCACATATTTAAAAACGTTCACTGTTTGACAATTAAATCCTTTATAGTTCTTAAATATTTGAAATAACATTAAACCCTGATATTTACATAAATTATTTAATTTGATATGCCAACAAAAATATAACAGTTTTATTTACCAGGGTTTACAAAAAAATTTGAGATTTAGCTATACCCAATAAAGCCATTTGCATAATTATATTTAGAATAATTTAAAAATATATTCTATAAACTTTTATAAATATTTCTACTAATATTTCTTGCCAATGCCTAATGTAAATGTTTATTCTAAAAGTATTTGTAAACACTGAAATAACACTACTAATTTATTTTTAGTTTGTCAGCAAAATTTAAATATGAATGTATTATACCAATTATTAACTAAACAGTTCTTAAAAAAATATTTTTATGGTGCACACAAGTTTTAAAAATATCTTTATAATACCGTATTAAAATATGTGGTTTATTATTTAAAACATGCATTTATTTAAATTTTTCCAAACTCCTTAGTTTTCCTATTAATTTTGTATTGAACTTTTTAATCTCATTGTCCAAACCACACCCAACACTAACCAAATTTGTCTGCCAACATTTGTTGTGTTCACTATTATTTATCGTAAATCAAAAATACTTGGGAAAATATATTTAAGGCTCAGCACTTAATAAATGTTAATCTCTACTCATAGGATGTACAAATGTTTATGGAAAGCCGTTTACACTTACTCAGTTCATGTTAATGTTAGTTTAAAGCAATTAATCGTATTTTATAAACTACCTATTTAAATGTAACTGTCTTTTCCTGCAATCTAATTGCAAGGCCACATCTCTCTACTTAACGTCATTGTGCTGGCATTTTATGATTTCGAAATTTAATTTGCTCCATCAATGTTTTTACAGCACCGTCGTCTTAGTTATAGCCGACACGCAGTAGATGACAGAGATTTGTCCACCCAGGTGAGTACCTGTCCACTTAAAGCACCAGCAACTGGCTTTTGCTAAATTTAAGCAAATAAACTCTAAACTAAATGAAACTTTACTCTCTTTCAGGTCAATTACAAAATGCAAATGAACTTCAGGCGCATGTTCAACGATCGCAAACATCACAAACGGAGCAAACGTGGTGCCAGCAATAAGGTGAGAGATTTCTGAAGTATTTTACACCATGAATCCTATTTTAATGGATACACCGCAATATCCACAGGAGGCCAAGGAGAACGTTAAGCAGAATCATGTTTCCTTCCATGATTTCCAACAGAACGGCACTACCAAGCAGCTCACCAATGGTACGGAATCGAGTTCAAACCATTCACGAAAAAAATCTTACAGAAAAAGACATACTCACAATTCACTTAACAAATATCGTAGATTAGAAATAGGTAAATGACGCTAAAATCAGCAACAAATTTTTAAGCAACCGAACAGCAGTTTGTTCCATTCAAAAAATATGTCCGTAGATCAATCAAATCAATTCGTAGAATTAATTAATTTTACATTTTTCAGTTTTCCTTTGTACAATGATCAGACGGCATATTAATGTTTTAAACAATTATAATGCGCTGTCTTTTTAGTTTGTAGAGAAAAGTGTAGTGAATTTTAAGTTTGAAATACAATTTCATGCGTCATACTAACTCACAATAACTTTAATTTTTATTGTCATGTAAAGCACCCTACTAAAACCAAATTATTATTATATTTTTTCCAAATTAAGATTTATAATTTAGGCGCTTACAAGGTACAACTGGCCAATCAATGTCTTTATTTTATTATTAAATAAAGATGGTTATCCAACTCTATTTAAATTTACAAAATAATTAGGCAAGGTACTACCTTATAAACTCCTTTGTATACTTCTACCTAAATTGATTTGATAAGGAGAAAACCTTAAACATTTGGTATTTAATTGGTAACTAATTTGATTTCAACCGAATCCTTCTCTTTCTCCCCTGCATCGCTCTCCCCTCCAACTGATGCCAAACAAAAACCAAACGCACACATTTGGCCCAAAAAAACGTTAACGAAATTTGTGCACTAATCGAAAACAATAACCCAAACTGCAACACACACATACATAATTGTTCTGCCTGTGCCCATTTATTTGTTAACCCAAACTCGAATCATTCAAAGACTATATTAACAATGTGCTTAATGAAACAGCCGAGGAGTGCCAACAGAATCCCAACGAGATCAATGTTGTTGGCCCTAGCGACGACTGGGATGATGGCCTGACCTTCACCGCTAAATCATCACGTAAGTGTTCTCATTACTCCCCGAAAGCCATCCGTATTTGATAACAATTTTTATTTCCTGTACCAATCATTTGAGTTATGAGGTTGTCTACATAGAGCATAGGCAGCCCCTAGATGGTTATGGTTATCTGGCCTCCTCTCTCTACATATTTTTGTTTCTCCTGCTCTGTGAGCCAGTTTTTTATAAGTAATCAGAGGTCATATGGCAATATCTGATATTTTCCATATTCTGATTGTTGCCCACCTTGTTTGTTTTGTTCACACAAAAATGCCATCATTTAATTAATCGTATCTTTTTTTTGCCTGAAATGAAAGGAATCTTCAAAAGGTTTTATAAGTATTTGTACATAAATCGATTAGTAGAGTAGCTGAACAAGGTTTCTGTAGTAGGTAACAATAAATAAATATAAAATAAATAATACAATTGTCTTATACCAAAAAATATTTTAGTTTTCCGGAGAAAGCTTTGCTAGTCCTGTTCATTTTTGGTTTATCGTTTTAATTTCTTATGTATTCTTGCATTTGTTTTTTATCCTACCTACTAAGGAGAACCTAATAAAAGCTATAACAACGAACTTTCTACATATTTTTTTCCTGTTTTATGCCTTCCCAATTATTTCCAAAACCAATCACTTCAACAAAAAAAACACCAAATGATTAAATGTTGCTGGGCGCAAAAAATAAATGAAATGAATACAAAAAATTACGATTAGCTGACTCGGATCGCGCCAATAACAATTCCCTGATAGCCCACATCCAAAACCTGCCGGGTTTCGATGCCTCCAAGGCGCGTATCGTCGTCCAGCATTATGCACCGAAGGTCGACGATGGTCCGGAAACAGATCTAGAGTCGCCGGATCAGGCTATTGGGCCCACGGCCGCCGAATTGATATTGCCGTGGCGGCGGGATCGTTCATACCAGAGCATTGGTAAAAGACATCATCTTCAGATCCATCATTCCACCCACAAACAAAGCAAAACAGCAACGACATCTACAACAATCGTTTTGAATGCTATAAATAGCTCACTTCTCGCTCATTTACATGCTTAGATTCATGGTTAATTTCAGATCATTCATTTTTTCCTGGAAAATCAAACATCAAAAAAATAGATAACTAAATATGAATTCAAAAAATGTCTAATTTTTTGTTATTATTTTCTTGATCAAAAGATATAAATATTACATTTTATTATAAACAATACAAATGAACTAAAATCAGTTTAAAACTGTATATTTCAAAGATCTAGAGTTTTATAGACTTGGAAATATTCAACAATACTCCATCCTATCAGTTGTTCCACAATTACACCTCTACATTGCGCAGCATTGCCTTGTACTTAGACCTCATATAAAGCCAGTCATTAACTCTTCTTAAAGAGCGCCCTAAGCTTAGTTGAATAAATCGTATTTTGTGCTCAGCACTTTGCGCGGTTTGGTCGATTTTTTGGTTAATAACATTCAGTTTATCAGTTAGCGCCTAATAATATGATTTTCTTAACTCGATAAAGTTGAATTCCTTGATTTCCACCCCAAAACTATTAGCCATGCTAAGTGTTGCCTAGATGTAGCTGCCCATCTAATTAGTTATCATTACATTCTGTTCGTGCGTCGTTAACGTGAAATCGCTCGTAGACGGCAATTGCCATTGATTGGTAGATAATTCTAGTCCTCGAATGCAGTTTAAAGTTACCATTGTCAAAGCTCGAAATTACCTGCATTTAGCTTCATAAACTTACCTAAAACCAATTTGAAAAGTCACCACAAATAAAAGATTTTGTTATTGAGAAATTTATGAATAAAGAAGAAGAAACGTCGAACCAAAGCATGGCATTTTTGTGCATGACCAAATTTTCTTTTCATTTTTTAAAAATTTTCTTCTTTTATTCGTTTTGTGCCTCTTTAAAATGTATTTAATAATGGAAAATCTAAATAACCCGGGTAAATTGAATTTTTAGATGTTTAAAAATATTTCACAAGTACTTCTTTATTAGAGATTCCAAAAAAGAAAAGGATCATTGAAATTGAAAATGCGTCGGTATTCAAATACGAACTGTTCTTTTGTAAAATTCAAAAATTATTAAATCTTCAAGAAAAGCCTACACTTAAAAAGCTTAAAGAAGAAATGACCCATTTTATATTCATCTAAATTTGCATAGGAAACTTTAGATTTTAATAATTATTTTATTACGTGACATCTAATTTCCTTGAGTTGAGCGCACCTTGTTTGTCTTTTGCCCTTTGACTGTGTTCCTCTTCCATTAAATGCGCTTATGTTAAGAATATGTTGAAAATATATCCCAAAATGGCCACCCAAATCGACAATCGACAGCTAATAGCGAAATCTGCAGTGCTGCATGCCCAAGCGAAGCCAATAGAATTAATTGCCCATGAGATATGAACACTCCAATGTATATTTGTATTTTAAAAATTTTCCATTTGATGTCTAGTGGCCGAGCATCCCATTCCCGAGGAGGACCGCAATCTGTCCCGCGAATCCGATGGAGAAAGGCGCGTGGCCACGCCCACCGCCACGGAATCCCAGCTGCCGTGGAAACGACAGGGTGACGAATGCACGGATGCAGTGCAGCAAAACGAGTTCCCCGCTTGGGCTTCGAACAAGGAGTACTTGGCCTACAATTCCCCCAGTGCAACATTCCTAGGTAATGCATACACACACCCAAATCCATTAAGTGTTTAAGGATAATAACAAAGGAATGGGAAATGAGTTTTCCGACAACAACACAACAATTTCCGAATGGTTATTTGGGGGGCTCTCCTTTGATTGTTCTATCTATATTGAATATTCATGTCCTCAGTTGATTACTGTTTGTGAATTGGCTAAACCGACTGGGGCTGCACAGAGAAGAATTATTGATTGGGAATTACAAGACTTACGAGATCGTTTTTTCGACTTTCCAAGTAAACAACATGTTTAAAAACTTTCAAAGTAGAAAATCCCAATTTCAAATTATTAAGTTAATTATTTAATTGAATTAATTTGTTTTTCTCTGTGTAAGCCCGAGCTGATTTGTATATACCAATCTGGATGTATATTCGTCTAAATATATGTACATATATAGTTTACTTGTTTGTATTAAAAGCACAAGTGAAAAAATATGATGACGGTATCCAAAAATGGCAAAATTGCACCCTAGTTTTTGTGTGTTTACTGATTTGTTGTTGATTTCGTTGTGATTTTCCTAAAATTTTCCTTTTTTCTTTCTCTCTTTTCCCCCGCATTGTTTTCCCTCGATAACTGTTGCCCACTCCACCAACCACGCTCCACATGAAACACCACACGAACACCCTGTAAAAACCAAACCCTCTAATAACGCGCCCAACGAACCCGCAAAAAAGGTGGTATAAACAAGCCTAAACAGCCCAAGTCCGTCATAGGTCTCTTCCGGCGTGAGAGTTCCAGTTCGAAGGCCGGAAGCGTTGGCATCGGCAGCAACGGAGCTGTGGACACCGCCGCCAGTGGGTCGGATCCGACGGTTGTGCCCTTGTCCATTCAACCGGCCAACGCCCCATCGACGTCCATGCACAATCCACGGCTGGACAAGCGCTCCCAGTCGATATCCTCGGGCTCACTGGGCGCCGGGGCACATCAACTGGGTCCGGATGGCCACTCCGGTCCGTTTCCGGTCACCGCCAGTCACCGACGGAATGTGCGGCGGGGCTCCATGTTGGAGCTGAGCGGGTAAGTTCCGTGTCCACTTGGTCAGACACCGAAAGACTACACACCTTATTGTCTATGCTCATTGGTTTGTTCTGATATTCATCTAGTTATTTTGTGTTTTCTGTAAGACTGAAATGGGTGTTTTAAAAAGGTTTTCATAAAATTAAAACGTGTTAAATGTTACTCTTAAACTGGATTACCAAATGGAATACCAAATTTTTTTTGTTAGGCGCCTAAAAGTTTTTTATTCAATTTAAAAAAAAATCTTAAATATTTGTGTTAAACCAAATGATTTTTCCCTAAAATAATATATTTTTCTCATAACGATAAAACTAATGCTGAATATATTTATAGACAAACTTTAAGGAATGTTCCTTTACATAATCAATCCTTTTCCGGTACGGTATTTTTCAATTTGTAAAATTTCAGCCAAAGACCCGTAAATGACTGAATATCTAAGCTAGTATTAATTTTAGCCAAGTCCCAGCTAAAAGCCCATTTCAGTAAAAGTCTCTTTATTTTATGCTTGTATATATAATAGCTAACTAATATTGCCCATGATATGATTTGTTATTGGTTGAAACTAACACTTACCCATTATTCCGTAGCCTAGTTTTATATTTTTTGGTTATTTTATTTTTTTAGCTTAAAAACTAGAAACTAGAAGAAACCATCATCCAAATTATTGATAGACAAAATATTTCGCTTTAAACATGTCTAAAATTAGCATGGCAGGACTTTATTGTCAATTTCTTTAATTCTGTTGAAGAAATTCACTCGTTGATTGTCCTTTTATAATCTAAAAAGCGTTTGTTTTCAAAATCCGTTTATAACTTCCAGTATATACCAACTTATCCCTGTTTTGGGATTTTGGGCTTTTTTATCTCAAAAGCTTTATATTTCCCGTATTTCCTTGATATTCCTCCCGCCCATTGTCTTTAGTTGCACCCTTCTCCGAAAATTCAAAAAAAATCCTTGCTTCAATTTAAAGTTTAACTCAAAAAGGCCTTATTCTGTGTTTGTCGTTATTTTGTGGCTGAGCCTCGTCTGTTTCTTTTATTGTGATGATTATTTTACAGACTCATTGCAACTGGACGAAGGCCCAGTAGAATTTTGCAATTTAGTCCGGGAGCAACTAATTTACTAGAGTCAGCCAAGATCACAACTCCTTCTCCTCCACCTCCTACTACTTCAACAATAATACCAACAACAACTACAGTAAAAACAACAACCACATCAACCACCAAGAACAACACCACCAACAATTCAACAGAAACAACATCAGCAAGCGCGACTAACTCGACGCCAACCTCCCCGAAATCGGAGGATAGCATCCCATATACGAACTATCCAAAGTAATGAACTAAACCGAAATCAAAATGTCTTGTGAAATCCAAACCGGCCATTAACGAATTTCGAAACTCTGTGAACTAAGAGAAAAGCTAAAACTACCACAAATACTAGCGTACATATGATAACTCTAAATACTAACCACACGAACTTTATATACGAAATATGTTTATTGTATATAGAGCCACAGATCAGAGCATATCATTGTAGAGTAACAGTCAGTCCTTGTAGGCTAAACTTTGCCAGCGATCTCTCTTTTCATCTCAGCTGGAATTGGTTTTCTGTACTCAAAATCGATTCCGGTGATTAAAAGTCTTGCAATTGGATTCGAACTTCATTCCTCGCACCTGGCCCCACAAATTTCGCCTTATTGTCCACTGTATATAACTTTGAAATCAGGATGTTGTTAATTGGTGATCGGTTGATTCAGTGCCAGACAACCATATTCTGCATTAAACTAAATTTTGATGGGCTGCTGAAGTTGTTCAATTTTGTTTGCAGTTTTACTGACTAGAACCCATTTATTGTATAGCAGTTGTATAACAGTCCTATAACTTAAAATTAAAACGAGTGATCGAATTTAAAAGTTATAAGACAGTAATAAAACAATTGTACGACCGTAGTAATACAACCCATTTATAATTTTTAAACATCGAACTTTGTGTTTGTTTGCTTTCTGTTTTTATGTCTTAAATGTATTTGTGTGTTCGATTCAAATATGCATTTCAGTTTTGTATGCAATATTATGATCCTTATCAGCATCCAGTCTTTCCTATCCTATTTTCTAACCCAATCTTCAGCCAATGCAATACAATTTTTAAAAATTAATTATAATAATGATGTCTGCTGTGCTGTGTTTCTTTGTTTTGTGAATATTCTCATCCGAAAAACCGAAACAAATCCGAACTAAATACTTAACAAACTAATAACTGGTTCACGAACCCACCACATTGGTAAACGATTTGATGTAAAATTATATTTTTTAGCGGCGTATCAATTGAATCTGATTAGTCAAAAGCGAAACGAGCACAAGGCTAGAGCAATTAACTAGCTAAACACCCACTAAATGCACAAAACACACACTATAAATCTACACGCACACAAACACACACTGACACCAAACTGTTATACAGTTGAGAGCACCTGTGATAACTTTCCCTAGACACCATTTCAATACTTAAAACAAAGTGTATCTTTAAACGGCTTTAATCACACAAACTATGTGTAAGTATTAGACAAAATATCTTTCAAAAGTGTTATACGTATAACACAGTGCCTGGGCTCGGCACAACTAACAATCGAACCCACTTAACAGCTACACTTTTCTCTGTGCTAATCCCTAAACAACTTTTTTTACCTAATCCTTGGTGTTCGAACACAATCCAATCAGCGGACTCAAATAAATTGTATTGTATTTACGAATCCCGTAGAATAAATGTAAAGTAGAACTGTTATACTGTGCCTTAATCAAGTCTTCCTTATAAGCTTATGCTTCCATCTTCTTGTTCCATTTTAATTTGCTTAAATGTAGTGCTTAAAATAAATATATATATTTTAAAAATTTTTCCCTTATTGTACGTTTTTTTTACCAAGTAATTTAAAAATCTTCCTTAATTAGCTGTAGCCTCACATGCTAACATTAACCCAAAACGATTACCCAAACCAAATCATTAGCCAAAATTGATCACAACTTTGACATTAACTTTCTACGCCTTCTCTTCACATCATCCCACCATCGATTACCAACCACCAAACCACCTACAAAAACCGCACACACCACACAACACCACCAACAGAGACACAATACCCGAGGAGTCGTCGTATCAGCACGGGCACTCCAAGTCCTTGTGCGAGCCGGCGGATTCGGATGACTGGGAGGGAGCACCACTTTCCGCCGCCGGCGGAGCCAACAGCGAACGAGCGATGCGGCTGAGCGGCCGAGAACCGCTTCTGCCACGCCCCTCCAACACGCCGCGCGCCCAGATCCGTCGAATGAACGCGGGGGCGGTGGGCGGAGCAGCGGTTACCCAAGCTGGCCGGAAAAACCAGGTGACCAAAGCTCTGTTGGACTACGAGGATTCCGAAACGGATTCCGAGGAGAACGATGACGATGAGGATGAGGACTTTGATTCGTACGATGACGAGAACATAGTGGTCACCACCTTTACGACTCCGGCCACGGGCAGGAGATCCGGTTCCAGTCCCGGATCGGGATCGGAAGCGAACAGCGCCACCACCACCACCACGACAAGCATTCGGCTGACGCGGAACAACGACGAGAGCATCATTTGAGTATCAAGCACGGATGGCGACGTGGAGGAGGAACTGGACGACGAGGATGACGAGGATCTACCAACCATTCCAGTACCGCCATCCCGAAATCCAAAAAGTTCGAGGCGGCGTCTGTTCCCGTACGAGATGTTCTACTAACCCCACACATTTATATGACCTAGTTTGTAAGCCTAAAGTTGACAAAGAGTTGCAAAATAGTTTCCCAAAAAAATGGTTTATAAAAAAGCTTTATAATTATATTACCAAACCAAAAGAATCGGACGAAAGCTTAGATAAGGGAATAGCGAAAACAAATTGTATATAACACCAGATTGGAACCACAAATTGATTTCTTCTTGCTCGTTTAAGTCGCTTCATAAGATTTTTAACTTCCAGTTTGTGTTTAGTGATTAGTTCCGATCAATTGTTATTATATACCACAAACGTATATATATATCGAAAACCGATTTAGTGATTACAGCTGATGTGTTCCAAAATAGCAAGCAAGCAAATTAATTGTGTAATATCTAACAAAGCGTAGCCAAAGTTCTTATTAAGCCTATAACTAACGTTGATTTCTTTGTTTATAATTTAGACAAAATGTACCAAAATGAGATCACATTTCGAGAATGTGTTGCTAACAGTACTTAAGCGCGTACTTAGTTCGGTAATATAGTGAAAACGCAGAGTTTAGTTCAATTTTAGCCTTAGTTAATAAACAGTTTAAAGTAATTCATTTCTATATAGCCGCAGAGTCAGAACTAAGAATAGCACAGCAAAGTTTTGCTCAGCTGGAGCTGTAAGTTAAATAGCTTCTACATTCAAAAGCCTATTAAAAGTAATCTTTTAATGCATTTCAAAACTATGGGAGAACTACAGAAATCGTTGGACATTGCAAATCACTTGAAAAGTGTTGAAAAAATTCAGTTTTTTTCCTAATTTCTGTAGCATCTTCATATGTTACCCTCTTATTTAAAAGAAAATCACTCGACAGAGGCAGTTGGGCAAAACTTTGGCTGACCTTAACTATAAAAAATATACACAAATCAAGTAACTAATAGTGGACAGGTAAATGGACAGAGTTATGTAATTTATAAATTATTTTTGTAAACATTTACGAACGATAAAGATTAAACTTAATGGTGGAAATGTTCGAACGAGCGAGAGTTTTGCGAACGATTTTGTGTGGAATGAGTGCATGACTAGGATTGAGCTAACCAAGGATAAAGAAAAGATAAACATGCTCAAAATCAAGTAAAATAAACTAGAAATAGTTGAATACTAATAAATTCACTATGCTGACGTAGATTTGAAAATGCATAAAGAGAATAATTACCAGACCAGACCCAAGGGGACACACGGAGCCAACTGAGAACACAGTAGCCAATATCCAGAATGGGATATATTCTGGAACCTACCTACCTAAAAATATGCGGGAACTGTTAACGGTAAATCGTGGAAATGGAACACATACCTACCTACTACGAGTAATAAAAAATATATATATTTTCTAACTGATGTGCAACACGCCCCTAGTAACAACTATTAATTTAACCCTCTCTATGACTTAAGTAGTTTGTATTCGCATTATGTTCTATCCAAGAAATTGCCTTCTGAATATGCACACCAGATCAGAGAGAATTGGTTATCTTAGTTCGTTCACATTTTTATTTCTATCAGAAAGACAATAAGCAGCTACTCTTGAAAATTGTCATTTCAATAAATCTTCAATGGAAACACATAAAAATCAGAGCTGTGTTATATTGTGACCAGGTTTTCTATATAAATTTGAATTATTCCACTATATTTCCTAGTTTTAACGTGGATTGTGGCACAAGCAATTTATATATTGGACGCTGGGTCATAAATTACTTGCTAAAGAAAACTTATATTAAATTCAATTGATGACTAAATCGAGACAGTGTTTGCAGTTTTCATACCGTAGGCCTTAAGTTGTGCATACTTCAACATTAATAAAAATATTGATAGCGCAAAATAACAAAAAATAAAAAAAAAAAACAACCACACGATGCAAACCCGAAAGAAAGAATTGTAAATTGTTAAACTGATTTTAAATATTAAATAAGAGAAAATTTTACTAAAAATAAAATAAATGAAAAAAGCGAAAATAATCTAGAACGAAACTTCTGTAATTTGGTAACTGAAAAGGAAGCGGTTGCTTCACCAGCATCGCCACGGACCGAATCGTTTCTTGGGCGATTGAGGTTGCCAGTCGATTACCACTGTTTTTCCAACCAGCCGGTTGTCGTTTTCCTGGAGCATAGACTTCGCCGTAAGCTCATTGCATTCAAACCGAACGTAGGCGCATCCCATGAGCTGTCCATCCCGCCGCTTGGATATGTGAACAGCTTGGATTGTTCCCCGCAGTTTATTCTTGGATACGCCATCTACATGATCACCCGAATCGGCTTCAGATTCTGATCCGCGCCACTGTTGCCATAACCTTTGAATTCCGTTGGTTCTTCTTTCAGTGGCACATTGATTAGGCTTGATCCCTGTGGGTGTATAGTCACAATATAGTAACCAAATCTTGTAAGTACCGTAGTCGGCTGTTCCGACCATATATTTTGGTCCTACGGAAACACATATAAAAGAGTAATATTACTTCTATAAGAACTAATACACCCACTTACTTTTCAAATACGAGTTATAAAAAATCAAAAGCGTTTTGTTTGAAGTTCCTTTTATACATTTATTGCACCAAATATGTGTAATTTGTTATTTTCATAATTTAATTTAATATTTTTGGTTTTCTCTTTTTACTTTTCTTCTAATTATGTTTGAAACTGATATATTTTAATATGTTTAATGTTTTTTTTGTTAGTTTTGTATTTCTCGAAGAATTTACTGTATATTTACTCGTATGCATTGTGTGTCTGCAGAAGATGTCTATAAGTTCTCCTCGGTTCGGCTTGTATATAGGTAAATATATCGATGGTCACCATTTCGCGTTTAAAGTGAGTCTCAGTGTAGGTGAGTGTGCTAATGCGTATAGAATTTGTTGGGGCTTCCACCTTGTCGGTAATTATTCTTAAGCATTGTTTACAATAATTAACTTTTGTAACGATTAAACAAGTACGCTTATATGAGCATTATATGTATGCGGGGGTGTATATGTGGGGCTCGAAATGTACGAATATCTCAATTAACACTTTTGCTTTGCTTTTTCTAAAGAAATTTTAGTACTTTCTCTATATAGTATGTATATCTTAGTTTTTGGTTCATTTAAATTTATTAGTACATATATGTGGAATCAATAATCAACCCAACATTAGCTACATAAATATGTGTTTATGCTTTAAGAATGCCCCCGCCCAGCCGCCGATCAGTTGGGATTCTTTCGACAACCGATCGGCGCTTTGCGGGGCTTATAACGATTCTTTACTTTGGTTTCGTTTAATAGAGCTATAGACGCATAAATAGTCGTGGTATGCAATAAAAAGTTACGATTAAGTTAATCCATGTAAGGTGACTTTTTTGGTTATCATTTTTTGAAAGGCATTCGACAGTGTTTCTTCATATGTACGAAATTGCGTAGATACATACAAATATGTGAGTGATTTTGTTAAATAGACTAACTGTAACTAGCATAAACAGATTCGAACAGCATAACGTGGCCCTCTATAATATCCGACTACCGTTCCAATCGGGTTGAATGAACTTCTCTATGTGGATTTTGTACATACTCAATTTTTACATCTCATCCATTCCTATGCTTCGGATACAGATACTTTAAACTAGCGGCAACCAATTCAACACTCATCAATAATACAATAGACATTAAATAAATACAATTATGGCAGTTGAGACAAGCGCTTAAATTAGTTTTTAAATCAAGTATGTTACTCAAAAAAAGAAGTTAATATCTTTAATATTATCAATACTGTTGCCCCGTACGTGTAAGCTAATATATTTTATCTCCCGTTGTTTCCATTATTCTTGATGTCTTCGTAGTTTTCATTAAGATTTTAGAAAATGGTCATCATGCTTAATATTTAGTTAACAATAATTCGTACTCCAACGTGTCGGCTGGAATACTTTAAATATATACAATTATATTCGGATATTATTGGAAAACACAGAAAACCATCGTTATAAATACTATATGCGTGTGTGTAGTAGCATTTGGGGGAAAAACTGTTGAATATGCTGGCTTTTATCGATAAACACATCTAGTACAACAAAACTGTAATTGTCATTTGATATCCTTATGTATTTTGTAGTTTCCATATGCAGATTACTATATAAATCCTTTAAAATGTGACTTACTAGATTTCGGTTGTATCTTTCGTTTGATTGGTTACGAACATGAGAGCAATGTTTGATTCTATAAACGATTTCAGATGAGATCTGGTTACTAATTCTATCAACAAGTTAAGGGAATTTCACACCGAAGAGGATAAACATTGTGAAAAAGTGTCGTATGGCAACCATTCAGTTGAACAATGTAAATAGCCAACTTTTGGGCTTTTAAGAATATCGTACGAAGTCCGGCTAGGTAGTTACTGAGGATATTGATGCTGCTGCTGATCTTAAGATAACCCAATTCCCAAGGGATCGTGTAGATTTGTTTGTCGGTTTTTTGTGTAAGCAGTGCCTGTTGCCACTTAAAGGCCAAAGCCGAAGGCTCGTTATACGTTTCCTGTTGACAATGGAAATTGAAAATTGAAATCGCATTTAATTGATTTACTTTATATACAAAATACAAATATGCAATACAAAATATAAATATGCGGGCTAAATAAATACACAAATGAATTAAAACTAGAGATTGGCTAAACGAAAGAAAGAGAGGGCGCCAGCGATAAACTTAGTAGTAAATTAAAAACTAAATAATCACAATTAACAATTAGATACATCTCGGAAATATTGCAACAAATTAACATCGAGGCGAGAAGAAATTGGCATGGCTTATTCGATATCAAAGATAATAGGTAAAACTAATAATTTATGTAACGGAATGTAGAAATTAGAGAGCTATGCTTAGAGCAGAGAGCTGGAACTGCAGGTGTGAGATTCACTGCTTGGTGGTGCCATTAGCTTTCACCGGCTTACCGGACGTCACGAAGGGTCCCACATAGTTGCTGGGGAACAGACCGGAAAGGCCATTCAGCTCGCCGCGCCACCACTCCGGCTCATCCCGACCCAGCACGCTGATAATGTCGTCCTTCTCAAACGACAGCTCGTCGTCATTTTGTGCCTTATACGGGTAGAGAGCTATGACCTTGTCTGTAGGGGTTATACAAATTTAAAAATCAAGTTAAAACTGATGTTACAAAATACTTAAAAGGAAGAACTGCAAAGATAATGCAGTGCTCTTTGGTATTTCTGGATTTTTAATTATAACTAACCCAAGATTTGCTCAGTCATTTCAATACGACTTCCGGAGACTGGAGTGTTGCGTCCACTATTGCGCCCGCCTTGGAGGACCTTAACGTATGTGGCCGGGAACCAACCGATCTGCCGGCGACGACCCTTGGCCTGCAGCTCACCCTCCCACCAGCCGGAGTCCGTCTTCTTGCGGATCATGATCAATTGGCCTCGCGTCAGCGAAAGCTGCTCGGTGCTGGTTGCCTCATAGGGAGCGATTACTTGAGCAATCTCCGACCGCTTGGCCCGCATGCCCTGAAAGATTAGTACAGAAAAAGATTTTCGTTTAAGCAAATGATACAATTAATGGCGTAATAACAGGCGGTGTCAACTATTTACGGGTGTCATGGAAGAGGTGCGTGACATGGGTCGGCTGTAGCTCTCGGCCGGCTCGCTGCTTTGTGTCTTGGACTGTGTATTGATCTGGGAAACTTCAGTGTCGAGGTCTTCGTGCGCCTCCTCAGCGCCAACCCCTGGGCTGGCGATGGGCTGCTCGCTGAGCTCTTGGACAGGCAGGGGCTGGAAGAGCTGCTCCTGTGCCTCCACGGGAGCAGCGGCGTAGTCAGCGTTGCCGTTCAGCGTCGTCTCCTGGTTTAGTGCAAGTGTAACGACAACGGTGGCAAAAAGCACAGCACATGAAAAGCATTGGATTAGTAGATGGACATGAGGGCAACGGTTAGACACGACTCTAAACTTTGGGGTTGTGAACTCTGTATAAGTGAACAGCAGTGTGGGTCGAGCAAAAATTTTGCCTGTCAAACTATATATGGGCACTTCCAAAATGTCGCTCGGGACATTTGCACACCTTTAAAGTTGAAAAAAAATTGTAACAAAATTGATTTTAATTTTAATTATGGGCATTTCCTTTCACTCTCCCCAAGCTCTATTTTTTGTAAAAATCTTGATTTTGTACCACTTTTAGTTTTTAAGATATCGTTAAAAAACTGCCGTATTCGCTCGGGACAAAAATAGAAGTGAATTTCGGGGAAGTTCAGTCAACACCAGAAATGAGCGAATTCTGATGGAATATTTGAATGCCAATTTTTTTAGAATGTTGTTCAAACATGTCGCTGTGAAATGGTTTTGGTTTTACTCAAAAATTGTTTTCCGTTGTTTTTTTATGCAGTTTCAAGCACATTCGCTTGGGACATGTCGCTCGGGACATTTTTTCCGACTGTTTTGTAAAGTGGATTTCTTTACCTCTATCCCTCAATTGCTTTATGTTTTGCTTTTAAATTAATAGTTTAACATGTAAATGAAGCATTCAGTACAGAAAAATGTCACATATTAGCATTCCTATAGGATAAATTAACAACAGAAGACAGGTCCAAAAAATAACAAAAAAATGGCCAAAAACTAAATTTTGTGTATATTTTTGGGGTTTGTAATAAAAATATTCAAACTATACTCCAAATTTTTAGTTTATCTCAGGATCCAACTTATTAGAAACTAATATGGCGGAAAAATCATGTGGAAATATGTTTTTTTCAAGTTTCAAGTTTTTTGTCTTGGTGGACTTTTTGCTGGAAGTGCCCATATACAAAATTAATAAACAATGCAACATATTTTTCCCTTTTAATTTTAAGACTTTAATTAAAAAGAAGAATAATTTAAAATGTTAACAAGTTCCTATACTTTACGTCCTTAGGACTTTGTTCCTATACTTTACGTCCTTAGGACTTTGTATAAAATGAATTTGGTTAATTATTAAATTATTATTAAGTTAAATTAATGTTAAGTTAAACAAAATTTTTAGAACTGTTGGTTATTACTTGTTTCATTAATACTTTATCTTTATCTTCGCGTAAATATAAAATATAACGATATACCAATCGATTTATAAAACAAATGGACCCACACCAAACTACAGATTTGTACAGCTATCCACTTACCTGATCCAGAGCTTCTACCGGATCTGCAGTGACCGTGCTCGCCGTGCCCACGTCCGCCTTTTGGACGTAGTTCGAGGGGAACATGCCGGTGCGGCTGCCAATGGTGCCCGTCCACCATTCGCCCTCCTTCTTGATGACCATGACCATCTCGCCGGCGCCGAAGCTAAGATCGCCGTCTTCGGCGGAATCATAAGGATATGCGGCTATGTAGTACTCGATATCGCCGGCGGCATTAAGATCGGCGGAAGCTGCCGTAGCTTCGCTGGTATTTATATTGTCATTGTAGGTGTCCGCCACGGCTGCCACTTCGGCTGTAACTTCTGGCTCGACGGCGGCGACAGGGGCAGCACCCCCATCGTCCAGTTTCTCCACATAGGATTCGGGGAACCAGCCGGTGTGTCCGTTTATCTCGCCAGCCAGCCATCCCGGCTCGGCGTTCTGTTCCAATGGCACCAGGATAATGTCACCCGGCACGAAAGTAATCTCCTCGGCATTGCGCGCATTGAACTCGTATACTGCCTGATATTTCACGAACCCCTCGGGGGCCGGTCCACTCAAGTCCACGGCTGGAGCTGCCACAGCAGTGATGTCGTTGCTCATGCCTGCATAGGGATCGGCGGCAGTCGTTTCCGCCTCTCCCCAAGCACTCGAAGTGCCTGTGTCCCAGGCCGAGGTCACGCTGGTCTCGTTCTTGCGATTGTACTTCAATTCCAGCACCGAGGTGCGCTGCACATCGTATTCCTTGTACAGATCCTCGCATTTGGCGAGCAAAGCGGAGAGCTCCGCCTTGAGCTCAGACATCTGGCCGTCGTTGGAGTTGATGTCCTCCTTCTTCGACTCAATCTCCTTGCCGATGTTCTCGACTTTGTCTTTGATTTGGTTAATCAACAACTGTTGAAGTAATTAATATGTGATTAAAACAATGAATACTAAGACTTGAGCGACTTGTCTCACCTGCTTATGGGCAAAGGCCGCATTCAGTTGCTCCTGCTGTGGATTCTCACCTCCCAAGGCAGCGCCACTGGCCTTGCTCTTGGCATCCCACTTGGCCCGCTCCTGGGTGAGCTGCATGAGCTTGGCATTCTGCTCCTTGATGCGCGCCTTCAGCTGCGACATTTCGGTCATGGAAGTGTCGCGCTGAGTGCGCATGCCATCGATTACGGTCTTAACATTGGTCACGCCAGCGCGAGTGTCGCAAATCCTCTGCGAAAGATCCTTGATCTGTATGTAATTTAGATAAATTGGATTGGTTAGTTTAAATGAAACCATAATTCCTATGTTGGTCTCACCTTTTCATTCAATGTGCTCAGTTCCACGTTAAGCTGCGTGTTGTGTGCCTTCTGCTTCAGAACACGCTCCTGTTCCCGCTCCTTCTGTGCGTTCATCTCAGCAATTCTAGCCTGCTCCCACTCCTGCTGGCGCTGCTTCTCCAGTTCCCTGATGGATTAGGAAATATATTAAAATATTTTCTAGTTTAAAGCACAATTATTATGCTTACTTTCTAGCCGCCTCTTTGGCTTCCAGTTCCCGCTTGCGCTGCTCCTCCTTCTCCACCTCGATTTCTCGCTGACGCTGGAGCTGTCGCTCCAGTTCCTCCTGCTGCTTGCGCTCGGCCTCCAGACGAGCCTTCTCACGCTTATCCGCTTCGTCACGCTCCTTGCGCTCCCGCTCTTCCCGCTCCTTGCGCTGCTGGTCCTCCATGATCTTGCGCCTGCGATCGAGTTCGGCCTGACCCTTTACATAGTTCTCCTTGCGCTTGTCCTCGAAGGAAGCTGGGAAACGGTAAAACATTGAATTATAAGTAACATAGCAAATATTTTAAAGAGCTATATTTTCATCACTTACTTTGTCCGGGCAGTCCGGCTGTTGGGTCAGCATCCACGGCTCCTACTCCGCCCTGCGACGACACGGAGGCGTGCCGGGAGGCGGGCTGCGAGCCAGGACGCGACACCACCCCAGATACAGAGCCCGGGCGCGACTTGATTTTGCGCAAGTTGGGCGGCACCCAGTCGTGGGGCAAGGTGACCGGTATCTTCTCGCCACCCATGGCCTTCTCGCACAGGAACATGGCCAGAATAAACTCGTCGCAGTTGAGCCGCCCATCGCCATCGATGTCGGACAGCGTCCAGATCTGGGCCAGCGTCACCTGGGGCAGCTTGCTCTGCACGAGGACACCGCGTGCCTGGGCTCCGGTCAAGTAACCAGATCGGGTGCGATCATTGGCATTGAACACCTGCGTGTATTTGCGCTTCTGGGCAGCTTGAACGGCCCACTCTGCTTGATTGCTAGAAGGATAGAGGAATAGAATAATTAAGTATAAGTCATAAAAAAGTCTTACTATTAATCATTAAATTTAAATACTTAAATTATCTTCCTGAGAGAAGAATTACATATTACTGTTTATTATTTGTTAAATATACATAAATAAGGGAGCCTTTTGATAATGAGGATATTACGAATTTACGGTCCCATCTCATACCTAGAACTTTCCTACTTCGAAATCTATTGGACTCAAATCCGAACAAGGGAGAACGCTATTGTTGGGTGGGTGTCCCGACTATCTAATACCCGTCACTCAGCTAAAAGGAGTGCGAGGGAGATAGATATATAAAGTTTTGATTGCGCATAACTTTTTAATGAATGGTCCGATTTGAAAAATGTCTTCTACATTTTGATAGGTAAAAAAATACACAACAAAATTGCATTTATACTTTTCGGAAATCTTTAAAGGTGTGGGCGCCAGACACATTTTAAAATCGTTAGTGGGCGATTTTGGGCGTTAGAGGGGGCGTGGCGCTCGGCTGAAATAAACTTGCGCTGCGTAGGAAGCCCAAGAATATGTGTGAGAAATCTCAACCTTCTAGCTTTTGTATTTTCCGAGATCTCAGCGTTCATACGGACAGACAGACAGACGGACAGACGGACATCCTTGATCGACTCGGCTAGGGACCCTGATCAAGAATATAAATACTTTATGGGTTCGGAATCGCGTTCTTCTAGCTGTTACAAACTTTCGCACGAATACAATATACCCATTTACTCTACGAGTATCGGGTATAAAAATACTTACATAGACTCAATGGAGGGCGCCCGCTCCGAGATGGACATGTGGCGACTGGGTGGGTTGCTGGAGGGTGGCGTGGGGCCAGCGGGCACCTTGGCCAAATCCACAACTCCGGGTGGCGAGATGACAGCAGCCACCGCAACCGGAGGAGGAGCCACCACGGGAGCGGGAATTACGGCGGCGACTGGGGGCACCATTCCCTTGAGCGGATCCAATGGGCTCATGGAGCTGGTGGAGCCACGTGGCGTCATCGAGGGCGTCTTCTGGCCATCGCCGACGAGGGACGCGAGCAGGCTGGGCGGCAGGACCTTGGGCACATCCATGCCGCGCAGCTTGAGGTTGATCAGCTTGCAGGCTATGCTGAACTCGTTGATGTTCATCTTGCCATCCGAATCGGTGTCCGCCAGAGCCCTGGAGATAAGCGGATGGTGAGTAAGTGTGGAGGCTCTTATCTGTGCATGATTCACGGGGGCGTCCCACATACTACATATACATATGCAAATACTTACCAGATCTGGCCCAGGATCAGGGGCGGCAGCTGAGATTGCAGGAAGAATCCTTTGGCCTGGGCGCCGGTCACGAAGCCAGCCTGCGGCTGGAGGGCCTTAAACTGTTCCTGGTACTTCAGGCGCTCCCTCGGGGTCACCGCCCACGCATCCACCGCCGGATTCATTTTCGCCAAACACACTTTATCCTAGTTTCTCCGGAAAGCTCTCTTCCTCTTTCTCGTCCTTTTTCCGTGCCTCTGTGTGTATTAGTGCGCTCTCTTCGGCCGCTTTCGAGTACACATCAAATTCGCTGCGCACTCTCTTCGCCGCTCTCTTTACTACGGCTATCGCCTATTGAGTATCCGTTTTGGCACCCACCACCCCACAAATTTTCACAATGGATTTTTATGATTTACCTGCAATGCAATTGCAAAATTAATAACTGATCACATCACACACGTATGTAGGCAGCAAATCTGAAATGTTCCCCCACTCGATTTTGAACGCCTTTACTTTTCGCTTTAGTAGGCGTTTTCTCTGGGCAACCGGAAAGCCAAGCCATCAGTTCACTGATAAGCGATGATCTGGTAAAATCAACGCCGACGCGCTTATTTATCCCTTATCTACCACTTTTAACGGCTATTTTGGGGCTTACTTTGCATTGGAAGAGGAAAATTTAGTATTTGCGTAAATTCAATCAATAGTAGTGATGTGTAGAGGTGGATAAACATCGATGGAAACACCGATGTATCGATGTTTTTCGTGCTAAGAATAGCTTTTACATTTTCTAATATTATGTTAAACATTTACTGTTATGTTGGTATTGTTGTCTGAAGTATTTTAGCATGATTTTTTCATTCTTATAAGTCGCATGCTTATCCTCTAAATATCACCTAAAAACATCAATTTATCCGATGCTTTGATGTTAAAATTTAAGATTAATTAAGATATTTGGGGGATTCCCTAAACTGATGAATTGCTGAGTTGTTCAATTTCTGTCAGCTGTTCATAAGCTGTCCCTTACAAATTAAATTCTCAGATATTTTTTCTGAATCGTTGAAACCCAGAAATGTCACCTTAATACATTTTTGTATCAACAGTATGAAATTTGTACTTTTAATCGAATTGAAAATATATTTGTAACTCTAGGGGTCGTTCCCTCAATTGCTTAAATTGTCTGTTGAATTTTTAACAATTTAGCAATTCAACAGCTTAAGATCGTCGGGATTTTCCGAACAGAAGAAGTCTATCCCATCCGTTTATCAACTGATGGATGGATCTTTGTGGGAGGAGGCTATAAAGAAACTCTAGTACAGATTTTAAAATTAAAAATAAATAGTTTAAGTTAAAACTCCAAACACATCTTCCAATAGATATTCATTCACCTTCTGGGTGATCCATAAGGATTTGCAGATTCGAAAATTTTCCAATCAGTGTAGCATCCAAAATTTTGGCATTTGAAACAAATAGGTAAACACCTAAATTTTTTCGTGAAAAAAACATTTATTTTTAAAGTGAATCTAAAAAACTTCCGCTAAGACCAATTCAAATTGTCCGGTACAGAATTTGAGGGAACTTTTTAAACTTTTCCGGCGTCGTACAGAAGAACAAACTTGATCACTGTTTAGTGATCCATTACTAATAGCTTTCATTAGTGAGAACTTGTTGTAATCACTTTCAAAATATTTATTTTTGTGAAAAATATCGATATATTGATATGTTTTTCCCATCGCTAACCTCTAGCTTGAATTCTTCCTCTTTCGTTTCGACCACGTGCTGAAATTGGTGGTAATGTCCATAGCGTGTCCAAATTTTTGACGAAACTCATGTAACAAAATGTCGGAAACTTCAGAGGACGAGCAGGCGCAGCTGCAAACCAGCGACGAAGAGGAGCTAAGTGGCGAGGAGGAGCAGGAAGATGAATCGGCAGCGGAAGGTGAAGAAGATGAGGATGACGATGAGGCGGCCGAGAGTGGCGCCGATGGTGCCGCCAGTGGCTCCTCCGAGGTGGAGGACGACGCAGCCGATGATCAGAAGCTGACCTGGAAAGATCTCGTACGTGGAACACTGAAAACCTTCTTCCAGATCGCTTCTACTTTCATTTTCCCCTAGGGACTCAATGAGACTTTGTGCCAGGCCTGCGAAGAATTGAAATGGAAGGCCCCCTCGAAGATCCAACGCGAGGCCATTCCGGTGGCGCTGCAGGGCAAGGATGTGATTGGCTTGGCCGAGACTGGTTCCGGCAAGACGGGAGCCTTCGCCCTGCCCATTTTGCACGCCCTTCTCGAGAATCCACAGCGATATTTCGCCCTGGTGCTAACGCCCACGAGAGAACTGGCCTTCCAAATCGGCGAGCAGTTCGAAGCGCTTGGTAAGTATCCTTTACCATCTCATTTTGATTATTACTTTTACCACACCGTGATGTTAAACCTGTTTTGATTTTGTTTTCCAACAAAAATATGAAATTATTATTTTCTTATTCGTCACTACCTCTGAGTTAACAACTTTTCCTTAGTTGTACAATTAATTTGAATTTGAAAACCTAATGCTGGCTACTGTGTTTTCCAGGCAGCAGTATTGGCATCAAGTGCTGTGTGGTCGTCGGCGGCATGGACATGGTGGCCCAGGGTCTGCAGCTGGCCAAGAAGCCGCACATCATCATAGCCACACCGGGTCGCCTGGTCGATCACCTGGAAAATATGAAGGGCTTCAACCTGAAGGCCATCAAATACCTGGTCATGGACGAGGCGGATCGCATTCTCAACATGGACTTTGAGGTGGAGCTGGACAAGATCCTGAAGGTGCTGCCGCGCGAGCGTCGGACATTCCTGTTCAGTGCGACCATGACCAAAAAGGTGAAGAAACTTCAGCGAGCCTCGCTCAAGGATCCGGTGAAGGTTGAGGTCTCCAATAAGTACCAGACGGTTGAGCAGTTGCAGCAGTCATATCTATTTATTCCCGTTAAATACAAGGATGTCTACCTCGTGCACATCCTTAACGAACTGGCGGGCAACAGCTTTATGATCTTCTGCAGCACCTGCAATAACACTGTTAAGACTGCCCTGATGCTTCGGGCATTGGGATTGGCAGCCATTCCCCTGCATGGCCAAATGTCGCAGAACAAGCGACTGGCGGCCTTGAACAAATTCAAGGCGAAGAATCGTTCGATCCTCATCTCCACTGACGTGGCGTCCCGCGGCCTGGACATTCCCCATGTGGATGTGGTCGTTAACTTTGACATACCCACGCACAGCAAAGACTACATTCATCGTGTGGGAAGAACTGCGAGAGCGGGTCGCTCCGGCAAGGCCATCACCCTAGTCAGCCAGTACGACATTGAGCTGTACCAGCGTATCGAGCACCTGTTGGGCAAGCAACTGCCCCTGTACAAGTGCGAGGAGGACGAGGTCATGGCCCTTCAAGAGCGCGTGGCAGAGGCTCAGCGCACCGCCAAGCTGGAACTGAAAGATCTTGAGGATACAAAGGGTGGCAGAGGCCACAAGCGCGGGGGCGACAACCACGACGATTCGGAGCACTTCACAGGAGCCCGCAAACGAATGAAGCCCATGGGTGGTGGTAATGGTGGAGCGAGCAGAGGAGGGGGTGGTGGTGGTAAAAAGAGCTTTGGGAAGAAAAACTGGAGCAAAGGCAAACAGAAGAGATAGTCTAGACTTTACTTATAGGTTGGTCTCGACTTAAATTAGTGCTACTGTAGTTCTTAATAAAAATAATTATAATGAAAGTGTTTTAAATATGTTTACTCAAGACCCGATCACCTAGTGACGAATCGCACCGGAAGTGTGCGCGATGAAACATATGGGCAATTCTCTGGCGATGTCAAACAAGCCAAAAAGCTATATGATTTTGCACTGATATTTGATTCTAGTTGATGGATCCTCAACTAAGCTAAGGTTACAGAAAAACCACCTAAGAAAATGACGGAAAAAATTGTCGCGTGCGACATATATCATGTGACAGTCACTCCGATGCCAATAAAAAAATAACCACTCAATATTATGTAACCAAACCAAATTTAAAAAAGAAAGAACACGGAACACTAACGAAATTAATTGCATTAAAATATTCCTTAACGTTTCGTTACAATCGAAAGTTAAGCAGGAAGTCAAAAAAGTCACTTCTATTGGTGTCGCGTGCGACAGTCTTGGTTTTTTTTTTATAGATCTTAAAAACAAAAAATTTCCTAAAGTCAGCCCTAGCACATATTTTAGTGCAAGTCAAGACATTTAATTTGAGCGTAGTGTTAAAAGAAAAGAAGTACTGGAAGATAGTGGAAAACAAAAAGAAAGCCTGAAATGCTAATCAAACATGATTTTGCTTACAGAGGGGGTTAGGTCTTGCACTTTTGAATTTTTTTTTAAATTTGTCTTTAATATTTATTGTGTCTAGAATTCACTTAAAAAATATGAGATTTGCGAATTGCGTTTTTTAGGTAATTTATTCTAAAGCGTCGCAGATAAATTACGTTTTTCTCGAATCCACGTTTTTATACACCGTGATCATCGGCATTTCTAAACCTCTCAACTTTTTAACAGTGAAATATTAAAATATTAAAACCGCGCTTCTCAGGGGCGGGTTTTTTTAATTCTTAAACGAAATGTAAAAAGAAAATGGGAATCTGTTTTTTTTTTGGCTGAGGTACAGTGAACATCCCAAACGACTTTTTCTAAACTGTAGCAGCAATCGCATTGCCACACCCCACATTCTAAATACTTTTAAAAATGTAGGTGCTTCATATTTTGCTAAATCGGACTAAATAAGAACATTTTAGAAAGTGCATTTATCTCCTGCCTTAAGGCCTCTTTACAGTTCAGATGGAATGTGACATGGAATCGAATTTTTCATACAAATTTCAAAATCTGAGATGGAATAGATTCCATTTTATTTTTCATTTCGAGTTTACACTTCTAATGGAATTTTGTCAGGATTCTTAGAAAAGCCTCATATGTTTAACATAGATTAAAACAATTTTGAATAGAAGCCCTTGTAAAATTTAACATTTGTTCGACAGTAACAGAAATTCGATCTGTTAATATCATTACATTTGACTCGATTGGAATATGTGAGTGGGTACATATTCCATGAGAGTACATATGAAATTTATGGTGTTCATTCCCTTTCCTGTCAAAGTGTTTATGAGTTTGAAAAATGTCGGGAGCAAGAAAAAACAAAAAGAGGAATCAAAGCATCAGCCGCGAGGAAACCATTCAACTGATAGAAGAAGTAAAATCACGCCCGGAGATATGGGACTTAACCAACAAGAACCATAGCAATAATAATGCTGTTAGAAGTGCTTGCGCAGCCGTTAGTGCTGCCACCAACAAAGAAGGTGAGGAATTTTTATATCAATAAAAATTGGATGTGATCATTAAACATTACTTTGCAGTCAACGAGGTCAAGTCAACCTGGCTTTCACTTCGTGATAGCCTTCGCTATCACACGAAGAAGAAAGCAACACAGATTCTAAAAAGTGGTAGCGCTGGTGGCTCAAAGAATATAAACCTAGTCGAATCCGAAAAGACGGGCCCCGAGATAGACTGGGAGATGGCAGAGCATATGTCATTTCTGCAGGGGCTGTCTCACAAAAGAAAGTAAGTTACACAAACTGAAACCATTGTTATTAATATTATTTTTTCAGGACATTTGCTTCTGTGCACGCCCCATCCACTTCAGAAAAACGTGGTTGTGATAGCCCGGCAGAGGACACTGAGGAGGCTTCGTATGATTATGTAAGCTTCATAAAATTCCTATTTATTCTTTATTGATTGTGATCGGACAAATCGCAGAGACCAAAGAAGAAGAAAAACAGTGACCCAATAATCTGTCAAACTGTAATGTTCATATGTACGCAGATGATGTACAAATATATGTAAGTCGACCTTTATGTGAGATGTGTCATTGTATATCTATATGTAATACTGAATTAAACAAAATACATAAATGGGCGCAAAGAAATGGTCTGGGACTAAATCCTAGTAAATCAAAATGTCTGATAATTTACAAAAAAGCACTTGAAACTAATAACTTGCCCCGTATAGTAATTAATAATATTCCCATTAAATATGTACAAAATGCTGTTAACTTGGGTGTAACTTTCAACAATACCTTGCAATGGAGTACACATATTACTAAAGCAACAGGAAAAATATATGGAATGTTAAGGCAGAGTCTATTTACGATATGAAGTTAGAGCAATGGATAGATTCTAGAACTCTAATTTTCGTTCATAAGATTATAATGACAAATGAACCAACCTACCTCGCTGACAAACTTGTGCATGCCCAATCAAATCGAACTAATAATTTAATACATCCGAGAACAAGATTACTGTGTTCTCAGAGACAGTTCTACATCAATGCTGTGCGCCTGTGGAACGAACTGCCTCATGTTCTCAAATCAATAAGAAGTGCTAATCAGTTTAAAATTAAATTAAAAGAATTTCTAAAAATAAATAACTCTAACAATTAAAGATAAGTTTAGTTAAGTCCTTTGTAAACAACTATGTAGTATTTTTAAGAAATATTGTCAGCTATAAATTTACTATAATTATCAACACGGAGTGACTAGCGTACTAATTCATAAGTTTCAAAAACTTGTAATGCTAGGATACAATAAACAAATAAATTAAATTAAATTAAATAGGAACCGAAATTGGAGAACTGCTCAAGTCAGCGAAGGACCTCATATCGGTGGTTCAGACCAAGCAAGACAACAAGACAACTGGATCCCTGAAAAATGTCGAAATGTTTTCTTTTTGGGACAAGATGATGGAGGACTTTTCCGAGGAGGCCCTACAACAAGTGCAGGTGAAGGTGACGGCAGCAATAGCTGAAATTGGAAAAAAGATCGTGCTGCCAAAAATAAAAAAAATAATAAAAATTAAAATTGTGTCTTCTTTATTTTATATGTGGAACGTTTCTCATTCATTGGTTTCTTGGACAAAGGCTGCCCTGTTCTGCCATGGTACGGCGCCTGCGTTTGAATTTATATGAGCACATAACTGGTTTCTAATCATCTTGCCATAATCATTTGGCCTGCCAATATATGGCTGCAGCGATGTTAAATTGTTGTGTTCAATTGATTGTTCCTCAAAACCGCCTATGTAATCAACTGTGGCATTTCTTATTAAAAAATTATGAAGTAAGCAGCATGCCGTAGTAACCTTTTGTGCTGTCTTTGGTTGACAAATAAGAGTTCGTTGCATGCATATCCACCTCCAGCTTAGTATGCCAAAAGCGTTCTCTATGCATCTACGAGCACGGCTCAATCGATAGTTGAAGATGCGCTCCGAGTTTCCAAGATTTGTTCCGCTATAAGGCTTCATAATTCTCTTGCAAAGTGGAAATGCATCGTCACCTATTAAAAAGTACGGAATTCGATTTCCATTAATGATGCGGTCATTTGGAAATTCAAGTCTGTCTCCGAGAATATCTCTTCCAAATTGTGATGACGAAAATACATTTACATCACCTTCGCTGCCATACGCTCCTACGTTAATGTAGGTATATGCATATTTAGCATCACAAATGGCCATAAGAACTATGGAATGAAATCCTTTATAATTATGAAAGGCACTACCACTGCTTGCTGGGGCCCGGACAGCAATATGTTTGCCATCGACGGCCCCTATACAGTTTGGAAAATTCCACTCGCTTTCGAAGTTGGTAGCGTAATTAAGCATACGATTTTTTTCCCAGGCCGGGATTTCGCCGATCAACTCTATCGCAATAGCGTCACTAACAGCAATGACAATACCACTCATACTGTCCTTGCTAATGCGATATGTTGATGTTACATGTCTTTGGATATCTCCAGATGCAAAATATTCCATCACGATTGCGAATTTGGTTAGAGGTGGTATCGCGTCAGCTCGAGTTTCCCGTAGTGGCTGCAAATGCTTCTCAATTTTCGAAAAAATATTCATAAAATTTTCATAAGACATTCGGAAATTTTCCAAGAACACTGGTGGGTTATTGATCATATCGACAAAGTCCTTAGCGAATCTGCCTTTTGTGTTTCGATCCTTAAGATAGGGATTGACCCAGCACTTGCGTTTGCTTCTTTGGTTTTTTTCACGTTTTTTTTTCAACAACGCCGCGATAGCCAGATTATTAATTGCAAGTTGCAGTAATAGTACACTAAAATGAAGACAGTAGTGTATAAGTTGCCATCGAGATTATTGCGCTCAGAATGTATCTAAATACGTACCACTCATCATCCATTCTAAAAGAATACAAATCGTTTTTTCCGTTTAAATTTGATAGAACGAATTTGGCAGGGCAAGTACTAAGAAAAATTCCATTTCAAAAATTCCTACTGAGGTGTAAAGAGGCCTTTAAGAAAAAACTTTTTAGTTAAGAGAACAAAAAACATTTAACTGTTCATTTATTGATCGTTTTTTCTCAATAATACAAGGTAATTATACAGAATTAATTAGAGATAAATGATAATGTAGATATGAATTTCTTTGTAAGGTGGGCTGTGTATATACTGCATAATGTCAGAAAAGAAAAATTTGATTTGATTTCATAGATAAATAAATTCTTTTGTGGGGCTTATTAAAATGCCCACAATAGTCATGTTCGTCTGAACTAAATTGTTTCCGTTAACGTAATGAGCGGTTATTGGTAGTATACTAAAATTTGCCTTCTAAATGGCGGACAATACTGACCAGCAGCATGAGATGCAATAAGTGAGGGCGGACTGATATCTGCCACTGGAGGTCATTGCATTGCGCTTACACTCTTGATTACTAGAATCGACAAAATGGTTTCTTTCAATAATACAAAAAAATAAATGGAGATATGTTTTCTCCAAGTAACTTGATGGGCAGATCATTAAGCTAAATTTGTTTGTGGGGCTTATTAAAATGCCCCGAATAGTCATTTGAGGTTTGAAAACCATTGTTTCCGTTGAAGTTGTGAGCGGTTATTGGTGGAGGCGGCACACTAAAATCTGGGACTGGAGGATGCCTTCCAAATGGCGGACACTGCTGACCAGCAGCATGTGATGCAATATGTGGAGGAGGACCGGTATTTGCCGCAGGTGGGTGTTGCATTGCGCTGAAACTCCTTTTTTCCAGAAGCGACAAAATAGTTTTGTTCTTTCTACACGTTTCATGATGTAGTTTTATCAAATCCAGGGCTTTTGGAAATTTTGGTCCGCGACAGTCGACTGAAGACTGGAGTATGGTGATCAAGTTTTCAATCGGTATATCGAAATCATAAATCTTCTTCAGCTCCTCCAATTTCTCGAAATAATTCTCCCAGTTGGCGCTGGACAAAATACGTAACACCGTCAAGGTCATGTCGCGAAATTTACTGGCTTTGCATGGCAGCCACAAATGCTGCATAATGCAGCGGACGGCCTCTTCCTGCATCCCGCATTTATAGAGAGCCCCAAAGACGAGGTCGAGCAAGGGTGCGGAGATGGCTTTGTACAAGCGGCAGTCGGCCAGCATATTTAGCAGATGCTGCCACAATTGGCGACGTTCATAGACGTCCACAAATGAGGCGGAAAAGGTCTGGAAGAGGTTAAAGCTGCGCAGCATCTGTCGATAGGTGTTCACCAAAGTCTCCTCGTCCATTCTGACCAGACGCCTCTGGACTTCGCCCAAACTGTACAGCGTGTGATCGCAGTTGAACGAGCGGCACATGTTGTCCACAGATTGCATGCACTTGACGCCAAAGATATCTGTGATCGACAAAGTACCCTGAGTCGGCGGTGTCGGATCATCGGGCAACTGGGGGATGAAGACTGGGCTGTTTACCAGCGGAACTGTCGGTTCGGCCGGCAGACGGTAGGGTGGAGCGAAGACGGGCAATGTTTCCTTGACCCGTCGAGCGGCGGTTGCCTCTTCGCGCTGCTGGCGAGCGGATGCAGCTAGCGGAGGATCCGCCAGTTGCGCCACTGGCGCAGGCTTGGTCGTCAGGTTCTTTTTCTTCTCCATCTCCTCCTGCTTGTACAGCAAACGCATTACGGATGGCTGAGTCTTCAGTTCTTCGGGACTTATCTTTGGAATCCTAAATGGATTCATGCCCTGCACCTTGGGAGTTTCTACTGCGTCAATTTTCTTAGGTGCTTCCTTGGCGGCGGGCTTCGAAATGGGTTTAGGTTCCTGAACAGCAATGTTTGGTTTTGGCTCAAGTGCAATCTCATCGTCTAGTCCATCCCAGGAAGCCGCCACCGAGAGCACATCATCGTCGTCCTCCTCGTAGTCCAATTCATCCTTCTCTCCCATGTAGATGCCCACCTCTCCTCCCGTCGACAGACTTGGCAGCTTCTCGAAGAACTCTGTGGTGCGGGCCAGCTGACTGTCGATTTCGCTGGGCGTTTTATTGTTGAAGTTCTCCAGACAGCGGTCGATCTCCTCCACCTCACGGAGCATCTCGATCGGCGTGTCAAGCAGGTCAGAGTCGCTCATTAGCTCGATCCCAGTTTCGATGACCTCACCGCCGCCCAGAGAACTATCTAGATGCATGTCGTCCAGTTCGTTGGCCAGCGGATCCTCGTCAACTTTGCTGGACGCAGGCACTGGTGGAGGTTTCTGGTGCTTCTTGTCGTTCAAGGACCTATTGTAGTTATGTTCGTAGAGGTGGCTGGGTCTTCGATTCGACGGACATTTTAAGTTGATCGCTGTCGGCGGCATGTGGGCTGGCATCAATGGGGATTTTGCGGTTATCTGTGGCAACAAAAGGAATTTGTTAGGCAATGTAAAGTCCAAGAAACTGCTTACTGCGTTTTCGCCTACGTTCGATATGGTCCGCTTCTTGTGGGGCGGCGAGTTCGTCGCGTTCTCTTGAAGTCGAGGCTTGGATGGCGGCTTCTTTAGAGAGGATTTCGACAAGTTCTGTGGCTGCTGAGTGACCTCGCCTTGCTGCGATGGCTTTACCACTGTCTGTGGAGTTTTAGGTACTTGATGTGAGGTTGATTTTTTCGGCGGTGGAGCTTTCGGCGTCTGTTGCATCTCCTTGCGTTGCTTGGGGGCAGCTTTCGGCAGTGGCTTCTGCGTTTTTGGTTTTGCTGTTGGCAGCTCTGCTGAATGCTTCTCCAATTTCAACAAATTCAATTTGGATGCTGTCTCCGGAGGCTGTTGTGCCTCCCTGAGCTCCGCCTCCAGCCTGGCCTGCTGCATAGCCTTCTCAAGAAGCGAGGGGCGACCTCTTTTGCGTTTTACTGGCGGAGGTGCAACGTTGCAAGCTTGAGCAGGCGGTTCTTTTTTGATAGAGACCACTATGGGTGCAGGCTTCTGTTCTTTGTTTTTCTTGTTTGCCAACCATTGCGAAAGCGGCAGCTGGTCATCACCTTCGTCGTTTGATTCCTCAGAAGTCTTAGCCGGCAAGGAGGAGTTCTTGCGCTGCTTATTGATCTTGCTAGGATTGGCGACCGAATCACGTCGCTTTATCGGATTGAGTGCTGTATTTGGCGCTGCATTTGTGGGAACACACGTATTTCGACGCTTGATCGCAGAAGCTTTGGTATCTTGAATGGGAACGCATGAATTTCGGCGCTGAACTGAGCTGGAAGTACTAGTAGCAGCTTCTGGGAAGCCAAAAGATTCTCGCTTCTTGATGGGATTGATGCTAGCAGTATTTTCCTTTACGGAACTCAAGAAAGGATCATCTGATGAGGCGCACGACTCACTACGCTTGATGGAACTAGCTTTCAAAGCACGTGATCCTTGGCTTTTGTGGCTTGACTTCGATGTAGTAGAGTCTGGCGAAACACATGTATCATTGCGCTTGACGGGACTTGCATCTCGTATTTTCTTGGAATTAGCTTTGGTAGTTGATTCTCGGCTCTTTTTGGGCTGAGCCCAGATTTTGGCATACTCAGACTCACGAGGATTTAGCAGCTTGGAGCTGGAAGGAGATCTTTCCTCCTTAGCAGGAGCACCGGAAACAGAATGCGCTATTGTTTCGCGACGCTTGGCAGAGCTGGGGGCATTACGAGGAAGTGAATGCGATATGGTTCCGCGTCGCTTGTTGAGATTGGGAGCTTCGGGGCGAGAACTAGTTGGTTCCAGGAACACTTCTGTCTTGGTATCTGTGGCCGAAGATGTAGGAGCGGTTTCCTCGAGAGCACTTCTCGGTCGGACCAGATATTCCGGCCTTATCGGGTCATTAGGATCCTGGTTTTAGATGGGAAACAATTGAAATAGAATTTCTCGGAAAAAAAAGGACGCTTACCGTGCTGCTCTGGATATAATATGGGTTGTCCCAGCTCTCCATAAAACCAGTGTAAATGGCGGCCCATTCTTCCTCGGGAATCGAATCGGTCCCTAGTGTAGTTAAAATCTGCTGCCAGCAGGATTTTTTCTGCCGTATTTTCATCTTCATGCCGTTTTTTTCACAAGAACCACGCGAGCGAACTTCCACTTAAGACATGAGTTTGCAAGTATGCGGTACTTTCCAGTGTGACCATCACACCACTTACTTAAGCCCGCGGAAGGTCAAGTGGCAATTAGCGGCAATTGTGGAACGGTGGAATTCGGAAAAAGGGGGCCATTTTGATTTTGTGTTCCCTCTAATTTAAAACTTGAAAACTTGTGAACTACTTATGCATTGTTTCTGGAAAATTTTATAAACAAATTATCCATATTTTCTGGGGGAAAATACCTTAAAAATAGTGGAGTTTAAAGGGACACAAGAATGCCGCCTAAGTACTTGTACTTGAACCACAGTATTACCCATGTCATAAACCGTGGTGTTCCAAGAAGCGCGCAATCTTAAAAGTTTGTAGCTTAATTAACTATCTAAAATTTCAAGACGTATGATTTAGGTAAAAGCTAAATTACTGAAATTAAACTGAAATCATGTGTGTTATTACGAATGACCCTTTTGCACAGAAGACCAGGCTCGTTCTTTCGGGCTTTCCAACCTTTGGACTTTAGTATTCTGATGAAACGTTGATGAATTCGCCCCATGTTCATCAACGACCAACATCAACGATTCATCAATATGCCACTCAGTAATAAAACCACCGACAGAAAAAGCCCTGTCAAAAGATTTGTGCCAATTTTGTATACCATGGGATATTGTAAGGAATAATTAAAGATATATTGCGCAGTGTAAAATCTATCTATCTACAACACAGCAAATCGGTATTTTCAATTATAATTATCCTGCAGCTGCACAATTCACCATATCTCAAAGATACATATTAGATCGAAAACACTCTCCTTCGATCTTCTTCACTGCGTTTCAAGCTTCTGACAAAATAAATATACCCTCTTTAGTAATACAATATCCCCAAAACTTCACTGTCTCGCATCCATTGTGTTTAAAATGTATAAACATACACACACGCTAAAATGTGTGCATTTATGAATTTATTGGTTTTGCTGTTAGTCTGGCGAAAATTACAAGGAATTAAACTACATAATTAAAATTTCTAGACGATATAGAGAAATCAAAAGTCAGAATTGTACTAATCATAAATATTTGCACAACGCACGCGGCCAGTTGCAGAGTAGCTACAGTCGTAAGGTGTAAATGCCGTCCTGCAGTTAGGAGCAAACGTCAAACAGCTCGCAGATTCCTTCGTCGCTTTTCAAGGCAAAGTTAAAGTCTTCCTGGGGTGGATTCAGCTGCACCAGCGGCGGGTTTTCTGCAACAGAATCGTGGGAAAGTGCAAGTTAGTAAGATGACCTTTAAAAATGGCAGGGATTGCCAACCTTGATTTGGATCATCAGGGTAAAATCTTCGCAGCGAGTGCCCTGACAGGTAATTTTGGAAGATAATCTTTGCCGTCAGCTCGTTCTCGAGGATCTTCATCTCATCCTTCATCTCGGGATTGCAAGAGTAGCCGTGTTCGTCGGTAATCACGTTCCCCGTGCCCGCTGCAGCACTACCATCCTCGCTGGAGTGTGACGACGTCGATGGCGAGGGCGTGTCCAGGCGGCGATAGTCGAAGAAGCCGTCCGCGTCGTGGGGATTTGTGGTACTCTTGCCCTGGTTCGTCACCAGGCGAATGTCGATTGTGCTGCCATTATCCAGTGACACGGCCAGTTCGTACTGCAAAGAGAAGACATAGGTTTCAAATTATTTACCTCTTGTGCTAATAATGAACAGTTAATAAGACCTGACTTATAAAACCTTAATTAGTACATATATATTTAAGAAAAAGTGGAGTTTCTTGATTAACTTGTACTATGTATACTAGTAGATAACAAATGAAAGCCAATTAAACTTACATGATTGCGCTTGATATCCACTTCCTCGTCATAGTTTGGTATGGTGAATACAGAATCATCTCCAAAGATGTCCAGTAGATCGTCACGGGTCACATAGGCGTAAGAGCGATTCGAGGGATCCTGCATCACGTAGCGCAGATTACGCTGTGCGTACTCCAGTTGCTTGTCCAGGTCATCCTCCAAAGTTTTCAGGTGATTGGTCCGGCTACGGGCTATGTCGTAATCCTCTTGGTCCTTGGCATTGTTAAAGCCCCCACCGCTACGGAAAATTTAATTTAAATTTTAATATACAAGGATATTATTAGGATAAGAAACTGGATTTAGCTTTTGACTAGAGACTTTACATACTATAGGTATTTAAATTTAATTAAAAATGTAAGGTAATTAAATAATTTGCACTTGCTAGGAAGTTCAAGATCGTGTTAAAACTAAACCCTCAAATAGTTATTCATTGGCCCATCTAAGCTATTTTGAGATTTGCAAACGCTTTAACCAACCATTTTTCTTCATTTACAGAAAATTTCGGCCTAATTTTAAATGTTAAGTATAAGGAATAAAACTGTTTCAGAGGTTCTCGTTAAATATTACTGAATTTCAGGAAAATTCCACCTGTTCGTACAGTATTTGCTGTACTTTATAGAGCCAATGCCACCCCATTTTTGACTACTTGCAGGCCTCTTTTAGCAAGGTTCGAGTTGACTGCGTTCGCCCTGAAATGCAAATGAGCACCTACCGCCAGCGCACTAGGGAGCAGTGTCTGCCCTTATCTATTAGTCCAATGCCCTCCAGAACATTGGTGATATCGTATATTCGTCGCTTCTGTACGTCCAATATTTTGGTAGCCTGAAGGGGAGAAGAGAAACGGTTGGTGTAAGCATGGACTTAGAGGTATCCACGGATCCACGTACCGCTTTCAGGTCGATGGAACCGCCGTTGGCCTTCATGAGCTCCACAAACTTCTGGGTGAGCAGGACCAGCGATCCCACGGAGCGCTGCTGTCCGGGCTGCGACTGCGGCTGTGAGTGCGAAGGGGACTTGATCGGCGTGGGCGGATCCGGGGATGTGTCCATGCTGGTGGATATGGGCTCGTAGGTCTGCGACTGGGCCGGAGATTCGTCCGATTCCACGTTGCCAGCGCCCATCATCATCATCACCATCGCGGAGGAGGTGCCCGCTGCGGAGCTGCCTTCTCTTTTAACAATACTCGCTGGTTTGCGCTTGTACATCGTCCGCAGTCGATTCGATGGATCTCTTCCCGTTCTGGTAACTCTTTGTGTGCCTGCACTCGGTATGCAACGACCAGTGACCGCGAATTAATTGTAGTTTGGAGCGAAAATTAAACGAAAATACGAATGTTGGCGCTAGGTTTGCTTTCCGCCATTTATGTCACTTTTTTCATTCTCCCTCTATTCTGTGTGCGCAATATTGTAGTATTGGAAAACCAGAGGCGATAGTTAATCGATGAATCGATAGTCAATCGACAATCGATTGCAGCTCTACATTCTAATTTAAATTTATTTTCCTTTATTTTTAAAATATCTTCACAGGCATGTGCAATTTGATTCGTCCGTTTTGTTTTGCAACTTGTCCTGCAGCTGTTTCAGCTGTGCGTCCCGCAGCACATCCAATATTTTCCACTTGGTCTCGAAAAACAACTCATCGCTGATTTGCTCCAAGTCTATTCGAATTACCTGTAAACAAACCTTATTTCAATTAAAATAAAATATAAATATAACTTTATACATCACAAAGGTTTGCTATGTTTTGCGCTTTATACTCTGTAGGAATTGAACTTTTTTGAGATGTTCCAGACCTTTGTTTTAAGTCTGAGCCTTTGTTGGTTTCTCCACCAAGGACAACCAATTCCTTTGGGGTCAGCGAAGTGGTTCTTCGGTTGCGTTTCATATTAAAGGCATTCGCCCTTTGAGGAACCCTCTGTTCGTTTTTGGAGAATAGGCTGATCATGCTGTGGTAATTTTTCTTAATGGTGCCCATGAAGCTGGAGTTGGGCATTGTTTTTTTGTGGGGACGACAAATTTACAGATACATTATTAAATTTGACAAGCTGTCCTGAGGTAAAATTGTCAACAAAGAATGTAAATGCTACGGTGCAAATAGTTTACTTATTTTTAACCTTTTACGAATCCAGTTTAACCTGCTTCAACAGTCATATCTACATTTAAACGTGTTAGATATGGAAAATACATAACAACGTTTCATAAAGTTTCTTAAAAACGTTTTCATAAATACCATAACCCACGCTTGATTTCGTAAGTAATTTGAATACCTATTTTAAACATCGCATAAACACGAGGGCGCGCCACGTTTTCTCGGGTCATCCAACGGGCGCTTTACAACACTAGCTTTTTTCCGTTTGTTTTGTTCGCCCATTCTGCTTTGGGAAAAAAATCAACGTGCTGGGGCCGAACCCTATTTTTAAGGTCAAAAGTATTTCCACATTATTGTGATTAAACAATATACCGGCAAAATGCCAGCCAAGTCAAAGCCTCGCCTCTCGCGCGGCGTCCTGGACATGAAGTTCATGCAGCGCACCAAGGTCAAAGTAGAGAAGGAGGCGGACGACGAGCAGAGTAGGGCACTGTACTCCAACGAGATCAACCAGAAGATGCTCAACTCCACCTCGAACTTCCTCGTGGAATCCAGCTATTCGATATGCGCCGGCCTGATCGACGGTCGCCTCAGTTTCCGCGGCATGAACCCGGAACTGGAGCTGCTCATGGAACAGGAGCTGGCCGAGAAGCAGGGCCGCACGAAGCCGGAGCAGCCCAAGGAGGTGTCCGACCAGGACATGGCCCAGGCCTACTATGCCAACAAGGCGCCCACGGTCGCCGGCAGCATGGGCAAGAAGTTCAGCACCAAAAAGGACTTCAAGAGAAAGCAAAACGGCCACGAGAGTGGGAGTCCGCATCCCAAGAAGAAACAGCAGTTCAAGAAGCCTCGCTCCGATGACGATTAGTTTACTCCTTAGTTGTTACACACTGACCTAGTTGCTAGTTAAATAAAATATACGAATTCAATTGGATTCGCTCAGTGGCTGTTTCACCGCCTGCAGGGCGTAGCACATCTGGGTGTTGTTGATCCAGCGCCAGGTGTTGCTCCAAAAGTCGTAGGTGCTTCCATTCACCAGCACCGTCTGGCAGTTCACTGTAAAAAAAAGTACGGGTTGTTATAGTACTGGTAACTTTATTTTACATAAGCAGTGCAGAAACCCCTACCTGGTTCGAAAACCTCTTCTATTTTAGTTTCAGATTAGAAGGTGTACAAAAAAGAGTCTTACTTTTAAATCTCAATTCTGCCGAAAAATCTTTACTATGTTTAAACCAAGGACCGTAAATAACAGTTATTTGAGATTTATATTTTAAAAGGCCTACTGAGAATTTGTACAAGTTTTAATCAAAAATTTAACTGGTTTTAATGCACTTTATAGACATAAACAAATAACAGTTATTTTGCTTTTCAGATTTGTTGACATGCATATACTTTGTGGACAAGAGTTATTTTTGACGATTAAAACAAAATATCACAGTAGTCTTTTTAAAATAAAAATCTCAAATAACTGTTATTTACGGTCCCTGGTTTAAACAGACATAATAATCGTTTTCCTTCATCAATGAGCCTTAAAAACCCTATATTTTGTAACTAAATTCTTATTTAGATCACATACATACGGGGGTGTCACAGAAATTATTTCCAACCGTAATCCGTTAAATTTCTTACGTCCATCAATGCACAAAACCAACCGTCTTTGGTTGAAAGAGATTTCTGTGAAACCCCCGCTACTACCCTATAAAAAAGATCTTACTTGTATCCAAAATACGCTGAACATCCAGTGGAGAAATCATCTTGTCCCAGTGATGCGTTCCCTTGGGCACCAGATTCAGTACATACTCGCTCAGGATTACGCCGCCGAACCAACTGGGTATGGTTTTGTTTAGGGTGGTGATGAAAATGGACCCTCCAGGCTTTAAGGTTCGCACGCTGGACTCCAGCAGCGCCACTTTATCGTCGACATGCTCCAGAACCTCGGACACAATTACAGCATCATAGCATTCGCAGTTGGCCTTGGCATGCTGATCTACTGGCTCCATTTTGTAGGTCACTGTGCTGGCCAGTTCCGGACTGGAGCACTTGAGGTGATCGCGAGCAGCCTCTATTAACTTCTCGCCAAGATCTATGCCCGTCACCTGGGCACCCAGACGCGCCAGTTGCTCCGTTAGCAGCCCTCCTCCGCATCCAACCTCGAGGATACGCTGTCCCAGCAACACCCTGGTGGTATTTACGTAACCAGGTTCCACTGTGCCCCGTGAAACGATGCCGTCTCTGATGAAGGGAACCCTGAAAGAGGTGAAAATTTAGCTTTCGACCTCTTGCCACTCGGATCACTCACCTGATCTCATTCAGAGCATGCAGGGCGCCCATGGTTCCATTTTGATTCCACCACTCGGAGGCGTGATTCTCATGGTGGCGCACCTCCTTTTGTGTACCGCCATCTAAAGAATTCGCTGTGCCGCTGCTCCTGGTCGAATTTCGCACCGCAGCACTGGCTAGCAATTGTCTCAGCTTGCTGGAACTCGAAATTAGTAATTTGATATATTCTCAGAGTTTTATTTTACGCTTACTGGCTGGCAAACAGTGAGTTTCGCAGCATTTTCGAGAGCAACAATAAACTTTGATAAAAACAGCTGACTTTGTTTTGCTGCAACTGGCGAAGACAGGGGCGTAGGGAGGATCTTAAAGGGGTATGAAATTACACAAACAAATTTTAAAACAATTTACATTTTACATTAACTTGCTGAAATATTATTGCTGTTATTGTTATATAAAATTTTAGCAAAAAAATAGACCATAAGTTTTAACCCTTTTTCCCGCCACCACTGACAAGTCAGAGGTGGAATGAAACGGTTAAAGAGAGAGAACCAATGGAATGGAACATTTTTGCAAGTTCCGATCATTGGTTCTTTATCATTCTAATTCAAGAGAGAACCGCAATACCTATCACCTGCCATATCGATAAAGATAACACAGCCTTTGTGGCTAATCACAAAACTACTCGCTTTTCGTCATGCCGGATTACAAGAGGCTCGAGAGCCAGGAGTCCGATGTGGAAGGTGGCCGGGCCAATGGACAGGGACAGGGACAGGCTACTGCCCAGGACACCCAGGAGAGACAGGGGCCGGCGGAGAATCAGCAGGCAGCCCAAATGGTGACGGTGTCCTTGCTCATGCTCCTTTTCCTCGGCAGCTCCTACTTCCAGGTAGTTTTGTATTCTTACATAAAAATATACCTTTTTTAACCCACTAACAATGCTTATTTTAGCCACGACCACGCCTCCATCAGTACCGTGGCCCTGGAGGCCATGGACTGCGGGACAAATTCGACTGCAACATTCAGCTGGTGGAGTCCATACCCATCGGCCTGACATATCCCGAGGGCAGCCCGAAATTCCTAAGCACCTACGAGGCCTGGCAGCAGCTTTTGGACAGCGCCAAGACATCACTGGACATAGCTTCCTTCTACTGGACCCTCAGGGCCGAGGACACGCCCGGTGTGGTGGATAACAGCACGCAGCCGGGAGAGGATATCTTCGCCAGGCTCCTGGCGAACGGGAATGGCGGCAGCCTGTCGCCCAGGATCAAGATTCGCATTGCTCAGAGCGAACCGTCCAGTGTGTCGCCCGATTCGAACACCAAGTTGCTGGCCAGCGCTGGAGCTGCCGAGGTGGTGACCCTCTCCTTTCCAAAGTACTTTGGCAGCGGAGTGCTCCACACCAAACTGTGGGTGGTGGACGAGGAGCACTTCTATCTGGGCAGCGCCAACATGGACTGGCGGGCTCTTACCCAAGTCAAGGAGATGGGCGTGCTCGTCCAGAACTGTCGTCCACTCGCAATCGACGTGGCAAAGATCTTTGAAGAGTACTGGTACCTGGGTAACAGCGAAAGTTCGAAAATACCGGATTGGGACTATTCCAAATACGCCACATACTACAATTTGAAGAATCCCATGTCGCTGAATGTAAACAAGAACATTACTATGGAAGGCTTTCTATCCAGCGCACCACCACCTCTTTCGGCTTCTGGACGTACCGATGACCTGGACGCCATCCTCAGCACTATAAACTCAGCCATAACTTACGTAAATATTGCGGTTATGGACTACTATCCGCTGATTATCTACGAAAAGAACCACCATTATTGGCCATTAATTGACGATGCACTGCGGCGGGCAGCTGTTGAGCGTGGCGTGGCAGTGAAGCTCCTTATCTCCTGGTGGAAGCACTCCAATCCCAGCGAGGACAAGTACCTCAAGTCTCTCCAGGACCTGGCTTCCAAAAAAGACAATATTGATATACAAATTGTGAGTATATAAAGGAACAATGGTACTTAAAATGAAATCAAATCTAAGAATACTTAAATTAGAAACCCAATGACACTATTGAAACAAATCAAATTAACAAGGTTTTTTTGTATTATTCTTCCCCAGCGTCGGTTTACTGTGCCCGCGGACCAAAGCCAGGAAAAGATTCCCTTCGGTCGGGTGAATCACAACAAGTATATGGTCACCGATCGAGTGGCTTACATAGGTACCTCCAACTGGAGTGGCGACTACTTCACGGACACCGCCGGCATTGGCCTCACCCTACGCGAAACCCACGAGACGGAGAGCACCAATACCCTGAGAAGCGACTTGCGCAACGTATTCGAGCGGGACTGGAATAGCAAATACGCCAGCCCCTTACAATAATCGCGCCATGTCGTTATTTTATTCCATTCATTTTAATCCGATCCCAAATGTTATTCAAAGTATTCAAGAACTCAACAAGTTGTTCAATCCTATTCATTGCTTTTATTCAGTTTTTGATTATGCGTGAGGGTAAATAAAAGGCTCGTTTTACGGCCATAACAGAAAATACAAAATAATACATGTACTCTCTGGATTGGAATAATGTAAGTGTATAAAGTATGTACAGTGAGCAAAAAAAATCATATACCGCGGTGTATCAGAAATCTCAATCCATGCCGATTTCAAAAGGCTTTGAGTGTCAGCGATTTTAGTTACACCTCTTATGGAAATTAAATTCATTATTTCATCTCTGGTTTGCAGTCACATGGTTTGCTTTTGATTTGTAACATGTGTCCAAACTGCATTCAACCAAGCTGCCTTGCTAGTCACTAAATATACGTGAAATACTCTTTTCAACATTAACGTTTGAACTAAATTTAGGTTGGGCGAACGCCTTTGTCGTCGTCTACGTGAGAAACGCTATCCATCTAGATGGGTGCATGGATCTATCCAGGGCCAGCTCATCCATCACTTGACATTGGCGCCGCGCCTGAGGAAGTTGTTGCTGGCGATGCTCTTCTCGATGGCCACGTGAATGGAGGAAACGCGGGCCAAGAGCGTGTTGTAGATCAGCAGCAGACAGCGCGCATCGATGGCTGGAAGAGAAATGCACATGAGTCTTGCTGGAATCTAGAGTCAATCCCTGACTTACCGGCATAGAGAATTTGCTCGCGGCGCAGTGGTCGGTTGGCCCAGTTGGAGCACTGATTTGACTTGTTTAGCTTTTTGCCGAGGCACGCCAATGAGAGATCCGTGAGAGCGTCCCCGGCCCGATTGACATTGCCGTAGGGAAGCTCTACGCCGAAGCGCTGCTTCTTCAGCTCCAGCCAAAGATTGCGCAGGTCCAGGTAATGGTGAGGCATTTGCAGGCGCAGTTGCAGTGGAAGTGAGCGCTGCAATACACTGAGATCGCTGACCATGGAGAAGCCCACCTTGAGGATGTTGACGTTGTTAAAGATGTTCGCGCCCAGAAGCCGCCAGTGCTCCGATCGCAGACTCTCCTTCGCCAGACAATCGATCAGGTAGACATTGTGACCGGTGGCTATCTGCAGCACGCACAGCTGGCTGTCTCCGCACACGTTTTGCATCCACTCCGAGTCCAGGTAGATGATATGCTCCTGCTGCAGGTGGTACAGCATGCGATCGAACTTTTCCGCCTTGTCCACAATAATAAGGCACTCGTCGGGCAGATCCATGGTCAGGTACATATCACAGGCACTCGCGGCGCAGCTGTCCTCGCTGGTGGATTCCCATCCGGCCGCCTTCCCAGCGCAATTTTGCGTGACCTGCGTCTTAATGTCCAGCGGACAATCGTTTGGATTTATGTTGAATTCCCTGTACCAGTAGATGGCCTCCGAATGGGCGCCGGCCGAGGCAATGTAGCCCACGAAGTCCTTGCGCAGGGCGTAGTCATAGGCGTGAACGCTGACCAGCTCCCGGAAGCTGGCCAGGTTGATGCGGGCCTTCTCGTATTCGCGGTACAAATAATGCAGGTAGCTGCAGGTCTTGGTGAACTTGTAGTTGGGCGTGACAGCATCGTCGAAGCCGTACTTCTTGGCCAGCCGGGCCACGATCTTGGCGATGGGTCGATAGCTGAGCACGTGGTGCGAGATTTTCAGATTCTTGTAGCGCCTGGAGGAGAAGAGCACAGAGTTAAAGCCAGTTTAAGGCTCACCAATCATCACTTACCCCAGCAAATGCTCGCAGAGCTGTATTACCGGCTTCTCCTTGTGCAGCAACGAGTCCAAGAACTTGACAAACGGCAGGCGCTGCTGGGTGGCATGGTCCAGATACTCCTCGGCCAGCGGCAGCTTCTCGATGGCAATCAGCGGGAAGGCCAGCTCCAGCATGTCGAATTCGTGCGTCAGCTGCAGGCTGATGGACCACTGGGTGACCTCCTTGTAGAGCCCGGTGTCCAGAAGCTCGCGCAACTTGGGCAGCAGCAGGTCACGGATGCCGCGCAGTCCATAGGCATAGATCACAGCATTGTTGAGGGTCAGAAGCCCAGAGGTCTTGACAAAGTTAAAGGCTATCATGCTGGTGTTGGGGTCACAGGGTCCCTCGCTGAGATGCGGGAACTCCTCGTGGAGCTTGCACACCGTGTCCAGCACAAAATGTGACAAGCTCTTCGGCTTGATGTTGCTGCTGTCCGGGCAGTTGGCGAATATCTTGAGGGCCAACAGCAGCGGCTCCTGGTGGCCCATTAGGGCCTTTCCAAACTCCTGCCGCAGATGCGGCGACTTGTTCTTGCTGTACATGTTCCACTTCTCGCGGAACAACTTGAAGAACTGCTCCGCCTCCGCGTCCAAAGTGGCGTCAAAGTTGCGCCCGTTGAGCCCAGCACCTGTTGTGATGTCCTCCAGGCGCTTGATCTTCAGGTTGGCCATCAGGTTATCCATCTCCTCCTCGTCCGACTCCAGGCCGGCGGGAATTGCGTTGTACATGTGGCTCTTGCGTGCCATTTTCCACCGGCGCCCCTTTTTCCGGATGAGCGAAGCAAGTGCAGCCGCCAATTGCAACTGCAATTGACAAGTAAAAATTTCGCCTGCGACTTACCGAGTCGTCAACAACAAAAAACGCAGGCAGAAACCGCCAATAGCGCTGGCAATTTGGAGATTTTCCCGCTGCCGCCTAATGTAAATACTAATCGACATTTGTATTTAGATGTTCATTACTTAACAGGTCTGAACGCGGAAAAATTTAAAACAGTTTTAAGAATTATGGAATTATTTGAAGCTGCTATTATTTCCAAACAATAATTCTTTAAAGTTTAATCTGTTTTTATTCTTATATTTTCTTCCAATAATCAGAAATCCCCACAATCAGAAAAAAAACTATGTCAATGTAAGCAACGCCCTCTCTTATTTATTTATTTTAAATTATAGTCAAAATTTAATATTGATGTTGTCATATTTAGCTATATATTTAGCTTTAATTGTAGCTTAATTTTCATTTCCCATTTTTAACGTGATGGCTACACCGCCTACATATTCCGCAGTGTGGCAACCCCGTTAGGCGGCACACGTGCGATTTTGTTTTAGTTGGCTCGTGTAAAAATGAAGGTGGCTTCGAAAAAAGTTAAAACTCTGGGTAAACCCAAGCCCGGAGTAAGTAAAAAGAAGCCCGCAAAGGATGCCCTCAAAAAGGCGAAAGCCAAGAAGGCGGAAATCTCCTCCGAGCCGAAAGTTATCGCCAAGAAACCAAAGACAAAAGCCACTGCGCCAGTGAAAAATGGGAAGCCCGCTAAGAAGGGAGCCAAGAAATCACACAAGGAGGAGCTGGAAGGACTAAAGGAAATCGATCCGGAGTTCTACGATTTCCTCAAGAAGAATGACAAGAAGCTGCTCGACTTCAATCTGCTGGACAGCGACGACGAGGATGAAGAGGAGGAGGAGGAAGGCAAGGCACAGAAGGCGGCTGAGGAAAGTGGAGACGACGAGGATGACGAGGAGAAGTACCACAAGCCCAGTGAGGATTTGGCCGTGGCCAGCGATGAGAGTGACTTCGAGGAAGAGGATGATGAAGCCGCCACCGGAGGCACCCAGAAGATCACCCTAAACCTGTTGCACCAGTGGGAGCAGCAATTGGGCCAGGCCAACGTCTCCATCGACATTGTGCGCAAGGTAATCCAGGCCTTTAACTCGGCCCTGGCCAGCATCTCGGCCGATGGAGCCGACGGCGGCGAGAACCAGCCCAATGCAGCCGCCTTCAAGGTCGTCGGAGCAGCCGCCTTCAACGGAGTCATCCAGCTCTGCGTGATCCACCTGCAGCCTGCCATCATCAGATTGCTGGGCGTTAAGCCGAACAGCAGCCTGCCGCTGCACAAGCACAAGAAGTGGGTCAAGGTGCGCGGCTGTCTGCGCTACTACCTCACTGATCTGATTCGCCTGGTGGAGCAAGTCTCGAGTCCCAATATCCTGGGTGTGCTTCTCAAGCACCTGCATCAAATGGCCGGCATGGTGGTGCCCTTCTCCGCCCTGGGAAAGACCATTTTGAAGCGCCTGGTTGTCCTCTGGGCCACTGGAGACGAAACCGTTCGTGTGCTGGCCTTCCTCTGCATCTTGAAGATAACCAGGAAACAGCAGGTACACCTAGCTTCCTTATTATTATTTAATATTTGCTAACATCCAAATATCTTTCAGGCCACCATGCTTAACCATGTGCTGAAAGCCATGTACTTGGCCTATGTGCGCAATTCCAAGTTCGTGTCCCCCAATTCTCTGCCCGGAATCAACTTCATGCGTCGCTCGCTGGTGGAGATGTTCGCCTTGGACCTGAATGTCACCTATCAACATGCCTTCCTCTACATCCGTCAGTTGGCCATTCACCTGCGAAACGCAGTGATCCTGAAGAAGAAGGACAGCTTCCAGGCAGTGTACAACTGGCAGTTCATCAACTCCCTACGCCTGTGGGCGGATCTTCTGGGCGCAAGTGCGAACAAGCCGCAGTTGCAGCCTCTGGTCTATCCCCTTGTCACCATTGCCACTGGAGTGATCCGACTGGTACCCACCGCTCAGTACTTCCCATTGCGATTCCACTGTCTACAGACGCTAATTTCCCTGTCCAAGGAGACTAATACCTATGTGCCAGTGCTGCCGCTCATTGTGGAGGTTCTGAAGAGCAACACCTTCAATCGCAAGCACTCGGCGGTGTCCATGAAGCCACTGCAGTTTACCTGCATCCTGAGGCTTAACAAGGGACAGCTGGCGGAGAATGGCTTCCGCGATGAGGTCATCGAACAGGTGTGCGGTCTTCTGCTGGAGTATCTTGCTCACGAGTCTGCCTCGCTGGCCTTTAGCGATCTGGTGGTGCCCACTGTGATGGCCATTAAGGCGTACCTAAAGGATTGCCGGAATGCCAACTACACGCGCAAACTGAAGCAGCTGCTGGAGAAGATCCAGGAGAGCGGCCGTTTCATAGAGCAGCAGCGCGGCAAGAGCAGCGTTACCTTTGACATCAAGGATTCACAAGCCGTGGCCGCCTGGGAGCAGCAGCTCCGCCTGAAGCGCACGCCCCTGGACATTTACTACGCCAGCTGGCTGAAGACGCACGAGATCAAGAAGCGTCGCCAGGCGGCGCAGACGGACGAGATTAATGCCGACTACGATGTGCCCAAGCTGAAGAAGCTGCCGGCTAAGTCGGGAGTGCCCGTGAGGAATGAGAACGGAGAGATTGAGCTCTTCCCATCGGATTCGGAGGATGAAGGGGACGATGGTCTGCACGTGGGATCAGACGATGATGAAGAGGAGGAGGAAGTAGAGCAGGAGGAGGAGGAAGTGGAAGTGGAGCAGCCCAAAGCCAAGAAGGCCAAGAAGGAGAAGCCCGAAAAGCTGAAATCCCAGCCAGCAGCAGTGGAGGACGATTACGACGAGGCTGGCGGAGCCGTTGATATAGTTAAGGACTTGGACTTGAACGATTGGTAGAGAATTTAAGATCAATTTAACTATATTTACACATTAAACTCTTTAAAAATACCCATACTAGAGTTACTTCTCCGGTGGTTCCTTGCCGGGAATGAACTCGTACTCCTTGTATTTGGGGAAAGTTCCGATGGTGGGTCCGTCCACCTGCTTGGGCAGCGCCTTGTCGTCCTTGCCCTTGGCGTAGGTGGCCTCCAGTTCGGCGGCGTTGCGCTTCTTCATGTCCATGATCTGCAGGTTCTTCACCAGCTCCTCGCGTGTGGGCGGCTCCTCCCGGCGCCCGCGCAGCCACGCCTCCCACTCGGCGGTCAGTTCCTGATCAAAGGCTTCCTTGTCCGCGGGTTCAAACCACCGGGAGGGCTTCCTCTTGCCAATCGAAGGATTCGCCGGAATCTCGTAGTACTTATTGCCGAAGTAGTCCTCCCCAATGAGATCCCCGCGATACTGACGCGGTCGCAGGGACTTCCAGAAGTTCTGGAAGATAATGCCGAGTACATCTCGCGTTGGCTTGTTGGCCATGCTTTCTGTTCGCTTTATTTTTTAGATATTCGAGTGGCGAGAAATTTAAACTTATTTTAGCTTCAAAAGATTTGAGGTTAGGTCTGACGTTTGTTATGACATGAACAGCTGGTGGCAGTGTTGCAAAGTGCCGGCGGGTTTAAAAGCTAAATTCAAATTCTTAAATTTGGCTTCAAAGGCAGGGCAAAAGGACTAAACCAATCTCGCTGAAAAATGGCCAGCAAGTCGGTGCGCAGACTGTTGTTGTTGTAGTCCATGTCCTGGAGGACCAATCCAATGCCGGCTGAGTGAGTAAAGTGCTCCCCCGACCAGCTGGAGGTACCAATAAAGGCAACGCTCTCGGTGACCAAATAGGAATTGCAGCTAACTCTCCCACCGGAAATCCTCTCCAGTTCATCCGTGGTCGGCACCACAAAGCGACGCTAAAAAAGGGAATGTACTCTATAAAAAGGGCCCCTTTTCTTGTTACCCAGCAGTTCCCATTACCATTTGAATGTCCACTTCCTCCCTCACTTTGTTGAGAGCCTGCAAGGACCTCAAGAAGTGATCCTCGCTGGGATCCGTGTACTTCCACCAGGAAATGAGCAGCTTGATGGCCACACCCCGCTCCAAGGCAGCCCGTCGCAGGGCATTGTCTATTAAGGGCCAGTACTCCAGCTTGTTACCACGCCTTAACTGCGGAGAATAGTCCATCAGGGCGAGGCTTATAAACTCGGTGGCCTTATCGATGGCTTCCAGAATGACATCCAGTTCGTGGCTCCTTCCAGTGGCCGCCAATCCCGGTGGCGAACTGGCTAAGTACGCCCGCATTGTATGGTTTTTGTTAATGTTCAGCAACAGGGGTCTTTTCTGATTGATGTGGGTGTGGTAGATCCAAGGCCAGTACTCCGGCACCTCATTGCTGCCCAGGTACCAGTAGGCCTTGAAGATCTTGGCCATATCTTGGGCCAGATGTGGACAATTCCTGGCCAAAATACCCAGCTCCTTGCGCTGCGTGAGCGATCGCCAGTCCATGCTGGCGCTGCCCAGATAGAAGTGCTCACCGTCCACCAACCAGAGCTTGGAGTGCAGGTAATTGATGCCCACGACATCGGCAGCTCCGTAATTGGCCAGGATGCGGGCATCCGCATGCCACAGGCTATCCTGGCTGCGGTTGACCACGATCCGCAGTCGCAGCTTGGGTCTGCCGACATCTCCGTTGGCGAGCAGGCGCTGAAAGAGGTGTTCTCCGGGCCCAGTGCTAGTGTCATTCACGTCCAATCCGCGCAGTGTCCAGTGCGGCGATACTATGTCCAGCGAAGTCCTTGCCCTGCCCAGCAGCAACTGAAAGGCCTCAAAGGTGCTCTTCAGTTGGGGGTGGCTTGCCCTCTCCCCTTGGCTGTAGTTCAACCCCAGCGGCAGGCTCTCGACCAGTTCGAGTTGACATGGCAACGGATGTTCCACGGGAACGGGGCTGTTTGCGTTCTCGTTTCGGTGGAAGGTCTCCCAAGGCAACAGAAGGACAATCATAACCAGGACGAAGAGTATGAACACGGGTATGATGTAGCCGTGGCTGCAGCAGCAAACCTTCCGCTCCTCCTGGAGCACAAAGTTGCAGTTGGGACGCCGGCAGCAGGATGTGGCCACTGGAGTGGCTTCGTCCTGCTCCCTGGGCACTGGCTGGTAGTCCCCGGGTATCTCGTGCACTCCTCGGCGCTCGGACATGGCGATTGGGTCAGGACTAATGCTGACTGGCCATTATCAAACATTTTCCCAGCCGAACTTATTTATTATTCGCACAGTTGTGGGTAACTGCTGCCCGCCCACGCAAACAAACGGGAGTAGTATTGCAAAGCGACGCGAGTGACGTCAGAGCTGATGGCTACAATCTAGCCAAATTGGACAGTTTTAATTTGGGATTAACTGCATTCCAGCCTTTTTATTTATAAAAGATAGTCTCATTATTTACCTGTCGTAAGTTCAGTGCAATACTTTAAAATGAGAGGAAATATTTATTTCATGGTGAATACATTTTCAGTTGGGGATTACCGTAAGGCATTTTAATCACGGTACTTGGGAACTAACTGTATTTAACTTGCATACTCGGAACATTGGCGAATCCATGTTCGACAAGAATTTTTATTGGTACCATTACTGCTGCCAAAATTTTGGAAAAAAGTTGATATAAATTGCTAAAAATGTTGTACAAATGGCTAAAAAATGGATAAATAATTACATTTTGGTTTTCGACCAATATATGTATGTGTTTAAGAAATAAAACACCTTTTAATTTAAAAAAAGTTTAACATTTTGTTAAAAGTGGGGCGAAATATGAGGCTGTGCTAATGTAATCGTTGCAATTTTGTCTTATAGGACCTCATTATTTCAGGCTGTTCTAGTGTACAAAAATATCTTAAGGCGACCAACATCCACGAGCTTCTAGCTAAGGGGATAAATTCAAACGGTTAAATAATTGGTATTATTGGGGTCCTATCAACACTGACAAACTAGTTAAATAATTAAAATATAATTAAAGAATTCAAACCCATTTAATGATAGTCAGCATTGAGCTTTTTTTCCGCAGTGGAGCTAGCTTGGGCGGGAAAATAGCTGACCGGCCATCGCTGCCGCCCGGTCGCGCCGCTACAAACACTGGCCGCCGTGGGAATAAGTTAGTCTGTGAAATCTTCCGGCTGAGAGGGCTGAAAATTTTGACGGCTAAAAACTTCCGCTGCAATATCAGTTCCATTTCCATCGAGTGTATTCCGAGTATCGTTTAATCAGGACGCGAACAATGGCTGCGAGATTGATGAGCGCCCAGGCACAGGTAGGTTCTGTTCCGGAGCCTGTGCCTCCAGCCGATCCGGTTAAACCACGCAAAAATATGAATATATATAGAATCTGGGAGCGGTAAAAACCCCAAAATCAAAGCTGCGATAAAGACGACTGGAAACACTGCGCGAAAGTTTGCGAAAAATCGTTGGCAAAATTTTTTGCACACCCAGCAGGATGTGGGCACCGAAAAGTCGCGAATTTTCGCAAAGCGTTTTCTAACCTAAAAACAAAATCCAAAGTTGTTAGGTAACCGAGTACGTAGTGTTTGTGATTCTATAGCCCCTGCATCCAGAATGGGTTGAATGTGGAGCAGTGTTCCATGCCAAATCGGTGGCATCTAGCAATTAACGGCAATTCGCGAGGGTTCGACGCCTCTCGCATTTACATAATCGCCTGGTCCGCAGTTATTTAACCAGGAGACCCTATGCAGCATATATCTTCGGGGGGAGGTCCGTCTTATCTGTGACAGGTTTACTTACACTCTGATAATGACCGGACTAAATATAGCTTAAATATATTCCGCTCTTCAACTCGAGTATCACGCGCCTTGGAGGAGCCTTTGCCTTTCGAGTGGGTATTTGCCAATAAGTTAATGACCTATTTGACGTAATTGCCATTGCAATTGTTGCGATTTGTTTGTGTGCGTCACGTGGACCTGCTAATTGCGAGAAATTCTCGCATTTTGTAACAATTGTAAACGTTTCTTAATCTGTGCATAAACAACAACAAACTGTATTCCCAGCTGTTTTCTATTAGCAATATATTTTTATTCAAAATTGTTCATTAAAATACGTATTTTTAACGTCCTAACAGAAAACAAACCTGGCCTTTTTTCTATCCTATTTATACTTTTACTTTAATCTATTACCAGAAATAGCATCCAAAACCATGATTTGGTGAATTAGGCACATTTTTTTTTTAGAAATTGTTATTTTTTAGTAACTAAAATTAAACAAAAATTAATATTTGTGATTTTTTAAAAAAGAAAATTTGGCCAACATTTTTTTACATTTATATATTTTTTGTTTTATTTTTCCTATTTTAACCAATTTATAACAAATATTAAATTGGTGCCAAGATGACTTGCTGCTTCTTTATTGTATTGTTTTTATTTTCCTCATGGAATATTTTTGGTCATTCAAAAATAATCAACGTGGTAAACAGACAACTTCCAGAAAGGTGCTTCAAAATATATTGCCATAGATAAGCGATCTTTTAATAACTCTTGCTTATAAAGAGGGAACTTTGCGTCTAAAAATATATCTCCAACAATAAACGACAGATATAATATAATAAACTGTAGGGAAAAACTTCAATTGCGTAGTTCGGTTAAATATAGGACTACACTTTAACATTGATATAAGATTTTTAATTTTATAAAAAATATGCAATTTTCATCTGAATATTGTAGGTGATGACAAATCCCCGATTTTTTTTTGACAAAACAACACTACTTATTGAGATTTGTACATTTCCTGATAAAGCTGTGCCAATCTAATTAAAGTTGAGAGGCCTCCTGACATGATAATCAAGTGTTTATTACGCTACCAATCGAATCAATCAAATCAGTACGGTGTGTACCACAAAAAAACTCTGGTGATAAAATATCAAGAGTTTGGCAAATATTTGAGTCTATACTGTACTTTTCATGACTGCTATATTATGTTTTGGCAATGTGCTAATTAGACGATCTTGATTTTTTCACCTTAATTTCACTATTTTGAATTTTTTCAAAGAGGTTTTTATCTTTCTACTTTCCAGGTGTGCCGACTGGGCAAGCATGTGGTGGCTGAAGCGCCAGTGGTGCGCCAGTTCCACGCCTCCTGCTACACCGCCTCCAAGGTGGCCCTGTCCAAGTTCGACTCGGACGTCTTCCTGCCGTACGAGAAGCTGAACAAGCGCCTGGAAGTGGTGCGCGGTCGCCTGAACCGCCCACTGACGCTCTCCGAGAAGGTGCTGTACTCGCATCTGGACGATCCCGCCAACCAGGACATCGTGCGCGGCACCTCCTATCTGCGCCTGCGTCCCGATCGCGTGGCCATGCAGGATGCCACCGCCCAGATGGCCTTGCTGCAGTTCATCTCCTCCGGCCTGAAGAAGGTGGCTGTGCCCTCGACGGTGCACTGTGACCATTTGATCGAGGCCCAGGTCGGTGGACCCAAGGATTTGGCCCGCGCCAAGGATCTGAACAAGGAGGTCTACGACTTCTTGGCCAGTACCTGCGCCAAGTACGGCCTGGGCTTCTGGAAGCCAGGCAGTGGCATCATCCACCAGATCATCCTGGAGAACTACGCCTTCCCCGGCCTGCTGATGATCGGCACTGACTCGCACACCCCCAACGGTGGCGGTCTGGGAGGCCTGTGCATTGGCGTTGGTGGCGCCGATGCCGTCGACGTGATGGCCGACATCCCCTGGGAGCTGAAGTGCCCCAAGGTGATCGGCGTCAACCTGACCGGCAAGATCAGCGGCTGGACCTCGCCCAAGGACGTTATTCTGAAGGTGGCCGACATCCTGACCGTCAAGGGAGGCACTGGTGCCATTATTGAGTACCACGGCAAGGGTGTGGACTCCATCTCCTGCACGGGCATGGCCACCATCTGCAACATGGGTGCCGAGATCGGTGCCACCACCTCGCTGTTCCCCTTCAACCAGCGCATGGCCGATTACCTGAAGTCCACCGGCCGCGCTGGCATCGCCTCCGAGGCCCAGAAGTACCAGGGCAAGATCCTCTCGGCCGACAAGAACTGCGAGTACGACGAACTGATCGAGATCAACCTGGACACCCTGGAACCCCATGTCAACGGACCCTTCACTCCCGATCTGGGCCACCCCATCAGCAAACTGGGCGCCAACTCGAAGAAAAACGGCTACCCTCTGGACATCCGTGTGGGTCTCATTGGCTCCTGCACCAACTCCTCGTACGAGGACATGGGTCGCTGCGCCAGCATCGCCAAGGATGCCATGAGCCATGGCCTCAAGTCGAAGATTCCCTTCAATGTGACCCCCGGATCGGAGCAGATCCGCGCCACCATCGAACGGGACGGCATCTCCGAGGTGTTCGACAAGTTCGGCGGCACCGTGCTGGCCAACGCCTGCGGTCCCTGCATCGGACAGTGGGATCGCCAGGACGTGAAGAAGGGCGACAAGAACACGATCGTCACCTCGTACAACCGCAACTTCACCGGCAGGAACGACGCCAACCCGGCCACCCACTGCTTTGTCACCAGTCCCGAGCTGGTCACCGCCCTGTCCATCGCCGGCCGCTTGGACTTCAACCCGCTGACCGACGAGCTCACCGGATCCGATGGCAAGAAGTTCAAGCTGAAGGCTCCCTTCGGCGACGAGCTGCCCGCCCAGGGCTTCGACCCCGGCCAGGACACTTACACTGCTCCCCCAGCTGTGAGTTCAAATAAATCCAATTTGTTATTATACCCGATACTCGTAGAGTAAAAGGGTATATTGTATTCGTGCAAAAGTATGTAACAGCCATGTCCGTCTGTCCGTATGAACGCTGAGATCTCGGAAACTACAAAAGCTAGAAGGTTAAGATTTTCCACACATATTCTTGGGCCTCCTACGCAGCGCAAGTTTATTTCAGCCGAGCGCCACGACCCCTAATCGCCCACTAACGATTTTAAAATGTGTCATGCGCCCACATCTTTAAAGATTTCCGAGAAGTATAAATGCAATTTTGTTGTGTATATTTATACCTATCGAAATGGAGGAGACATTTTTCAAATCGGACCATTCATTAAAACGTTATACGCAATCAAAATTGTTTGTATATCTATCTCCCTCGCACTCCCTTTAGCTGAGGTTCGAATTAGATAGTCGGGACACCAACCCGACTATAGCGTTCTCTCTTGTTAATAATTCAATATGGTTTTATTTACAGAGCGGCGAGAACGTCAAGGTGGCTGTCGATCCCAAGTCGACCCGCCTGCAGCTGCTGGAGCCCTTCGACAAGTGGAACGGCAAGGATCTGGAGGACCTGACCGTGCTGATCAAGGTCAAGGGCAAGTGCACCACCGACCACATCTCCGCCGCCGGACCTTGGCTGAAGTACCGTGGCCATCTGGACAACATCTCCAACAACATGTTCATTGGCGCCACCAACTACGAGAACAACGAGATGAACAACATCAAGAACCAGCGCAACGGCTCCTGGGGCGGAGTTCCCGACGTGGCCCGCGACTACAAGGCCAACGGCATCAAGTGGGTGGCCGTCGGCGATGAGAACTACGGCGAGGGCTCGTCCCGCGAGCATGCCGCTTTGGAGCCACGCCACCTGGGTGGCCGTGCCATCATCGTCAAGTCCTTTGCCCGTATCCACGAGACCAACCTGAAGAAGCAGGGTCTGCTGCCCCTCACCTTTGCCAATCCCGCTGATTACGATAAGGTTTGTCAAGCGTGAATAACGTGAATAAGTACAAGATTTCATCATCAATTTGTGCATCAACAGATCCAGCCCACGAGCAAGATCTCCCTGCTCAACCTGAACTCCCTGGCGCCTGGAAAGCCCGTGGAATGCGAGGTCAAGAACGGCAGCAAGGTCGACAAGATCACGCTGAACCACACCCTGAACGACCTGCAGATCGGCTGGTTCAAGGCTGGCAGCGCCCTCAACCGCATGAAGGAGCTGGCCCAGTAAATGGTCCTGGACCTACTTAAGATCCCCTGTCCAGAACTCCGATCCTAGCCCCTGCTCCCAGTAGGCGAACACACTCAGACTCACAACGCAAGCAATCGAGTTATGGTATTGTTATTCAATTTTTTTCAAATTGTTTATATTTTCTATTTTGAGTATATCGAGTGTGCTGTTTTAAAAGTGAATTATGTAACCGAATGATGGCGAGAATTTGTAAGAGTTTTATATATATAATTATACACAATATTATTTTAATTCTTGCTATGAATGTTTCCTTCGATTTTGTTCTTTTCGAATTTGTCTAAATGCTCTGCAGATTGCCTCGACGATGAAGATGATTAAGTGCGAATAAAACTCAAAGTAATACGTATTAAACCGAATCTTTTATTTAATAAACCAGAAAAGCGGACAATAAGAGTGCTAATACATCCCATGTCCTCTTTATTTTCCCCATTAATAACCTAATTGTATCAATTATAAGATGTAAGACACAACAGTGAGTTGATATTATTAATATGTAGTGGAAAATAAAGCATAATATCAATAGTTGAAATTGTTTTGGTCAAAATGGGAAAAAAGGAAATTGCTTGAATTTAATTGTCAAATCATTTCTTTAAATTACGTTTTTCTTGTGTTAAATTATCAGTAAATCAAATTTCCATTAGTTGCAATGAATCGAAGACGGAAAAGTAAAACGTCCATTGCTTCTAGCACGGAATTTTACTCCTACTCCGATAAACTTTCTTTAGGGAGAAGTCGAGCCCTTCTGGTGGCCAAACTTAATCGTCAGGAAAAGCGTAAACAGAGTAAAACGTCCTTCAACTCCACGACGGGATACTATTCCTACTCTGATGGGACTTCTTTGAGAAGGACCCCAATCACCTTCACAGCCAGTCCGGAGTTCATGCAAAACGCGAAAGTTAAACTAAAGTTAATCGCCCTGTATGAGGATCACGCGTGCTTGTGGAATCAATGTCACAAGGATTTCTTCAATTTCGAGCGCAAGGATCAAATCTGGGAGGCGATCGCCAACGAAATGAAAGCGGACTCGCCACCCGGGTTTTGGAAGCATATGATCCACAGGCTGCGCTATAATGTGGATCTGGAGCGTATTCAAGAGCAGAGTGCGAAGTTTTCGGGCGATACTGTGCCACCCAAACTGTACTACTCGGATAATCTGGCGTTCTTAAATCACATGTTTAACCGAGAAAAAATAATTCCAGCTAGAGCGATTGTAAGTTAAAAGTTAATAGCTAATTACAGAAGATAAGAAATGAATTAAGGTCATCCAAAATTATAAAACACCAAGATAAACTAATTTAATTGGTTGGCTACTATAAAATTTTAATAATTTTGTTTATTTTATAAACAATTTATTTTCAAAATTATTGAAACAATAGAAAAATATTAAAGTCATTATTTTATTATTTATTTATTATTATTTCACAATTATTACTGTTCTTAAATTATTCTACCAAGATCAAGTCTTCCGGAGTTACACTTGAGAAGAATCCGTCAAGAAACCTGCCAGTACGGGAAAAACCAAAATCTCGCACCCCCATCAGCGAAAAGTTAGCCTCCCTTGAGAAGTTAAGAAACCACCAAGCCAGCAAGTTTCTCTTCCGAGAAGCCTTTCAAAAAAGGCAAAAGGCCACCAGTGGAGGGCCCTATTATTTAACCAAGGCAAAGAATAATTCGTAGGCCTTAGTTTCCGGATGTCCGACCAAAAGAGCATGCAGTATCAAACACTTTTAAATCAATTTTTCGTTTTATTACATTTCTTTTATCATCATAATCGTTTTATTTTTTTCCGGTTTTGCCATTTTTTAAATATAGACGTTTTATATAACAATTCATAATTTTAGCTTACAATATTTTTTTCGTGTTCTTACAATCTTTTTGTTTATGCCTTTTGCCACGAAAACACTTTCTCTCTTGCAAATATACAACTTTCAGAACTTGAGTTTGCAATTATTTAATATCTGTATGTATATAATATATATATTTTATGTATATAACTAAAAATGCGTAAATTAATTGTTTTTGTTTGTTACGTGGTTTGTGGGCACATTCCTTTTCACAAAAGGAACAAAACATGAAAATGTACATAAGTATTATTGGCAAATAGTTCGCCATCTGTGTTAGATCTCGATTCGCTTAATTCCGCATTAATTACACACACACATGTATCATCGATATTATGAACCTGAATTGTTTTCAATTTTCGAAGCGGCAGTTCCAGTTCTGTATTTGCGCCTCATCAATTGCTCGTTTTACGTGTCTCTCTAAAAGGCAGGAGCAGCCGCGATGACCTCGAGGGCTAGGATCGATCCATCCGCCGTTCGCTCGTTATGCCAACTGACCGACCGATCGGCCATTGTCCCATCGAGCGCCCGCCGCTTATTGGTTGGTTGATTATTGTTTGTCTCATCTACTTCTATGAAATGGCTGTTGAAAGTTTTGGTTTGAACGCATCATTCCCACTCGGTGGTGCCCGGCGGCTTGGCTGTCAAGTCGTAGAGCACCCTCGAGATTCCATCCAGCTTGGATATGTCGCGCACAATTTGATTTAAGACCTGCAAATGGATAATACAATAATTAACATGCATATTTCGAACAGTCTTATAACGTCTATATACTTACTTGCACTGGCAGTTGCACGGAGCCGGGCTCAGCCGGCACACCAGTCATAAAGTCGTTCGTTATGAACGGGCGCAGCACCACCGATCTTCTGCAGGAGGGTGTGCGGTTAATGGGATCGCGATCAAAGTGAACGGGTATAAGGACGACAGGCATCTGTGAGATTTTCCGATACAGTCCAGCTTGCATTATGATCTGTAATGATCATTTTATTAAATTGTTTGTGCTTACCGGAGATAAATCAACTTACCTCATTGGCGATATCATCCGCTTGCCTCAGCTGCGATAGCACCCCCGTGTTGAGTGTGGTGTGCGTGATATCCGTCACCAGATACTGCACGGGCTCGCCAAAGATGTAGCACACCCTGTTTACGTTGTGCAGGATGCGCGGTATGATTTTGGCGAGGAAGAGAAGGTCCTGCCAGTTGGGCTCCTGACTCGTGGATAGGCCTACCACGTAGCTGTATGACCGCTTGTCGCCCTGCACCCCTACGGAACGAATGGGCAGTAGGGTGGCCTGGATCTGCGAGTTGGCGGAGATTCGCAGCAAGTCCTTCTGCTCCGCTTCGCTGGTGGCGCCCGTTACCCGGTTGATCAGAGCATGGTTCTTCTGCAACTTATTTTTGTAGTCCACTATCACGCGGACAATAACCTGTAATAAATTAACCAATGAATATAGGTAAATATAAGGAAATTAAAGTGTAAACATGCCTGAGTTTCAGAGTAGTCCTTCTCCATGTAAGCCTCCTCGGCGCAGAGCACACGGATCGCCAGGCCAGGACCGGGGAAGGGTTGTCTCTCCACAAGATCCGACGGCAGACCCAGGTCATTGCCCAGATCGCGCACCTCATCCTTGTGGAAGTCACACAGTGGCTCAACGACACGTCCCGCATTGCGAAGTTCTCTGAAACATTGAATTTAGAAGTGATTTTAGCTAACTAATAGGACCGATGTCTTGCACATTACCTGATCAGATCCGTGTCATTGTGGTGCGTTTTGATTGTTTCTGCATTCGTGCTGACCATGTTCGAGGCGGACTCGATCAGATCTGGCCGGAGGGTTCCCTGAGCCAGCATTACCTCTTCGGGCTTCAGCTTCAATTCGGCAACGACATCGTTTGTCACCTTGACGAATATATCACCGATTATCTTGCGCTTCTCCTCCGGATTGTAAGTCTGACAGAGCATGGGCGTCTCCACCACGGAGTACTGTCCGGGCCTTTTGACTTGCGTGGTGCCTTTGAGGAACGTGTAGCCTTCCTTGCGGACAATCAAATCGATGCCAATTTCGCGCAGAGAACGCTCCACCTTTTCACTTTCGTTCTTGCGCATGAAACCTATGGGTAGAATACAAATGACTTAGTATTAATTTGCATTGAAAAAGCATAATAATTTTAAAGTGCTCTAAATAAAAAATCTTAAATTTTTTCCTTATTTTGTTGGGTTTTTAAGCATTTTAAGTTATCATAAAATGAAAAAGAAAGAAAGTACTTTTTGAAAATTAATACAAATTACTAGTGCAAAAAATATCAGACCTAGAAAATTTAATTTCAAAATAAGATTAAATTTCTAGGATGGATATAATTGCTACTCTTATCTTCAGATTTTCATACCATTATCTACATGCACGGCAATTATCTGATTAGCATACAGGGCACGACGGAGCAAAGCTGCACAAACAGTCGAATCCACGCCACCGCTGACCAGCAGCTGTAAATTGTAGATATCATTTAAATAAGACAGTCCTTTAAGGATAAAATCATTTCCAAACTCACCAACACCTTATTGTTGCCCACTTTCTCGCGAATGTAGCGTATGCACTCCTCCTTTCGGCTGCCCATGGTGAAGTTGGGCGTCAGTTCGCAGATCTCGTAGAGGAAGTTCGATAGCATCTGTTTGCCATTGATGGTGAGGTCTACCTCAGGGTGGAACTGGACGCCGTAGATGCGGAGTACCTCATTGTAAATGGCCGTCACAATGCGGTTCGTGGACCAGCCACCTATTTTCAGATTCTCGCCCACCCGCTCCACGCTATCGCCATGGGTTAAAAGCACGGACTGTGTGCGACTAAGGCGACTGTGGGAACACAAAAGGGGTTATGTTAGACAATTCTTTCCAAGTTGTTGGAAACCGAACAATGCATTTAAGTAGTGATAAGTTCATATGTCTGGCCACGTGTAGATCAATTTATAGACTGCTCTAAACTGAACTGTTCTTGGCAATAAAATTATTCTGGCAGCATTGTATCAGCGCTTAAGTAAACTTAATCAATTCAGGCACTTTCTTGTTGCTGCTATGCCCAAATATCCTGTGTCCTGACTCACCTGAAAAGCGGGCACGAAGTCTCAATCTCGATGTTCTGTTGGCCATCTTCCCGAACATCCTTCTTGAGCACTGTGCCCCCGAACTCTTTGTTTATCAGCTGCATGCCGTAGCAGATGCCCAGCATGGGTATCTTTAGCTTAAACAGATCAGGATCATAGCTGGGCGCATCCTCTGCGTAGACGGAGTTGGGTCCTCCGGAGATGATGATGCCCCGATAGCCATTGTTGCGTATCGTGGCTGCCGGCGTGTCCAATGGCAGGATGTCCGACTCCACAAGGAGTTCGCGAACCTTGCGGTCGATAACCTGAGGAGGAAAACGTTAGAATTAGCATTTTTAACAGAGGTTGTTTCGTAGCCTTGATCTCACCTTGCCGTACTGTGCTCCCGCATCGAGTATAACAATCTTATCGTGCCGCAGGCCGTTCTCCGCTGTGCCCAGAAATATGTTTGAGTTCATTTCTTTATCGTTGCAGCACTGCAAAGAGAACAAATTTGAATGTCAGTCAAGCAATCGCCGAAACAAACACCGAATCTCGACTGGCTGGTCGGATCGTTTCTGCGGCTTATTTATGCTCCAGTTGTGGCTGCAATCGACTCTATAGAAACAAGGCTAAAAGCTGGCTAGGAGGCGGGGAAAACGGGGTTTAGTCATGGGGCAATCGCGGGGATTGAGATTCAGGGTGGTACAGAGGGCTCACATACCGGCAATATCTTGTGGAGCACTCGCAGAAACATTCAACATGCAGGTGGCCAGGACGCTCTACGATAGACAACAAACATTGGCAAAGATTTTTCGTCACAGAAAGGTGAAATGTGCAGTGTGGAAGGAAAACTCCAATGCGAAAACTCAAGCGAAGAAAAAACAAGGCCAAGGAGGCGATGCCTACGAAAAATGATTGGCGGTGCGTGGTGGCGGTTCTGAATTCTAAACCCTGACTAGGGGTAATATGATATTGGCCAGATATTTTTATAGTATACATTCTTCCAGATAAGGGATTCAATAATACTAGACTTGTTAACTAGTGGCATCATGATGCTATATGATTTCATGAGTATGTTATATTGTTATAATTAAAATCAGACAACTATTTAAAATTCGATAATGTTATGGTAAATCAGGTAATACCAAAATCATACATACCATAGAAAATGGTTAATTTTTTAAATAATTATGAGACTGATTTAATTTGGATTTAAAGCTGGAAAGCTTGTTCTTTAATATACGAGTTTTACGGAATGTAATTACCATTTTCTTTTTTTAATATTTTTAAATAAGTTTAAAAAACTTGGTATGATATTTGTTCGAATATATTATATCCCTATTATGTATCTTTTAAAATAAAATAGTTATAAAATCCTTTAAAATAATAATGTTTAAAGATAGTGTTTTGAGTTAATGATGCGTGCTTCGATGTAAAAAACCTTCAATAATAGCCCCCCCAATAACCCCTTCAATCAGAATTATACCGAATACAAAGTTCGGACTACCGAAGTTATCGACAATTTTCGTATATTATAGAATACAAATTTGGATGCAAGAGGATGAGGATGTGAGGCGGAAACGGAACGTAACGGGATGAGGGGGGCGGCGCCGGCTACTGACCGCCAGATGACGGGCGAAAATGCAGAAAAAAAGAGAGCGAGAGCGGAAGCGAGACAGAGAGCCAAAGATGGGAGAAGAGAAATGGCAGGTAAACGAAAAACAGAGAAACAGAGATGCAAAGGAAAATGCGCAAGGAAAATGGCACAAAAATAAACAATAAAAAAAGTCAGGAGACAAATTAGCAATGGCAACGAGTTTTCTTTTGTTTTTCACATTTTTCTTTCGTTTCCTGCAGCAGCAAGCAACTGCATAAAGAAAGGCAACTCCAGGGGTTAAAAGTGCATTAGGTCACTGATGCGATGCGAATGCGAAGTCTGTGATGTAAGCCTTGCTCTTCTTTTGGCTCTCTCATTTTTGATAACAACAAGCAAAAGGTTATCAGAAACCCAGCAAAAGCAAAAGCAAAACAACAACAACAAAAACAAAAAGTGGGAGGCCGCGTGCTTGTAACTCAATACCCATGCAGCGAAAACACACGCGAGCACACACCAACACACGTGGAGCCGCCTACAAGCGGCGCTTATAACCACAAAATGGCCACGAGAAATGTTTGCAAAACATATACAAATTCGCAAATGGGCGAAAAAAAAGGAATGCCAAATGCGTTTGAAGCAGATTGCAAGTGCGATGGGCGGCGAGGGGGCGGTGGGGGTGCTGACTTGTGGGTGGAGCTGTGCCGCATGACGATTTCGCTGGAATTGGCAGATCTTTCGCCAAATATCCTCTCACCTGCTCGTCGTTTTGGCCTGGCAGGCGGTTTTTCCAGGGGCGGGATGTCCGTGGGCAAGGCCGTGGAAAACCGTGGCAAGCAGCGGAAAACTTAATGCTTAGGCACTATGTTCGCGATCCGTTGTTAGCGGTCCCCCGTTCTCCTCTCACCGTCGCACTTTTTGCCAAATTTCTTCGGCTGCTGCAGCTGCTTTTCCGCGTTTCCACGGCTGCTCGTCACCGCTGGCAAAGTGTTCACTTCGATTTTCACGGCTGCAACTCGGCTGCGTTCGAATGGCCGCTACTAGGCACTTTCCTTTGGTTTTTTTTGCAATTTTTTCGTGAATTAAAGCCGAAAGATGACTTATTGACGAGCGTATGACCGTAACTTGGAGGAGAGAAAATCCGGCGGTTGCGGTTTAGGAAAAATACCATGTGCGTGAGGAGTGGGTATTTTTTTGCGATATATCGTTTGACTAGTTAAAAAAAATATTGTTAAGAAGTAAACATTTATAGCCTCTTCCCATAGAGTCCATCCGTTTGAAACGGTTGGGATTTTCGACGAATGTGAAACTCGTGTTCCCACAGAACTCCATCCACCATCTACCATCCAATAACAGCTGAGTGAAGAGCAGTTGCTCAGCGCAACATTAACGAAGGGGGATTTTAACTCGGAAAAACTGTCGTAAAATTGCGTTCTCCTAATTTTATTGGAGAATAATACAATAAATAGATTAAAAATATAGTTTATTAACATATCTGAACGTTTATAACATATCCTACAATGAGTATGCATACATATTGCTGACTGCGGGGGAGCCTAACCTCCCGTACCCCACACTCCGCTCTTACTACGCCTCTGCCTAGCCAATATTAATATGAAAAATTTGTAAACAAAACCAAATGTATGCTGTTTATGGTAAATTATAGCAACTTTGGAACTTTATAGGAGTACAAAGTACACTTTTAATTAACATTAGTTATATTTACGAAGTGCAGAACATATTTTGACGCTTTGCTGCAAACATTTATGTTTTCGTACGCACGACAGCTTACATTTTGGCCCACACATAACAACCTGCTTGCGAACGCTTTTCCGCTCATAACAAACTACAAAAAATTTAAAAAAACCCAAAAAACAATGAGCTGAAGCATTATTTAATTTTTTCCCGCCATCGATTTGATTTGTTCTCGCAGTCACCGTTCCAATTTTCACAGTCAAGAGGAAGAATTCAGAGTTGCACCGAGAAAACATCGCCTAACTATCGCATAAAAGAGCCCGTCAAAGTCCGTTAAAATTGGATGGCGGACTAACTGGGAAATTTTCGGAACGGCAAAACCTTACGGACCATCCGTTCAACGGATGGTAGATGGTGGATGGAGCTCTGTGGGAAGACCCTATTAATTGAAAAATTTCCATTGAACATTATTGTTAAGTAGATATGACACTTTTAATAAACTCTTTTTATAAGTTTTATAAAATGGTGTAGATGTACAGCAGGTGTAATAAATGATTAAGGACAACTACTATCGCCCTTGAAAGTAAAATACTGCAATGTGCCACCTCTAACAGTCAGTGTTGGCTAACTACTAAACTAACAGCAATTTACTGGTTTCACACCTACAGCCACACTAAGCCCGCCAAAAGTAATTTGTTTTTGCGCTCATTTGGAAAACTCGGTGGGAAAACTAAGGAAATAAGTGAAAAATCCAAGAAAAAGTGGATAAAATGAGTCCCGCCAATAAATCCCAGCCAGACATCAGCATCGACGATGAGGAAGAAATACTGGCGCTGGAAAAATTGCTGGGCGAAGCGGAGAACGATAATGCCGAGTCTGCAAAACCGGAGAAACCAAAACCCGCACCCACTTTGGCCAATGCAGTGCCAAAACTGCGGGAAGACAGTAGTTTCGCCAATGCCTTCACCTTCGAGAAGACCGTGAAATCCGCCAAGCCGGAGAAATGTGTCATCAGCAAAGAACCGGAGCTGGACTCTTCCGACGATGAGGAAGTGAAGAACTTCCTGGAACGCAAGTACAACGAGTACGGGAGCGATATAAACCAGAGCCTGAAGCAGCAGCGGGAGAGTGCCCACGAGTCCAAGGTGGCCAGGGAGGTGGATCAGGAGCTGAAGAAGACCACCCAGATGGTCACGTCCACGCCGCAGCCGCTCAAGAATCCGCACAATCCCATTAAGCGCACGTCAACGGTGAGCAGTTCGTTCCAAAGGCCTCCGCCAGCTGCCGCCGCCGTGGCATCCACATCCCAGCCAAGTGCTCCCGTCTCCGCTGTTTACACGGATCCGGTCTTTGGCCTGCGCATGATCAATCCCCTGATCTCCAGCTCCCTGCTGCAGGAGCGCATGGCGGGCAGAAAAGCGGTGCCCTTTTCCGGCGTCGCCTTTCACATCGAGCGGGGCGATCTGGCCAAAGATTGGGTTATTGCCGGCGCCCTGGTCTCCAAGAATCCGGTTAAGAACACCAAGAAGGGGGATCCCTTCTCCACCTGGAAGCTTTCCGATCTGCGCGGCGAGGTCAAAACCATCTCACTGTTCCTCTTCAAGGAGGCCCACAAGTCCCTGTGGAAGACAACGGAGGGCTTGTGCCTGGCTGTCTTGAATCCCAGTGTTTTCGAGAGCAGAGCGGGTAGCTCCGATGTGGCTTGTCTATCCATTGATAGCTCCCAGAAAGTCATGATCCTGGGCCAATCCAAAGATCTGGGCACTTGTCGGGCCACCAAGAAAAACGGGGACAAGTGCACTTCGGTGGTTAATCTGACGGACTGCGACTATTGCATCTTCCATGTGAAGCAGGAATATGGAAAGATGTCTCGGCGCTCGGAACTTCAATCGGCGACAGCAGGTCGTGGAATCAATGAGCTGAGAAACAAGGTTTTGGGTAAGGCATCTCCGAGTTCCTAACGATCTTAAGTTATATTTCTTTATCTACCTTGTTTTTAGGCAAAAACGAGGTCTTCTATGGCGGACAAACCTTTTCTGCTGTTCCCGCAAAGAAAAGTGCTAAGCTGATCTCCAAGGAACGCGATCGTCTGAGTAAGCTGGCTGGCTATGATGTTTCGCCCTTCGCACATACCGCTGATCACGCCTCCAAGCCCAAAACGGCCGAAGCCCCTAAAGTTCCATATGCTGAACGAGGGGGTCCGGTTTCCCGTTTGGCCGGTGGAGTGGAGGCTTCTAGGAAGCAGAGGGTCCAAGATCTAGAACGATTAAGGAAGCTGAAAGCGGAGAATGAGCGCTTTGAACAGGATAAGCAGGCAAAGGGTCATGTTTTGGGAAGTGATAAGAAAGAGGAACCCCAGACAACCACGCCCACTACACCTGTACCCGACAAGTTCAAGAATCGTGGCTTCTCCTTCGACGCCAGCCTGACACCAAAACTTTCGGGCAGCGAAAACTTTTCCTTGGAGATCAATGTAGGAGCTCGTCAGGCACAAAGTGCCAAGCTGAGAGCAGCCGCCCTGCTAAAGAAGAAACCGCTGGAGAAGATCAACCCCAACTCCACAAGAGGCAGTGATACTGGCAAGAGAAGAGCCATTGATGAGCTCAATGACAAGTTCGCCAGCAGCGCTAAGCGGCAGAAAATGGAGGAGGACGATCGCGAGCAGATGCGCAAATCGAGAATTGAGAAAATTATGGCGGCCACCTCATCGCATACGAATCTCGTAGAGATGCGAGAGCGGGAGGCGCAGGAGGAGTATTTCAACAAGCTGGAACGCAAGGAGGCGATGGAAGAAAAGATGCTGGGCACCTACAAGATGCCCTGCAAGGCGGTCATCTGCCAGGTGTGCAAATACACGGCCTTCTCCGCCTCCGATCGCTGCAAGGAGGAGAGGCACCCCTTGAAGGTGGTCGACGCCGAAAAGCGATTCTTCCAGTGCAAGGACTGCGGAAATCGCACGACCACAGTATTTAAGTTGCCCAAGCAGAGCTGTAAGAATTGCAAGGGCTCGCGATGGGAAAGGGCGGCCATGATACGGGAGAAAAAGGTCCTGACGGGCAGGGAAACGCTTTCGGTGCGCGGAGACGAGGAAACATTCATTGGCAGCCTGGCCGGCAGTGCTAATTTGAACTTGCTGGTACCCGACGAAGAGTAATTGCTCTTTGCTGTAGTTGGTTTGTTTATTTTATATTTTTTTATTTTATTTAAAATTTAAATAGCATATGCGGTACATACAAATATTTACAGTCCTCTGGTTGGTCGCTTTTTGGCTTATATAAAGGATTCGTCATAGATAAATAAGTACAAAGGTTCCGATGCCTAAAGATCTAAGTGCCTGTGAGATTTTTAGTGCAGGTTTTTTATAGAGATGTACCCGGTGTACTCAATGATTTTGTATGAATGTTAATCTAATGATTGTATGACTCGTGGGTTAAATAAATGGAATCTTATATTATGACTGAACAATTGTTATGGAATGTGTAACAAAGCTTAGAAATTATTAATCACACTTAGCTCATCCTAGCCAAATTGTACAATCTTAAAATAAGTTATTATGAAGCTTAATTATAATAAATCCTCAACATTTAGCCTTAGTTCTATTACTCTGAATATAGAGAAACCATTAGCAAATATGCACAATCTTAAAAGCACAATTATAAAATGTAAAAATGTTATGGGTTTTTGGCATATTTTAGACAGAAACTGGCAGTATTTAAACAGTTGTTTGGAATGTATTACGAATAGAATTAAACTTGTCTTTGGCTATGTAAATTCTTTTGTAAATGCTCGCGAGTATTCGAAATCGAATTCGGGTTTTTTACAATCCATATTTGGCATTGGCATAAAGCTACGAGACTAAACGTAAAACTAAAACTAATCAACAAACAGTTTGAACTGAAAAACAGGCGCTGATAAGAGACAAGAAATCGGAACTGAATGATTGGGGGAAAACTATACACAGGTGGTACTTGTATCTAGACGGCATCTTCGGCCTGCTGTCCTGGAATCCCCTCCGCCGTTTCCTTGAGATTCAGCAGACTGGAAAAGCGAAACGAGATGGTCTTGGAGAGATGCTTCTCAAACTCCCTGCTGTCCAGATTGTCTGGGATGAGACTCTTGTTGGTCATGTCCAGATAGGAGCGACCCCGCTTCACAGGAACTGAATAGTGTGGCAATGAGGTGGCCGCTGGGGAACCGTTGGTCATGTTGCTGTAGCTTGGAGTGCAACTGGATTTCCGAATATTCAGCGGGAATCGCAAATCGTTTTCGTATCGCAACACCTGCTCCTTGGCGGTGGCATCGATCAGAGGCCGTGGAAGATCATAGCCAGGTGGAGCCGTCGAAGTCACTGGCACCTCTTCCTCCGACTGATCGTAGCTGGTGCCCTGGTCATGGATGTCGTAGGCTATTTTGGGTGGTGACCAAAGGTGTTGCAACGAATCCGGTTCACCGAATTCCGTCGTCATCAAGGCCAAATCATCGCCACAATATAGGGGATTCGAAACGGCATTCGTCTCCAGATCTATGTACTTGGCATTGTTGCCCAGTAGCTTCTCGAACTCCGAGGCCAGGAATTTAAAGGATGGCCTTCCATTCGGCTCATCCGACCAACAGGTGCGAACTATGGAGTAAACGGCCTCCGAGCAATTTTCCGGTCTGTCCATTCGGTAGCCCGTCTTCAGCAGGGACCACAGATTCTGCGGAGCAATACCAGGATATGGAGATGCTCCCAGGGTGATCAGTTCCCAGCAGAGAACGCCAAAGGACCACACATCCGATTTGCTAGTATATACATGATCCGCCAAAGATTCCGGGGCCATCCACTGAAAGGTAAGTAATTCTATTTAGAACCAAAATGTATACAGAGAAAACTATACAACGTTTTAGGTGCGGTTTTCATATAAAAACGTTTTTAAAAATAAAAATGAAAACGTTTTAAAAATGCAAACTAAAACAAATTTGTATGAAGAGTTTTACTTTTTAAAATGTTTCACCCCTTATTTTGCACCTAAAACTTTTGATAATTTTCTCTGTGTATGGTATCTTATAAACTTACCTTGACGGGAACCCGATCTCGAGATCGCTTCAAATAAGCATCGTCCTCGTAAACATCTCGGGTCAGTCCGAAATCGGAGATCTTGCATATCTTGCCATCCGCAAGGAGTACATTTCTAGCAGCCAAATCGCGATGAACCAACTGGAAAGTAGAGGGATTTTAATGCAATGGTTACTGGTTCAACAATACACCCAGAAAAAAAATTAGCTTGATTTAAGGAATTATGGACTAAAAATTGCTAAATAAGGCTATACATGGACTTAAAAGTTTTCATCACAAATACATTTTAAGTCTAAATGTCTAATTACATGGACTAAAGTCAATTTTTAATCCATTTAGCGCCGTTTTCTCGTCCGTTTGTTAAATTTTAAGTAGGGTTAATGCCTTGAAATCGTATGGGAAAACAGAGTCTTAACCCTACTTTATATTGAACAGGCGGACGAGAAAACGGTCCTTAGAAATAAAATTTATATGGGATGAACATTTTTAAGTCCACGTATAGACTTGTTAGCCACTGTAAAGCCATTATTCCTTAAATCAAAGTCAATTGACTTAAATTATGGACATTTTTAGTTTTCTGAGTGTGCCGAAAACCCACCTTCAGTTCCGTGAGATAGGCCATGCCCTTGCAGATCTGCCAGGCGAAGGTAAGAACCATCTTGACATTGACAGGCTCCACTCCATCGGCGAAATCCACGCCCGCGCACTCGATCTTCCGGCTGAGACGAAGGTAGCTCCTCAACGAACCATACCGGGCATACTCAATGATCAGCAGAGGAGCCTCCGAGGAGGTGCAGGCTCCCAGCAACTTGATCACGTTCGGATGAGAGACCTCCTGCAGGAGTTGGAACTCCGAGAGCAGGGCCATGTACTCCACCGAATTGGCGCCCTTCTTGAGCATCTTCACGGCCACCGTGGTTATTCCCGGCAAGCCAGCGATCTCTGTGGCATAGCCTTTCAGGACCTGACCGAACTCGCCCTCCCCCAAGACCGTGTCCAGTTGGAGTTTGTCCCGGGGGAACTCCCACTTGGCATCGCCGCTCTCGAACTTGAAGCCACCTTGCAGCGGCATCAGGGCGAGATCTCCGTCTCCCAGTTCCGGAAGAGCCTGTTTGGCGGACGTCGGGGTCATCGTTTGTTTGCCCAGGCGACGCTGGAGCATCTTTCGTTGGGCAATCAGCAGACAGAGGAGCAGGAGGACGAAGACCAGTGGACAACTGATCACGAAGAACATGCAGGAGCGATCGCACTCGAAACCAGCCACATTCAGGACGCCCAGGAGCAAGGGATCCTGAAGGGATGGATCTGCTGCAGTGGCTCTTCTGCCCCCCAGCAGGGGTTCCGCCTCCGTTTCGTTCTTCCGCTTGCGGGGCTTCTTCGCCCTGGGCTCCTCGTCCAACGGAGCACACGAGCACTTGCCGTTATCCTCGCAAATGCAGGTTCCAGAGGCACTGTAGATCCCCTTCTTGTTCTCATTGCTCGAATGGGGACCCATTATCCTACCAGCCGGCGTGCAATCCTGCGGACAGGCCATGGGATTCAGATCCTCCAAGGGGTCGCACACGTGATCAGGACAGAATCGGGATTCGGGCACACAGGATCCATATCTAGTACCGAACATGGCTGAGTTGGTTCCCCGCCACTGGCAGGATCCTCCGCCAGTTGCCAAGCCACAAAATCGATTGCACTGCGACTGGAACTTAACCTGGGCACAGGATTGCGATCGGGACTTGATCTTCAGTTCGCAACTGGTGTTCTCTGGTCTACCATGAACCAAATGGACATTGATCACCCGAACGTGCGAGAGACGCTGCTGATCCATCCAGGTGACATTCAAGAAGTATATGGTCTCAGGCGCCTCCTCCAAAGCCTGTGGGTTCTTCACATAGACGATACCCGAAGTCGTGGTAATGCCGAAGGCTCCAATTTTATCCTCCACGATATCGAACCGTACGGAACGTGACCTCATTAGTTCTAGAAAACTTTCTGGCTGGGCTACCCGATAATAGGAAGCAGCTGTCCGGAATACGGCAACGTCCTTCTCGTAATCCACGGTCAAAGGACTCACAGATCTGCCCGAAGAATCCCCATTGAAGTCGTCACTCTCAAAGATTCGATGCTGACGCGCCCGCAGAGGAAGAGCTTGGGGTAATTCCTGGTCCGTTTCGTGAAGATTACTCAAGTTGATGTGAAAACATATATAGGCCGTAGCTGACATGGCATCGTTAAGGGTTTCAATGGTCAGATCCCGAGCTTCCAGAGAAACACAGTAGGGGCTTTCCCGAAAAACGCCACTCCGGGAGTATCGAAGTTCTGGTTGGGGAAATGGGGTTAACATTTATGAGATGTACACTAGGGTGGACTTCTTTAAGGTCAACTGAGCTCAGCATCTTAAATGGTAGGATTCTGTGTCCAATAAATTTATGCGAAAACAGAAAAATTTTATTTCATCGTTTAGACGGTGCGCAAAGGCCCTAAAGTTTCGCTAAAAATTAAGTGTAAAACTAGGAATTTACCCCATTCCATTTCTTGTCAGATTTTAACATGTCAACTTTTTGGTTTCGCTCGAATAACAGAGTCAAGTAGAAATTTATTTCATGAATATTAACAGTTGGACGTAGCCTAGCCAGTAGAGCTTCTGTCTCCGAACAAAAAGGACCGAGTTCGATTCCCATCTCACCAATTTTTTTTTGTGAGTCACATAAAATAGAGATTCAATTTTACAATTTTGAAGATTAACTATCACTTTTGCGTTCGCCAATAAAAAGTTTCGTCGAAGAAATGCTGGCTTAGGATACAACGATATTGACTCTTATTTTTCAGAGACCGTAATATTTATAAGTTGTACTCTAAATGTCCTTGATTATTCGTTATTATTGTTATTTTTAAGTTGTAATTGTCTCCCAGGGACTCGAATTTAATCCACGACTTCATCCCTTATTAAAAAGCTCGGGAAAGTGATTAAGATACTTTTTAAAATACTGTCAAAGTATAAAATTAAGTCTACGGCATCTAGATGAATCTGAAATATGCGTAATAAACTTTAAAGCCGTTGCGCACCGCCTACAACTAATTATTTTTTATTTTTTCTTTCTTTAATCGATTAAGGATACAAAAAGGCTATATATGAAGGGGTGAGAGCATGGCCTTAGAAATTTCATACAAAATAAGTCCACCCTAATGTACACCTCTTTTCAAGGAAAAGCATTCTGAAATAAAATCTATCAGGTGTGTCCCAGAAAACACTAGAGTTTTTTAAAATCAATTAACAACTAAGAAACTCCCTTGTTTTCCTAGTTTACTCAATCAAAAGCAACACAAAAACAATTGTCGGATTCCCTCAAACCTAAATTTGATGCTTTTAAATGTACATTTTTTTCGACCTACATTTGGTTCAGTTTGTGAATTTGATAATATCTGCATTATTTTCAAAAAGTCCAAGGCTTCGTTAACCTTTTTTCGAATTAATTTTGAAGAAGATTAAACAAAATGCATTGGATTATGTGTTTAGCCGCTTAATTTAAAATGCTGATCGAAAGGAATTCAAATGTATCGAATGAAACTGAGTAGCCCTTATGTGGTTTTTCATACAAGTGCGTGTCAAAAAGCCAACTTAAGCCATTTTTTCATGTCAAAAAGATTTTTAATATTGGCTACAAAGGAAAAAATTGTAAAAAGCCTACTTAAATGTTTTTTAAAACGCATCTAGCTATAGAAATGTCGGAAAATTGTTGAAGGAACGCAACAATTGATAGAGTTTTCAGGGACCCACTTGTATATCATATTACGATCATATTACTTACGACAACTGACGATGGTATGTGGCCTGCCCGTGTGATCCGCCTCGTAGGCGTGGCAATCCGGCCGGAACAGTCCATTGGTGTCATTGTGAACGGCGTAGACCAGGTGAGCATTTGCCGCCAGCGTATCCTTGTCTACATAGATGATTTTCTTGCCCGCCTCCTCGTCCTGTGGGTATACATATATGGAGAACAGAGAGGGGATGAATTAGCAGGTAGCTTCATTAGCATTTACTGACCAGTGCTAATTAAATTCCACTTGGCACCCCCTTGGCAAATTGCAGCACTGCCCTCCAAGGATGCGCTCTTGGTGATTAGCATTTTAATTCGTGCACAAGGTCAGGCTGGGGTTTCAGATCCTCGGAGACCTGACATTTCCCTACGAAGAGGGGTGGGTGGTTTCACCTCACCCTGAACCCGAAACCCTTTTAATGGATCCCAGGGGCTAGGACATTAGCAAGGTGTCTTCCCTGAACTTAGGCTTAAGTTGGAATGGTGGCTATTGTTAAGGTAGGATGGACATTACATTTGAATAATAAGTGGGTTGGAGTTCCCATTTGGCGACAGTAACATTGTGTTAGGAACAACCGAAGGTGGTGGAAAGAAAAGTTTGTTTTGGGTGTGCAAATCTATTGGGAAAACGCGGCTTTGTATCTTTTAATTAGTAACAAAAACATTATTACATTTTTAGTACCCGTAGTAAATTTTCAAATGTTAGTATACAAACATTTTATGAACTAAATACAAAATTTAAAAATCTGTATGCATTAATATTCCTGTATTTCTATTCCTAATAAACCCCTTAAATTATCTCGAACTGAACATGTTCTCCATTTAGTTGACCCAACCGATTTGGAACTCAGCCACTCCTCGTCACACTAAAGCTTTGTTCACTTTATTATGGGACATGTCGCCAGCAGTTTCCTCGAAATAAAATAAAATGTACATTATTGTGTGTACATAATTTAAATGCAGAGCCACCCACAGCAATTTGTAATGACCGGACTTTAGTGCAGAACCAATTACTCCAGTTGGAGGGAGGAGATCGCACTATCTGCACCTGAACTGACACAGTTTGCAGATCCTTGGGGATAGGCTTGGCTGGCTTCGAACACGACAACATAATTTACTTTGGTGCCAACTTTAAGGCACTCCGACTCGGGCTTCAATTCGCGCTGAAGTCACTTGACGTTCCCATTCCGGTTCCTTTGGCTTTCCCTTACTGTCTGTCATGCTCCAATCATAAAAGCCCATAAACGTTACGCGTTTTTAATGGCAACATATGAGTCGAAAGGGGGGGAGTTTGGGAAAGAAGTCGCGGAAGTGGCCAACTTTGTCTATCTACCCCAAAAAGGACCTTTGCAACCAGACGTGGTAATGACCAAATAATGGCAGGGTGACCGGGCTGGAGTCTTTCATCAGCCAGTTCTTTGGATACACTTCTAAAAATATCAACTATCTGGAGTTATGGAAATCTATAGAGGTTTAAGAGGTTCTACAACTTATGAATCTCTATAGAAGTAAATGTAGTAGTGGTTTTCTTCACCTACCTGGAGTTATAGAAAATCTATAGAGGTTTATGAGGTTCTACAACTTATGAATCTCTATAGAAGTAAATGTAGAAGGGGTTTTCTTCAACTATCTGGAGTTATGGAAATCTATAGAGGTTTAGAGGTTCTACAACTTATGAATCTCCATAGAAGTAAATGTAGTAGTGGTTTTCTTCAACTATCTGGAGTTATAGAAATCTATAGAGGTTCATGAGGTTCTACAACATATGAATGTATATAAAAGTAAATGTAGTAGTGGTTTTCTTCAACTATCTGGAGTTATAAAAATCTATAGAGGTTTATGAGGTTCTATAACTTATGAGTGTCAATAAAAGTAAATGTAGTAGGGGTTTTCTTCAAGTGTAGCTGACTTGGTTGCGTGTTTAGGGGGCGTTCATCATGGGCGAATTCAATAAGCCCGCACCCAGTGAGCGGCCAGACAGCCGGCAGACGAATAGTCTGGGCAGGGTCTGGTTGAGATGCCTCTACCCCTGTAATCCTCTCCTTCGTTAATTCCCTAAACCCCCTGCAATTCCAAAACTCACCGCCTGAAAGTAGGGCTGCTCCAGGTAGAACTCGAACTTCGAATCGCTCTCCTGCAATTTGGGTCCGTTGTCATTGCGATCCAGTAACTTAATGTCGAAGCTGCGCGAGAATTTCCTCTGATCACGGGGTGATAACTTAATCGTACAGGTAATCCTGGCCTGCAGCTGCCCTGCCTTGGCGTTCAGGCCATTGAGCTCATCGTGATCCAGGGGCTGTCGGGTGTAGAGCCGATTTTGCTTCAGAACGAAGTGGGAACTGCCGGCGTTGAGGGAGTAATCCAGGGAAACATGCGGACACAGATACTTGGCAGCCCGGGAGTTAAGGGCACCGATGAGTACGGGCTCAAAGGAATTCCTTCGCCGATATTGACCCTGGGTCTCGGCTATGCTATACTGGGCACTGCTCCAGAAGCAAATGTGCTCCAACTCCGAGCAGTAATCCTCCAGCGACTGGGGTGTGACCTCCATCGTAAGATGGGAAACGGGCAACAGTTCATGATCCGGTTGATCCCTGGGGAAGGCGGTCACCACATACTTGATACTCGAATTCGGTGAGCGGTAATCCGTGCGCATATATATCTCGCCGGAGGAACTATTGATCCGCAGCAGCGGATTGTCCTCCAGGCTATACAAGTAATCAGTGGCCAACCGGTTGCTCTCCATCCGCAGCACTTGGAACTGGGCCAGCGGAATCTTTGAGAAGATACTCTCCGATTCCTCGTTGATGGGCAGATTGAATTTCACCGACGTGCTGGGAAAATAAACATCAACGGCTGCAAGAGAAAAGAGGGTGGAAAAATCAAGTTAATGTAGATGGCGTCATGTGGGATTTTGTGCTGGGGTGGGGTTCTTTGTTTGGGATGCTGCCACAAGTGGTTGACCACAATTGACTCACTCAGTGGAAGTGGGTTTCTCCGATTCAATTTGCGGATTAATATTCATTTCCTCGACTATCAATCGAGGTGAGCTTTAAGTTTGGAAAGTATAGCCTTAAATGTTTATTTCAAGGAATCGAAGAACTTAAAATTTTTAAATGTATTCTATTAATTTTATATTATATATTAATTTTTTATTTAGTATTATTCTAGAATTATTATTCTGGAGTAAACCCCGAACCACTGGACAACCCCAAGTAGAATACATATTCCCGAGGGTTGTTTTCACTTTATGGGGTTTATTTACCCATCATCCGCATCACTGAAGAGACACACGCTGACAGTCCTCATCAAATCAAATCCAATCAAATGAATTAATTTAATGAGCTCACGTTGACCTTAATAGAGTTGGCCATAACTATAGCTCCCACTGCCAACTCCCCCTATCTGCCGACTTGAACAGGGCGTATGCGTAATTTGATAAGAGCTCCATCCTAATGACACCCGATTGTTGTGGTCGTGTGTTTGCATACGAGTCAAAGTCCAATACAAGCGATAAATAAATATAATACTGATATTAGTTATTAGCATATGGGTTATCAAAATGACGCCTTTTCCTTCGTCCTTTTCCTTTCATAATTCCCCCCTTTGTTGTCATCCCCATTTGAAGTGTCGGCGTCATCGAGTTGCGTATTGATTTTGTGATAACGATAAACCTTTGGTTAGCCGGAAAAAATACAACCCCAGGCATAATTGGTAACAAATTTTCCTCGCCCTTCGTTCATGAATTTCCTGCCCCCAATTTTAGGCCACAATACTTGAAGCAAACATTGGGGAGAACCGAAACACTCTTGTAATGTTATGGTGTAAATGTAAATAGGTTGGCGTATCGCGTCGAATAAATATATATTAAATGCCCTGAACTTTAAGTGATTTATTTTTTTTTGGTTTTAGCTTTGATTATAATTTGTAAATAAGTGGTATTTTTCTTTCATCATTATTTTAGGGAGACAAATGAGCGTTTATTCCATTGGACATACAAGTAAATACTTCAAAATACTGAAAATGGTTAAATTTACTATTCCACTTTAATAATAGTAAACATTTTTTCGATTTTTCTGAACACTGTTTAAACAATAATTAAGAGGCTACCTAATTTTGAATTATATAAGCGAACACATAACAGCCCATTCAGGAAGTTCTTCAAAAACGAAACTTAAGTGATGGCTCCCCACCAAATCAAGTCTCACACCTCTTACAAGGGGGAAATGTAAATAGCTGGAATAAATGAATAAAAAGGCCGCTAATTGGATGCCCACAAAACAGTCGGTGTTACCTCCATTAAATGCCTGTCATAATTATGCCCTAGCTTTCAAGAGGTAACCAAACAGAGACCCACAAAAAAGAGGGGGAACTTTTTCCGGGTTTCTCCCGCAACCGCAATCCAAAGCAATGGTGGGAAAATCGCTCCTTGATATGGCCTTTGGCATAGTACACATTATAAATAATAAAATGTGTTCATTACAATTGCTGACGCCCAGGCATGCGAAAAATGCTGATAAAATATGTAAATGAGGGGAGTTTGAGTTGAATATGTGCTCACTCCAACATGCGCGCATTTATAATGACATTTTAAATGCGTGTCCTTGGCGCCCAACATGGAACTTTCGAAGCAAGGACCCCCAAGCACCCACCCACGAAAAATATATTAATGCTGTCAGCGTTCCTAATGAAATATGCGGGGTTACTAACGGGATTATACCGGCCCCAACTCCGCTGATTCCTGCCAAATGATGGCGCCAGTCCTGTTTATGGATGGAGCGTTTTTCTCGTGATTAAGTGCCAAGTGCTTCACTTTACAAGAAATTCAAAGAAGAAAATATTGCATTAAAGGAACGAAAAAATCCCAGTTCGCACTAATAAACTTGGTTTCAACTTGTGGTCAGTTTTAATAAAATAAAATCCCGAAAGCATAAACTTTGCCCCACTTTCGGAGCATTTGTATGGAAGGTCTCCTGTCTGAAGTCGCATGTGGACCTGAAGATTTAAATGCCGTGTTAATCTCATACCACACTTGAAAACCAACAAGGCTTTATCTAATTGGACAGTTCACTTCCTCATGGTTGCCAGATGGGGGAAAACTCGATTATTGGACAAGCATACAATCGATAACGATACCAACTGTACAGCTCCGGTGATCTTGCCTAAATAGATTTTCCGCATTTTGAATTGGGTAAATGTTTTAAGTATTTTACGAATTGGAAATATTCAAATATTGACGAAAAAGCTTTCCATCGAATTCTCATAATGTGAAATAATCGATGTGCTTAACACGAAAAAATATCGTACAGTTTGTAGGTGGCTTTTTTTTAATCGGTTGATGACTTTGCCGAAAATCTGCTGCGCCTGCGTACATTCTACCAAAACTCTACCTTTAAAGTTTAAATTTGCCGAATATTTCAAGTTAATAATGAGCTACCAGCTTTACAGGGCAACCACGTTGGGCACCACGCTTCAGGAGACTCTGGATGAGCTGATAGAGGTGAGTAATTGGCCACGTCCCATTCCTAAGCGGTTCAATACTAATTTTTCACATTGTACATAAACTTCTTTTTGTATTTTTCAGTACGGCCATTTATCAAATCATTTAGCTAATGCAGTTTTACAAAAATTCGACAAGAGCATTTGCGCAGCGTTAAACAAGCGAGTCAAGGCCAAGCTAAGTTTCGAGGCCGAGAAACTGCTAAACTACAGATATTGCGACAACGTGTGGACCTTGCTTCTAAAGGATGTGGAGTTCCGCGATGGTCAGGATGTTTTGCAGGTGGATACCGTCAAAGTTGTGGCCTGCAAGGGATCCAATGACTAAAAGGTATTGCAGGTTTCGACCCTGAAGTCTGAATTCTATAGTTCCTTCGGCACTAGAGAAAATAGCTCACTTATTTGTTAAATCCAAAAAATGGTTTTACAAATAAATCTGAAATAATATTTAGGGTCAGCTAAATTATCGGCTTTTTAAAACTTAGCAGTCTTTAACAAATCTTCAACAAACGATTTGTTGCAATCAGTTCTTAATTAGAGCTCAACTTGACCTCATCGATTCCCGGGAGACCATAGCTCTAAGACCATTAATCCTGGGACTAAGTTGGTGCTCGAAAAAAACCACAACCACCCACAAAACGCTGAGCAAAAGTCAACAACCGTTAAAACGAAAATAGCGACAAAAGGGCAGGACGAAAAAAAGCAGCGTAAACAGGGAAGGACTAAGACTATTAGGTTATCTATTAGGTGGACAATTAAAAAGCCAGCGAATGGCGCATTAAAAACTGGATTAAACACGGCCTTAAAATTGAGGGAGGAACTGGATAAACTGGAAGAGAATTTCTGGGGTGACTGGACTCGTTGGGAGTTTTTACACTTAAAAAAATATATTATGCATGAAATCAGGCAATTACTGAGAATAAAAATGTGAAAACTTCATATTTACTGCATTTTAATTGATATCCTTAATCTAATTAATATGACTTCAATTAACTTTATTCTTTATTCTTTATAAATTACAAATAACCTTGCCTTCTATAATTTTGTTTTTAAATGAGTTAGGTCTAGTATTTCTCTCCCTGTAGAAGAACCGCTAATGACAGCACTGTCAACAATTGATGGGCGGCGACTCGGATCCCGACTGGGCCATTAGCTGGGCCTGTGTACCTGAACTTGGTGGCCACTGGCCAGGTGAAATGGAGACGCCAAATGAGGTGCGGCCCCGGGATGAAATGTCAACTAGTTTCGCATAAACTAATTAATCTGCCCGAATTAATTGACTTCGCATCGAATTGGGTCGACAGTTGTTTGCCTGTTTGATTACTAGTTGCAACTACCAACCTTCCGGAGTTTATTGTCCTTGTTTTTTGACCGCAACTCCGGGATGCGAATGACTCATTTGGGTGTGCGGATAAATTTGTGTTATCCAGCATCCGACTCGCATTATGTTTGTCTACTGCTGCGTAATGAAAACTTTGTCTTTGTCAGGGTTTTTAGTTATTCGTGTAACTCCGCTTTTCCCCATTCTTTTCCCTGTTGCATTGTTATTTTCATTACTCATACGTCGCGTATGCCAGACGTGGTTTTCTGTTTTCCTTGGCACTGACTGCAATTGTCTGTTGCTGTGGCTTTTTCCTGCTGCAAATGCTGGCATTGGCCAATCTCTGGCCCTGGTTATTGTTTGGATTCGCATTATTAAATCCATTCCACTCCTGTCTTTCTACTTTCACTCGATCGAAGTGTGTAGACAAAGTGTCTTGAATGTTTTTCTATTTCCTGTCCTGACTGCCCCTGAAATTTTCTCTTTACCGGAGCCAAAGCAAATTAAATTGAAAACAAGCTGATATGAAATGGAAGTCTCTAGTAGGTACTCCACTCTATTGATTATTCTATACTTATAAAAGGAATACTTGAAAATATTTGCAACATTTTAGAAGCATTTATTTATAAAAAAATTTAATTTGGGTTTAATAACACATCAAATAGTTAATTTAAATATTTATGAATTTTTAAGATACTACTATTTTAAGGCAAATTTAAAGGTAACCAAAGTTTATTTATTTTTCTTATAAACTGATAAAGGAAGGGTATCTCCTATAACTAGAAACAAATAGTTGTTATTGATTTAAATGCAATTTTCATTTAAGTTTTCTTTTTTCAGTCTGGCACAAAGAAGTGCACAGTCATGGTAGATGAGGGATTGAGAAAAGTAAAGGAAATTACAGAATAATCGCAGACTAGAAGTCACCAGGCGAACTTCAAAGACTTTGTCTTTGGCATTGAGTGAGGAGTGACACTCCCGTTCAGACAAATAAGACCACATCCAGAAATTACCGACCCTCGACGGTGATCGATGGGCGGGCTCTTTAATTGCTGCCTGTCGTCAAATGAAAAACATTTGTCAAAGTCATGGGCCTCTTAAAATTTATGCTAATTACGGCTAATTAATAGGAGCTACAATTAGTCAACTTGGGTTGTAGACTAAAATGTGGCTGTTATTCTAATTGCAGTAACTAAAATATTAAAATAATTACAAGGTTTTAATAAAATAACAATTTAATATATTTATTAAATTTTATACTTATTTTTCTAGCAATAACTGTATTTTCAACAGGAAAGCGAACGCTTAAAAAAGAAATCCAATAAATATATGCAGATTTCAGACTCCCACTTAAAGGGGCTGAATGGGAGTGCATTATACCCAATATCTGAAGCTGAATCACGCTATTTCTGGGATCTGAACCTGGGTGCGACAAATGGACAGAGAGTGGCAGAGACAGATCTCATAACTGAAAATGGTTTTCGTTTTGTTATTATTTTGTTATGCAAAGTACTCTATAGTAGAAGACAACCTTGAGTGTCTGATAAATGTGTCAGTTCGCTCATAAATCTAGCCAAAGTGTGTGCGAAATATGAAATACTTTGCAAAAGTTTCGTGGCAGGCAAAGTGATTTGAGATTTGTCATAAAATTCGATGTATTTAAGAAGGAAATGGAGATTGGCTGAAAGGAGTTTAAAGTTATGGTTCCATTTTCCTTAATGTATTATAACTTTTTACTTTAAGTGTCTTAAAAATTGTCTTAATTATTATTATACTTTCCTAATAATAGCAAACAAAGCTGAAGTAAGAACAGTTGTAATGCATACTACCTAGAGCTACATTTTTATTCTTACAGCTCAAGTTATCTGGTTAAGATCGGTGGCTAAAATCGTTTCTATATAATTTTCGTAATTTGATAAATAGCTTTAGGCAAGTTTATGTCTTTTTCAAAAATGTTGAAAGTCAGTTATTAAACAAAACACTTTAATTGAAGTCATAAAACAGCCGGAGGCCACTTAAAAGTTCGCAGAGTGCGAAAACATACTATAGACAATAAAGCGTACGGGGGCACACACCTATTGACTTGATTGATTTTCACATAAATTCATGAATTTCTGGCGGGGAAGGGGACCAAAGACAGCTGGCGGGCACGTCGACACCTTTAACCCGAGTGACTGATTGACCGGCGAAGGAGTCACCATACCACATGAGGTGCATTCAACTTGACGGGGACAAAGTACAGGGCTTGAAAGGGAACCTCTGAGTGTCAGCTGTGCTGGAATGAAGAGGAATGGTCGTCATCCCCCGAAAAATTTGATATGTCTTCCCAGCATGATGAAATAATTTTTTGGGCGTGTGCTTGCCTGACACGTCATACACTCAGAAAAAATTGGGCCATTAATATAAAGGAATAAATTTTTAACCGACTTTTTAAAAAAATATTTTTGTTTTTTAGTAAAAGTATAATTTTAGTTGGCCTATAACCACATACAAATTAAAAATTGCTAAAAAATACTGATCCAAAGTATTAGGAATAAACTAATTATAATAATAAGTTATTAATACGGCTAACACCATTAAGTTCATTTAACATACTTATAGCAGAGAAGTTAAAACACATTATACCTGATATACAACCACCACTTTTCTCACTTTGATTATTAATATTAAATGGTAAATGGTTAATAAGACGTATATAAAACCAATCTTCCAAACTTTAAATATATTTAGATATTGTTTGTTAATCAAATTGCTAACATTGTAAATATATTTTTTTCAGCCCAGACATTGACGGAGTGCCCCGGGGAGTTAGTCGGTAGTCGAGTCCATCACCGTCAGTCAGTCGCTTTCAAAGGCAAATGCTAGAAGCCAGGCCCACATATCGCTTACCAACTTGTCAAAACGTCAGTTCACACCTGTGGCAGTCGAATAAAAAAAGCTTATGGGTCGCATAGAACGCACCGGGCTTATAATTAAGAGTTAAGCAGTGCATCGTTGAGCACATAAAAGAGCACCGAACCCGAGTTTCCCCCACATCAACGAGGTCATAAAAGGGGTTCGCACTTTATTACTCCATATCTTCGGTTGCATTCCCACGGCGTGAATGTTTGAGTTTAAGTTATCTGTGAGATTTGTTCACTGCCACTCGATGCAAATTAGTGTAATTGCCTTTTATGAGCTCTCTATTTGCCTTAGATCCGTGGTGAAAGGGGTTATGGGGGCACTTTACCACTGATTAGTCGATCAGATATTTACCGATTTTAATAACCCAATTAAAGATACAATTGTATAAGCTCCGCCCGAAAAGCTAATCACTTCTATTTTATAACCAATATCAACAGAGTACTTAAAAGGATAAAATAGTTTTCAAATTTTCTTGCGGTCTATAATATTTTTGTAGAGACAAACTTTATTTGATCACGTATTTTTTTGGCAACTTGTTTAAGGGGGAGATTGAAAATGAGAGGCGTTGTAAGTGTTTATTTTACTGTAAAAAGCGTTTAGTACTAACATTCTTTATAAAAGAATTTAAATTTATTTTCGTACAGCAAGTACTCTTTTTATGACCCGTAAAAGGTTAAGCAACATAAATCTAAATTGAAATTGCCATGTGATCAAACACTGGATCAAGAAATTACCCAACCTACCATATTGTGTGTGATAAATTTTGGACTTTTTTGTTGTCTCTTAATTGTTTGTTTCTTACTTACCCGCACAGATGTTTTGTTGCTGTGTGACAATTGTGAGCAGCGTCACAATAATAATAAAAGACTCCATCGCAGTTACTTTTGTTGCAAAAAGTCAGTTATCACTCGGCAAATTGTCGCTCACTCGTGTACGCACATTACATATTTACACATTTTAATGGGTTTCCACTACGAATTGTCTCTTTTTGTTTGTCTTTGTTTTTGCGTATTGTCTTTAATATTTTTTCTTTTTTGGTCTTCTTTTTCAATGATGTTGGCAATTAGCCACGTACGATTCGTCCACGAACTTAATTACTTTTGATCACAAATTGATAAGTGGCATTTATCAATTAATGTGCGAAAAGCAGAGCAGGAAATATGAAAAAAGAACATTGAGTAGGGCAGATATTAAAGCCAGGAACATTAATATTTTTTTTTGTTTTTGTTAAAGTACTTTTATTTATAAAAACGAGAAACCGAAGTTAATATACCCTATCCCTATTTCTCTTTGTGGAAACGTTTTGATATATACTTAATATATTATACATTTGTTTACAATTTGTTTCAGAACTGGGTTCAAATATCTATAGACAGTTTAAGAAAGAGTATGAATAGTAATTATTATTATTGATAGCGGCGCCCACACTCCCGTTTGTCATTTAACCAATCTAATTAATCACTCGGCTAATTCCGCACAAACTTCTCGAGAGCCGCGGGGTCTACGAATTCTGATTATTGCAATTCAAAATGAGCTTCGAATTTGTTTTCCTTTTTCGGCATTACATTATTATTGATATCGTTATTAAATGGTCTTCGGTTGCTATTTTTGGCCAGCGCCAGGTGAGAAGCTTATGGTATCTGCTTTTGATTTGTTTTGTTTTCTATTTTTTACCGCACACTTTTCGGCTCTACTACTTTTGGAGGTTCTAAGGCCAAACCCCTGCGGGTGTGGTTTTTTTGTTCTTATTGTTATTAATCGTAATTTTTGCCAATTCATTTTATGCCGAATCCCTTTCGGTTGGCTCAATTGGTTTTTAAATGGAATAATTTAATTAAAATATTTGGGCAAATAAATGGTTGCTGTCTGGGGGATTACTTCACAGTTTGTTTGCTTGCCCTAATCAAAAAGTTTATTGGTTTTAGAAATCATTTCGCTTTTTTCGTAAAATTGTTATGTAAAACTAAAAAAATATTTGGAAAATTTAACAATTTTTAACTATTTATTGTAAGTTTATTTTTTTTGGAATCAAACACAACAGAAAACACAGAAACACGTTTAGGTACCTACATATATGTGGTATAACCAAACTAACGAATTCTGAGCACCTACCAAGGCAATCACTCCAAGAGGACGTGCCATGAAAAGAGCAAAAAGAGGTGGAAGTACGTGTACTCTATCCTCTGCAGTACCACTCTATAGAGTAGGTACTCCACTCCACATCGCTCCAATGCGGATGGTATGTGTGTGGTATCCAGCGGTGCACGGCAGGTGTGATAAAAAGAACCGAAAGAGACAATTGCGGCGTGAATTACCCGCTGGCCAGGGGAATAATTCAAACGAGCCCCAAAGTCAAACAACGTGATAAGCAATTCACAAACACTGGGCGAAAAACTAAATTTAAAACTTTTGTTCAAGTGTTGACTGAAGATCCGAAAATCGTATTAAATTAAACTCTATCCTCCTAACTGAAGATCAATTTGCTTAGGTAATTGATTCTGTGAGTTCCCACGACTTTGTATATATTTTATATGAGTTTTCTTTGTTATACCTTGTGAAATATAATTAAATACCTTACATTGTAATAAAAATAAAACTTGACTAAGAAACATTTTTATGATCAGTTTTTATTATTCTGAATAATTTATATTCATTATTTTACCACTATTTTTTGGGCAGTGCTTTCAAAGACCGAGAGACCGACTGACTGACTGGCAGTCCGAGTGTCTGCTGTCTACTTTTCGTCTGTGGGCCTCTTCAGCACCTGAGCACTTTAAAGTTCAAATCTTTTGACACACTGGGAGCTCAGTTGGCGGATGCTAATGACACACGACTGACACAAAGAGGCTTTGCAGCAGACACACAGAGATTCAGAAACATTCACTGGGGCCGAAAGCCAACCGGTTGCCAATTTGAGAGAGTTTCAAAGGCCCAGGCCCATGGCGTTTCCCCCATTAAAGGTTACGCGACCCAGGCGATCCGGGCGCACTTTTAAGGTGCGTCTCCTATAGCCTATACAGCCGTCCTGTTGCGCCAAAAATGGCAATTGCCATATAAAACTTATTCGAAAGCGGCAACTAACGAACAACCGACGACCGCAAGAGTCAAAGTACGACTGTGGAGGTTCTTCAGTGTCAGTGACTGCCCCCGACTGTTTTTAAATTTCACTGCGACAAAAAAGGTTCTAAGATAAGAGTCATCGAATATTGCTAATTTACTTAAATAACACTGAAACTTATTAAAAATTTTAAATCTAAAATTTCCTTGAAATTGCTCCTTCCAACTGTAACTAAAATGTAGATATCACCATAAAAGTAAAATATTTAAATGGCAATTTTAAAAATGATACTTTCAATATATTTAAAAAAATAATAACCATAATATACTTTAATCAATGTTCTGCGAATTTAATATTTCATTTGGCCTAACACTTTTTGCTCTGTGCACCCGTCTTGTTAGTTGTCTCTGTTATTTCTTTTCGTTCACAGACATCGGCGAATTGGAAAAGAATGCGAGTGTAGCATCAATAATTTTGGCCTGGGAGCTTAGAGTTCTTGTTTGGATTCCACGAAAAAGGGTTCAGGAATGCCAGCCGCTGTCAAGGTGGCGTATGCGTGATGTTCTCGTTGAACCAGAACAAACAAAAAAAACAAGAAAGGAAGCTAGCTTCGGCAAGCCGAAGCTTATATACCCTTGCAGATCATTCTATTAATTTACAAATCGCAAAAATGTTAAATTTCTTATTATTTCACATTAATTTTTCGATCGTTTCTATCACAGCTATATGATATAGTAGTTCGATCTTTTAAAAATTAAAATCGAAATTCGGAAATATTTCAAAATAGTCATATCCCAGAGTAGAAGGAAATGTAATAAAAACCAAAAAAGATATAATTTTTTTCACATTAATTTCCATTTAATTTTTCGACCGTTCCTATGGCAGCTATATGATATAGTGATCCGATTTAAAAGACAAAAAAACCGAAATTCATAAATATATAAAAAAAAATATTCCCAAGAGTAGAAGGTAAAATTTCAACACCGGAGCTAGAATTTTTTTACGTTTTTATTTTTTGATCCTTCCTATGGGAGCTATAAGATATAGTTGTCCGATCCGGTTGGTTCCGACATATATACTACCTGCAATAGAAATACGACTTTTACGAAAGTTTCATACCGATAGCTTTAAAACTGAGAGACTAGTTTGCGTAGAAACGGACGGACAGACGGACGGACAGACGGACAGACGGACGGACAGACGGACAGACGGACATGGCTAGATCGACTCGTCTAGTGATGCTGATCAAGAATATATATACTTTACGGGGTCGGAAACGTCTCCTTCACTGCGTTGCAAACTTCTGACTGAAATCATAATACCCTCTGCAAGGGTATAACAAATATCAAACAAACTCTAATTGATCTCATTGTTCGAGTTTTTAGACCTGCTCACTTGTAAGGCATTTGTAAGAATGTAAGATGCAAATTAATCTCTTGACTGGCATTTGCATATGTTCACAATTAATCTTCTGTCACCTAGGTAATTAAAAATAAATATTTTTTAATTAAACTCACATTTTATAATTTGTCTGATGTAAATATTAGCATTTTAATTAGTTTTCCAATTGATGAATTGCCTGTCTACAGCTTTTGGTTTACTTAATTGAATTAATGGTTAAAGTAGTGAGAAGCCATAAATATTTGATTAGGTTTTCATTAAGACTTTTTAAAAAATTTAAATTTTATATTTATATATTATATTTTTTATCATTACTCAAACTATTTCAAACGCTAATAAAAAAGTAATATATAATAATAAAATCTAACCGCGTAACTATTATTTTGGTATTTTTATTGTGAAAGATGTGTCTTTGCACATTAAATTCTTTGAACACCTGCAATTATTTATTTGTGTATCTAATTGGCAGTCTTCAGTTTCCACATATTAAAATATTTCCCTCAATAAGCTGCAATTACTTGTAGTCACAAATTGTGTAAACTAATCCAACTCAGACACGCACAGCTAAATCACAATTATCCGGTGCCAATCTACACGATTTTCTGTATTGAGTTGTCAGTGCCACCCGAAGTGAGGATATTGGCTGAATTTGGAAAATCCGAATCTGGAAAATCTGGCCATAATTCGCAAATAAATTTCAGCGTTCGCTACATACGTAAACACGATCTTGATTTTGGAGACACGATTTATGGATGTCTTGCAGCTGCTGCAGCTTTTCGCAGACTCCTTAATTGTTCGGCTCGAATGGCAATTATTTATGGGACGGTTTAGCAAGGTAATTAATTAGCCACCTTTTTCGCGTTTTGGACAGCTTTTCCGCGGAAACACTTTTGAGTTTGTGGGAAATCGCTGAGCTGACAAGCCAACTGAGCCAACGAACTACCGAACCGCTTTGCACGAGCTCCTTTCGAAAAATGAAACTGAAACCGGCAGCCGGCAACTCCAAAGCCGCAAAAACCCACGAAATCGTACAGAAAACTTGACTAACGAAGTGGCTTCGTGTCGGTTAGCCGACGTGAGTTTCCACGATGAGGACGGTGTGAAAACACCCTCGTTGAATTTTCCATTTTCCGCTGCAATACTGGGCTATCGGTCCCCTAAACACCGTCATCATTTAATAGGGTATATGAGATAATCAGATGTGCATGTTCCACTGCTGTCTTTTCTATATTTACCTTTGGAAACATGATCTCATGTCAAGCACTTTTCATGACAGCTTCTTTCCATGGTTTCACGAAATATTTGCCTTATATTGGGAAAGGGTTTCGGTGCGACTTTATCTCCCGCTTATCACTTGCTTATTGTGGGAAATGTTGGTCTTGTGCCAATAGATCTTTGTATGCCAGAAAGTTCATAGGCTGCATTCTAATTAAGATTATATTGTTTGCTCGCAGACTGCAGATTTTGGAGAATCGTTTTAGGGATGATATGAATAAATCGTAAGCTGAGAAATTTATAAATTAATGTGCACTGGTTAGGGCTTTAGGACAGTTGCTTGATTTTCGCCTAATTGGTTGGATGCATTTACTTAAAAAAATGTCATGAAAACTTACAGAAACAGAAAAAAAGGGTCCAAGCCTGAACCACATTTTTTAATGAATGTTGTATATATTGAAATCATTTAAATCAAACAAGTGTTAATATCAATTGATATTTACATGTCTAATTTATCTTTAAATTTATTTTATATTATTTAGCGGCTTAATGTTCTTATGGTTTGTCTTTGTAGTATGTGCCATAAACGCCGATGTCAATTATTCGTTTGATTACTTGGAGGATGCCTTTTGAGTTTATAACATTCGGTTACAATCCTAACTATTGTGTGAGGAAAAGAACGGCTAACTCTTAACAATCTGGTGCCGAAGTGGGGGATACGTGGATTATATCCTGGAGGAGATCAGCAGTGACAGGCGGGGCACACCGGCTTATCCCCGTCGATGGTGAAGGTCTGCGTGGTGATGGGATTCTCGCACTTGTTGCACCGGAAGCAATCGCGATGCCACTTGACATTCATGGCAACCACCGCCGAGTCCGTGATGGGCTTCTCGCACTTGGCGCACCTGGCGGCGAAGAGGTCCTCGTAGTCCTGCTTGCAGTAGGCCTTGCCGTCCCGCTCGTAGAACGACTGATTGGCCAGCGGTTTCTTGCAGGCTCCGCCGCAGCAGAAGCAATCCTCGTGCCAACTTTCGCCCATGGCGCAGATGGTTCGCTCGAGGATCGGCTTCTTGCAGCCGGCACAGGTGTACGTGTACCGCTCCACGAAGCACTTGTTGCACACCGGCTCGCCGCTCTGGATGTTGAAGGTGGCGTCCTGGATCTGCTCCTCGCAGTGGCGGCACAGGAAGTGCTCCGGATGCCAAGTCTTGCCGAGGGCGGTGATCATTCGCTTGGTGATGGCCTCCTTGCACTTGTGGCACACAATGTTGTCAGACATCTTGGGTTATGAGGTAGTTATCTCTGCACGATAGTAAAAATAATAGGGGGCTTAATATAGTAAAGCTCTGAGAACAATGTTGTTTATCTTTATCGATTAAAAACAGGGTTGCATAAGGAAGTATTAAACTATCGGGTCATGCGAATATTCTATTTTAAATCGTAGTATCTAAGGACTCGGTTAAAACATCACAATTTAATATTAGGATCCCATATCTTACCAGTTTTCCGTCTGCTTACCTCTCCTCTCCCTTCCTTATCGCGATGGTCGCCTCTTAGTTATCGTTCTCTACCTTCTCTCCGAGATTGCGGTATTATGATACTTTCTTTTCTTTGAGAAGGTTCACACAAAATGATAGAACAACAAAAAAGAAGCAATACGGATTCGGACAAAATTTACTACAATTTTTTTTTTGAGAATTTTGATGATTTTTTAGTAAATATAGAAAACGAAACGAATGAAAACGTATGAATTTAGCAAGACTCAAAAACTGAATGAGATATTCGATGTGAACGCTGGGTATATAGTCTGACATCTGAAAAATCTAGAAGCACCACCTACTTGACTAAGAAAAAATTTGAATTCCATTTCCAGACTACTTGATTTCGTATGCAATATTTTTAACAGCTGATATTACATTTTTTTACACAATATATTTTTTTTGCAGTTGAATTTCCGGAATTAAAATGGACAGTTTTTTTAAGTGAATAATATTTACAGCCCAACACTGGGTTTAGTTTTCATAGTACAAGTTTATTTATCTTCCCAACAAATTGGGTCTATTGGTGGTTGTTTATTTTTTCTTGATAATTTATAGCCACTTTTTCTTTGAAATTCAAGCTTCCGAATTAGTCACACCAAAAACCATTAATAAATTGCCTCAAGAACGATGCGAGTAAGGGATATCATCCACTTCCAAGGGTGACTTCTTCAAACAAGCGGTCGGCGATTCCTTGAAGGCGCTGCTAAAATGTTTGCAATTAATGAAATGTGTTGCATACGTATTTATTAAAAAATTTAATTAAAGCAAAAATGCTAAGGAACTTCCGCTTAGTCGGCAATTAACAACGGCTACACATGCGTGGACGTGGCAGGAGGAGAATGTTGGGTGGTGGCTCCTTCAAAGGACTCACCCACCCACACAACCCCCAAAAGGGCCATCGTTTGTAAGATCCACTACGAAAAAAAGTGTAGCAAAGAAATTTAACTACAAAAGAACAAAAATTAATTAGTAATCTAAAATAGGACATCTTCAATTACACTGTGCAGCATTTTTAGTGCTTTTTAAATTTACCTCGATGGATGCTATATTTTTGGATTCGTTACGAATTCCCAAGTTAAACTGCGTTTTCCAAAAAGTTCCCCGACGCAAGAATTCTTAGCAAAAGGACCTCAAAGTTCGAAAAATGCTGAAATTGGCCAACTTTGCGGAGCTCTCAGAGGCAAATGGATGCATGGTTTGATTCGATGTTAAAGTTTTTTAAAAGATACGCCCTTTATCTTTTAAACCCCATACTTAAAAAATTTTTAGGATTTTTTTTAAGGCAGAAACAAATTCTAGAAAACATAGTCAAAAAACATAAAAGTATACAGCTGCGGTCAAAATGGTAGTAGTGTTGCCGCCCTGTGTATTTAAAAGTTTGTTGTTGTAATTGATCTTTTCCTGGTAATATTGTATTGATTATAAATTTACTATTAGACTAATTGGATAAGAAAAAATTACAACATCAAACTTTTAAAAAAACACAAGGCGGCAACACTGCTACTATTTTTACCGCAGCTGTATGTTTTTCAGTTTTTTGACTATGTTTTTTGGAATTTATTTCTGCCTTAAAAAAAATCCTAAAATTATTTTATGTATGGGGTTTGAAAGATAAAGGGTGTATCTTTTAAAAAACTTTAACTTCGAACCAAGCCATGCATCCATTTGCCTCTGAGAGCTCCGCAAAGTTGGTCAATTTCAGCACTTTTCGAACTTTGAGGTCCTTTTTCTAAGAATCCTTGCGTCGGGGAACTCTTTGGAAAACGCAGTTTAACTTGGGAATTCGTAACGAATCCAAAAATATAGCATTCATCGAGGTTAATTTTTGATGCTGCATTGTGTTATAGGACATCTTAAACATCTTAACGCAAAAAAGTTGTAAGCTGTAAAGTATTAATACGTTTTCCCATAAAAATTAATATGTTCCTGGTAAATTTATGAAATATATAATATAGTTCAAAGTATTGTATATATTTCTGGTTTTTGTGGCTAAATATATCTTTATTATATTAAAAGCTTTATTTTATATAATAAAATAAACAAACAACAAATGAGCCATGGTTCATTTCTATATTTTGTATTTTTAGCAACCAAACCAATAAAAGTTACTTATTATATTTATTTTTTAGATAAAAATAGATACAAAATATTCACTTTCAGTGCCTTAGAATAATTGATTTCAATTTGCTTTTGATTAACGTGTATTTTTTCAGTGTTTGTGCTACTTCTTTTGTTCCCTTCTCGATGGCCGCTCGGTGGAGCACAGCATTGTTTGTGGTCGCCACGCAGTGGGTGGTGCGGAGTTCTGGGTGGTGCCAGGAAAACTGGGAGTGGGTGTCCTTAGCGAGAAGACATGTCACAATTTGGTTTGCGCTTTGATGCGTTGCAAGGAATTCGAAATTGCAGCCCCTTTTGGGAGCCATTTGCACTCTTTCCGGACGAGCTAGTTGTGTAAGTCGGAAGGGGAATTTGTGTCAGGCGTCTGTCTGCGTATTCCAAAGTGCGTGCCCAGCTCATGTCCTCATCCACATCCTCGTCGTAATCCAGAGCCGCATTCCCCTTCCCATAAATAGGTTAAACCGCTCATAATTATTTTATTAAATACCTGCTTTGCGCCGTGTAAATGCGATAAGTGCATTTGGGTCTCGCACTTTCTATAATAATTGCTAAAAGTTGCACAACATTTTTTGGCACGTTTCTGGGACAAGTTCAAAGAGTTGCTCCTTGGGGCCACATAAATACATCCTTCAAACTTTCCCGTAATTGCAAACGCAGTTGCATGACCCACAATAATTTATTTTGGCTTCGCCACTGCACTCGGGTCGTTTTTTTTTCGTGTGAGTAAATTTAATTAGTCGCAAGATTAGATTAGGCCAAGTGGGGGAAGGGTAAAAGTGGCCCAAATAAAGGGGTAGCAGTCTGTCACAAAACTGCCGGCAGTTAGACAAATTGTCAGAGGAGATTTAGGGGTTCGAGTGCGACACTCTTGTGGAGATAAACTGTCTGTGGATTATTGGGTAATTTCGGTTTCGGCTTGTAAATTAGTCCGAAAATTAGGTTGGTTCTTTACGAGAGTTATTAAAATTATATAGTGAAAGAAAAAATATGATAACTAGGAGGATAACTAAAATAACAACATTTATTCCCTTAAAATTTATTAAAAATAAGATAAATATAAAATAATATCATATAACATATTGAAAAATAGCAGCCTACATATTTGAAAAGTATTTAAAGTAATGTAACTGAACCGAAATACTTTAAAGTATCCTTTCTTTTAGACCGTAAAACGAGAGCAGGATCAAATAAGGAGGCAGACCCTGGAACAGGAGCAATGACAGAAACGGGAATCGCAATCAATTACGCGACACGTTAATTATGCATCCAGGGAACGGATACAGGATACAGGATATTGATATACCAGCCACAGGGCGCATTGAACTTTGATTTGGGCCAGTTTAAGGGCCGCCTTAAAAGTCAGTTGGTCAAATAGAATTGAAATGTAGGTATTTATTTTAGTGTGTACTATTTTAATGGAAATAAAAACAGACTAGGAAATAGGAGTATGTACAATTAGAACGAGATTAACGACTAAATTAACTAAGACTTAGGAACTAGGCGAATTGGGCAAATCTATGACAATGACCTCTGGGTGATCCTGGGCATCCTGATCAGCTTGCTCCTCCAGCTCCGCATCCGACTGGGGATGCCAGTACTTGAGCTTGTTCTTGTTGCTCGGCTTCTTGGAGGAGATCAGGGTGCGACGTTTCAGACGCTTCAGCTTCTTCTTCTCCCGCTTCTTCATCTTCTCCTGGGCGAACTCCAGAATGGTGCTTCTGAGTTCCATGCGATAGTTCTTCAGGTGGCTCAATTCCTGGGCCAGCGGATCATCGCCGGCTGGAGCCCGGTTCTCTTCGTCATCCTCGTCCGATAGGAAGGATTCGTAATTGGTCCACGATTCGGTGGACACCCCTAGTCGCTGCTCCTGTAGCTTTAGCAGCTCCTCGGTTAGCAGGAGCTTCGATGTGGTGTACTTCATCAGCTGGTGCTTTTTGCAACTCATTTGCTGGCGATAGCTGAACAAGTGAAATGTCAAATTTGGCACAATCTCCTGCGGCTCCACCACCTCGTGCTTAATTGTCTCCTGCTCCTTGGGGGTAACGAAGGGGGAGGGCGGCGCATTTGTGGCACGTGCCTCTGAGCAGGACACCTTGCGATCCATGACGTTGCCCATGTTGTTGCCGATGTGAAGACTCGATTCTCTCTGACAGCTGCAATCTCTCAGCCCTCGAACTTATATGCCAAAACGAAAAGGGTTTTCTGTAATATGCAGGCTTTTACCTGGCGATGAGCTTTACCTGCACTTAAATTAGGGCTGCTTTCTTTCCCCGATTTCTTGGCCCAAACGTATCCCTGGTTTATGGCCCAAACACCTGGCATGGATTAACAAAAAGTTGACAAAATTCGATTATTTAAGCCTGTTGCGAGCCACAACACAAATTGAATTCTTTTTCGGTATTTCTTATAGACAATCCCAAAAAGGACCCATTTCGGTTAATTACCTGGATTATTTATATCTTCAGTTGCGAGCTAATAATATCCTTTGGAATCTCCTCAATTCTTAGCTTAGCTTTCTGTTTGCTTCTGATTTCAACTGATCTTTTTAAGGTTCCAACACATTGACGTATCTTACTCAACTGAATTTTAGAATTTTAAATTTAAATTTGAACAAAATCTTTAACTTAGCACTTGAGCTGTTCAAGGTGTTATATACTTATATAAATATATATATAGTCACGTGAAACGTCATGAGCTACTGTGATTGCTCGTGATTTTTCCAACACTTTTTTATGTCAACCATTTTGGGGTTTTACAAACCATTTAACCTTCGTGCCAAATATTTTATTAGTTTATGTCTTTTAATTTATCAAATAAACACACCTTCTAACGAGCTAAAGAACTAGTGACGATCGCACCTCAACATAGAAAAGTTCTAATATTAACATTTTTCACGAAAAATGATTACATACATGATATAGATTAAATACACTTTCTAAATTTTCTCATTTGTCATAATTTTTAAATTTTAGACAAATTAAGGCGGCGTGTATTTCTAGGATCCTAATACATCGCTTGAGACAAACTGCCAAGCAGAAAAAACTTTTCATTTTGAAAAAAGCCCCGAATCTTGAGCTTGGAATAATGTTTGAATGAAGTTTCGGATTTTATTATATGACACGTTTTTTCAATAAGAATGCAACTAGGCTAATACGGGGGGTCATTTATCCCCTCGCCCTTAACAGCTCCAATTTTCTACATTTTTACTTTTACACTTTCACCGCTCCTTCTCCAAATCCAATTGAAATTGTCAAAGTCTTGGTATGCAACCCTTTTAGTTTTTGCAATACCTTTTTATTTTGGTATCACTCTCTAGCCATACGGAGAACCTTTACCTACGGAATAAGAGGCTTCCATAGATATTAAAATTATATATTTCAACTGAAAGGATGCAAAATTAGTTATATTCTATTACCTTAAAGGTATATTTATATTAAAGTCATATTATTTACAGCATGTGTTACAACGTTAAAAATGTTAATACTTTTGTGTGTCAAAGTTGGTTGTTAAATATATTATACATATAATAAACAATAGTAATTATCGCCGAAATGATATTTTAGAAGTAATGTGGCAGTAATAGTGGCGGCTGCAAACCGATCTCAAACCAATTACTACTGCAATTATAGTTCTACTAAGAGCCGTTTTCACGTCCGCCTGTTAAATTTAAAGTAGGGTTAAAACTCTGATTTCTTGTACGATTTTAAGGATTTAACCTTATTTTAAATTTAACAAACGCACGAGAACACGTCCCTAACGGTCGTATAATCGCGCGGTATACAAGCATTTGGTTCGAGTAATAAAGAAACTAAAGTAATGGAAGTTCGACTTAGGGAGAATGAATTGTATGATATAGGTATACGATTTCTAAACTTACTGCCAGCGAGTTTGGTTCAAAATAAGGAAGTCTGTAGAGGAGAAGTCCTGATAGCGTAGAAGATGAAGAGGAGGTGCCTCCTTCATCGCCCAGTCCACCGAGGACGACTCTTCCACCTCGCAGTGCTTTGCCCAAAGCGAGTGGAGCCGCAGCGTCCCAAACTGAATCTCGACGAGCTCTACAAGAACGACTATGATGTCACGTTCAACGATGCACTCGATCCCACGCTGAAACCGCTATCGCCCCAGCATCCGCATCCTCATTCGCATCACCTTCCGTATCAGCAACATGTATCTTAATTTTAGGGTTAGGGCACTCATTTTTAGAAAAAAGTGTTGCCAAAATATTTTATTTTTTTTCGTTTGCCTTTCTATTTTTCAGAAAATAATTTCTAATTTTAAGGGCATTTTTTCTAGATTTTAGGGTGATTTTAGTTCATGGTAACCATTTTCTACATTTAAGAAAAACTTTCTTGATTTAAGAAAAACTTTCTTGACTTAAGAAAAATTTCCTTAGATTTAGAAATAACTTTCTTGTAGGTATTTAGAAAAAAGAAATTTTAATGGCGATTTTCTAAAATTTAGGGTTAAATTTATTTTGAGTGCAGCAACAGCATCAGCGGCAAATATGCCAGCGCCTATAATCCATTCGCCTATTACCAGCGTATCAATGACCAAAATCCGTTTGAGCGTCGCAACCAAAGAGCTATCATAGTAAGTTCTATTTCTCGTTGACGGAAATAAGCCGGCGGGCTCTTGTCCCGGCGCAAGCCCCGCGTCCGCATCGACTCAAATACGCTGCTGCCAGAAGAGCAGCCGGCGGACCGATTATCGGAGAAGCTGTCTTCGGGTCGGGAGTAAGCCGGAGCTACCGTCTGTCTGTTCGTTCGTATGAACGCTGAGATCTTGAAAACTGGAATAGCTGGAAAGTTGGGATTACCCACACATATTCTTGGGTTTCCTACGCAGCGCAATTTTATTTCAGCCGAGGGCCACGCCCCCTGTAACGCCCACAATCGTCTTAAAGGAATAAAGGATTCGATAAAAAGTTATGCGATATCAAAGATTTATATTTCCATCTCCCCGCACTTTCTGTAGCTGAGTAACGGGAATCTGATTGTCGGGGCACCCGACTATAGCGTTCTCTCTTGTTTTGGATTGCAGTTTCTTTAGCTGTAAATATGTTTCCCCGAACACAAGGAGAGTTCCCATTTGGTGCACGGCTCCAACTTCTTAAACAAATCTGTATCTACCTTAGTCGTTTAGACGCAAAACCTACACGTATTTCAAAAAAGTTTGGGACATATTAAGCACACTGAAAAACAACATTTGCAATATAATCTTTTAAAACTTTTTTTAAACGATATTTTTTATTGGAATACCTTAGAGATGCAGTAATACTTGATCCACAATTTCTAAGCGCTTTTTAACTCGGTTCTACAGAAAGACCTTTTACAAATTCTATAAATTTAAATAACTAATTCAAAAAAGAATTTAGAATTAGAATCTTATAGGTCATATTTTTGTAAAAGAAAGCTATAAGATATCGAAAGTATATCATCTTCTTTTCAAATCAAACAAGTTTTCGTCCTCTGAAAAAATAAATGAGCTGTACACGTTGTAATCTTTACCTGAATATTTTAAAGCAGATTGCAAATTGGTAGACAATAATGACGAACGTACTTCCAAAACCATCTGTCACTTCGCAGGTAGAAGTTAAGCCATCGGAATTTCTAAGCTCTGGAAAAACCCAACCTTTGACCGGCCCAAAAGGACAGTTAGGAAATCAGGTCAAAGAATCCCAATGTCCCTCCCACAGATATAATTTACCTGGCCCACTATATAAGCCCACCAAACCAACCACATCATTATCATTCACATTCCAACTGTCAACAGCCATGGATCAGTCTGTCATTAGTCAGTACACCAACTCCAAGAAGCTGATGATGTTCCGCACTCCCAACGAGGAAGAGGCGCTCAAGAACCAGATATTCATCTTTAACTCGCCGATTGACTACAAGGACCAGCAGCTGATTGTCTACCAGAGACCAGGACTCATCAACGGAGCCAAGGACTTCGGCTATTGCGTGGTCTACAAGCGAGATCACTATGTGCTGAACAATCCGCCGAACTTCAAGAGTCCCACGAAGAGGAGTTTCCTCAACGAGTGCATCCGCCAGTTGTATCTGATGAACGGCATGGGCCACAAGATGTACTGGAGGACCACAAGTGCGATGGCTTTGAGCACACCCGGAGAAGTCTGGCACCAGGTGAACAGTTGCCTTCTGCCGGAGCGACTTACGCCGCTGAAGGAGAGCCTTAAACGGGTGAAGAGGCAGCTGTTCCGGGATCCCAGGGCAGATCGCAAGAACCCGAAGCCGCTGAAGGGCAAAGTCTGGGGCACCCAAGTCTTCTGCTTCAAGTCGATGCGTGAGAAGATTGGAAGGAAGTACATTCGCCGAGGCTACCTGACCATTGCCCGCCGGGAAGCCCTGCAAGAGATGATCCGGGAGCATTTGCAGCGCGAAATTGTCTGCACTCCGGCCGCCTGCAACACGGTGATCAGTGCTGCCGATGGAATCTTCAACGCGAACGCCGGGGTCATCGGGGACATCTGCAGCTACCACAGCAACGCGGCACGTCATCAGCCCGCCGTAGAGTGCCGTCTTACAGAAGGAGAAGCCCGTCTGCGAAACAACGAGGCCTGTCGGCTGACCCATCGTGCCAAGCGACTGGAGGCCATGTTCATCCACGAACAGGTCCGCCGGGCCGTCCAGAACCACCAGTTCATCCTCGAGGAGTCGGTGCGATCCATCTACTACGCCAAGGAGCTCTTCCGCCTGATTGAGGATCACGAGGACTTCGTCTACACAGACAACAAGATCCTGGGCAAGATATGATTGGCCTTTCTTGACCGGCATAGCCACATTCGCCTGCTTCCTTAATGTATTTGTAATTATAATTAAGACTTATAAAATAAAAATAATAACTAAAAAATATAACGATGCAATCTCTTTAATTTAATTCAATCAGATGAAAGTGGGTACATATAATAGCCATTTTCAGAAGAAAACACTTTTATGATTGTTTGCTATCCCATTTTCCAAACAATAAAAAAGACATTTTTCGCAAAACTTTATAAAAATGTAAGTAGTAACATATATAAAATACATTTATCATATAAAAATTCGTTTAATTTTGATTTGAAAAAAGATACTGGGTCTTGGATGATATCGAGTTTACGGATTACGTCGTCTTTTGTTGCTCTATCAGCTTGGAATGAACGTCCATTAGGCTCTGTAAATATGTAAAATATTACAAGTTAGAAAAATGAATACAAACTATCTTTATAAACAAGCGATTAAATTGACCTTACATTACATATTAACTTAAATTTTTTTAAGGTGGGCCTATAATTTTCGTTGGTGTTTTAATTTTTATCAAGGTCCTAACAAAATTATTAGAGTTCTTCGTTTATAGAAACTTCGTTAACTAATTATAACAAGTCAAATAATAAAAGAAAACAACTTTATTTTTTTCTTAAACTTAAATAACAAGTATATAAAATTTATTATTTTTCGTTTTGAAAGTTTTGTAGATCCCAGAGATAGTCCTTGATTTCACGTTCATTAATCTTCTATAAAACGTTTTTCACGTTATTACGACTTAAAATATTTTTTGATACATAGTGTGGCGTTTGTTAATAAAGTAACATAAGTTTTGGGATACTTTACGCATCATCAGCTAGTTTAGCCCTCCTGTTGGGAGCCTTCGTCTAGATCTCGGAGGATGCCCTGTGAAATTGTGGGAATGGCCAGTCAGCCAATCGTTAACACTGTTCATTTGTTCTTAACGTTATTCTTAACCATACAACTATAACCTTGAAGCCACTAAATTACAAGCATTTAAGTCTAGGCATGCAAATGATTAAACTTAATTAACAACCATATAAAGATGGCCACCTACGCCCTCTTAAACTACATATTTAACAGAAATACGACTGTGATTAGGGGTCCGTTAACCGACACCTTCAGAAACCAATTAAGCACCCAAATGCCAGTCCATCTAAGCCCAGTTTTCTATAAAATCGATGAAATCGAGGGCGGGCATACCTTGAAGTATTTCACAGTCTTAACTCTCAACTCCAAAGTGGCATCCTCGTCGCAGATCATCAGTGTATTGGCATGCTGCTGGAAGGCACTAACGGTCCACATGTGATTCACGCCCTCCTCAATGGCCTTGTACAAGGCAAACGCCTTGTGTGCCCCCGTAATAAGGATCATTACTTCCTTGGAGTCCATCACAGTACCAACGCCCACGGTTAGGGCCTGTTTTGGCACCTTGCTCATATCGTTCTCAAAGAATCGAGCATTCGCTTCCAACGTATCCTGGGCCAGAGTTTTCACCCGGGTCCTGGACACCAACGAGGATCCCGGCTCATTAAAGGCAATATGCCCATCGGGTCCAATACCACCGATGAACAGTTCCACTCCTCCAGCCTCCCGGATCTGATCCTCAAACTTGTTGCACTCGGCGACCAGATCAGCTGCATTACCATCCAAAATGTGGACATTTTTCGGCTCAATATCGATGTGCTTGAAGAAATTGTTCCACATGAAGTAGTGATAGCTTTCGTGGTGATCCCTGGGCAGACCTTTAAAGGTTAGGAAGATTTTATAATAAATCTATCTTAGTATCTTCATTTAAGATCATTACTTATTTATAAAGTAATTTATGGTCTCAATTTTGAGCCATAATAATTTCTTAGTGATTATAATAATTTTCAGCCACAACTTACCCACATACTCGTCCATATTAAAGGTCTTCACATATTGGAAGGATACCTTGCCCTGTTTGTGAAACTCAATCAGTTCTTTGTACATTCCCAGAGGAGTCGATCCGGTTGGCAGACCCAAAACAAAGTATCTAAAAAGTGGTGGGTATTATTAAATGTAAAATTAATTTGTAATTTATAAATGTTATACCTATCGGCGGTGGGCTGGAAGTCATTTATCCGTTTCATCACATATTTGGCCGCCCACTTGCCAACGGAATCGCTTGTCTCCAATATTACCAATCTCATTTTTACCTGAAAGAAAAATATTTATTACTTTTAAAATAGAGAAGAATTGTAAACAAAAAATCAGGGACCGTAAATAATCATTATTTGAGATTTTTATTTAAAAAAGACTACTGTGATATTTTCTTTTAAACGTCAAAAATAAGGTTCTTTTTCCTCTTGTCCACAAAGTATATGCATTGCAACAAATCTGGAAAGCAAATTAACTGTTCTTTGTTCATGTCTATAAAGTGCATAAAAAACCAGTTAAATTGTGGATTAAAATATGTAAAAACCTCAGTAGGCCTTTTAAAATAAAAATCTTAAATAATGATTATTTACGGTCCCTGCAAAAAATACATTATAACAAAGGAAATTAACATTGTGTTCCTCTATTTTACATTTTGATTATCTTTTATATTTTCAATTCTTTAAGTATATCTCGTATTTTATTCGTACTTTTCAACGGATAACTTGAAAACATTACCCGCTGTGAAGAAAGAAGAAAAGAAATGGGTGTTTATAAATGGAAAACAAAGGTCTTATCGCCTCAAAAATATCACAATACCAACGTAAGTTGGCACTGGCAAGGATTAAGATTAGATGTTGATATTGTGGGATAAGATACAAGAGTAATTCGTCCCATTCAGTTTGGTTTTTGTTTGTATTGGCAGTCCACTTGGCGAATATCAACTTGTTTATTGTTGTACTCGACTGATAAGCAACAAATACATACTCGACAATTATTGACAATTAACCCATTTATGGCGTTGTCCCCACGGAATATACTTTCGTTCTCACTTGGCAACGCCAATCGTACTTGAATTTATGCATCATACTTGGCTACTCACCTTCAAAACACGCGAACGCAAACAGCTGCTTATTTAATATTCGGATTATATTTTATTTTTACAGCTCGCACAGGCGATTTCGGGAGTGTTTTCGCTTTGGCGCTTATTTCCAATTTGAGCTGCGAACTGAGACTGTTCAATTGTTCAATTCGAACGGCAATTTATGCAGCGATTAGCTCGAGTTTGAGTTTGTACTTGCGGTTGCGGTAGAAATTCGCTCTTTGGCTGATAAAGAGAGTGTTCATATGGTAATCACAAATGCAGTTTGCAACCTTGAGATACTTTTTGTTATCGTTATCGCGGGTTAAGCGGTCAGGGTTCTGTGGGTAGGCTTCACTCTCTGTATTTTCCAGTTGAATGAACTCCCACCTCAAGCCGCATCGCTTGCTCTTGAGTCTTATATCGATATTGTATTTTAGTATCTCTCAGTTTAATGAACTCCCACTTTAAACCGCATCTTTCGCTCTTGAGTGGTTCGTTATGCATCTAGAACTCCCTCTCTGTATCTGTATCTTTGGCGCTCTTGAGTGTTTAATCGGCCAGAGTTGACACCTTGCTCGAAGTGGAAAATAGGCAGGCCGTGAAAAGCCGGTTACATTCTTAACTCCTCGGGCTCGTCAATATTCACTCAAATCTTTCACATCGATAACTCAAACCGAATAAATTTTGAGCGTTTACAACGCCCGCATTGCATATGTATGTATAAAATTAAAAATCTAAAAATAACTCAAGGCGGCGAAAGAAAATTCAAAGCAAACAAGTAAAAAGGGCCACCAGGCGGCGAAAGTGAAAGAAATACCCTACAAAGTATTAATATTACAATGCCTATTGGTTTGGCTAGAAATCATGTAACCCTAATTTTTTTTCTTCATTGGTTTTTTACATTTCTTAGCTTTTAAAAGTCAAAAAATGTATTTTTAAAATTTTTTTATTAAACATTGTTTTCTTTATTTTTATTATCAATTTATTTGCAATTACATACATAAACGTAGATGTACTTAAAATTTAGTTTTCATCAGTTTGTGTTAAATAGTTTGTGTGGGCGTTGAATTTGTTTGGCCGGCGTAAAACGCGACCACGCCCACCCATAAAAAAGCGTCTGATCGCTGAGCCGCTAGATGTTCTTTCCTTTTTTATAATTGTTGTACATATTTCTTGTTTCTGTAGTTGCTGTTGTTATTGTTGCTTGTCCGGTAAAATGTTTGCAGGAAGCTCAAGAACCGGTTTTAACCGGGAGAAAGCGGTTTTCGGGGATGGGGATCGTAAACCCTATGGCCATGGCTAAAAAATATATATTGCTGGCTTCTTGTCATTTCCGTAGGCATGTTTCTATATATAATGTATATTGTATTTTAAGCTGATTGTACAAAAAATACTTAAATAAATATGTCTGTTGTCAGGAGCATCTTTTAGTTAATTCTCTTGACCTGTATTTTTATATTTCCTCACTATTTGCTCGTTGTTTTTGTAGTTTATGGTTAGTTAATCTTGGATATTGCTTAAGAACTATTTACTCATAGGGAGAGGGTGCGCAAGTACATCGAAAATATTGTTTTCTTGCAATATTTTCAAAGTTCTTGTCGGCACAAATACAAAAAGTGAAGGTGCTGTGTAAATTCTATGTGGCATAAATAAAATTCAAGATTCCAACCTATACCAAATAAAGTTTACAATAATTGCTTACGTGGAAACACAAAACGTGAAAAATACGTTGTCATTGGGACAATAAACTATAGTTTCATACAAAGTGAGAGGAGAATTTGAAGAAAACGAAACGAAGATTCTCTCTTTTTTCTGCTTAAGCCAATCTACACAAATGATTTTTGATTAAATTACTGGCCTTGTGGCCACAAAAAATAACTTATCTGATTAATAATTCTCTGTACCTCTGCGTTTTTCTGTGGGTTCTTTTATATGCCTTCTGTTTGCTGTTATTTTGTCTGGTTCAGAAAAGATTTGTGTTTGTGTATGAAATTACATAATGGCGCACTTTTCGCCGGTCTGCTGTGGATCGCCCTGCTGGTGATACAGCTGCTCGTTGCCATCCACGGCGCTCACGCTGCGCCGGCGACTCAGTCGGGAGGAGGAGGTGTGTGTTGACACCACGCGCTTGACGCGATCCAGATTGGCCACAGCCTCGCCGTCGGCGTTCAACAGAATCGTCCTGGTATTGTCGGCGGCGATCCACTTCTGCGACTTCATCACCAGACTTGACGGCGGCTCGTGCGTGGCCTTAGTGTCCGCCGACCAAACGGTCACCACGGCATTCGGCTCGATTTTCACAGAACGATGGAACTTGTATGTAGTCGACGGGCCGCCCTCGTTGATCAGACGTTGAAGCTGCCAGCCACCGATGGCCACCTCGTCGCTGCCCTTGTTGTACAGCTTTACGAACTTGCCCTCGGGATCGATCTCCTTGATCTCCACGTTGCCCTTGGCACTGGCCGACACATAGTAGTCGGACACGCTGCGATCTTCCGATTCATCGATCACGGCACGCTTGCGCTTCACTGCGCCAGAGGGGGTGCGACGTGAGGGCGTGGCACGAGTGGAGCTGCGCAGCGACTGGCTGAATGACTGCACGGTGGCAGTGTTGGCGGCTGGAGTGATGTTCAAGCGCGCCTCCTCACCGACCAGCAGCTTGTCGTAGGCGGCGATTTCCAAATCCAGGGAGACCTTTAAGAAATACAGATTTTAGTACACAAAGAACAAACGAATAATAAAAGGCTGATCTAACCTTGATGTCCATCAGGTCCTGGTACTCCTGCAGTTGCTGCGTCATCTCTTCGCGCAGGCGGATAAGCTCCTTCTCGAGAAGGGCCACCTCCTGGCCGTGGCGCTCGCGGTCGTTGTCCAGCTGCTGCTCCAGTTCGCGTATGCGCACATTCAGAATTGCATTGGTCTGCTCCAGATCATTGATCTTGGCATTGAGACCGTCGATGCGGACGCGCGTAGAGCGCAACTCCTCGATGGACTTGTGCGTCGAATTGGATGTGCGTGCAGCGGCCTCTTGCAGACGACGGATCTTGTCCTCGTACAGGGACTCGATGTCATCGCGATTGATGCGCATCTGCTCCTCGTACTGCGAGCGCAGTTCCTGCAGGGACTGCTTCAGCTTGGCATCGTACTCGGAGCTGAGGCGTCCGTCGATCTCGCTGTACTCCGTCTGGCGGATGCGGCGAGACTCGTTGATCTCCTGCGAGTGGATCTGATCCTTGAAGGAGAGCTCCTCGCGCAGACTCTGGATGGTGTTCTCCAGGTCGACGCGCGACAGTGTCTCCTGCTCCAAGTTCTTGCGTGTCTCATCGAACTGCTTGCGCAGGCGGTCCAACTCCTTGATCACCTCGTTTAGCTCGTCGCTGGCCTTCTTGCGATCGGCATTGGCCTGGTTGAATTTGTTGCTCAGCTCGTTGGCACGCGACTCGTACATGCGGGCATTGCCTGCGGGGTGGGAAAATCAATCAATTATTTATTCAGCTTAAATTGGGGTGGACTTAAGATCACAGGGGTGGAAAGAAGACTTTTGTATACATAAGAAATATTTATTTCGGAATTGCGGCGTATGACTTGTAAATTAAATTCCTTTTAAATTAATCTTAAATTCGAGGAATGTTTTTATATGCTAACATATTATAGTCATTGGTGCATTAATGAATCATATAAATATTAGACATAACTTTAACAACATTTTTGAGCTATTAATTGCTAATGGTTTCCTAAGAAAATTGGATGATCTTACAAAAAAATTATCATATTTATTATTTTATTTTTCTTGCCCTAATTCTATCCCCTACTTTTGGGACTACTCACCCTCGGCGGTGCTGCACTCCTTGGTCTTTTTGTCCAGCCTGTTCTTCAGCTCCTCGTTCTCCTCCCAAAGACGCTTGATGTCGATCTCGCCACGGGCACGATCCCGAGCCGTATCGTCCAGAAGGCGGCGCGTCTCCAGGAGCTCAGCCTCGAAAATATTCTTGATATTGGTGGTCTCGCGGGTGACCGTGTCCCTGGTGGTCTGCACCTCGATGCTGAGACGGGAGTTCTCCGTCTCCAAATTGCGCACGCGGTCGATGTAAGTGGCCAAGCGATCGTTCAGGTTCTGCAGCTCCACCTTTTCGGCCACGCGGGAGTGGCGGGTGGGGCTCAGAGGGCTGGAGGCCGACTGCGAGTGGGTGGGCGGAGGCGGCTGGTGGTGCTGCTGGGGACCCGCCGATGGAGCCCGCGGGGTGGAGGTGCTGCCGGGCTGCGGCGTGGCGGTGCCAGCGCGTCGGGATTTGCTCGACATGTTCACGCTGCGAAACAGATAAATATACAGAATAACACGTGAGATTTTTTGACTATGACCCCTTTAAGACAACACGGAAAAAAATCATATTAGTAAAAAAATATATTTTATATTTTTTAAATATGAAATTTAATGTTTTTTTCTATAAGTTATTAATTGTAATTATAAGGTCAAATTTTGTTTCTAAATTTTTATTTTTTTTTTATGAAATATCAAACAATTTTTATTTTAAAAATTTATGTTACAGTTGGAATTTTTACCGAAAATAATTTTTTTAAATTTGTAATATCAAATTTGATACTTATTTTATGACCAATAAAGTATAGGTAAGTATTAGATCTAAGCATAAATTTTTTAATTATTTTTCTTTCCGTGTGGGATATGTTATTTTTGCGCCCTGATAAAATTCCAAACAGAAAACGAAAACGAAGAAGGGGAAACGCACAAAGCGCTCAAAAACAGTAGCGAAACGAGTTTTTTTTTCACGCGCTTCTCTCTCTGTCACTCACACACACGCACGCCACTTTCCACTCAAGCGACTGTACTAAAGCGGACGAGGAGAAAAAAGTGAGTTTGTCGGCGTTTGTTTATGGGCGTGGGGCCAAAAGGCGGGGCTAATACGACTTTAATCAATCGCTCTGCTTTACTAATCCAGGCGACTCACTTTAACCGATTTGATAAGGTTACGGAAATTGCACAATATGGCGGTTTTAATTCAATATTTGCGGCATTTTCACACAGCTGCAGGCAGGGGGTGGATTAGATTCCGAGTGAAGCTGCACCGCCACTTTTCATCGACGCTTAATAGGTATTTTCGCCTTGTTTTCCATAATCTCTTATTGTTTATGGGCAGCAACGAAACTCACCTTTTTTTTAAACGAACGCAAGATATACAAATTGGAAAATTAAATAATTTCTGCTACAAAACGCGGCCGACGCTGAGACTTGTAATCGAATCGAGATTGTTGCGATGTTTTCAGAGATGGCCGTTTGGTTGTTAATCGATAACTTTCATAACTGGCTGGTGTGACCAGATTATTCGACGATTTGCCACTAGAGACTGAATTTACCTGAATTTAATTCAAATTTTAGAATAACTTTTGAAAATCAGATATAATTAGATTTATTAAAATTAGTAATTAATTAATTACAATTACAATGTACTCATTTGGGCAATTTTCAAAGTTAATAATTTTAAACGGTGGTCAGCATTTTTCTGCACTCACCTATTCCACAAATAATAATTAAGTTTTGAATTGTTTTTTAATTTTAAATTATTTTAGTATTCTCAATATAATATAAAGGTATCGATATTTAATCGGTAATTATTTTATCTCAGCTCTAGCGAGATCTAAAAAGTCGTCGCTGCGGTCACACTGCTCTGTTTTTTGCTCTGCGTCACGTTAAAGTTTTTTAATAGTTTATTTCGCTTTGAATACTCGTATTTTAAGGTGAAAAGTGCGCACAAAAGGTAGGTCTCACTTCAAGAACACCACAGCGGCTAAAAGAACGACCGCTAACAATTGTTATTTCGTAAAATTTTGAAATACTTGTAATGCGGTGCGGTGAAAAAACAAGATGGCGGAGGGTACGCCGGCACCGGTTCCGCAAAAAAAAGCGGCATTTTCATTTACAAACACATGTAACTTACTAAATCGCACGCGTTTTCTTCACAGCCCTCATCAGATTCTTCAAGACCTAGAGAAAAAAGCAATCCGCAGAAATGGCCGATAATGACGATCTTTTAGACTACGAGGATGAGGAGCAGACCGAGACCACTGCGGTTGAGGCGCAGGAGGCGCCCAAAAAGGATGTCAAGGGCACCTACGTGTCCATTCACAGCTCCGGTTTCCGCGATTTCCTCCTGAAACCAGAGATCCTCAGGGCCATCGTGGACTGCGGCTTCGAGCATCCCTCGGAGGGTGAGTACTAGTACCCTCCACCTTGCATCAAAGGTACAGTCCCTAATGTTCCTTAACCGCCGTGCAGTCCAGCACGAGTGCATTCCGCAGGCCGTCCTGGGCATGGACATTCTCTGCCAGGCCAAGTCCGGTATGGGCAAGACCGCCGTCTTCGTCCTGGCCACGCTCCAGCAGCTGGAGCCATCGGACAACAACACCTGCCACGTCCTGGTCATGTGCCACACCCGCGAGCTGGCCTTCCAGATCAGCAAGGAGTATGAGCGCTTCTCGAAGTACATGCCCACAGTCAAGGTGAGTCTATAATCTATGGTTACAGTTTTATGATAGCGTAGTTACCAAAGAGTAACTAAGCAAAGAGAAAATTACAAGAGTTTTTAGGATCTGTAGTATTATAATGGGAAAAATAAGCAAAACGCCTTTTATATGTGTAGTTTGACCTTATACGGTTAATACATTTTCACTATAAACCATATCAGCAGCTATTTATTGTCGACATACCTAGACTTTCGATTTTGCATATTAATGACAGTCAATTGTACTAAAATTTAATTTAAATTTTAATTTATGAAATTCGCAGGAACCGTAACTGTTATGAGTTTTATTTCAAAAATCACACTTTATTAGTTATTCTCTGATTTGTAAATTAAAACTCAAAGAATAACTTTTATTTTTTGAGCTTTATCATGAAAGTTGACAAATATCAGTTATTCGTCGTGATCAAAAATAAAACTCAAACCTTGATTTATGGCAATTTGGTGGGTAAAATAAATTAAAAAAAATATGGTTATAAAATATGCGCGGTTGCCTTTTTAACAAATTTTTAAGAAGTTATATAAAACACGGTTCATTTTTTCAACTAAAAATCAACAAATAACAGTAATTTTTTTGAGTTTTATTATAAAAATAAAAAAATAAAAATCATTACGGATTTGTAAACTACAATGGCTAATAAAATAGTGGAGTATTTAAAAAAATGTTAGGACCCTTCTAAGTGCGTGATTTTTTTTGTAAGAAAAATTTACAATAACAGTTGTTTTCGGTGCAATAACTTTTAAATCAATCTAATAAAACATGTTGTTCTAGGTGGCTGTCTTCTTTGGTGGACTAGCTATTCAAAAGGACGAGGAGACCCTCAAAAGCGGAACCCCGCACATCGTGGTGGGCACTCCTGGCCGAATTCTAGCCCTGATTCGCAACAAGAAACTCAATCTGAAGCATTTGAAACACTTTGTTCTCGACGAGTGCGACAAGATGCTGGAGCAGCTGGGTAAGTTAACAATATTTAAAAAAACGCATTGAATTCCTACTAACATAAAAACCTTCCTTTTAGATATGCGTCGTGACGTTCAAGAGATTTTCCGTAGCACACCGCACGGCAAACAAGTGATGATGTTCTCTGCCACATTGAGCAAGGACATTCGTCCCGTTTGCAAAAAGTTCATGCAAGATGTAAATATCAACGTGTTCATAACCAAAATGCTCGTACTTCTCCACCTCGCATCCACCGCTATCACGACAATTAGTTATTATTTTGTTAACGCCACCCGGTATCGAATTCTCGATCTCGATCCCCCATATAAGCCAACCACCATCTTGCAAATGGTTAAACGCGTAATGCCAAACGTCCAGCGCTCTGTGAGCATAACTCGAATCGAAAAATTTAGTTGATAACAGCCAGACACCATTTTCTAAATGGTTAAACGCGTGAAAAGCAACCGTATCGAAAGCATAAACATCCGTTACCCGCTGAACCAATCAATTGAAATCACACTGATTTAACAAACCAACGATAGGAAAATGCAATACTCAAATAAAACTACGTGAAACAGCAATTCCCGCCGACTGGCCGATGAGACGAGACGGTGAATCCAAAGCGAATGCGATGCGATATGCCGCTCATCTGTAATCCGCACACTTCTCAGAGCGATCGTCGATCCTCGGGAGCAGTTCAGAGTCTAGTTGATGAGATGTGGTGGTAGCGTGGCCGTATGTAGAAAATTCTAAGCATATTGTTGTATGTTCCGAGGCGAGCCTAGTCTTAGTTCGATTTCCGTTTACCCCTCTTAATTGTTCCCTTTAAAATGCGCCACATTCTATTTCCGATATCTAGCCTATGGAGGTCTACGTCGACGATGAGGCCAAGCTGACGCTGCACGGACTGCAGCAGCACTACGTCAATCTGAAGGAGAACGAGAAGAACAAGAAGCTGTTCGAACTGCTCGACGTGCTTGAGTTCAATCAGGTAAGTAATTCTCAGGGCTATATCTATTACATAGTCCATAATAAATGTTTAACTAAAACTGGCTTTCCTTTTTTAGGTGGTCATATTTGTGAAATCTGTACAACGTTGCGTGGCCTTGTCCCAGCTGCTGACAGAGCAAAACTTCCCCGCTATCGGCATTCACCGCGGCATGACCCAGGAGGAGCGTCTGAACCGCTACCAGCAGTTTAAGGACTTCCAGAAGCGCATTTTGGTGGCCACCAACCTCTTTGGCCGCGGCATGGATATTGAGCGAGTGAACATTGTGTTCAACTACGATATGCCCGAGGATTCTGACACCTACTTGCATCGCGTGGCCCGTGCTGGTCGCTTCGGTACCAAGGGATTGGCCATTACCTTTGTTTCGGACGAGAACGATGCCAAGATACTTAACGAAGTACAGGATCGTTTCGATGTGAACATCAGCGAGCTGCCGGAGGAGATTGATCTGTCCACATATAGTAAGTTTGAGAATACTCCCTTTATCCAACTGAATTCTAATTGTTTTCCTTTTTCAGTCGAGGGACGCTAGAGCTCGAAAGTGCATGGTAATCTGAACAGAACAGTACTGCGTAAGACTAAACTGCACTTCGAATAGATACAAAGCTAAAACCTTTTATAAAACTCTACTTTATAACTAAATAAAAATTATTCAGACAATGTGTTGACGTACAAAATCGGAAGAAAATGTAATGCATTTATTTTGGGATTGGAACAAAGGATGCTAAATTTTAATTTTTATTCCCAATTTTATTGTATTTGTGTGAAATAATACTTTTTTCAATTGAATATTCACTTTACTAGAGTAAAAATTTCCTTTTGAAAGTGTTTAATAAAAGGCAATGCAAATAACTTTAAGAATAGTAATATGATTATTTTTATACAACATTAAAATAAACTAAAGACCCTAACAAAATGGATGCATTTTTAATCTAACATCCTGGACAGTCTAAAAGCTCTTTACATTTCTTTTTGTGAATTTGGAATCCGGAACACTCTTGGATAGTTTAGTGTGTCCGTTTCAGGACATGCGCAATGGCTCGGAGCTTCCGGCAGCTGCATTGCGACAGGAAGGGGAGGGGGTCGTAGGGGTTGCCCAAGGAGGTCGGAAAAACAGGAGGCGAAAAACAAAGCCAACGACCAAACAATGTGAGAAAATGCACGCGTGCGAAAATGCTGCTCAAAAAGTACGTGAAAACGCGGCGTAAGGTGAAGATCCTTCTCCTCCTGGCCATCGTCGGTCTACTGGTCATCACCATCATAGTGCTGGGCTCCAGTGGACGTAATGCGGCCATTGAATTGCTTCTGGACGAGCGGTTCATTGCCCGAGCCTACAGGCCCGGGGATCAGCCTCAATCCCCCGAAAAGCCACCGGCAGTCGCTGTGGCCCTGATCCAGGCGCAGCGGGAGAACGGCGTGATTGTGCCCGAGAAGTACGATGAGCAGAAGATCAAGGAGCGCATCATCCAGAGCAAAATAGATCTGATGAAGCAGCAGCAGCAGAGGGACCACGAGGCGGAGCAGGCGGTAATATGCAAATAGCAATTTATGCCATTTAAAAAAAAGTTTACTAACTTGTAGTTTATTTGCATAATTGTATAAGTTACTTATAATTAATTTGAATTTTTAAATACGAAGCAAAATAACAATAACAAAGGGGTTTTCCTTAAATTCAAGGGATTTCTATTTTTTTAAAATGCGAGCATAGAAATTTCTGAATTAAATTAATTTAACCGCTTTTAGTTTAAAATTAAAAAATATGACAAAATCTTTTAAATATTTTGATTGTTAATTTTTAAGTATATGTGTCTTAAATTTAGTTTTACAAAATATTTGTACTAATACTTACAGTCAAGAACAATAACAAAGGGGTTTTCCTTAAATTCAGGGGATTTCTTTTTTTTTAATGCGAGCGTAGAAATTTCTGAATTAAATTAATTTAACAGCTTTTAGTTTAAAATTTAAAAATAAGACAAAATTAAGATTATTTATTTTTAAGTGTATGTGTCTTTAATTTAGTTTTACAAAATATTTCTGCTAATACTTTCAGTCGAGGACCACTTTGGATGTGGTGATCACAGCAGTGCATATTTTCTACACAGCACCAGTGCCGTGGTACAAGTCCAAGAAGCCACCTCCGCCGCCGGCGGAGCATCCAACCGATGTACCACTAACAACTCCGCGACCAGTCAGGATTCTCAACACAGCCTTCTATCCGGCTTTGGGTCTCTACAAGCCCAGTACGTCGCTGCTTTCCCAGCACTTTGAGAACATCCGCAGCTGTGGCATAGGAGTGCTCATCCTGAGCTTCACCGGTGGCAAGCCGGCGGAGGCGGCGCTACTCCATCAGATCCTGGAACTGGCCCCCCAGCACAATCTAAGCGTGACCTTCGAACTCAGTGTGGCCGGAAATCAAAGCGTGGAGTATGTGCGGCAGCAGCTGCAGGAGATTTCCACCTACGCCAGTCTGCCTGGATTCTACAAGGTCTGGAGTCAGTCGAGAGGTGTCTCCCTGCCAGTTCTCTACGTGAGCAATGCCTACAAGTTGAGTGATAGTCTGGGCAGGCTGCTCTGTCGAACGCCTTCGCTGGTGGAACCAGATGGATTGAGAAGGGTACTGGACGCCTTCTTCATAGGACACATAAGGTGAGTGCTTCCTAGAGCTTTTCGTATCTATTAAAATTTCCCTTTTCTTCAGGCTCAAAAGTCATGCGGATGTCGTGCGGCGATTGTGTTTCGACGGCTTCTATAGTAAACTGCCCAGCAATGGAGCTGTGTTCGCCAGCACCTGGAAGAACTGGTCGTATCTGAAATCGTTTGCATTATCCTACAAAATGCTGTTTGTGCCCACTGTCGGTCCGGGATTTGCGGAGAGAAACAAGTTTCCACGTCATGGGGATATTCAACGGCACCGCAGCAATGGAAGGGTGGGTAGAAGCCTTTAAAACCCCTTTAAGATATATTCTTATCTGATCATGGACTATATCCACCTTTGTAGTACTATGGAGTTGCCTGGAGAACAGCCATTCTGAACCATGTGGGTTTCATAAACATAGCCAGCTACAACAACTGGCCAGATGGCAGCCAAATTGAGGAGGTGATGCCCCGTGCTGGATTCCTGGACTACAATCCTGGCTCACGAACCAAATATCTGGATCTCACAGCCCACTGGGTGGGAAACTTTCTGAAGACGCGACAGGAGGCGGCTGCTGCAGCTTCTCCGGCATCGCCCCAAAATTGCTACGAGCTCTTGAATGGGACTATTTGCTAGGCGCACAAAACACTTCCGAAACGGAGATAATCCTAGTTACTTTAGAAGCAATAGCAACAATTGCAGGCCACACAATTACTTTCGAACTGTTAACGAGTCTTCTGCTACACATATATACACTACATATATCGTTTTGATAGTGATATTTTTAATAACTCAGATTAATTCGAAACATCAAGGGAGTGACAAATACAAGTCGAGTTTTTTAGCAAGAAATCAAGTTCATTCTACCAAAAGGTTGTGCATGAATAATTAATATTTATACTTAACGCCAATCACAAGGACAATTGAAAACACAGCTATGGAATACTAGTCAGTTTTCTTGCCAAAACTCTCGACAAAATATGAATCAAACGCAAAAGAAAGCAATTAAAATTGATATCAATTAAAAGTAACTCTAGAGCCAGACATACTTTTTTATTAAATCTATACTAGCTTTCAATTATTGTAGAATATAGAGGAGAACAATATCATAACTTAATGCCATGCCATATTATGTAGACACCAAAGAAAATTATCTATGTTATAACGGATATAAAGTAAACACTTGTTAAACGATTGGTACTTAAAAAATTTTAACTTTATTACCAGTACAATATATAAATACTTTATCTAAGCTTTAATAGTTTAGTGCCAAACAAGAAGTGTTTTATTGTGGGGAAAGTTAAATATATTATTTATTTTGCCACACTAAAATGTTACATCTGACAAGCTATGAAAGCTGTCAAAAGGACATTAATTTTATTACGGAAAAGATTAGCGTAACACCATGTCAGCTTCGAAAGCAAAAAATGCGGATAAGTCCGAAGGAAAAAGGACCAAGGGCCAAGGACAAAGCGGTGTGAAAGGATGCTGTTGCAAAAGGTCGCAATGCATCAAGAACTACTGCGATTGCTACCAATCCATGGCAATTTGCACCAAGTTTTGTCGTTGCATTGGTGAGTATGATTACATATTTATTGTAAATTAAAAATTAACTTTTTAACCGCAAAACAGGATGCAGGAACACGGAAGTTCGCAAGGTGGTGGACTCCAACTCCGGGGCCAAAAACCCCAGTGCCGTAAAAAGGCAAAAGGCGGCTGCTATGAGTGCCAAAGCAGCAGCTGCGGCTGCCAAGGCTGGCATTAATGTCCAGATGAAGGGGCTCCAGGCTGAGGGTTCGGGAGTACGGCTACCCGTTAAACCCCAGGCCTCTCCCGCACCCTTTGGCTTTGTAACAGGCCAACAGCCAATAGCTGTTCCCATCAACGTCCCTCGTCCAATTGCTACTGGCTCTGCTCCAGTCAGGATCATAAAGCCTCCGGTGGAGCCGCTGCCCGTGGCTCCAATCGTTCCGGTGAGGCTGGATGACCGCAGGGAGCGCAACCTCTTCGTCCAGCCGGTGAACGCATCTCTGCTTGAATGCATTCTCATCCAGGCCACGGAGGCCGAGCAGTTGGGATTGAGCCAGCTCCAAGTGGGCCAATTGGTTCTCGCGGAGTTTATGCGCGGCTACAAGGAGATCTTGGAAAAAATCTGTGAATACAACAAAGATTTTTATTAAATGTTCCAAAATATCAATATATATTGGCGATTTAAAAATCATCTTGTGGGCATTTATAACCGTTTGTTGGATGTTTTATTTATAAAGATTTTGATAAATTAATCATGATCATTTTCTTTCACTTAAAATATATTTTATTCTTTAAATTTTCTGTTAATTTATTACATTAAATTTGTCAAAAGCTCCTATATTAAGTATACAAAAATAGTAAATTTAATGAATTTTTTCGCTTATGACTAATTAATTCTTATTTTACAAAAATAATCCTTTTCATATTCACTTAATATTCGATTTTTGAAACAACATAGTTACAGGTTTTCTGATTAAACTAAGATTATACAATTTCAATGCAAAAATAAAGTAAAATAAATAAAAGGTTGATGAAATTCAACCTTTTCCTTTTGGCAAAAGCCAAAACCTTTTCGAGAACTACCAATCTGGTGGCTGGAAAATAAGTTCCGTAACTAGCATATCGCAGCTCTGTTTCCTTTGGGACAAACGGGATTCAGCTGGCGTGGACTTGTGCCTCTCCAGCGGCATCTCATTATCACTGTCGCTCTCCGATTGCTGATCCTCTTCGGACTCATCTTCTGCATCTCGCCTCTTCTTTTTCGAACCCTTGGATGTTTTTGATGAGCGATACTTCTGCCAGAATTCTGCGGGCTGAGCAAACTCAATGTAGTTGGGGAATCTCATCGCCAGAGCTCGGCAAAAGTTTTCAAAAGTGTGCCTGAGTGCGGGACTCATCACAGACTTAAGGTTGCGATGTGTTTCCGCCACATAGCGAAGACAACCTTCCAATTGCTTGAGCTGAAAGCGAAAATATAAATTTATGGGAATCTAATATCCAAGCAGTAAATGAGAACTAAATTCTAAATTAATATAATAAATAAAAATGTATATAATTTGACACCTTGAAAAAGCCCAAATTAAGCACAAAATCTAAATTCACAATTTAAAAAATAAAAATGTATCTAATTCGACACCTCAGACGAGCTGAAGGCCTTAGCTGCTAGAGCTCTTAATCTTAGTTAGCTTATAGTTTTAACTTTAAGTTTGCTTTATATAAATAAAATAAATAAATCAAAACTCACTGGCTCCTCGGAGGACTCCGCCTTTCGGCCCCTTCCTCTGGCTGGTGCTTCTCCTGCTGCTGCTTTGGGTGGAGGAGGTGGTGCCTCCACTGCCTCTTCCTCACCATCATCCATATTGTCACCTTCGCCTCGAGAACTTTTCTCTTTTCCCATTCCTTTAGTGCGAAAACAAATGCGTCGCATAATGAAGAGGATATCCTGAACCACGGTTAAGGCGCCAGGATTACTGACAAAAGCTTTATCTCTGGTTTTTTCTAAAATACATGGACGTTAGTTGTGCATTTTGAGTACTTTAAACTTTACTCACCTGCCAGCAGCTTCAGTTGTCCAAAATAAAGCAACAGTGTGTTCTCATCCACCGACGACATTATATGATTGTAAAGCAACCTACGATTTTTGGCCATTTCCGGACCCTTTAGTGGCGATTTATAATTGGAATCCGTCCTTACACCTCTCAGATAAGCCTGACCATTCAGGTCGAATGGGCACTCCTTTAGACAATGATCAAACAGCAGTTTGTTGTACAATCTCTTGTAGCGAATGAAGAAGGCATCCGCCTCCCTGGCCACCTCGGCACTTTCGTCCACCAGACCAGCCAGCATAGATATGAGAATGGGTCCCTTTAGCTTTATATTGCCCGACAGAATCACATCCTTCACACACCGAAAGGTGCGCACTCTGGTCATGGCGAATTTCGAATGGAGTTTCGACAAAATCACCTGGAAATTACTCTCAAGAATCGAAGGATGCTTCTTGCCCAGATCGTTTAGGGCTATCAGAGTGGTGTTGATAATCTGCGGTCGGTCGTTTTTGCTCAGAATAGTTCTGTACAGCTTGGACACACTGTTGGCCAAGTGATTTTCCCTGAGGCACAAGCGACCTGCTATCACAATCATCCAGTTGGTCATGCGTTCGTTATCCGAATCAAATTGCGATTCACTGAGCTTGGTGCACTCCTGCAGGTATTTAAATACAATGCCCACAATCCTCTGGTCCACCTCCTGCGGCAGCATCACAATTATCTCCGTATAGGCACCCAACAGGCACTGCAGCCGGGTGTGTTCATCCTGGAAATTCTGTGCACTGGCCAGAATTCCCTCGGTGAGATCTTCCAGCAAACTGAGCTGCCAGTCGGGCGTCTCAGTTGCCATGGCAGGAGCCTGGCTAGCTGAAAGGTGATGGATCTGATTGAGCAGATTGACTGCACTCGAGATGATGCCCAACCAAATGCTGCCCGTGCGCAGGGCATTCAGAAGCCTCTGGAATAATTGGTTTAAAGCTGGTTTTGAAAAGTTCTTCAAACAACAAATGATGAGCTGGAGGGCCAGAAACTGATTGGACTTCATGTTGTAGGAGGAGAGACCATTAAAGATGCCAATCAGTGCGTCCATATTGTTGGTGATGCGGCTGGACAGGAAGAGGAGCAAACCCCAGGCATCGGTGGCCATGGAAGTGGATAAATGCGAGATTATGATGTTCACCAGCCTGGGACTAAAATACAATACAAGATTAGAGGATGTTTTAATTGTAATTAGAACCTACGTTACGACTGGTTCCCTTTCCAGCAAAACAGCGAATCGCTCTTGAAGATAAGCTCTGGGTTGTGTCATTAGCAGAGTACCGATGATTCGCCAGGGCATAAAATGTTTGGCCTCATTCGAGTACTCCAAGGGCTGAATATTTTTCAAAACCATTCGATCGAAACTCTAAAAGATAATAGATAAATCAGTAAAACCGTTCAATTTATTTAAGGGGAGACATCTAGGTAACTGGGGGAAGAAATCGGATTTTCTGGAATTTTTTTGGCCAAATGAAGAAGCCAATCGAAAATTTGTAAACTAATATTAGATCTGAAGTACAAAATAATTTTTTGCAAAATGGTGAAAGATTGTAAAAAAATTAAAATTTTTTCGAATAAAAAACGTCACAAAATTGTGGCTAGATAAAGGTATTTAGAATATACTGTCAAAATTTCATCTATCGGTTAAGATTTGTTAGATTTATGTGTGCGGCCGTCTCAAAAAAAGTGTTTTCGAGAAAAACGCGTTTAAAGTTTTAAGGTGCCCGGGATATATGTACATGTGAGGCATCGCCGCAGAATGGAAAATTTCGACACTTAGACACTTTTGCCGGACTCTATATTTTGGTATGTTATTTTTAAGACTTTTTTTAACGAAAAAAAATGTTCGATTTTTTAAAATTTTACCTAGATGTCCGTCCTTAACTACCCACTCACCATAATGGCCAGCTTTTGCAGGGCCACATCCTCATCGCTCATTAAACATGCCCAAATCCGGCAGTACACACAAATCAGGGCAAAGCAATTGGAGTAGGCCTCTAGCAGGGTTTCTATGGTATCCAGTGCAGATCTCCTCACCGAGGCCAGACGATCCACGGCCAACAAGGAGGTTTCTCGCACAAAATTCGTGTTGTAGATAATCAGCGGATTGACCAGCACCAATCTTTCAAGCAAAGCTATCCCGGCTGTTCTGGCTAAACCATTATCCGCAGCCAGAAATCGCTGATACACCGTTTGTGGGACACTCTTGACCTCCTCCTCCAGTTGCTCATGTCCCTCAAAGCTGAAGGCATACTGTACCACTCCTGGCTTCTCGAAACGCAGCTCGTTTTGCTCCACCGAGGGCTCAGCCAGCGCCTCCACATCCGCATCCTCAAACTGAACGAAGCGAATGCTTTCGTTTAGAATTTTCGTGGTCATGGGGGATCCTTGTTTCAGGGCCAGGATGAGCACTTGACAAGCCTTTCGGCGAACAGTGAATGTGCGATCGTTGAGGCAACGCATCACCTCCCTCAGCAGGGGAACTTCCCTGGGCACCTTGGACACTTCGTACCGGAAAACGGTCCACTCCACCTCGCTTTGCTGCATGAGGATCTTCTCGATCAGATCCAAGGCACGCGTTTGAATCCCCACGGCGTCGTCTGCTTTCACAGCCTCCAGAACAAAGGATGCGCACGATTTGTTGCACTTGGCGAAAAGAATCCTGTCGTACTTGGCTGCATAGCCTATGGCCACCTTTTCGTCGTTGCTCTTCCACTGATAAAAACCAGAAATTAAGTTGTTAATATGTTTTATATGGGAAATTTTAAATATACTAACCGCTTTGATGGGATTGGTAACAACGCACTCAATGTAAAAGTGCAGGATGCGGATTAGAATGTCGGGATATTTATCTATGAGTTGGATAAACCAATCCGATATGTGCTCCCCGCTCTGCATCGCCCCTCCTCGACGTCCTGCACCAATGCTGTGGGGACTGTCCGTATAAACATGCATGGGAAAGGTCTGTCGCATTATCAAGTGAAGGGTTTCGTAGACATCTCCATTGTGCTCGTTGGCTATTTCTCCGAAAAGCTCGAAACATTTCGCATGCAGGGCGGGAGCACCTGAAAAGTTCGATTTCGGGGTAATTGAATTTAAAAATACGTTACAAGAAAAAGACTGCAGCATTGCCAACATGTAAAAGCTAAAGACTCCAACATTTATCGATAACAAAAATCGAGCTTTGTTGCACCTCTAGCCAGGCAAGCGAAAGAATGAAATAATCAGGAAAACGAAAATAAGTTTGAAAATTCCAGAAGATGTTGGGCGTACTGCGGATCCAAGGAGCGGTGGCGGAGGCGCGCCTCCTGTCCGCCCGCCTGCTGGCCAGCAAATCCGCCACTGACATGACCGCCAACAGATGCGAGTCCACCAAATCGCAACCGGCAACGGAACACTTTGATATAATCATTGGCGGCGGAGGACTGGTGGGCACCACTTTGGCGGCCGCCTTGGCCAAGAACTCCACGCTGGCCGACAAGAGGGTGTTGTTGCTGGAGGGAGCTCCCGAATTCCGGGGATTCGATCCCTCGGGACCGTACCAAAATCGAGTATCCGCCATCAACCGCAACTCCATCGAGCTGTTCAAGTCCATAGACGCCTGGTCGCACATCGAATCCGCTCGCTACAAGCCCGTCAAGCAGATGCAGGTGTGGGAGTCCAACACGGATGCCCTCATTCAGTTCCAGCAGGATAACTTCGCAAGCGATGTGGCCTGCATCATTGAAAACGATCTGATCCTGGATGCGGTTTATGCCCGTGTCAACGAAGCTCCCAATGTGGAGATACTGAACAAGGCGAGAATCCAATGCGTCCGCCTGCCCAGGGACTCCAGCTCCAATCTCTCCGAGCTGCAGCTGCAGGATGGTCGCTCCTTTTCGTGCGACCTACTCATCGGAGCCGATGGCGCCAACTCGGTGGTCAGGAAGGAGATGAACGTCGACGTTTTCTCGCTAAACTACGACAGAATGGGCCTGGTGGCCACTTTGGAGCTGGGCGAAGATGCCTGTGATAACGCGGTGGCCTGGCAGCGGTTCCTGCCCAACGGGCCAGTGGCCTTGCTGCCGCTAACGGATAAGCTAAGTTCCCTGGTCTGGAGCACCACCAATGAGCAGGCCAAGAAGCTGCAAGACCTGCCGCCGGCTGAGTTTATAGATGCCCTAAATGAAGCCTTTTGCCGGCAGTATCCTCGCGTGGAGCTGGCGGACAAGGCTGTGCAGGCACTGAACTCCCTCTTCGGACAAAATGCCAGCCAGCACCAGGTGCAGTATCCTCCTAAAGTTTGTGGCGTTCAGGACAAATCCCGCGCCACCTTTCCCCTGGGATTCCTGCATGCCTCTTCGTACGTTTGCCATGGAGCAGCTCTCGTCGGCGATGCCGCCCACCGGGTGCATCCTCTCGCCGGGCAGGGCGTTAATCTGGGCTTCAGCGATGTAAGGTATCTCGTGGAATCCCTGGCAGCTGGGGCATACGCAGGCTTTAAGCTGGGCGACAAGCAGCACCTCATCAAGTACGAGCGTAAATGCCTGGCCAAGAATGTGCCCATCATGCTGGGCGTCCATGGACTGCACACTCTCTACTCCACGCAGTTCAGTCCAGTGGTTTTGCTCCGGAGTCTGGGACTTCAGCTAACGCAGAATGTGCCGCCCATCAAAAACTTGTTCATGCGGGGAGCAATGGGTCAGTAGATCGACGACAATAAATTTGTAAACTGGGGAAATTAAATCTTAAGTGTTTAGAGTTTTTCAAATCACTTGCGAGTGGAATAAAGTGAGCGTTTATATCAGTTCTTAGAACCTACTTAAAGGATACGTCAATGGCATGCTGCTGAAATGTTAGTCTGTAGTTTTGGCTAATAAATTGTGCAACTGTTTGATTGCTAAAAAGTTTTAGGATCTATTTTGCCTAAAGCTGATATATTGCTATTTTTAAAAAAGGGACCGTAATCATTATAAGTGAAAAAAATAAAAATCTCCGTTTAATGATTATTTTGTAAGCGAAAAAAAATTTAGCTTAGAAATAATGATTATTATGTGAGCGATATTATTTCGCTTAAAAATATCACTCAAAGTGCGATTGCAACCGTTCTGTATGGATTTTTACAAAGTTTTAAATTTGTGCTTTTAGGTAGAACCACGAACCAGCACTCATCCAGTTAATAAAAAGTGATTTCTTTGTATAAACTTTTTAAAGAGCATTTTTTAGTTTACAAGAGGTAAGCATATTATGCATTGCATATATACAAAAAGTTGTATAAACCTTAGGACTTATTAATCTAACTTTGAGGGAATATTTCTAAGCAAAATAATATCGCTCACAAAATAATCATGATTTCTGAGCGATATACTCATTAAATGGAGATTTTTACTTTTTACTCAAAAAAAATCATTATTTTCGGTCCCTGCTTTTTTTACTTATAGAAATCAATATTTCTAAAATGGAAGATTCGACAATATACACATTTAACAGGATAAGTAATTCACAAAAAATTGCACAAGATATTTAGCCTGATAAACAAAGCTTAATTCTAATTTAACATTCGTTGTGGATAGTTTTTAGTTTTTAGTTTGGTGGACTTCGACTTCAGTTAAAGGCACATTTGGCAGTTGGCAAGATTAGTCTAGGTAAAATTTGGCATGGTTTCTCTTGAAATTGGAATTGCAACTTATAGCTCCTGGTGGCTCTTGGGCAAACTCTCGCCCAGTTTAATGTGCTGATCAAGAGTGACTTCCTGCTCCTGGACGAAAACCTGCTCCCGGTCGCTTTTTAGCCGCGCCTCGCCCTCTTCACTCGTCTCCACATTGATTTGCTGCGAGTCCTCGGTGTCGGAAATGTAACCAGACTCTCCGGTATAGTAAACCGGATAGAGCAGGAGTGGTGAGGCACTGAAAGCGACGAGATTCCTCTTGGGGAAGGCTTCGCTCCAGGTTTTGTTGGGATGACGATCGAACATCAAAGGCAGAAACTCATCTACGGGAATTAGTTTGTCCAGCGGCTTGGCTGCCAGCAGCTTTAGGGCTCCTTGGAGGGACAGAACATAGCCCAACGTCCAGTAGGAGTAGCCGGCATGCACCAGATTATCCGCGTTCAGCACACCCGCTTCACTTTCCTCCTTCAAACGCTTGCGACCAAAGTAAATGAGGTCGTAGTCCACAACGCTTCTAGCCTGATTTAAAACCCTGACTGCGTTTTGCCGGAAATACGGTTCGAAGCGTATATCGTCCTCCAGAATGAGCACCTCCTTTAGCTGCTTGCGCACCATCATCACCCAAATGCTGTAGTGGCTGAGGAAGCATCCAATCTCGCCCATAGTCATCGCGCGATGATGGTAGGGATCCTCGTAGCCGGGCAGAAAGCGCACTCCCATCTCCTGCAGCCGCTCCGTGGTCAGTTCCTTGCCATCAACAGCTGGGAAATATTCTGCCTCTATGCCCAGCTCCTTGAAGAGCTCCTCCATTTTCGCCCGCCTCTCGGGGCGTCTCTTCAGATTTATCATAAATATGCGATCCAAGGAGAGCTGGCTCTTCTCGGGCTTCTTTTCCAAGTGCTTATAGTAGTCGAGAAGGGGAGGCACTGCACCCACATCGTTAACCATGAGGCCTTTTAGATTCACCAGCTGCTGAAGATCGTTATCTAAAGTATCTCCTGGTTCCAAGGGTTGTAGTATATAACCAAAGGTTATCTCATTGCAGACATGCAGGGGAATCCCCGAGCTGTTGGCCGATATGGCAAACACTATAATATCATCCGCAGGTCCGTCGTAGAGCGGCTCCTGCAGCCTGCTCCTCTGCATTTCCACCAGCTTGCTCCGATCGAAAGTGAGATTCCTGGCTGCCTTATGCTTCATGTTCACCAGAACGGCTGTGTGGACCATGGGCACGGGGAAACTTCCCTGCTTCCTCGCGTGGTAGATTTCCTTGTACTCATCGGTGCGCCTGTAGTAATATTCCTCCGTCATTCCGCACCAGAAATTCGAGTACAAGCTTTCGGATATCAACATTGGGGCAACAATTGGCAGTTGCAGACGGGTGAGGACTTTCAGAGCGTCTGGCGAAGTGAGAAAGACATCGGCGTCGAGGAAAAACACAAAGTCAGCCCAAATATCGCGACCATACTGAAGGGCTTCCTCTTTCAAAGCGATCAAGTGCTTGAAACGCGATGCGGGCCACTCGTAGGGGGAACTTTCGTTGGCATAACTCTGCTCCTCGGGTTCAAAAACGTAGCTCACGCTGTGATAGAGCTCCCCCGAGTGCTCCAGCCACTGTCGCAGCAGATCTATGCTGTCATCGTTGCTATGATCGCAGCGCAGCCTAAGGAATTTCGAGGAATTAGATCCGTGATTTGTATAGATATTTAGATATAACCCACCAAAAGGCAATCCTTTTCTTGGGATAATCCTGCCGCTCCAGGTAACTCAGGAACATGGGCAGTGTGTGCGCCTTGTTGCGCACCAGCAGGGCAATCAGCACTGTTGGTGGCTCCAGGTAATCCTCCTCATCTTGTCCAGAAATGCACAACAAAGCGCCGGCCAGGAGCAGGCCAAAAATCACTAGTTTCTTCATCACCACGTCATTGATTTAACACATCGCCGGGTTCAAAGGGGTCACCATACACAATCTAACGCAGCGGAAGCGTCCGTTTACGTTCGAAGACGCTGGAGAATCAGCCTTATCTATTAATAAACTGCCTCCTTCTTCGCCAGCTCCAGATGGTGTGCCTCTCAAACTGCACCAGCTGAGGGGGCTCTCAAACTGTGCGGGAAAGTTATCGCTTGTTATCGATTTTGCTGGGTTTAAAAGCAAGTCAGTTTCAGTTTTCCTTTTCTTAACAATACAATACTGCGCTCCTATCCTAATTATCCTCCTTATTAATTGAAAACCTAGATAGATAGATAAAGTAGATATAACAAACATTTATTGCTTCAAAACCGAGTTTCAAACAACTTTCTTTTCACGCAGTCGCTGCATGCGGCTTCGCATAGCTGGGAAAGTTCAGTTTCAGACCCTCCTTCGCCTCGAAAAAGGTGTACGATAGCGTGATGGTGTCGCAGTGCTCCAGCGCCGGATCCGCCGTGATTTCGGGATCGATGTAGAAGAAAACGGGCATGTCCACCTCCTCGTGCGGATTCAGCTGCTGTTCCTCGAAACAGAAGCACTGGATCTTGTTGAAATAGGCGCCCGCCTCGAAGGGGATCACATTGTACGTGCTGATGCCAATCACCGGCTTGTCCGTGGGATTCCGGGCCGTGTAGAAGGCCAGAGCGGTCTCGCCGGGAGCCACCTTAATCTCGTACTGCTGCGGCTTGAAGTTCCAGCGCATCGAGGACCCGATATCGGCGTTGAAGCGGATTTTCAGCACCCGATCCTCGACCTTCTGCATGTGCTCCACCTTTTCGGCATCGTGGCCCTGCGATGTGGTTCCTCCGTAGCTGTAGGCCTGGCAAAATATGCTATATAGTGGCACTGCAGCGTAACTTAGTCCCACGATCAGCACTCCGCCGGCTGTTATGTAGTATAGTGTGGATTTCGCCCGCAATTTACGGGCAGCTTCCTCTGGAGAATCCGTGGATTTCATCCGCCAAAATTGATGTGTCTTTTGCGAGGGGTTTTGATGACGGATGGAGCCTCTAAACAGCTGCTGGCACTGCCCACGAAGGGAAAAGAGGCTGCGCAGCATCTTTATTAATTTGTTTCTGGTTTTTAAGGGCTATTTCCTTAAAGTTTTCATTTATTTTGTCACTTGTTTGTATAATCTTAGGTCGTTAAGTGTTAAAGTGTGTACACACCTAGATTTATCAGCTGTTAGGGGATAATTAATTATCGATAGGCAATGGAGTTTGTTATCGCCGGCTGAATTTTTTTTAAATTAGGAAAAACATTTTCAAAACTGCACCTTTATCATAACCAATTTATACGCCTATTTTTAAAACTAAACCCATATTAAATTAGCAAACAAAAAAATATTTAACACTTACATGAATTCTGATATCCCACTTTAAAGTTCATGTAGAGCACCTCCATGAGGCAGCGAATGATCCTGTCCCGCGGTTTCAGGTGCTCCTTGAAGTGCACATAGCGAAACACGATCTTCAGGTCATCGCAGATGGTCAGAAAGAACATCCAAATGGTGTTTGCCCGCACACTCCGGTTGCCATTCAGCTCCAGCAGCCTGAAGATCTTGAGGACCTGCTCGATCACATCCTCATCGAAGATGCCATAGCTCTTGGCACCCGGAATGGTCAGGGTGAGTAGGTAGGTGCTCGCAGCATTCAGGGACAACTGGAGATTGAGGTTTTCATTCAGCACTTGCGGAGCAGCCTGCTGCACATGCTCCGGCGGAATGACCAGGCTTGTAAGCGAGTAGATGTAGGAGAGATATGCGCTGGCAGGCGAGACCCCGATGATATTGGCCCAGTTGTCGTGGGTGTTGCTGTAACTTGTATCCTCCCTCATGGAGCGTATTACACTGGACAAATCGCGCAGCAACTGCAACTGCGTCTCCTGGTGGCCAATATCCTGTTGGCACATCGACAGGGACCAGAACTTCTGCGCCCGCTGCTGCAAGACATCCTCCTCGGCTTCCTCGCCATACAGCCACTCCTCCACATCCACCCACTGTAAATGCTGCACATAATACACTCTTAAATCGCTAAAAACACGATTTAACTCCATGTTTACATTTTTGTAACTGACACCCGATAACCCATCAGCTGTTGCTACTGCAGCCCACAATCGATAGTCGATAAACGATAAGAGATACCAGAAGAGCGGTTAGTTTTCAAAATCGTACAAAATCAGGGCTGATATATTAATGCATTTACTTGGCTTACTATTATGCAATTTAGTTGTTGTTTCATGGTTACATACGCGCACTTAGTTTCTAATTCCGCATCCGCTGACAGCTAGAAATCCAGCGAGGCCGTGGCACTGGAATTGCTCAACAAACCGGAGATGCAGCTGTCCGGCTTGGCGGCTGGGGACTCCTGCAGCTCCGGCGGCAGGTGAAACTTCTCGATGACGAACTTCTTGCGACGCAACTTGAAGGCCAGATCCGTGGTGTCCGGCATGTGGACGGCCAGCGTGTTCAGCGCCGACATCTTGTGCAAATGGAGCAGGCCGCTGTACTCCTTGAAAGCCGGATGCGTTTCGCGTTCCGAGCCCGCGAAAGACTCCAGTTCGATGGCATAGTCCACCAGCTGGCGGATCTTGGGCACCAGGCTGGCATCGTACTTGGCAATCAGGTGCATGGGCATCGTGATCAGGCACACCGCGTTGCAGTTCCGCACACTGGCCATCAGCAGGGTGAGGAACTTGATCAGATCCTCGCCAAAGTGCTCGTCGTACCACAGCGGCGATCCCAGCGAGGTCAGGCAGACGCGGCACAGGTTCTTCTTGGTCCCAGCCACGAAGCTCTCATCGCGCAACAAATGCTGGATGTCGTTGAGCAGTCCTGCGTATCGAGGATTATGGAAGACCTGCGATTGCGACTCCTGGCTGCCGGTTTTTGTGCTGCTCGTGACGCTGCTGCTGTTGTTGTTGTTGTTGTTATTATTGTTGTTGCTGGCCGAGCCCTCCTCCTGCGGTGGAGCCTTTTCCTGCGGAGTGGTTTCCTCGCCCGGAATCGGCGGGGCATCCTCCGCAGGCTGCTTCTCCGTGGTCGGGGAGCTGCTCTTGGAGAACTCCTCCGCAATGACAATATCCCACAACGGCTCCTTGTGGCTATCGTCCCACATGGTGGTGTTGGCATAGTAGAGCATCATCGAGTCCATCTGCTCCATCAGGTTGAAGTGATGCCCGATCTTGGCCTGGGCATGCTCGGAATTGACCAGGGGCAGGTCATTGTACCGCCAGGCGATCCTCAGCCCGTTCTCGGCGCCGCCGCCGCCGGCGCCCTGTTCCCGATCCTCGCGCTGCTCCACCTCCGTTTCCAGTTCGGTCAGCGGCTTGGGCAGGCGGCGCAGCATCTCCGCCGGAATATCATCGAGGCTGCCCAGGAATATCTCCTGCTTGGAGAGCACCCCCTCGGCCAGGAAGTACTTGGCCAGCACCTTGGCGTGCGTCATGAAGCGATCCTCCTCGATCAGGCAGATCGAACTCATGGGCAGACCGCCGCCGATGACCACGTCCAGATACGGATTGCCGCTGGAGGTGATCACCTGGGCCGTGTGCGGCGAGGTGCGGGTGCCCCGGATTGGCTTCGTGACTGCCTTCTTGCGGAAACTGGTCATCTTCGTCGCACGGATTTAGCTAACCTTTATTTTTGCGTTCTTTTCGATACTCCGTTTCCCTCTCGCGTAAACTATTTTCGATGGCTGCCAATAGGGGTCTATCGATAACCACCCAGCTGATTATTCGCAAAAAGTCGATGCTAAAAACAGCTTGAAGTAGCTAAGGGCCGTCTTATTAAAATTAGTTTTAAATTCGGTATTGGGTAAAATATGTATGCTTTTGTAAGAAAACTCAAAGATTGCTTTTTAGAAAAAAAATCCTTATTTTATTACTTTAAAGTTAGCTTTAAATAACTCATATTTCATAAATAAGAATTCCCACCAAAAGAAACATAAAAAATAGCTATATAAGTAAATAATTAGGGGCATTCGAGGAAAGCCCTGCACCCATCGATAACAAAAACAGCTGTTTTCACCTGTGCACTTTTGATGACATACTTTTCCTACTGCTAACTGAGGAAAACAATTGGAAAATTGCCTTTAAATTAACGAAACAATGGCCGAGGTGACGTTGCCGCAGATGACGGAACAGCTGGACAACGAGGAGGTGCGGGAAATCCTGAAAAACACCACAGATCTGCGCCAGTACTCGCGACAGATTGAAAAGGAGTTCAAGGAGGTGGAGAACAAGTCGATAGAGGGTAACAAAACACTCGATTCCAAATGGAATTACACTTTAATGATCTCTCTTTAACAACAGACTATATTGCCGAATCCCAGAACATAGCCAACCTGCACAATCAGATCAACGACTGCGATGATGTCTTGGAGCGAATGGAAAATATGCTAATGAGCTTCCAGAGCGTTTTGAACAACATCAGCACGGAAATTACGCAACTGCAAAGGAAATCCGTGTCCATGTCCCTTCAGCTGACCAATCGTCAATCGGTCAAGGCTCAGCTCTCCCAGTTTATCGAGGACATGGCCGTTTCCGAGGAGATGATCAACATAATAATGGAGACCCCGGTTACGGAGAAGGATTTCAGCACCCAATTGAATGTTCTGAATCACAAACTCTCGCTGGTCAAGGAGCTCAGCTTCAACGAGTCCAAGTCCACTAGCGATGTGAGCGACGTGCTGCAGAAACTCCGGCTGAAAGCCATGACCAAGATCCGATCGTATCTGCTGGAGCAGATCTACAAGTTCCGGAAGCCCATGACCAACTACCAGATTCCCCAGAATGCCATGCTGAAGCACAAGTTCTTTTTCGAGTTCATCCTGTCCAATGAGCGGCATGTTGCCCAGGAGATATGCAGCGAATATATCGATACGATGGGCAAGATTTACTATAGTTACTTTAAGGTTAGTTTGCCAAATTTTGGAAGTTTTACAGAACTAAAACTGTTTTATTCTTTACAGAGCTATTCCACACGATTGACGAGTCTCAAATTCGAAGAGTCCTGCACAAAAGATGATCTCATGGGCATAGAGGACAATGCCTCCAAGGGTTTATTTTCCAAGACAACGAGTTTAAAGCACAAGAGCACTATTTTTACAATAGGAAAGCGAGGCGATATACTTAACCAGCAGCTGGAGGCACCTATTATAGTGCCCCATGCGCAACTAAAGAATCGGGTGAGATAATATGGCTTATTCACATTCAGAATTCGTTTTTAAACTGCTTATCCTTGACAGTACACAGTGGAAGCTCTCTTCCGTTCGGAGCAATATGCCCTCGTGGATAATGCCTGTCGGGAATACCTCTTTGTCACCGAATTCTTCATGGTTCGCGGCACCCAAGCTCAAGATTTATTCAACCAGATAATGGGAAAAACCCTAACTCTAATGATTGTAAGTCAATGCTTGCAGTTAACAAAATTAAAGTTGTAACTTTATGTTAAATTTAGAAAAACCTGGAGACGTCTATACACGACTGTTTCGACACCATAGCCATGTTCCTGTGCATTCATCTCATATTCCGCTACCAACTAATGTGTCACAAACGCTGTGTGCCTGCATTGGATAAGTAAGCTTATTTGTGGGCGTTTTTTCGACTGACTATCGCTTACTATTTTTTATTCAGATATTGGGACTCCTTGCAAGCGGTTATTTGGCCACGTTTAGAGCTGGTTTTCCGCTTGAATATTCAGAGCATACACGACTGTGATCCTACCAAGTTCAACAAGGAATTGGGACCGCACTACGTAAGAATTGTTATCTTTATGACATTTCATGCCTTTTTTAAATCGATTTTACTGATTGAGAAATGACTGCAAAGTGAATGTCGTAAGGGGACCTTAAAAGATAGATTATAATAGATAATAGACCGAAACAAATGCCCCGTCATATAATACGTATCTCTTTCAGATAACCCGACGCTATGCGGAATTTAGTGCGGCCATTGTGGGAATCTCGGAGCACTTTCCCAACGAATTGGTGAGCCGATTGCTTCTAGAACTCCAGAATGAAGTCGAGTGCTTCATTCTGCGCATGGCTGCCATATTTCCAACGCGCAAGGATCAGCTCATCTACCTGATCAATAACTACGACCTGGTTTTGGGTGTGTTGATGGAGCACACGCGAGATAATTCCAAGGAAGCTGAGGCGTTCAGGGAGCAACTCAATGCGCGGAGTGCCGAGTATGTGGAGGAGATTCTGGCCCCACATTTCGGAGGCATTATTCAGTTTGTCAAGGAGTGCGAGCACTTTTTTGAAAAGGAACAAATGGACGAGCTGAGAAAGCAGGAGCGAAGAAGTCTAGCCTTGGTGGCCAGCTTCTCGGCCAACTGGAAAAAATCGCTGGAGGAGCTTAACAGAGAGGTGCTCCTCTCATTTCCATCTCTGCTGACGGGCTCGCAGCTTTTGCAGCTGGCTTTGGCCAGTCTGGTGCAATATTACCACCGATTCCACAAGCTCCTCACGCCCAATGCCCGCGCTCAGCTGACCAACATCCATGTGGTGATGGTGGAGATCAAAAAGTACAAGAGTAATTATTAAGGGACGTTTTAATTGAATGTATGTAGACTTCTGTGTATTCCAACTTGAGTAAAGTTCCAAAATATAACAGTCTGGCCCTCAGACTTAATCCTCATCCTCGAACATCATCTCGACGAGATCCTGATTGGAGCAGCGTTCGCCGTCCAGCCGCTGAGGCTGCTTCCAGCGCAGCAAAGTGGGCAAGAAAATCAGATGGGTGTTGGGATCCTTGCGGAATGGACAGTTCAAGTCCTTCCAGCTGGAGGGAAAAAACAAGTGTTATTTTATTGTTTACCATGGTTTTGTGATAACGCAGCTCAAGAGCATTGTAAAGCTACCGCTGTTTAATGGTTTTTTTTATCATGAATGTTCTCGGCGTGTGAATAAGCACTCGAGTGTTTATTTCATCATCATACAGCTGCGGTTGAGTGACTAGCTGCAAATTACCGAATTCCGGTATTTTACAAATTCATTTAAATAGCTCACATCTAAGCTCACACAAATACAAACAACATTTTGGATGACTCATCTTATGTTTTCGAAATAAAAGTATAGAAACTGGTACACTCATAGAAATTTCTACCCTAAATCGCCCTAAAAAACCGACTTTTCGCCCTTGTATTAGAAAAAACGCCCATAAATGTGTATTTAGAAAAATTTTTGTAAAAAATCCCTATGGAAATTATGTTTAATTTAGGGGGATTTTCCTTGAATTGAAAATTTTTTCGTCTTTTTAGAGTGATTTGCCCTAAATTTAAGGTGTATTTTTCTGTTTTCTGTTTTTTATGGCAAGTAGCCTTTGTATTTAGAAAAAATTAGGGCAATTCGCCGTTGGATTTAGAAACGGTCAAAACGAAGCAAATCGAAAAAAATCGCCCTACATATTAAAAAAATTTTCCCTAAAAAGATTTTTTTATGGTCACCTGCCTTGAATTTATGGCAAATTTGTCGTGGAAATAGAAAATTATTCTCAGTTCAAGGGGGAACATTTTTAAGGGCAATTTTCTAAAATGTAGAAAATTATTTTTATGAATGTAAATGTTTTGACTAATGTTGTTTAGCCAAATGAGAAATATTTTAAAAAATCTTTAGGATTATTTAAAAAGAAAAACGGAAACATATCATAACGTACCTGCAATACAATAAACATAAAATATAAAAGAGATCTGTTTAAAATTTGGTTCTTAAATTGAAAAGCAGTATGAAATTAAAAACTACCTGTTGTTTGATACTCTTTTTATGACCTTAATCATTTCTATTTTCTCAACCGCAACTGTATTTTTTGTTGTTTTATTTCGGTTAACTTACTAGGCCCGCTCGCCCACATCCACATGCACAAAGTGCGAGTTGCCGGGGGCCTTTTTCAGCGCATCGTGTATCACCGGCTCCGCTGCAATAGTGCGTATACGCGATATGTGGGTTAGGAAATCGGATAGTCAGCGGTTAACCGCATTGGGATCACGGCCTTCTCACCCTTGACGCAGTAGGGACACCAGCTCTGTCCATTCTCGTCCTTTCCGCCGCTGAAGAGGACATGGACCGCCTCGTTTCCATTCTCCAGTTCCTCCATCTTCTTGGAGAACTCCTCGTATCCCTTCACGTTGTGTGTGACGACCATGATCTTGCTGGGATTGGTATTGACCGCGTAGTAGCGTCTGAGAATGCGACCGAAAAACGTTGGGAGCGACGTGATGGCGAACTTTGGAGTAATTGGCTTCTGGAGGGGAATGGCTTCGCCTATTCTATCAGGTTTTCTGACTTTTTGACGTAAAAAAAGCTTACGGTAACAGATGACAGGGTTGTCAGCTTCGTCGCATTTACAAGTTTAGCCATTTTCAAGCTAGAGCTAGATATTATTGAAAGAAAAAACTTTTAGAGATTTTTAAAAAACAATTTGAGGCTTTGAAATGTTTTGGAATTGTTACTAAGAAATTTAATAAAAAAAAAAAGATACTTACAAAAGTTTTTTAAGAAGGTTTATTTTAAAGGTTTTTTTTATGTATAATAAATTTAAAGTTTAAAAATGCTGATAAAATTCTGAGGAATTTACAACATTTATAAGACAGAAAATCATTTTTTACACCTTTAAAATTATTTTATTATTTGTGCGCCATTTCCTCGATAGTCTTTCTTGTAAATAAGTGATAAGGTGGCAACACGATTTTTATCGCCCAAGGAAACAGCTGATTAGAAATTTTTTTTTATAAAGTGCATTTATTTGTTTTTCTAGCATTGATTTGGAATTGAACAATGTCACGGCTAGCTTTATTGCGCAATTTGGTCAGTCAGCGGCAGAACCTGCTGCCCACCAACTTAACCAGGCTAAGATGTGCGGCAGCGATGCACTGGAGTCCACATTTGCGGCAGGAAGCGTCGCGCGGTTAGTTCTTCGACTTGCCCATTGGGTTACATGTTGATTATTGACCATATTATTCATGCAGGTGGTGGCGGATCACTGCAACGGTCGCAGGACAACACCCAGGTGTCCACGGATGTGCGTCCAATTGGTGAGAAGATCAAGGAGAACACGAAGACGGCCAGTTATACGGCCATCATAGTCGCCGGATTGGGGGTGACCTGCGTGATGTTCTTTGCCATATTTCGGGAGCTATTCTCCAGCGAGAGTCCGAACAACATCTACGCGGGCGCACTGAGTCGTGTTGTCGAAGATCCGCGGGTGCAGGATGCAATTGGAGCGCCCATCAAGGGATTTGGCGAGACTTCCAGGCGGGGACGCCGACAGCATGTCGCCCACTCCAGCTACGAGCGCCACGGAAAGCCCCACATGCGGATGCAGTTCTATGTGCAGGGCTTGAGGAACAAGGCCACGGTGCAACTGGAGTCCAGGAGGGTGAGCTATATTAGGAAAAGATACCTTGAAGTAGTGTTGGGTTTTGTATGAGTGAGTGAACAAAAAAGAGTTGCTCACTTGTTCATTTTTGCTCTCTGGCTCCTTTTTGTTCACTTGCACAGTTTTGCTCTCTTACTTGCTCTATTTTGTTCACTTGCTCAGTTTGGCTCTCTTTTTTGATCTTTTTAGTTCACTTGTTCAGTTTGGCTCTCTTATTTGATCTTTTTAGTTCACTTGCTCAGTTGCTCTCTTGCTGTTTTTGGCACAAAAAGTATTTTTTTTACTTTTAGAATGCATTTTGCATACGGTTTTACAGACAATGAGTTGTTTTTTCAGAGCCAGTGAAAAAGTTAAGGACAAAACAAGTGAGCAAGTCAGCAAACTGACTTGACTCATTGGGAAAAAAAGAACAAGTGAATATGTTCACCCAAATGAACAATTTTTTCCCAACACTACCTTAAACTATGCAAAGAAGACTGAAATATCTACTTTTGAACTTATAATTTACCTCTTTCCCTAGGCTCGCTGTGGCAAACTGGAATACCGCTATCTTTTCGTGCAATTGGACCACTATCCCCACACCACCATCATCCTGGAGGACAATCGAGCCTTTGATCCCGTCCCCGAGCCTGCGTCCCCCTCATCTTCCTTTGGCAACTTGGCCCTGATGTCCAATAACCAGGATAAATAGACGGATCCCTTCGATCCGCTGCTCTGCACTTAAATTTTCTGTACATTTGTTATATTTATTATTTGACTGACAATGAATAAGCATTGGGAAACCAACAACACCGGCCAGCCTCGAATCATTCGCCAATGGAGAAGTTGTCCATCTCCAAAATGGCGCCCGACTGGTGTCAGTAGAGCTTCTTCCAGGGTATGATCTCCCAGGAGCGAACGATGTGGCGTCCGAAGAGAAAGTCCTTCAGCTTGTTCATGATGTAAAACGAGATGCCGAAGAAGGAGGCGAAGTACAGCCAGAATTGGCCAAGGCGTTCCCAAATGCTGAGATGGTAGCGAGCGGGAACTTGGAGTATGTCCAGTTCCAGTTCTACGATGAGACCGGGTTCAAAGCGAGGCGACGTCTCTCGGTAGTACGTCTCCTGAACGGCCAGCTGGAAATACGCTGGATTGGCCTTGACTTGGGCTAGCAGGGATTCCATTTTGAACTGCTCTATATTCCCCGTGGTGGAGTTTGTATCCACTTGGACCTGACGGAACTGAGTCTTAATGTTGCGACCCGGAAAGGGGCACGTAAACTCTACATATTGCTTAAGATTTAGCTCTCCTTTCAGCTTTAGTTCCCCGTTTTTGAGGCGAGTCGCCAGTGGAAGTTGATGGGCCAGCACGGAAGGAGGCGAAAGATCACATTTGTGTTGCAGTTCGGCCTCGAAGAAAAGCAGTAGATTAAAGCTAACCATGCGAGTGGGCACATCCTGCAGTTCCAGTTGAAAATGCGCCCGATCTGTTACGCCATCGTAGTCCAAATCCTCTGTCCAATATCTTGTAGTGGTGCAACTACTGGAATATCTATCCATTTGGGTATTGAAATTGCTGAAGCTGCTGCAGGCGACTAGGGATTCCTCCTCCTCTAGTTCTTCTGGTTCTGTTGTGCCCACAAATATATATTGATAGGTGAACTCGACATTCGGCTGCTCGTATAAAACTCTCGATTCCGATATTCCCGAATAAGGACTCAGGAAGGACACCAGAAGAACGGGCAGCATTACGGAGAGTGCAATAAAAGCCAGGACCAAAAGGGAGGCAAAGGAGCACAGCGAGTTCTTGTACACGATCGCCGTGTTTGTCGTGTGAAGCGGAATGAATCTCATCGTGGATTTATAAAATCAATCCGGTATTATGTGAGCACCTGCTCAAGGGACACTTGTCAACAGAATGTTGTGAAAATTATTTTTTCGTTAAAACGTTGCTAGGCAACCTTTGAAAATAGAATGCCGGCAAAACTTTCGCGGTTAAACTATTTAACAGCCTTATTTCTTTTAAACTATTGGTTTTTGGGTCCTGAAAAAAAACTCCTGATCATTGATAACAAAAAAGGTTAATTTTCTTGACAAATAACGGTGGAAACCGTAAAAATTTTATTTTTAAATATAAACAAATATAACATAAATAAATATAAAAACAACTATATTTTTTATTAAAACATTTTTTAAATGATTTTTATATTTTAACAGATAATAGCCAAAATCCGAAAATATACCTGATCTTAAAGTTTTTTTTCCAGATATATAAAAAGTTGCCAGTTTTAAACTCGGAGAATTGTAAGATTACTAAGTAAGAAATGTTTGTATTTTTTTCCGCTGTTTCCAGGACAGAATAAATAAACTCAGGCCGAAAAAACATTTCTGTAATCTTGTGTACAACTTAAAATTTATTTTCAAATCACCTTTTTTAACCGGTGCTAAATTCACGATCGACCACGAGCCCATCTCTAGTGCGCTCTGTAACTATCGCACCCCGCTCGGCGTTGCCAGACTGCCGAAACCAGGTACGCGTGCATCCCTGGTCGGTCAGCTGTACGCGAAGAAGAAGAAACGATGGGAGTGTTTTCGTTCGAGGCGAAATTATTTTTATTATTTTCGCGCTAAATAGCAAGCCATTTACGAGGAAAACCAGCTTAAAACGCGACCAAGTAGTTGCAACTCTCGCTGTGATAAAAGGCAGTGCGCTGCCTCGATGACAAGAGGCGTAAAAATACGAATCGAAAATTGAGACACCGCGACCTCCGAAACAAAGTGGGAAAAATCGAACCTGTGTGCGTGTGTATTGAGTGTGTACCGTGTGTGTGTGTGGAATAGTAAATTTAATTTAAAATTAAAAAGCCGAATGAGCGCAGTCCTTAATCGAAAGATGACCATGTATATGGCCTGCGATGATCGGTGATAATGAGTGCGGCAATGAGTAATCGATAATCGCGAGTGCGAAACCTGAGTAGCAGCAGCAGTAACAACAACAGCAGGCACACCTAATCCGCCCCACCCCGCCCACACACGCACACTAGCATCGAGATGGAGGCGCTGGAAGTGGAGGACACCAGCGACGACAGCCTGCCCATGGGATTCCCAGAAGTGGGCACCTGGAACAGCACCCACAATGTCTCCTTGAACGACATGAATCTGGATGCGCGCATGGTGAGCGTAGTCATTAATATAATATAATATGGAATACTGTAGAATGCGAAACTGAATACGCATCATGAGGGCATTTGTGTATATAATTTGATTAACTAGTCTGGTATGCCAGTGAATCAACCGACAAATGGCTTTATCTCCGCCTTTAATGGCTTAATGGGCGCAGGGAGAAGCGGAATGCTTATCAATCAGTGGGATTTGGTCATTGACACATGGTCGCTGATAACACCGCTAAATTCTAGGTTGATCTACAGCAGACCTATATACTTTATCTTTATTTAGAATCCAAAAATACCGGTTTTGTTTTTCAAAATCCCAACCAACAAAATTGATAAAGTATCTTATCAATTAATATTGGGCTTTAATCCGATTCTTAAGTCAATAATAACTCTATAATCCAACTGGATAGAGTTAAAATGCACTTATAGTCAAAATTGTCTCAAGTCAGCTTTTATTGTGATAAAGTTCGCGCCCTTTTAAGTGAGTCCATAAAAGCTAAATGTTCACACCTCGTAGGAATTTGTTCTCGCTAATGATTTTAATAAAAAACTTTTTTATTTACCTACTAAAGTTTTTAAATTGACTACAATCAAAATGCTTTTTCTCAGCTGATAAGACTTTCAAGATGATGTTTTTGTTGTGATGTTTTAATAGTTGATTGCTTAGTGCTGTGCTCTTCCATTCAGAACTTGAGCGTATACAGAATTTAGCATGTATTATCATTAAATTTATACGTAGTATGTATTACATACATATACTGCAATCTTAGAAATATTAAATTGGCTTTGATGTACTCCTAGCATTTTATTTAATCTTATTCAATTTCTTTTTCGAAAATTATTTCCCGCTACATTTTATTTAAAATGCATTTTTCAAAAGGCTAATGCCCTAATAAACTCATTTTATTATTATTATTTATTCCATTTGTATCCTAACTTAGAACTGAAATTTCTTCTACAATAAGCCCACCAGAAGTTAGGCATTATTTTAGAAAAAATATGGAGAAAAATTAAAAATCAATAGAGAAACTAATATGGCAATAAATAATATTATACAACTACTTTTCAGATAAATCCAAGCAAGTTTGTGTATTTTAGTAATCAACTTTAACCGTTCCTTTGTTAAGTTTTTAAAATAGGAAGATTTCCCGTTTTTGTAATCTCAAGAGAAATTGAAGAAAGTTTTAGCAAACGTAGCTTTATAATTCAAAATTATTCTGTAATGTTTAGAATCTTTCAAACACTCCCGCCTCTCAGTCTTTCTTCCATTATAAACGATTTATTTATTGGATCTTCGGTGTCCATCGTTTATTGGTATTTAGTGTAGTAAAAGCAACTATATAAAGGATCAAGTTCACCTGGAAAGAGTCGTTCTCCAAGTACCAAAATCGCACACGCTCACAGGAAAGCTGTCAGTCAATCAGAGCTCCAAATCGAGCACAGTCTTCACCTCGTTTTTATCACACAGTCATCAAGGAATTCATCAAAATTTCCATTGCTCGCCAAGATATTGGGCAGTATTAGTTTTCGTGGTCTGCAGCTTCTTAAGAAAGCACCCGAAGAGGATCCAAATCTTCCCATTCCCACCAGAAGTTCTAGTGAGACATGCAGTCCTTACGGATGCTGATCCATTGCCTGGCGACGCGACAGTCCCAGATGATGACCCACATACGCCGGGCCAGCGGGAGCAGCAGCTTTCCGGAGCTGGTCTTTCCCGACGACCAGGACATCGAGCCGGAGGACGAGCAGGGAGCTCGGGATCCACAGTTTCCGATCCTCCACAGCCGCCACACGGATCTCTTCTACATGCCGCGCCTCGTGGGTCCGGCGTACCAGGGTCTCATCTCTCCGGCGGATCAGCCATATGCCACCGCCTACTATCCGGCGGATGCTCAGACTTTAATCAAGGGAAGCGATAGTGCCCTGGTGATCTCACCCACCGATATGTGGGTGGTGGCTTGCCCCAAGCTCCTGGTGACCTATATGCGCCGCCTTTTCCAGCATCCGTACGCGAACTTTGGCAGCTCGATGAACTTCAGCATGATTGGAATGCGGTTCCATGACTCCGATGTCGACAGTGCCCTACGCTCCTTCGTACTCTTCGCCAGCCACAATTCACGCGAGATCATGCACAACGGCTACTGGGCGGACTTTGTCAATCCGCTGACTGGCCGCGCCCACTTCCGGGCCGCCCACTCCAGCCGGAAGCAGTGCCGGGAGGCCCAGCTCCTTGGCCGGGGCCTGGCCTTCACCAATGCCAATGGCTGCACCGTAATCGAGGAGGAGCAGAGCGATCAGTTCACCGGCTGCATCTTCACGGACACACCCTGCAAGGTCCTCGAGTCGTGGTGCTCTTAGAGGAGCATGCGATCGTCACTCAGCTGCTCATTTCCATGTCTCTGATTGTGAACCCATTGAAGTCCACTTGAGAAATCGTAGCCCAAACCCAGTAGGGATATTTTCAAAAATTTCACGTTGTACATTTTGGTAATTTGCTTTTCGATAAAGTCTATAAAAAAGCCTCATTTCAATCTGTATGGTAAATTTTAAAATTTGACAATTAGATGTTAATTCTTCTACAAAGAACAATAAGCGAAAGTATGTTGGATATTTCCCGCCTTAAGGAACAGATAAGAAAGGAAGCCGGAATTGTTGAGGATGTACACAAGACATTGTTTTATAATTTTGGAAAATAAACATATTAGGAATGTAAACATAAACATTTACTGCCTTAATCGCTTTCATTGCTTTCGTTTTGGCTATTGTCTAAGCAAAGGAAAATATATTTTTGTATAAAACACCCAAATAAATATGTCGAATTATTTAGTAACATTCTTTATTTTGCACTTTAATTCCTATAAAGTCTAAAAAATCCTGGAGCACTTAAGCAGCAATTACCGAAATGGCTATTTTTTATGAAAATATACAAATTTATAGATATTACATTTGGTTAAGAAATAAAAGATATAAATGAACGCGATAATACATAAATGTATCAAAACTTAAACTATCATAGGGGGTTTCGTTTAAATGATTGTTGGTTTTTCTACTAATTTATTTTAAAAACCAAAAAAATAGTTTTTGAAGGTGATAAAGGCTAATAATATACAGTACTACATATTGTCATTAAATGAACTTTATTTATACCTAATATGTCTCTGATTGTGAACCCATTGAAGTCCACTTGAGAAATCGTAGCGCAGTAGGGAAATTTTCAAAAATCTTACGTTGTACATTTTGGTAATTTGCTTTTCGATAAAGTCTATCAAAAAATACCCATTGCAATCTGTATAGTAAATTTTAAAATTTGACAATTAGATGTTAATTTTCCTACAAAGAACAATGAGCGACAGTATGTTGGATATTTCCCGCCATAAGGAACAGATAAGAAGAGAAGCCGGAATTGTTGAGGATGTACACAAGATATTGTTTTATAATTTTGGAAAATAAACATATTAGAAATGTAAACATAAACATTAGCTGCCTTAATGCATTTGTTTTCATCGCTTGGGTTTTGACTACTGTCTAAACGAAGGAAAATATACTTTTGTATATAATAACAAAATAAATATGTCAAATTATTTTGTAACATTCTTTATTTTGCACTTTAATCCTTTTAAAGTCAAAAAATAACTGGAGCACTGGTTGTTTATTGGTTTTTCAACTTACTTATTTTTGAAACAACAAATTAGTTTTTGATAATGATAATTTATCATTGATAAATGATAATATTGTACAATATATATCATATGTACAATGTACAATGTACATATATTGTCATTGAATTAACTTTATTTATACCTCATAATATTCAATAACTTGTTTCTTGAATGACAAATATTTAATCACCTTATTCTTGAGACTTAAATCGATATATCAAAATAAATATATCTAAGTATTTAGTTACATTCTTTATTTTGTACTTTAATCCCTTTAAAGTCTGAAAATAACTGGAGCACTTAAGCCGCAATTACCTAAATGCTTATAATTTTTGAAGATATACAAATCTCTAGATATTACATTTGGTTAAGGAATAAACCATGCAAATGGTTGTTTATTGGTGTTTATACTTACTTATTTTTAAAAATTAATAATGATAATGATAAAAAATAATATTGTACAATGATATACATATGTATATTGTCATTAAATGTACTTTAATTTATACCTCATAACATTCAATAACTTGTTTCTTGGATGACAAATATTTTATTCACCTTATTCTTGAGACTTAAATCGATCTTAAATCTTTTCAGATATGGCTGCTTGCTTCGCTGCTCACCACGATCACCTGGGTGACGTACATCACCTTTTACAATTCTCGTGTGATTGGGATGTTGATAACGAAGATCGCCAATCGTTGGTTCATCAAGGGCGCGTACTTCAAGATCGGCTCGGTAGCCCTAAATCCGCTGGCGGGCAAGATAATGTTCCGGGACTTTGTGTATATCACCTATGACTACACAGTGCGGGCGCAGGACGGATACTTTATATTCCGCTGGTGGCGCTCCTATGTGCCCAAGGATGTCTCAGAGGGTGAGTTGGGAATACAAGGTATTAGAGCTTCTGATTAATCTCCTTTTTTTAATAGATCTTTCCCACTCGGACACGCGACTCTCGGTCCAGCTTAATGGCTACGAGCTGCACATATACAACAGATCCGATTTGTACGACACGTTGGAGAAGACATTTGGACTGGAGCCATCCCTGCTCATACCGACGGATGTGGTGAGCAACGAGGAGAGAAACAAGCTGAAGGAGCACCACATGAACCTGGAGAATGCGCGACAGAGCCAGAGGATTCAGAATGTGAAGAACTCGGAGGCCATGCAGGCCACCACCTGGCGGGATCTGATCCCAGTGATCAAGATTGACGTCTGCTCCGGTCGCTTTGTCTTCGGCAATCGATTGACGCCGACAACTCTCTCCATTTCCGTAGAGGAGGCCCATTGCACCTATAGTACGAAGCCAGCTGTCTGCCGATTGGATCACTTTATGCACTTTGTAAAGGCCAAAGTCGAGAATGCCAAAGTGCTCTTCTGTCCGAGTCCCAAATACACGGGATTGATTGATGAACCACCTCGATATATGGGCGAAGGCTTTGTGGTCATGATGTCCAATCAAATGGATTTGTACTTCTACATGGATGAACCGGGCGTTGTGCCGGAACAACCGGTGCAAATTGTCCTGCCCAATGGCGATGTGGTGGAGCCTTCGCCGCCAGTCTGGGGCATAAATGCGAGGTGTCTCAAGGGCACCGATTTCAGCTACGGTCCCTGGGCAGATCGGCAAAGAGATCACCTGTACAAGTACTTTTACCCATCGGATTGGAAGGAGGCCGAGGTTACACCCACTCCTCAGCCTGGAGAACTGCGCAGCTACCAATCCTTCGACGTTACTTTGTGTGTGCTTAATGAAGCGACTATTGACATACTCTTTTCCAAGGAAAAAGAGACAAATGCCATGCACATAACCGTGGGCCCGGCTTCATATGTAGAGGTTACGATTCCCTGGGTCACCCAACCCGATGGTTACACTTCCAAGATCCAGGGGCAGCTCTTCCACGTGGAGGCCACCACATCGCTGCAGTATCGCAGCCTGGCGGAGTTTGAATCCCTGGAGTACAAGGTGCGAATCCATTATCCGACCAAGTGGAACGCACCACAAGACTGGAGCATCTCGCTGTCCGGCTGCAAGACGAGTGCTTTCATTGTGTACAAACACAAGTGCTTCTTCCAGGACCTCATCGAGGATTGGGCGAATAAGGCCCGGCCGGATATACTCAGCTTTGTGCCGTACACCTGCAACTTTAGCATCCGACTGCACGAGTTCGAGATCCTAATGCTGTGCAACGAGTACAATTGGATCGACTGCAGCAGTGCCAACCAGGAGAACAACCACTTGGCCTTCTGTGGCGACGTGTTTGAGATGAGTTTCGCCCTGCCCTTCGATGATTTCCTGCCCAAGACGGTCACCCTGAAGTTCTGGATACACGGCGAGGGATTGGACTTGAGCTTGTACGTGCCGGAAGTGTCCTCGGTGCGACCCATTGTTTTAGCCATAGACGAGAACGCAAGACTGCTGACCAGGGAGGGCAAGCTCATCCGGCGCCCAGAGTTGTACTCGAAGAAGTGGCGCAAGATTTGCCAGCGCTCTGCCGGTTGGATCGACTGTTGGGCCGTGCCCATTCTGGCGCTGTCCATTCAGTATGTGTATCATCCGGTTCCGCCCTTGGGACCGGATCCCCAAGCGGATATAACCACACCGGAGAAGGAGGAGATCCTACTGAGTCCCATGCGAATACCCAAGGTTAGGAAATCTCCTGTGAGCAGCTGGCAGCAGCCACCCGAACAGTATAGCAACTTTGACCCCGGAACACTGGCTGCGGATCATGTAACTGTCGAGCTTGAGATCGGCAGTTCCGTGCTCATGGCCTATGGCAATGTGCTGCGAAACTTTATCAACCTCAAGGAGAACATATTCGGCGAGGATCAGAATTTTACGGACATGGAACAATCGAATGTAAATATGAAGGAGCCAGGAGCTACCCAGCTGAATCCCAAGGATCAACTGCTGGCCAAGGAAAAGGAGCTGGCCAACAAATCGATTTCGGAAACTCAGGCGCCCGAGGAGAAGCGCAAACCCTTCGATCCGCGTCTATATCGTCCCCTGGAGGTGATGGTTTCTGTGATTGTACACGACATTCAGGCGCATGTGATGAAGAATTGCAATGAAGACGATCCGCCGTGTCCGGTGGTGCTAATTGAGAGATTCGGCTTCGAGATGAATAAGAAGTATCACGAAACCACTCTGCAGGTTCTAGTGAGTCCGTCGTATCTACTGACCTCCGACTGCCTGCAACGTTCGCAGCGGGAGCAGCACATCAACCAGGGTCACCTAATGCTCTCAGCAGTCCAGGTGAGAGGACATGCCATGTTCAGCAACGAGGGTTGTGCCCTGGACGAGGATACCTTGGAGTACTCCTGGCTGGTGGAAGTGCAGCTGGGTAAGCTGACCGGAAAACTAACGCTGCCACAGCTGGTGAACGTGGTCACAGGTCTGGAGACCCTCATCCTCCTGGCCATTGACCCGGAGAACTGCCTAAAGTCACCGAAGACAGTGAGGAACTGCCACCACGGAGTACCCAGTAATCTATGCCCGCAAACCAAGGAGGAGAAGAAGTACAAGTGTCCTTCCTCCGAGGATATCAAGTACAAAATGACGCGCGTTTCGGTGGACGCAGTGGATGTCTATCTGATAGAGAGTGGCACTGCCTTGCACGCTTGGATCTCGCCCATTCGTCTGGCCAACTGTAATCTCCACGGCCAGCGAGTTAAGTCGGGTATTTCCGGCTTGCTGCCCTCCATCCTACTGCGCCTGTTTATGCTTCACACGACGAGTTCATCTTTCAACACCAACACCACGGGCAGCAATCGGTCAGGTAAGCTAAGGCGAGCCGATCAAGAGTCCCTGAAGTCTCAGGATGCTGGAGGATCACATTATGCGTCGCACGGGAAGGCAGGAAAGCGCAGCTCCAACTCCTTTTCACGGCGAGATTCGCGGGAGGAAGCCACGCGAAAGCTAAGGGATAGTTTTTCGGAGGCACATAATAAGCGAACACCGGAAACATCGGAGCTATCCGAGAATTGGGTGGAGGTGGGCTGCACTTCGCTGGGACCCATTTTGCTGGAGGGAGCCTCCGCCCTGCCCATACCAGATCACGAACTGCATCTCGTGCAGCACAAGTAAGATCTTAATGAATTATTTTTTGTATGTTTTTAATTCCTCTTTCTTCGATTTTCAGTTTCCTGCGTGAGCACGATGCCAAGTTTAAGCGCCTTTGGTTCCTGTGGTCCCATAATGGAAGTGCCCTGTCCTCTGGCAGTGAAATTTCGCGCTGTGGCTGCATCGGTGGATGTGTCTTCTTTGGAAGCAATAGAAACGGACAAAAGTTCTTCAAGCCAACGGCACAGGATGTTCATGACAACTACAACATTGCGCGTTACTTGTGAGTAGAATTGTAAAAGTGCACAGAAAAAAAACCGATATGAAATAGGGTTATTTCTACCTTATTTCATATCAATAAAAAGCCGATATGATTTATGTCAAATTTAAGATTCAAACATATCAAAATGATATTTTATCATATCATAAAAGATACCAAATGTAGTATTTTTTGAGCAAATAATATAAAAAAAGATTGACATAATCTTTATTCATATCAAAATGATATGAATAACTTGATCTTTAAATAATATCAAATTGACCATTACAATTTTTTTTCTGTGTGTAATTGGATTCAAGTTGAAAATTTGGGTGTCATTAAAAAAAGTATTATAAGTTTCGCTTATCAGTTGTGATTAACGATAAGAACAATTAACTTTAAATTTGGATTATTAATAAACCTATTTATTAATTTATCTCTCATCAAATAAAATAATAATATAAATAAACCTAATAAACTTTTATCCTACTTTCAGCATTATCAACAATAATAAGGACTTTGGTTTCGGTGAGAGCATTCTCCACCAGGGCCAACTCGTCTTCCACACCCCGCCCTACAGCCTCCACTGCGTTTCCTTGTACGACACAGCAGACTTTAATGGCAAAGGCCGCCTGTACAGGCCGGCTGGAGATCTGCGGAACGGAAGTCTCAAGAAGACGGATCTCTGCTCGCTGCCCGACGGCACCAAGTTCAAGATCGGGGCAAGTGGAACCACCGGTGTGGAGAAACCGGAGCCCAATTGCCGAAACAAATCCCGCGAGAGCATTGGATCTCCGAATACTTTGGAAAGGAGAAGCAAGAGGTATCCCTGCACCAGGCAGACCTCCGTGGAGGTGCCCTACGCCCGTCTTCTGGATAGTCCCTCCAAGAAGCTACAGCTCCAGCACGAAGCGACTGCAGGTGACATAGGAACTTCCCATCGACGAGGGTCGGATTCGAACAGGCTACGGGTGTCACCGCCCAAAACGAGCATATCCGACTCCAGACTTACGGGGGATGTACTGGATGATGAGCATGAGGTGCGTTTTTATTGACTCCAATCGACAGTATTAATATATTTTCCTACATCCTCTGCAGATACCGGACGAGATGTCACACTCGGCACCTCATTCGCATCCCTTGGAGTTCGAGATTGCGGATATTGCCCTTCACGTTCAGGGACTAGGAGGAGATAACCTTCCTCGCGAGGTGCAGCGCACCATATCGCTGACATCGGAGAATCCCTCTGAGATGTTCTTCTCCGCCGAAGAGGATATTTCTAATGTGATGTCGCAGCGGGGATCCATGAAGCAGCGAAATAGCGGAAACAGTGGATCAGTGGTGCTGTCTGGAAAGAAGCGATTTTCATCGGATTTAAGGTGAATAAATGCAAATTATTTGTACTCCCCAATCCCGTTTACTAATTATTATGTCTATATATCCAGCATTGGAGCCCAAAACGATAATGGAAGCCACACTTTGCCCACATATCGCAGCGATCTGGAGATCCATGCCCCCGATGGCAACAAAACCCTTCCAAAACGACCGCAGAGCACTACAGAACTGGTAAAGCTGAAAAATCAAATATGCAAACACTTCGAATATGTATACTACTACCATGCTAGGTCGATTTACACAGTGATTTATGTACACCAAGCGGTTTTAGCTTTGCTGCTTTGAAGCCAAGTTTATATTTCACTCTGTTTCTCATTAAGTCCAATATCACCCAAGTATTAATCAAAGCGGCAATAAGAAAAATAATTCGACTCGAGTCTCTTTCAGTGCATGCTTCGCTCTTTAAACATAAGTTTGTCTATACATTTACAATATATATATACTATAAATAACTCTTAAGCAACGATTTCTCAATGTCCGGTTAGATTTGAAGATAGCAAAACAAAAGACGTTGAGAAACCGTTTCTAATTCTGTAAAACTGTAAACCACACCTAAAATCTATTCCTTTCCTCAAACTCGACTCATCTTAAATCGAAAACAAAAATCAATCAATGAACTAACCAAATCGATATAAAAACCGAAACCTAAATCAAAACTCATCCAGAACGAAGACGCGAGACGCATTCACGGTCTTGCCACACCAATAAGAAAAATAACAAATATCTCATCACGACCTGAGTACCGACATTTTGTTCATGATGTGAGTAGTTCTTAGTACCAACAACAAACAACCAACCAACCTCTTCTAACTAACAAGTAGCACAACTAAACCGAAATTTGAATGCTAGTCTATTGTGATAAATCTCAATGTATCTGTAGATCTTTCTTACTTTGGTACTCGACCAAAATTCTCATCATTTTTGATATAAGGTTCGGCGATCGGTAATTGCATGGATGTTGAATAATAGAGCATGTGAAGTTTATTAGTTCTAAGTTTAATTTAATGTTGAGGACTTCGAGGTTAGAACTTTTGGTATTACACAGGTTTTATGATCAGAAAATTAATTCGATTTGCATTTTTCGGTCTGTTTTGGTTTTTAAAAATCTAATAATTTCAAAATGTATGCATTATGTCACCTTTCTCCTAATATTTTCCATTTTGTCATAGTTTCTGTCTGCTCTTATTTTCGAATTCGTGTTTAAATTATTATTTTATTTATTTATGCGTCAACATTAGTTTGTATTTTCGATCTTCAAATTCTCAGGATCAAAACAGACCCAAATCTTTGCTGCACCTAAACATAAACGTTTCTCACGATATTCTGCTTGTGCCCTTTGATCTGGCTATTTTAGATGTAGATGCCGAAAAGTCTTCGCCTTGTTCTATCATATTTCACTTTAATATCATAGTTTCCTGTCCATTCTACAGGCTGATTCCCGTGGCTCATCGTCTGGCACACCGTCATTGTCTTCCAACTCTTTCATTTCGGCCATGTCGTCACAGGAGGATGTGGCTCTGGTCAATCTGCACCAGCAGGTCAACCGGCCAATCATCGACTCACCCTTGCTGATGGCCAGCTACCTAAATCACCTGTCGCAAGTGAAGTGCTTCAACTGGAACGGCTGTTCCTTTCCCCTAGGTCCAGACGTGTTCTCTACGCCTCTCTTCTCCGAGAACGAAGACGGTGGCTTGACCTATATTGGCAGTAAGATGCTGCCCCACTTTGATCTCTACTCGTGTTGGCGTGAGATTAAAGTGGTTCCTCGATACGAGAACGCAACTGGCAGCAACAGCTCGGCCACTTTCATGGGCGGACCGAAGTCGCATCCCTGGGATCCCAGTGTGCTGCTGAAGGAGGAGGAATCGGATAAGACCACCAATGGTTTTGACGATGGCGAGTTCATGAGTCTGCAGGCGGAGGGAGGAGCGGCCTGCACATCGGTGGTGGCCCGGCTGAAAGGACAACTAAATGTCTTCCTCACTCCGCTCTTGCTGGAAGGATTGCAGCGGTAAGTGATAGTAACCATTTTTTATTTTAAAACTTCCTCTAAAATTCAGTTAGATTAATTTTGGTTTTATCAGGGTGTAAACAGAATACACATAAATAATGCGCAGTTCTCGTATTTCTGGATTATCAGTTTATGGGGGCTTATAAAATATACAAAGACATTTATCAAGCATTGTGACAAAACAAAAAATATAACTCAACTTCGCTTGATGCGCAAATGGGCGAGATTGGAGCAGCTCAGCGCCGCATTGGCATTGATCTGGCCACCTTGATCCCGCGGGAACGAGTCCATCAGCTTCTTTATATACGTTTCTTTGGAGTTCTAATGGCATACCAATATATATTCGATGAGAAAACATGAGGTCACCCACTCACCTCGGGGGCATCATCAGTTTCTTTGTTCTCCCGCTTCCTCCTCTTGTATTCGTAATCAAAATTTGACTCCTCCACTGGACTGGCCTCCTCCTCGGCCAGTTTGTCCAGGTCCAATGCTTCGCTTTGGCTGCGATCCTCACGCAATCGTCGTTCGCCACGATCGTTTTCACTTTGGATGCAGTCGTTCTGCATTTGAATCAAATAGCGAGGTGGATCGCGAGCATTGCTAGCAATAAAGCTATAGGTGGAAATATTTGAAATATAGCTTATGAAAATATAAAATGTCGATTTTACCTGTCGCTATCGAAAAGAGGTTCCTGCTTGATGAGATTAGGCTTCAGTGGCATCAGTTGATCGCTGTCCACAGCCTGCTTTCTATCTTCAACATTGTGCATTTGCATCTTATTTGCACTTTCCACTTCAGCCTGTTCTCTCTTTCGATGGGCAATCCTGGCAAGACGATGCCGTTCGTATAGATCCATGTGAGCTGGTTCTGCCACTGGTGCGCTTTCGGCCTGCTCGACTTTCTCTACATGTGATACTTTCTGGTCCCGATTTATCTGCTGTTCACCTCTACGAAAATTAGCTTGATGATCATTATCGAAGCTTGCCTGATTTCTCTTTTCCAAGCCAAACTGATATTCATGGTTTTCTAAATCATGCTCCTGCTCGAAATTACCAGGATTTCCGAAATCCAAGTTAGATTGTTGTTCCTGGTCTAAATTTATCTGGTGATCTCGCTTCACATTCATCGGATTTCTTAGCTCTAATTTAGTAGGATGTTCTCGCTCAAACTCGGCCTGATAATCCAGATCAAAGTTGGCCTGATCTTCTTGTTTTAATTTTACTATATGCTCCTGCTCTAAATTTCCATGGTTATTTAGTCCCTCATTGGCGCCAAATTCGGGATTCAGATTTGCCTGATGTACCTGGTTAAAATTTGTATGACCATCTAGTTCCATGTCCTTCAAGTCAACCTCATAATCCTTCTTTAAATTTGATTGATGTTTCTGTTCCAAACTAATCTGATTATCCTTCTCTAAGTTGGACTGACGATCTTGATTTAAATTTACCTGATTTTCTTGCCCTACGTTAACAGAGTTTGATTGATCCAAATGTGCTGATTGCTCCAAGTTTATGTCATCAAAATTGAAGGCTTCATCCAATGGTTCCCCTTGATCATTCACTACGGGTATGTTCTGCTTGCCCAGCTGTTCTAGGTCTCTCCCCGGAACGAATTCAGCAGGACCATCCAGTTGCTCTTCCTGAAGATGGCTCCTACTCTCCTTTCCTCTGGATCGCCTGCTGGCGTGGCACAGGAAATCATCTGCCTCGCATTCGAAATCGTCTTTTGGTTTCTTGCACTTTTTATTCTTTGGCTTCGGGCATTTGGTAGTCTCAATAATCAAGTCATCGTCCATATAACCACCCGATTTGGACTTGCAGTTTTCGTTAGTCGGTTTAGAGGTGCATGCTTTTGTGGTTTTCGGAACGCACGTGGTTTTCTTTGAACAGCGCTTGGTGGTCGGGCAGGTGGGTCGCTTGGTGCACAGATTGGGTTTGGTCTCATCGGATTCCTCCTCATCGCGGCAGCCATCATCGAGAGGTGCATTGAAGGAGCGGAGGGCATCCTTCGCTTGTCTAAACTGGCTTCTTTGACCTGCTTGCTTTGAAAGGTTTCAGCCGGTGACAATGGAAGATCATCTGCTTTTACCACTTACGTCTGAGTCGGCTTCTACATCTCTACCGATGTGCTCATCGAGCAGCTTGTCCAAGGAGTTGAGATCATCTAAGGTCAGATCTTCTAGGCTTTCCTGAACCTCAGCATCGGAAAGGCCATTTGTTAAATCGGGATAGTCGGCCGGATCGGCCAGAGGAGCTGTCAGTTCCTTGGAATTCACCTGGGATTCCTGGAGGATCAACTGCAGAATCCGTTGAAAGGGAAATGCACCTTGTACTTACCACGGGATAGGCCGCTAGCAATAAAGAGTTGATACTGCAAAGTAAGCAGATTCCAAGCAGAAACATTTTACTTCTAGTTCATTGATTTGACCATAATTTTAAAGCCTTCTTAGATTTATAAAAATTCACACTTTATTTGTATCTTTTTGAGTAATCTTTCAACGATTACTTCGTCAACATAATCATTGGGTATCCTATACAGGAACTGATACGGTGGTTAACTTCGTAACACAAAATCAAATGAATTTTCTTTGATTGAATTGCAACTTATTAAAAACCTTAGAGCTGGGCTTAATATTAACTCTTCTGTTTGGGGGCTATCTTTTTGGCCAGAGCCGTCTGTTGGTCGTTGGTCTTCTTTTTGGGCTTCTTGGCCTTCTTAATGCCGTCGACTTTTACGCCCCGGTACTCGGACTTCTTCTTCTGACCCCCAGCTGCTGCTCCTTTGCTTTCCTTTGCCGCCACACCGTTCTCCTTGCCCTTCTTTTTGTCCAGACGCTTCTTGGCACCCGCCGAGTTCTGTTTCTTTGCTTTGGTCTTTGAGGACGTGCTGCTCGCAGCGGAGGCAGCGGCAGCGTCGCGCACTTGTTTGGCACCCAGCTTCTTGACCTGATAGCGCTCCACGTTGATGGGTCTGTCGTCCAGGAGGGTCTGATTCAGCTCCAGAGCCAGGCCCACGGCATCGGGTTTCTGGAAGCAGACATATGCCACGCCCTTGCAGCCCTTGTCGCCCTCCTGGAGGCAGCGAATGTAATCGATGTCACCGCAGCTGGAGAAGATTTCGCGCAGCTTCTCTTCATTGGCAGCTGTATGGGGGTAGATTTTAAATTAGCAAAAAGTTGAAACTACTACTCGTTTTATACCCTTGCAGAGGGTATAATGATTTCAGTCAGAAGTTTACAACGCAGTGAAGGAGATGTTTCCGACCCTATAAAGTATATATATTCTTGATCAGCATCACTAGACCAGTCGATCTAGCCATGCCCGTCTGTCCGTCCGTCTGTCTGTCCGTTTCTACGCAAACTAGTCCCTCAGTTTTTAAGCTATCCGGATGAAACTTTCCCAAAAGTCTTTCTATTGCAGGTAGTATATAAGTCGAAACCGGCCGGATCGGACAACTATATCTTATAGCTACCACAGGAAAGATCGGAAAAAATCGTAAAAAAAAATTCTAGCTTCGGTGTTTTTTTAAATATAATCTTCCACTCTTGGGAATATTATTTTTAAAATATTTATGAATTTCGAATACAATTTAGAAAAAATCGGAACAAAAGTTAAAATTAAATGCCAGTTAATAGGAAAAAAATTATTGCTTCGCTGGTTTTTATTGTATTCTCTTCTATACTGAAATATGACTCTTTTAAAATATTTCCGAATTTCGATTTTAATTTTATCAAAATTTAACTACTATTTCATATAGCTGCCATAGGAACGATCGAAAAATTAATAAGAAATAATAGGAAATTGAACAATTTAGCGATTTGTAAATTAATAGAAATGATCTGCAAGGGTATAAAAGCTTCGGCTGGCCGAAGCTAGCTTCCTTTCTGGTTTAGCTTACAGTATTTGAGGCTTCCCACGAAAATGGTCCGCTTGGCATCCTTGTCACTGGGCTGCTCATCCTTTCCCTGGGCAAAGCCCTCCGACTTGGCCGCTGGAGTGACTCGCAGGTGGTTCTCCTTGAACTCGGTGCCATTGAGGGCCAGCGCCTGCTGGGCAATCTCCGGATTGGCGAACACCACATAGGCATTCAGGGAGCCGGCTCCCTTGCGCTGTTTGTGCTTGAAGAGCATCTTGCCGCCGGCGGTGCGCAGCCGGATGGATTGAACGACGCCGTAGGACTGGAAGAGCTTCACCAGCTGAACGCGCTTCGTGTTGATGGGCAGATTGCCGACAAATATGGTGGCTGCTTCGTCCTCAGGCTTCCGTTCCCGCTTAACACCCTCTGTGGGAAGGAAATTAAGGAGTTAAATGTCACAATAATTGGGGAATAGATTGTGTGTAACCTTACCTTCGTTCTTGTTATTGGCCTTGGCCTTCTTGATAGCTTTTCCCTTAGGTTTTTCCTTGGAGGCAGTCTTGGTCGTGGCATCCACTTTTTCCTTTTTCAAGACCTTTCCCTCAACTTTGACTGTAGTTTCCGGTTTTTTCTTCACTTCCTTGGGCAGCTGCTTATTCTGCTGCTTCTTTAGCTTCTGGGCCTCCTTTTTAGCCTTCTTCTTCTCGATCTTGGCCAGGTCTTGCGGCGTCAGCTTCTTGGGACTCTCCTGGACAGCGGCCTTTACCTCCTCTTTGGTCACTTTGACCGCCTTCTTCTTGGGCTTTGTTTTTGCCTTCTTGCCCACTTTGCCGTCCTCCGCCACGCCGGGCTCCTTCTTTATCGGCTTTAATTCATCTTTCTTTAATTCTTTGGCTTTTGGTGTTTTCATTTTGCACAAGTAGCTCCTTCTGATATCGATAAGGTGTTTTTTTCTTACACGTGTGGTAATCTAGGGATGAGCACGCGGCATCGATGTCTTTTGGTATATTTCTAAATGTTATCGTTAATACCGATGTTGACCGTTAAAAAATACTATCAGGCGGGGAGGAATATACTACAATTTTTAATTTAAAAAATATACCAAAAATATCGTTATTTTCTTTTCTAAGTTTTATTAGGGTTATTTTAGTTTTAAACTTATAAGTATTTGGAAAAAAAATCATACAATTTTTTAGATACAAATTAGAGAAAATATTTGTTTCCTATTTATTTTAAAAAAACATTATTACAATTTCTTAGATACAAATTTTAAGACCTATAACTATATTTAATTTTGCAAATTAAATTCATACCAAAGTTTAAAATAAATTGATTTTAAATAAATAATATGACTGTTAATTATTATGTATTCAATGCCTATTTTTCCCTAATTGCTTTCAGAATGGTGGAGGCCGCCGTTCCAACAATCCAATCGATGCACTTGCTCTCGGTGGTGAACTTTATCCACACCTCCTGCATTGCCAAGGTGAACAACGACAACATCCTGAAGCGGGACCAAAGCTTGAGCTATTGGTCCCAGGTGCACTCGAACTCCAAGCGATCTACAACGGAAAGACACCTCCAGGGACCCGGTGACTCCTTCCTCAGTGATGTCTACGAGGAGAGTATATCGACGAAGACTCAGGGACTGATTGTGCTGCCCAAGGTCAGCATCACCATGCTGCAGTCCTCTATTGTGGAGGAGATTATCTCAGTGGCGGCGTTGGACAATGTGCAGGTAAGAATAAATAAAATACTCTTAAACTAGGGATATTATAACCATTCCCCTTCTTTTCTCCAGGATCTGAGCTGCGTCTCACTGCTCACCTTCTACATGGAGGGCATTTCCACAAAGTTCCACCTGGGCAAGACGACGCGCGCCTCCATGCACAACGTGTACATCCAGCAAACGGTACAGTCGGGCAGTAGCAACAAAAAGGGTGGCATCATGAAGGGCACTCGCGCCCTCTTGGCACATCTCTCATCGCAGACGCGACCCGACAATGTCCAGGGAGAGCCCATCCTTATCGAGACATCGGAAAAGCAGTTGGAGGAGCTGGTAATCACACTGGACATTGGGAGAGCCCATGCTCAGCTGCGACGCCTGAAGACCGAGGGACAATCGTGCGCCCAGGACTCACCCATCATCGTCACCGCCATTCCAGAACACAAGAGCAAAGTGCTGTTTGAATGCCTGAAAATGCCGGAAAGCACGGGCATCGAGAGCATTGGCTACATTATGTTCGAGTGTGGCTTGGAGGGAGTGGGTGTGAAGATAGTGAAGCGATCGCACTTCGAAAAGTCCGAGAACAGCAAGGAGGAGCTAGCCGAAATGGCGGGAGCAGGTGCAGGGGGAGGAACTTCCGGCGGCGGCTTTAATCTTAACGATCTGGTGGGCCAAGGAGACGGAGCAACAGCTTCCGGAGATGGCGGAGCCACTTCAAAGGCCGAGGCTGCCTGGCGGCTGATAACCAAAAAGCCTCCCACTCCCAAGACTCCCAAGGAGAAGTTTCAACCTGCTTCCGACAGCAATATCGCCGGAGACAGCTCCTCCGCGGCTGAGCAAAGAAAATCCACACCCAAGCCCCCAGATGAAGATGTGGAGAAAGGAACGAGTACAGCGAACGCTGCGTCAGGAGCTCAAAAGCCTTCTGCAGGACCAGGAACCAACTCCAAGGATAGTTACGACAAGGTTTTGTCCAATGTCAAGGAAACGGATAAGACTTCCTCCTGTGTGATTGAACTGAAGGCGGTCTGGTTCAACTTTGCCGCTCCACCGTGCGTGCCTATTACCCGCAAGATTGATCTGACGCGACTGGATTGGAATCTTCTGAGCACTGCCTCGCCGGCGATAACGGCTTGGATGAATCCCAGCAATCGTCTGGCCATCAAGATCGTTTCCCTGATGAAGGCTCTCCACACGAGACAGACGGCAGTGGCTGCTTGTCTCATGGCGGAGGCCATGGATAACGAGAAAATCCAGAGAAACCCCAAGATCAAGAAGGTAACAAAAGAGGTATATTGGTTTTTGTACATATGCTTCACATTATAGACCCCTCTTTAAATGGATGGTATATAAAACTATATTATTTAAACTCTCTGCAGAGTCGCTATGCCAATAACTACACGCTGCTGTCGAAGACTCTGCAGGAGGATCCTAGTTGCCAGCTGTGCTACATCATGCAGAAGTTGGTCCTGGATGAGGGTGTTCAGAGGATTGAGTCGATCTTTAAGCAACACGATGTTCCACATCTGAACACTCTGCGACAGGTGAGTTACTTTCCTGCATATTATATTATATATTTTTGATTATTTTTCAATTATCTTATAGGGCATCATTGTGCTGAGTCGTCAGTGGAAGAACACCCTTTACAATCCGATTCTGTTCGAGCACCAGTACAAGAACAAGCTGGCCCGACCCATTAACGTGACCTTCTCGTTTCCGCAGAACGAGGAGGAGGCGGAGAACGATGAGTGCGAAGGTGATGTTGAAATGGGCGCCTTTGCGGGCGTCGGCGAGAATCCGGAAGAGAGTGAGAATGCTTTATTACTTGGGCAAACACAGCATCATCGAACTCACATTGGTATTTTTTTGATTAACGCTCTCCTGCCCGCCGTCTGTGGCGGGTGGTTATCTCCTTTTAACCTAGTTATATGTATAGTTATAGACTCTTTCTATATATTTCCCCTTTCCTGTTTGATGCACCTGTTGATTGTTTGTTAACCAAGTTAAAAGACTGTGTCTGCGTGTGTATGTCGCTTTGATCTACCCTCTATTTCCTTTCTTTTCCTCTTCTGTAAATACTCTTTCCACACAAATGTTATCCACCGCTTTGAGTGTTCACCACTTCATATTGTTTGATGCTTGGCGTTTGCATTATACAACAGACCAATACAACTCTTCTATCCTTTCTGGCTATATACTATTTCTATATCTATATCTATGGAACTAAATTTAAACCTAAGTATGTTGTACATTAAGCGAAGAAAAGTATGTGAAGAGCCTTTAATCCTTCTTCTTCTTTCACTTCTAATTTCAAGCTTTTTCGTTCAGTGTACAACTTGCCGAGAAGAGTGCTTTCTTGAAGAGTGCTTAACTAATATTCATAACCTCTCTTTACTTACGATTCTTCCCTGACTTTCCTCTATAGAAAACAATCAGTACGGAGGTGTTCCGTATGGTCATGAGGCTGGAAATCATGGAACCGCCTCCCAGCGATCTACTTCCACTTCGCCAAATATTCACCAACCTCGTCGCGGGTAAGTTGTAAATGTTTGCTTGCTTCCACCTTTCATTGCACCTCATTAATGTCATGCTTGTGATCTGTTCTTCTCTCCTTAAAACATTCGTGTGCATCAGCCTAAATAAAGTGCACAGCAAAGCCTCGAATTATTCACATGGCAATTCATCTCGTTCCAGCATTCAAATGCTGCCCATTATTTCTGGGCTGGTGGAGAAGCAGGTTCCAGAATTTGGTAAGTGCATTTGGATTAGAGCCCTGCATGAATGGATTCAATGAATTATTTTGAATTTTTTTGTTTTATATGAATGAATTAATTAGAATTTTGAGTTTAATAGAATTGAATGAATTTGAATTTTGAGTTTAATAGAATTAAATGAATGAATGGCATGAATTCCGAAATAATTCAAACAACAATTTCTTTTGAAGGAAAAAGGCCCATAATTATGTGATTAAATCAGCCTGAATTTTATTTACTAAGCAGTTAACATTTATTATTCAAAATTTTTAACTTTTTGTTCTCAAAAGAAAGCACAAAAAAAATCTGGCTAATTCAAAAATTCATAAAAATAGTTAATTCATTCATTAAATTCGAAAAGAATTAGAAAAACATTTAATTTATTTCGCATAGAATTGAATTAAACAAATCAGAAATTTCATGGCATATTATGATGAAAGAAAAATTGAATGATTCACGCAGGGCTCTAATTTGGATTCACAAATTCTTGTTAAAGTCCGGTTACTTAATTTTTGTTGTCCTCAGAATACGGCGCCTTGCAGGAAGGTTCCTTGAGCTCCACGAACTCGGTGGATAAATTCTGGCTTGGAGCCGAGAACCACAAGGAGGATTTGTACTTTTGGATGGCCAAGCAGCAGGATAACAAGAAAAAGCACTTTGCCGAGAAGGAACATGCTCGGCCTAATCCGCCAAAAATGCATGGACATACTGGACAAACTCGCAGTGGAATCATGCAGGATTCCATTAAGCTGCTGGATGCCCATTTAATCTTTGAACCGCTGCTCACTTGTTTAGGAGTAATGCCGCAGCAAATGATTAATAAGTTTTCCAACGCTGACATATCTTCTCTGGAAAACTTTGGCACTAATCTCTCTTTGATCGGCACTTTTGATTCCATTCGGGTGGACATTGTGGTCAGCGAGGCGGGTGACAAGAAGAACTCAGCCCAGAAACCAGCTAAAATGAACAAGAAATCAAACGGCGGCAGGGCCTCCATAATGATGGACACTCCGTTGTTCCTGTGCGAGCGAGTGGGTGTGGAGTTGGAAGTTCTAAAGATGTCCGATGGCATGGTAGATCAGGCTCGCCAGAATGTCATTTATATGTCGCGTCGCCAGCTGAAGAAGCACACCAGTACTGTGATAAATTTCAGCCTCAATGTGAGATTTATTTCACAGCAGGTAAACGAATAATCTAATAATAAGCATATCAATAAGTTAATTAAAATTTTATAATTTAGGTTAACATGCCTCTATTGAGACTGCTTCATCAGATCTGCAATATGTACCAAAACGTAAAGGATGCCCAGAACGAGTTCCACGACCAACCTGAGTTGAGTAAAAAGAGCCAGACCAAAGATGAGTGTAGTTTGGGTAGGGATCTTAACGACTTTAATCATTAACATAAAAACTAAACTACATTTTCTGTATTGCAGCTTCTGAGCCCACAGACATCCTGCCGTTCAACTCGGTATCAGAACGCTTTGGCCACGTGGAGAACTACTCAGATGAACGCTATGACAAGTTCAATGAAACCATGCCCACCATGCTGGCAAGACCGCGTCCTGGTGGCTTGGCTCCCATTATCCAACTGACACCCTCTCCAAATGCGAAGAACAGGCCCCAGAGTTTCGCCCAGAAGCTTCGATCCACCGGGAAATCGGTGAAGGGCAAGCTGGGCTACACGAATCTGAATGAGTCTAGTTCGTCGCCCTTGAGGGATAGCCCAACAATGTCGCTCCACGAGCAGAACATCCTCAAGATGTCCACAGAATCAAAGGCTTCGCTTAATGGAGCATGTGCCACCAGTGTCAGTGGGGATTACCAGAACACGCTGACCAAGGCGGGAATGCCAACGATGGCTCCCATGTTGGAGACACCCACTTGTTGGAAGACCATCTACCATTTATTGGAGTTATATGGCACCATGCCAGAAACAAAGACTGTGGTTCAAAGGAGCTCGTTGAACGAGCACAAGAGCAAGCCGGCGGGCTTCGCTCACGATGAGGATGACTTGGCCAATGCTCCTACACCGCTGCCCCAGCACCGCGAGATGCTGCTGGTAGATGCGCCCTCCCAGGAGCGAACGCGTCTGATTGTCTTCGGGGTGGCCAAGATCCACAAAACTCGACTGCTGGCCACGCTTTCCGGTCTTAAGCTGGAGTCTGAGATTACCACGCTGAACAGCACAGCCACTTGGAGGAAGAAGGCTCGTCCGGTCTCCCTGGAGTGCTCCCTAACTGGACAAGTGGGAAGAGCCATGATTGTGCTGCTTGAAGGAGTGGCACCCAGCCAACAGTACGTATTATTTTTATACCCGTTACTCGTAGAGTAAAAGGATATATTGTATTCGTGCAAAAGTATGTAACAGGAAGAAGGAAGCGTTTCCGAACCTAGAAAGTATATATATTCTTGATCAGAGTCACTAGCCGAGTCGATATAGCCATGTACGTCTGTCCGTCCGTCCGTGAGATCTCGTAAACTACAAAAGCTAGAAGGTTGAGATTTCCCACACATATTCTTGGGCTTCCTACGCAGCGCAAGTTAATTTCCATCTCCCTCGCACTCCATTTAGCTGAGTGAAGGGTATAAGATAGTCGGGACACCAACCCGACTATAGCGTTCTCTCTTGTTATATTTATTGACTATAGATGTGCTCTAATTTTTGTTTTTCTTTCCAGGACCGTGGTGAAGGTGACCGTGGGAAAAAGCCAGACTCTTTACTCGAGTCTTTCGAAGCGGGGCAAGGATAAGAATAGCGGTCTGCTATCGATTGGGGCTGTTAACATAGACATTCCCCAACATCCGGTGGCCCTGCATGGAATGATGACTCGAAGCTCTAAGCAATTGTCCTCCACGCTGCAGGAGCTGAGAGTAAAACGGAATTCCGGTCGCTCCACACTTCGTTCGCATACCGCGGAGGAGCCTGAGTCGCCGTTCCATGCCCGCAACTCTGGAGGAGCCAGCAGCGGAACAGGAGTGGCCAGCGAGATGCGAGAGCGTACGGTTTCAGGCGGAGCAGGAACCCAACAGCAACCGCAGCAGGCTGCTCGACGGGCAGCTCACATGGCCCAATCGAAGACGGGAACGGCCCAGCACCAGAACGGATTGCTGCAGCCTCTGGTCATGCAGTTCAATGTACTGTTGCAGAGTCTGTCCATCAATGCTGCTCTACTTCCTTCGCTGCAGGCCCAGTATCGCATGAATCACGTTAGCTCGATGGGAGTGACCGGCCAGAGGGCGAAGTTTGTCATCGATCTGCCCACGCACACGCTTAGCTTCAATACCAAGATTCAGGTGAGTTTAAAATATTTATAAATTAAGGGGAGATACATATAGAACTGTAATTTTTTCAAGTTTTTTGTGATTTTTTTAACCAATAAGGAATTGTGCTGGGATTTCGTAACTTGTCATGTTGATTACATTGTTATACCCGTTACTCGTAGAGTAAAAGGGTATATTAGATTCGTGCAAAAGTATGTGACAGGAATATTCTTGATCAGGATCACTAGCCGAGTCGATCTAGCCATGTCCGTCTGTCTGTCTGTATGAACGCTGAGATCTCGGAAATTATAAAAGCTAGAAGCGCAAGTTTGTTTCAAAAGGGTGCCACGCCCCCTCTAACGCCCACAATCGCTTAAAAACGATTTTAAAAATTTCAATATTTTGGAAAATTAAAAATGCAGTTTTATTGTGTTTATGAATACCTATCGAAATGTAGAAGAAATTTTTTAAATCGGACCATTCGTTAAAAAGTTACGGCGGATCAAAGTTTTTATCTTCATCTCCTCCCTTTAGCTGAATAACGGGTATCTGATAGTCGGGGCACCCGACTATAGCGTTCTCTCTTGTTTTTATATAATTTTAACCAATTTTTATTTTGTTTTTATCTTTTAAAATGGCGGCCGTGGGAATTTTTTTAGGCCAGATGCGGATCCAAGTTTATTTTGTTAAGAAATAATTTAGAAACTGTCTGAACCTAACTTACATAGAACATCTTAAAAACTATGGTTGTGACACTCTTTCAAAGTCAAAATTTTTTGTCATATTTTTTTTTTTTTTTTTTTGGCTAACAAAAAATAGCTAAACGTACAAATTTCTACATTAAGTAGGTTCAGACAGTGGGCAATTTCATTACAAACATTTCCGTAAAAGCAGCTGAGAAAAACGTGGTTTCGTGAAAAAGCATTTAAATTAATTAAATATATCTACTGCACAAGGAAGGTGGATGCCGTAATCCTGGTATAAGTTCAAAAATAGGATGAATTTCTTCTTGAAACTTTTATGGCACATTTTGAAACAGTTATTCTACCAATTTATTTGTATCTCCCCCCTTAAATCATTGAGACTTTTTTTTTGCAAAAAATCATTTAATCAAAGTGCATTTGTATAGTTAGCTTTTTTTTAAAGATATATAAAAGCATTTTTAATAGTTTAGTCTTGAGAACAGAGTATGTGACAGAATAATAGATATGACTGTCGAAAAAAGAACACGTTAAAATGGTATTAAATTGGCTGAACTTCCTTCTTAAGCCAGGACAAAGTAAACTCGTCTCCGTCGCGCGACAAGATTGGCGAAAGAGTTTCCCAAACTTGCTGATGATAGGCATTGAGCAGCTTTATCTCCACATCGGACAGCAGCTCCTTTTTGATCATTTTAGTTTGCTTCGGGCACATGGTGATAGTTTTGAAAGTCAGGGCGCCACGGCTGGCGAAGTTGTGTGCCACTTGGCCGGGAACAATCTGAACAATGTCCTCGACACGAATGCCGAACTCTCCGTCCTGGTAGAAGCCAGGCTCGTTGGAAATAAACATGTTCGCCTGGAGACCGGGATCGTCGGGCATCAGACGAATGCCCACACCCATGGGTCCCTCGTGAACGTTCAAGAAGTGACCCACTCCATGGCCGGTGCCGTGTCCGTAATCCAAGCCCACGTCCCACAGGGCCTTCCTCGCCAGAGTGTCCAAAACCTGGCCCTTAACCTTAGCCGGAAAGACGGTGGCGCCGAAGCTTAGTTGGCCCTTCAAAACGCGCGTGTAGGCTTCCTTCTGGAATTCGGTGGGCTGACCAAAGTGCAGAGTCCTCGTTACATCCGTGGTGCCATCCAGATATTGTGCTCCCGAATCGCACAGATAGATCTCCTTGTCGTTTATCTTCCTGTTGGTCTCCTCCTTCGGATGATAGTGGATAACCGAGCCGTTGGGGCCCGAAGCACTGATTGTAGTGAAGCTGAGGCCCATGTACTTGTCTTTCGAGGCCCGGAAAGATTCCAGCTTATCGGAGCCAGATATTTCATCGACTTCCGCACCTTTGTTTACTTGATCTTCAAGCCAGGCGAAGTACTGACACAGAGCGACTCCATCGCGAATGTGGCTGTTGACAAAGCCCTCGATCTCGACGTCGTTCTTGATGGACTTTAGCACACAGATGGGCGTCACCTCTTGAATTCTACGTGACTTGGGTATCAAGGCAGTTAGGTAGTAGCTGCTGGTGGGTGCAATCCAGATCTTTGACTCCTTCGACGACACAATCTTGCTGATTTCCAAGCCAATAGAAGCATATGGCAAAACGCTTATCTTGACATTGTTCTCCGTTTGATGCTGGGCAAAGTCGGCGGGCAGTTTGCCAGAGTCCACGAAGAGCAGTAGCTCGTCGTGGGTGACAATCAAGTAGGAGAAAAATACTGGGTTGAAGTCAATGTCCGAGCCGCGAAGGTTCAGGAACCAAGCGATTTCATCCAGGGCACTGACCACCAGAGCATCCACATTCTTGTCCTTCAATTGCTTGCGCACCACCTGCCATTTTTTGGCTACCGGCACGCCGGAATACTCCAGTTTCAGGCTGATGATCGTGTTGGAAGTCTGCGCCGGCTGATCCTCGCCCCAGACCTCGTCGATGAGGTTCTTTTCAATGGGCACCAGCTGGCACTCGGCCGAATTTAGCTCCGTTTCGATGGGCTTCCACACGCGGAACGAAAGCAGGCGGGGATCCACGCCCACAAAGCTGCCCTTGGGCAGATTCTTGGCCAACCAGGCGCCAATCGAGGGCGTGGTGGTCAGGCCATCGCGCATCAGCACCCAATTGGAGTCCAGCTGCTTCTCCGCCTGCTGGTAGTACCGCCCGTCGGTCCAGAGCAGGGCGGTATCGGTGGTGACCACCGCCGTGCCGGCGGAGCCATCGAATCCGCTGACAAAGGAGCGGCGCTCGTCGTGCTGGCACTGGTACTCCGACTGGTGGGCGTCGTCCGAGGGCACTATGTACGCCGATATGCCGCTGGAGTCGCCCACCTGGGCCCGCAGCATCAGCTCCCTCAGCTTGGCTAGAATCTGGGTGGTGCTCCTCTTCATCGTGGCTCTGCAATGGCAGTTCCCAAGTAACTAGGGTGAAAACACACGCAGAAAGTCGAATCAGCTTAGCACGATAAGATAATCAAACGTAATCTCGTTCTTTATCCCATAAATACATAAATAATCGGGGAACATATAAGTGTCACTCACTCACGACTGTCAAACTATTGTTTAAATTACAGGGTGCAATTTAGTTTACAACCGCTGTTTTTAATTCTTTTTGCAATGACACTTTAAAATTTGCAATTTATGGCAGTGCAGAAATGCCGCATATTACATCATAAAGCCTTTTCGCTTTTAGTATTTTTTTGAACTTTTAATAAGAAAGGTAACACTAACAGCTGTGGATTTTTAAAATGGGGCGCGAAACTTCGTTTTTGAATTATATATTTTAGTTTTTTATTTTTATTAATTTATTAAATATGATAGTAAAGTTTAGAAAACTATGATTTAGCTAGCTGATATTTTTAGTTTACAAGCTACTAGTATTAGTTTAGTTTAATTAAGTTTAACTAAAAAACCAATCCCTTAAAAACAGGGACCGAAAATAATAGTTATTTCAAATTTTTCTGACTATAAAAATCATTCACTTAGAAAAGTGCTATAAAAAAAATCAAGAACACCAATGATTTCCAAATTGGTCAAGTTATGCAAATCTGCAATGATTTTTATTTTGTGAGTTTTATTTTTAAAAATCAATGGTAAAAATTATTTTTTAAGTTTTATTATAAAACTCAGGCAGTAATTGTTATTGATGAGTATAAAACAATAAAAATCATCAATAAATATAATGTGTGAGTTTTATTTTATAAAAAAGTTGTACACACGGCCCATTTTTTACCTTAAATCAATTTTTAAAATAGTTTAATGTTAAAATAATTTTTTTTTTATATGTACTAAAACTACTTGGCCTAACGAAAAAGAACTAACTAAACCATACTAAAATTCTTTTTTTTGTACTCATCATGATCATGAGTTTTATAATAAAACTCAAAAAATAACTGTTATTTTTTAGGAATACAAATAAAAATAAGATATAAGTTTTTCAGTGCGAGTTCTATCAATAAAACTTATAACTGTTGCGGTCCCCTTCTTAAAAACCATATTCAAATAGTAAAAAAAAACATTTTATATCTTATTTTCAGAACGAGATGAACCTGCCATCTGAGGCTTGTATTGGCCTACCACCTGTTCACGTCCTGGCCGAATATATTCCAGACCACCGCCAGGATCACACTGAAACGGTCGAGGGCATTGTCCTGCGCCAAGGTGGCTACGTGAATGCCAGCGCCGAGATCGGGGAGTTCGAGCGCTGTCTGACCACAGATCTCCTGAACCACCTGGTCTTCGTGCAGAAGGTGTTTATGCGCGAAATCAACGAGGTGCTGCAGAAGGTTTATGGAGGCGAGAAGCCCGTGCCCCTGTGGACAGAGGAAAGTGGCGATAGTTCGGGAGCAGTGCAAGAGTCCTCGCTGAAGCGCATCCTCTTCTCCATCAACATTTCGATGAAGCGCATCCAACTGACGGCCACCACGCCCTGCTCCTCGGCGGTTCGCTTCGAAACCGGAATCCTTGAGCTGCAGCTGTCGAATCGGGTTAAGAACCTGGGGGATATGAGCAACCGCAAGCTCTTCTTCAAGGCTCACATCGATTTCAATCTATCCCTGGGCCAGATTATACGGAACGTGATTTTCGACGAGGCAGAGCCCGAGTTTCAGCAGTACGCCTTCTTTCACACAACCATTAACTTGAGGAATGCCTTCCAGGACGAGCTGCTCAACGAGGACAAGGAGTTGATTCTACTCACCCTCAAGAGGCCTCTGGTTTATGTCCAGCCAATTGCCGTGGACAAGGCCATACTTGTGTGGCTCAACTACAAGAATGCCTACGAGTATTGGGCGGAAAAGCGTGCGAATCTCTGCCATGAGCACGTCCAGCACAGCCAGTTCGGTCAGTATGCGGGGCAGCCTCAGAATCAGCAGAATCCACAGGTGTTCGATCGCGTGGCTTTTGGGCAGATAGCCAGCTCCAATTTGTCTACGCTCTTCCTGCAACTCACAGTGGAGGACATGGGCATTTGCCTGCCCCTCAATCAGGTCAACACCACGGTAAGTTACTAAATTTAATAGAGAGATTGGATTCAATGAATTATTTGGAATTTTTTGTTGTATATGAAAGAATTAATTAGAATTTTTAGTTTAATAGAATTGAATGAATTTGAATTTTGAGAGTAATAGAATTTAAAGAATGAATGGCATGAATTCTGAAATAATTCAAACGACAATTTCTTTTGAAGAAGAAAGGGCCATAATTTTGTGATTAAATCTGCATGAATTTTATTTACTAAGCAGTTAGCATTGATTTGTTAAAAATTTTCCACTTTTTGTTCTCAAAAGAAAGCACAAAAAAAATCTGGCAAATTCATTCAATTCGAAATAAATAAGAAAAACATTCAATTTATTTGTATTTATTTATTTATACTATGATAAAACAAAAACTGAATGATTCACGCAGGGCTCTAGATTCTAATTAATTTTTAATTTAATTTAATTGTCCTTTTTCGCAGACATTTGGCTCCCGTTCCTATCAAGACTTTGACTCCAAGGGCGCCGTTGTGATCACGCTGGAGAACACCATAATCTCGGCCTGCAACTCGGGTGCTTTGGTGTCCAAGGGCAAGTTTCAGGGCTTGTGCCTGCGTTTCGCTGATGACTTTGAAACCAATCTGGATGACTGGAAGCCGAACAGTGCGGAGCCCATCATGAACGTATGTGTTGTGTCCGAGGGAACCTTTGAGGTCTGTTCGCGCACCACGGCTGCCAAAAAGGGCGAAAACGCCAAGTGGCTGCTGAATGTGAAATGGCAAATGGAGGGTGTGGACATCCATTTAGATGTGAATATCGGCAAACAGCTAAGTTCCCTGGGTCACACTCTCACCATGCTGACGGGCTTCGAGGAGGATGAGACCCAAATGGAGTCGCCCGACAGCGATGAAGGAGATCAGAGCTGCAGGGATACGTTTGTGCGCAGAAGAGGAGACTTTGACAACTTGCCAGCGTTTGTTTTTGATCCCACAATTGATTCCAAGAAGCGTTCGTTTATGATGGAGAAGGAAATGGCCGAGCAGCTCAAGATCATCAACGATCTGCGCACTCTGGGCGCCTCGCATAATACGGTGGCCCACGAGGAGAGGCGATTGCAGGAGCTTCAGGCCATTTGCTACAAGTATTTCCGCAGAGATATGATCCAGAAGTGGAAGAGGCCTTCGCTGAGAAGGTCTCTAAAGAACTACGGTCGCTCGCATTCGTACATTGGAGCGGGATCATCGTCGGTAACTGGAGTGGGTGTTCCCCAGACTTTGGACAACGGAAGCTATGCAGGCAGGAGGCTGGACACAATTGCCTCCAATGATGAGATTTCCAGCCTGCAGAGCACCCCGGCTTCCTGTCACTCCCGCAGTGCCTCCCTAAAACACACGGCTGGAGGAGGAGTGGTTGGAGGAGGAGGAGGACTTAACGCTCTTGGAAGAGTGACCTTCACGGAGGCCATGCGACAGACTTCACTGCCCAATGCGGACACCGATACGGAGACGGCCGACAATGAGCTGGATTGGCGAGGCGACATTACACCCAGTGAGATAGATGTGGACGGCACCTCTGTGGAGATGCGACGCAAGCATGGTCACGGTCAGAAGCAACCGGAACCCAACATTGACTTTGAACTGGACATAAAGGTTCTGGTAAACTCGGGAAAATGCGTCTTGCATACCAAGGATACTGGCGAGGAACGAGCTCAAGGCTTTGCGGGTGGATCTGCTGCAGGTGGAGTGCCTGCTTCAAGTGTAAAATCCCACAAGAGAGAACGGAGCATTGGCAACGATTGGGGAAGTCCAACACCCTCAAGGAGACAGAGGGACAAGAGCAAGCTGCGCTATAATGCCAACGCTTTGCTGGCCGATCTCACCATTTTCCACATCCCCGGTTTGGATGTGAAGCTTCACTACCAATCGAAAACTTTGGCGGAGCAATTGACTGGAGATCAGGTGCCGCATGGTCGCCGAATGGGCAGCAAAAGAGCTACATTGTGCGCCTGGATGACCCTGCAGAGTATCCCCGAGGAAACCATCATATCCCCGCATATTCTGGAATTCCTAGAACAGACTCTAGAGCCCATTCCTGCACGACAATCGACTAGTGTTCCGCCGACTCCATCCCATAATACAGCCGTTAATCTGGACATACTGCCTGCCAACTATGTGACTTACGCCTCATTTCCAGTGGATGTTATAGTCTACTTCCATATGCAACCCTCTACCTTCCGGTTTAGTTGCCTGCCGGTTTCCCGAGTGGAATGCATGCTTCAGCTGCCCAGTTTGGATATTGTGTTCAGTTCGAAGCGGAGCAGCGACGAGGAGAACCCAACGCAGCCAGGAACTCATGCCCATCCGGAGCAGCAGCTGCCCACGGGTGGACTAAGTGTGACCGGCTGCCTGGCCGATTTCAATGTGTTCATCTTCCATCCGTACGGTGGCAAAAAGACGTCCAAGGAGACGCAGTTCTCACCGCTGAGCGACAGCGAAAGGAAGGATTCGCTGAGTATCAACGTTGAGTTTGTCAAGTTCCACATTACGCGATGTAGGAAGGTTTACATCGAACCTTTGCCCAGTTCCAAGAGATCACTTGATCAATCGCGAGCAGTGATCCGATTCTCCACCATTGTCGATATTGGAAGTGCCAGTTTTAAGTACGATATGAGAAGACTAACAGAGATTCTAGCCTTTCCGAAGGCTTGGTATCGCAGGCGGATTGTGAGGCGACTCTTCCTGGGCGATCTCAGTGTACAACAACAGCAGCAGCAACAGCAAGGAAATGGGGCAGAAACCCCCACTGGCTGTCCACCGGCTACTCCAACGCCCAGCGAAGATGCCAGCAGGGCCAAGGACAAAATGCGGCTAGACTTTGAGGCCCAACCGTCGCAACAGCAACTCGGACACTTTGGAGCTGTAAGACAACTGAAAAATCTAGGCAAGTCGTCCAGCGCTGAATCCTCCGGAACTCCTCCCTCGGAAAAGAACCAAATCACTGCCTGGGAAACTCTGGTGATATTTGCAGTCAATTTCACCAAGCTGAATGTGCAAATGAACATTGGCAATGTGTGCGGCAATGTTGTGTGGCTCACGAAGGACTTTCAATCGGATGGACGCCTCTCGATCGGCAGCACTGGCTACAAGAACTTGTATGCCGGAATCTACCTGGGAGGATCT